AGAATGACCTGGATTTCGATATTTCGAGTAATATGTTGAAATAAAAAGGTCTTAAGGTCACCTTACTGCTGTCTATGAGATGCTGACGTTTTTATTTCAGGCTAATTGCTCGAAATATTCGAAATCAAAGTCATTTTTTAAAAATTCTTTTTAAAAAAGCTTGAAAACCCGTTTTTTTATCAAACGTCCACGAAATTTAGTTTTTCCGATGGCCTGGGCCTTGCAATTGATCTATGTTGGGTTATATTAAGTGAATTACATCTTTTTCAATAACTTTGAGACCAAATTTCACCATTTTTTGATTCTTCGAAGCCCTAGTATAAAGTTGAAAAATTTATGGTTTTTGGGAAAAGGCAAAATCAGATTTTGACGCCTTTGTTCATTTAAGGTCATAACTTGGCGATTTTTGATCAAAATGAATTCTTTTTTTCAGAAGATGTGCTTGAGAAGTGTACCTTTATTTCAACGGTTAAATGGTGCCTGTAAGTCTAGTCTAACTGACGCAATTCAATTCTAAAAAACGTTTCTGGGTTTTTACCGGTCATACCTTATTGTCGCTAATAAATACTTCATCCGATGGACAGTTTTCTAGGAAATCGAGGACAAAGTTGAAACTTCGATCGCCTTTTCTTCAGCTATGGAAGCAGGTATTTTCATATAACTAATTTTAAAGATGTAACTTTTGATTCTCAACCAGGAAATGCACTTATTTTGAGAAATAAAACTTTTCTTTTTCTGTAAAATAGATAAGTTCGGTTTTAATTAAGCCGATTGATTTCTATGACAGTATGAGTTGGAGATCTGAAACTTATAAAAATTCGTCCATAAAAATTGTTATTACACATCTTGGATAGAAGACTTTTTTCAGTTTATCAACAGTTCTCTTGATTTTGGCCATTGGCTTCAAAACTTTGAACATCAATATTTCGAGAACGGCATCATCTACAATTATCACTCTTCGACCAAATATGAGATGACTGAAAACCAAAGAAATCTGAGGTAATTCATCTAATGATGAATATTCTTCGACACATCACGAGTTACCTTTGTTAATCAAGTATCAAATCTAACAGCCTATGTAATACAACGTTACAACTTTTTTTAGTTCCTTGAATTATTAATATTTAAAATTTGACCCTATCATGGTCCATAATAAAGTCTAATGTTTGGTCGAAGAATAATGTTTGTAGGTGATGCCAATCTGAAATATCGAGTCTCAACGTTTTAAGGCCGATGGGAAAATCAAGAAAACTGTTGGTAAATTGAAAAAAGTATTTTATCCATGGTGAGTACCAACGATTTTCATGGACAATTAATAAATTTCAGATCTCTAACTCATGCGGTCATAGAAATCAATCGGTTTAACTAAAAATCGAATTTATCCTTTTTATTTCGAACAGAAAATTTTGTTTCTCAAAATACAATGTAAGTACATTTTCTGCTTGATCATTAAAAGTTACCTCAGTGCAGATGTATCAGTTACATTGGCAAATCTGCTTCCATAGTCGAACAAAAATTCAATCGAAGTTTCAACTTTAACTCTATTTTCTCGAAAACTGTCAACCAGAGAAATTTTTTAATAGCAGTAATGGACTCAGTTTTTATGTCCCTACAAACCCTCAAAGTCCCTACTCTTAACTCGAAAGTCAAAGTTTTTATAAATACTCCTTTTTTAGATTTATCTTCTTCTAGTTATCATTATGTGAGGATCATCTTCTCATCATGATCATCGTGAAAAATTCAGTACAACATACATAAGTAACAGTTAGTATTGTGTTAATGATTGGTATTGCGGACCAAAATAGTTTTATATTCAACTGTTAGATGGTGCCAGTGACTTGGCTCATCCCAGTAAACCAGCAAAAATGTTGATTTATTATTTGAAATGCTGAACTTGGTATTTGGTTTTGGATAATTATTGGTTTAAAGTGTGAATTTATTAAAAAAATGATGATTCTTAATCAAATAAGCTTTTTGATTTTCTGAACATTTCCTTAACAGAGATTAAGCATTTCATTATTTGTTGAAACAAGAATCGTATTCCTCTGTGGTTATGATTATTTTTTTAATTGATGACAATCTAGTAATCATTTTTACCAGACAGTCCATGGTTTCACAGAAACCGTTACATTAGCATTTATTTCAGGTGATGATATTAATCTTTGCTCAAATTAAACAATCTTGTATTACTAACTAACATAAGTTATTTTTGGGTATAATTTAATCTGTTTAATCATCAGACTTAATATATTGTAATGAATTTCTCAATTACTTGCAAGTGTTTAATTAATCGGTAATGTTTCACCATTCATCATATGGTTTTACTTGAAGCTGTCATTAGGATGGTAAAGAGACTGAAGCCTCAAGCTAATAATATCACTGATCTGCGTGTTTTTATAAAGCTTATGGACGTTAACAACCAGACACCAAGGACAATCAAGCAACAATAATCATAAACTAATTGATTTGGGAAGGTTTTACATCGATGACTGATTTTTGGTGGAACCAATATTGTTGTAATAAACATATGTATCCCGGTCCTACACAGAGATACACTTTAATTGTCTCTGTTCCCTCAGTTAAACTTGTTGCCTGATGTTCACACATCTCAACACAAATTATAATGTACCTGCTAAAGGATGGGTTACACTGGTTCAATCAGCATCCAAGGATAACCTTATGTAACCCTTTTCGTATCCATATTGAAGGAAACACAAGACGCCAAGCGAGTTAACCTCTGTTATAATAAGTAACCGTTGTTGCCATTTACAACAATACATCAGCAAGAAGTAAAGTTGATTAACCTAATGATTACATTAAAGTCATTACTTGTTGAAATATTAATTACTTCCTACGATTAGGCAAACAGAGGATGATATAGAGGGTTAAGGATAGCCAGAAATGACAAGCAGTTAACCAAATATTGGTTTAAAGACACCCAATTAGGCCTGGTAATCAATCAAAACTAGATCAGTTTAATGACCATTTCCTCACAATCATAACACATCCTTTAATTTAACATAACCACCAAATCATAATCATCTCAGCTGTGACAATTGGACATTTTCGTGATCAACTGACTTTGGTCTTTCTGGTAACAACAGTAACAACAGTAATCAGCTTCAATGGGAAATCAGTTTTAAACAATTTTCCTCTTTGATTAAAATTGCTTGAATTGATCAAAATTGAAGGCGATTACAATTGTAAATAGATTGAGCTTCATCCTATTTACAATTCATTATTTAATAATGTATTGTAATGATAATGTTTGACAATTGAAAGTTAAAGGTTTTACTCCACAAAAAACACTTTATTTGGTTGATATTAAATGAACGATTGAAAGTCAATAATCAGCATTGATCAAGTCTCACCATTGAACAATAAAGACAGCAAATTTATATATATATATTAGTTATTAATGAGTTAACACAATGTTTATGATGACTGTAACAATCAAGATGATAATATTGTATAAAATTGCCAGGTCATGTCAAATAAAATTGAATCACAATATAAAAGTGACTTTTATTAACACATTGATTTAATGCGAAAAGCTTAAACCTTAATTGTGCTCTCAATTGTGTTAACCAATTGATTGTCTTTTGCTGATTTGATAAATCACTTTTCATTCATTCAATAGTTCATGGTTTCTTTTTATAAACTTGACAATTAACTAATAATAACACCTCAATGACTCAATTAGAAAAGACATTTTCTTTATGATTATGAGTGACAAATTGGCTGAACCTTATTCATGTTTACTAACCATTTTTGTTAGTGGTTAATCATGGTTAATCATGGTTCATCATGATTATTGTCGATAAGGTTAATTATTCATCAATCTTTAAATTATATTTTCTGGTTCTTTTTGGGTTTTGATAAGCTTTTACACTTTAGATGAAGACGCTTTAAAATGGTAAATCTTATTGAATCTCTTGACGACAAGACCAAATCAAATATTGAAATGATTAGCTGTTAACTAAATATTGTATTAAGAGTGTGTGTGCAACTTAATCAAGGTTATACACTAATCATCTAACTTTGATCAGAATAATAATAATAATACAAAACAAGGCAATAAACCGGATTGATAAAAGTATATATAAGACACAGAATAATAAAAAAAAGAAGCAAAAGAAAAGGTTAATCAAGTTGAGTTGACAATCAATCGATGCAACAGGATATTTATGTTAATGGAGATGATCAGGTTGATTATGATGATAGTTGTGGTGATCAGGATGGAGATATATTATCCCTTAAAGATGAAAACAACAAATTAAAATAATTGTCAAATTAGTAAATAAAACCGCATCCAAATACTGGTTAGCTTAATATTGATGACACTGGTTAGGCGAGTAAAGTCAATTGATGAAAGAAAGGTAATCAGATGATTACCATGAGAAAAGGTTAAGATGATTATTCCAACAGAATCAGGTTAAAAGGTTCAATTGTAATGATATAATCATAGAGAAGAAAAAGATTGATTATTTAAACAATAATATAAAAAAAACAAAATCTCTATCAAACCAAACATTCGACATTTACTGCTGGAAGATGGCGACAGTTTATATTTTCAAGCTTCTCTTTTCATAGAAGCAAAACAGCGGCGTCGTAAGTTGAAATCATTCTCATTGAATTTTTAATTTATATGTTTTATGTTATTAACTGTTGTACTCAAACCTTTTTTTTGTATAAAATCAAATTCATCTGGTCCACTGCCTAGCTTTAAATTTAATTGAACTATGATTAATAATAAAAAGGTAAGTTTCACCTTATTCTAAGGATTTATGTTCAGTCTATTTCCATCTTTCTGTTTCTCTACCCATTTCTCTGTCTCTCTATGACTTTCTATTTGCCTTTTTGTACAATTCAAAACATCTCAGGTCATCTCGATGTTATTGTTATTTCTTGTTATTTTTATTTGACCCTTTTAAGTCTTCTCTTTTCATTTAATTTCATAGTAATTTTTAACATTGAATTTAACCTTTATTTGTTTCTGTTTCTCCCATTTTTACTCCCATGTACAGATTAATTTGAGATTGATTTTGGTTTCTGGGAAAACCAAAGATTTTCAGTTCAGTCCAAATGATTCAGCCTCTGACATCGCCCAATATGTCTTTGAACATTGGCCTCCAGGTATTTTATTTTCTATTTGTATGCATTTTTATTCTCTATTCTTGACTAATTATGGTTTCTATGTGTCTTTTTTACAGAATGGGCTGACGAATCTGTTAGTAGAGCTGAAATTTTAAGACTCATATACCAAGGAAGATTTCTACATGGGAATGTTATCTTAGGAGGTTAGTGTCACCCTCAGTGAATGGATTTTTTGGTTAAGTGTGATAGTGTTGTGTTTGTGATATCGTTTAATTTTTTTTTCTTCAATCCTGTTACTACACATCTTGATATTCAACTGCATCATCAAGTTACTCTTGTGCAACTGTAAAGAACAGCATGTGGATTAACCATTTGATTTTTTAAGTGTTTACCATCGTAAAGTGAATATGTAAAATTTTATCTTCTTTTCACTATGAGAGACAAATTTTAGCCTTGATGACTTGGAGGCCAACTTTTTTCGACAATTTAATGAGGGTTAGAGGCAAAAAAACCTTGATTAAGTCTCTTTATGTATCATTTAGATCCTCGAGCAATACTTGAACGGAAGATTGTTCAAATCGTAATTACATCCTTTTTACTTAATTTTGGTATACAGAAACAAACCTTAAATTGGAATACAAGGTCTTGGTTCTTTTCTATTTTGCTTCATTTTTGCCATTTCCTTTCTTTCCAATTTCTCTGTTTTCTGTCTACTTTTCGCCACCATTAGTCTTATTTACGCGCCACTACCTTACATTTGAATAGACATTCTGTAGTCTTTTTTTTATTTCCAATTCAACCTCTTCAAACTCCTTGCTTATCAAATCACATTTACGCAGTTATTCACTTGACAGTTACACGGACAATTTAGTTAACCTCAAGTTGCTCCCGTGCCTCTTTTTTTCATCTCTCCTCAATCAAACCCGGACATATTACTTTCAAGGCTTGGACACCCTGCTAACCGATAATTTGCCTGGTTACTTCTGTCAACAACCTCAAGTTATACTTGATGCGTGTTTTGCAACCTTTCCATCGTTTATCCTCAATCAATTCCATTAAGATGGTTTGATAACTGTTAGGTAGAAAAATTTTAGCGTTTAATTCAATGAAAGGGGTTTACTTTTACTGTAAAAGAAGAGTCAATTAATTACTTGAAGAAGAAGAAAAAAACAGTTCTTATAATTGTTAGCCAATACTGTACATTCACACTTAAAGTCGCCTTCTCGTCTCTATTTGAATTGTACTTTAACAAGGTCAACGACAGTATGCTTTGATAATATACTTTGAGACACACCCTGAGCTAACCGTAAGAGTGGGCTTGAGCTTATGTTAACAAACAAATAAACATCTGAGTAAACCAGTAATCACATCATTATCTTCAGTATGAGCAACCCATAGCATCACCAGTTTTTAGTTCCAATCAGAGGATGAGACACCAATTTTCGCACCATGTGATATTTAATCTACTATCATCTGGAAAATGTGATGATCATCATCATGAACTGGATACTAGGAGACACCCAAAATATACGGAATCACCAAAATGCTATCTCACTTGACTGTCTGTCCTTTTTCCTTCAACTCCTTCAACATGTTTATTAGCTGGAAAAGGCTAATATCCAGAAAATTGCATCATTACAAATTGATTATTCAATTAACAATCTGTTAAGTGTGTGAAAGAGAGAGAAAGAGAAAGTAAATTTCATGTGTTTTATCCCTTTTCCTGAATATTAATCACAATGGTGATATTAAATAACATTTACTGATGGTCATCATTTTACATGTTTCAGCTCTTCAATTACCGCTTGGCCGGACCAGTGTGATGCATCTCGTTCCAAGGGAAAACTTACCCGAGCCCAATTCTCAAGGTAAACAATGAAACTTACCTTGCAGGTTTTTGATAAAAATTTAAATTGTTTGCCATCTAATATGAGCTCAAAAGTAACCTTGATGTTGGTTAAATCGAAAGAAAGGAGACAAGATGATGGATATTTTTTTTCTTCAACAAAATGGAAAAGAACAAGAAGAGAAGAAAAGGAATAGAATCAAGTCTCCAGAGAAGAACTCGTCTTTACATTTAAACATTTCAATCGTCCAGTTCTTTACTTTTCCACCATTCTCAATGAAGGACCTTTCATTATTATACAAACCATTATAACCTGGTTTTGCTGAGGAAACTTGGCGTCAGAATGTACTTCAACATTCCATTTCTCTTTTTTCTTCTTCTTCACTCATTTTCTGATAGGATAAAAGTAAAAACAAATCAAGCCAAGTGTATGGATTCATTCTGATTCTCGTCAACACTTTCAACCTCAAGTTTAACTCAATTTTTGAGTGTAATTAAACCTTATACTGTGCACGGTTCTTAGCGTGTTCAACAGATTCTGATTGACATTGTGAAAATGTAAGATCACGAGATGGATTCAGACTTGAGTAAAAGCTATTGGAAGGATAAAAATGAAAAAACATCGAAAAGATTTGCTTACAATGAAGAATAGTCTTTTTCCATTCAATCATCTCTACTTGATTCTTTCCTTTCTCTTCGCCTTCTTCCTCTTCACCATCATCATCATCATCATCAAAACCATCATCTCAGCAGCTGAAGTTTCAGCTTCATCCTGAATATATAGTGCAGAAAAAAAACAAAGCCCTGTTTATCACCATTTTTATTTTCATCTTTTCAACTCAAAACTGAGTTTAGTCTTGATGACTTGCTAATTAGTTAACCATAATCTCATTTACCTCTTACATCAGATCAAAAATTTTTAATGATCAAGTGAAGAAGAAGAAAAAAATTGAAAAATTGAATGAAATGATGTGAAAAGAATAAAAGGTGAACGGCAATTCTGAGACTTTTACAAAATGACCTTTTGAATGACGATTGGAGGTCATAACGAGTATCAAGGTGAGGTGATACTTGTTATAAGCCTTCATCAAATGAATAATTGTTCAAGTATACAATTTACCCTTGATAGTACTGTCATTGAATAAAAAAAATGAAGCCAAAAATGAGGGAATACCATCAAGTTTATCAGCAAAAAAAATGATACAGGTTAATATTTGACCATACATTTAGTTAGATTAATTTACCTTAATATATATAATTATTAACTATCTTGTTTAGTCATAATGTGACTAACATTTAACAACCAATTTGGCATATTACGTCGTCTTGATATTTAATTTCAACCTTTTTTCTTACCTGCATTTTGACAACGTAAACATTGTCATTCACTTGCATTTGTTTCATTCAATGTTACAAATTAACTTGATTAACCTTCACAATTACCTATGATGCCTTGAATTGCGTTGAAAATTGTTCCCCATCTCGTTAAATAGTTGAAACAAGGATTACAAGTATTACAAATTACAAATTGAACAATTACTTTAAACACGATTTAAAGTAATAATAAAATTACATTACATTGTATATCCATTTCCCTCTTCATTTCATTCAAAATAATACTTTCACTCCTTTATATCCGAGGTAAACAGGTCAATTATGCCTTTATATCAATTATTTAACTTGATTTTGAAAATTATTCAACCACTTGAAACTCAATGGGTTAATTGAATTGATGAAAGACAGAGAGAAAATTAATTTTCTCAAAGAAATTTTTCTTTCTCTTTTATATTTCAAATGGCCATTTCCATGCACACTGAGCACAGTAAAAATGAATCGTTAAGGTCGTTGAAAAGTCTTGAAATTTCTCCGCCATGATTAACTGATTGAAGCGCAATTTATTTCCGCTTGACCCAACTTGATGATCATCTTGATTCTCAATCTCACCCTCTTCTTGTGTTTACCTAATTTTTGATTTCAACCTGAATCTAGGTGACAGGGTTAATACGTTTCCTGTCACACAAATGATTCCTCAGAGCGGAAATAAATATCACAATCTTTTTTTTCTTGTTCATCCACCTTTACCTCATAGACATGATCTTTGAACAATCATTCAGGTAAACTTATTTTTGATCGTAAAATATTTTTCCAGTTCAGCTTCATTGACTATCTCTCTTTACCTTTAAAGATCAATAGGATTTAATGTCAATAGGTTAACCCATAATATTTAATTGTATTCAAGATAATCAACTTTATTTCAATTCTCATTCTCATGTTACCTTTACAGTGTCACTTGAATTCAGTCAACGATTTACCTTAATGTTTATTGCGCAAAACTCTAGTTTACCTATTCATGGGGTTTACGCCTTGAATTTTTGTTCCTACTCAACCTTGAATTTCATTAAACTTGTTAGATTTGTAATTTCAGATTATCTGAATATGCTATAATGGCAAGTGATTACATTAAATGGAAACCTTGATAAAATCTTCTGTTATTCCCAATCACTTTGATTAAATGTTTATTTCACTTTCCCCTGAATGGTGAACATTTATTCAAAAAGTTAACATTAAAAGCAACATTAAACTAAAATATAAAATTAATTTCGCACTTTTCCATCACTTATCTAAACTTTAATTTCATCCATACTCATAAAAAAGTATGAAAAGTTACCTTTGAACTTAATCTTTTAATCCATTGAGCAAACAATGAATTTTTCATCGTCTCAAAATTAACGATAGTTTGCTATTGCAAAAGGCATTGCCAAGTTGAACCTTCAATTTCTTGCCTTACCTTAAAAACTGAACAACTTGAACATTATTACATTAGCATTGTGACTTACAAGTTGAACAGCAATTTTGAATTGTTTAACCTGTTCAGGTGGAATAGTTAAATTGGGAAACAAATGAAATTAATCAGTTTAAATGTAAGAGGAAAGGTTAGACAATTTAAAAGCTTTATTTAGTTCCCATTGACAATCACTACTAACCTTGGCCTGTAACCAGCCAACCAATGCTTTCCGTCACAGATCAACCTCAGTCGTGCATGATGACGAGGATGATGGTGATGATAATGAGCAAGGATAATGTGAAGTAACAAACAAAAAAGTAATGATGGAAATGAGCTCAATCCATATTGACAAGAGAACGGCCATTCTCATCATTATCACTGAATGGGTGTCATTAGTTTCTTATTCATTTTCCTCAGCCTAACAATCATTGAAATCAACTGATTACAGATGATTGTCCTCTTTATCCGCATCATTATCATGCACACTTGTAATCCCCAATTTCACTGGTTACATGAAAAAACCTTGCCTTCTATGTTATCATCTCTGTTACCATCAAGAATAGGAATTCACCTTGTTTTTATATTCAGCTTATTCTGCTTCCGCAATTGTAGGCACAATTTGATTGTTGCTCATGTCCTATTAATGTGAACTGAGTGAAGATAAAAAAGGGTGAGAATGAGCAAAGTACCGTTAATCTTACCCTTTTATTCAGTCTAATTTAGTTAAAGTTGATTCATAGTTAACCAAACCCGATTGAAACGCCAACTTGAAAACAATCAACAACATCGCCACATCACTCCACAGTCATTAAGCCAAATTTTATCCTTTTTTTGGTCTCTCTTTTCATCTCCATTTAGTGTCTTGAAACTCTTCCTTGTTCAATTGAATTTCTCGCTCTTTTCATGAAACCTTTTCATTAGTCAAACTCAATGAAACATGTTTCAGAATTATTCACTCATCAAAATAAACAAATCTTCTTACAATCATTATCACCATTTAATCATCAACTAATTTCTCGTCTCATTGTGTATATTTTTTGAAACAAATGTTTGCTTGTTTATTAACTTCACCATCAACAATGGGCATCACTCAAACACCAGAAAATGTTTTCAATTTCAATGTTGATTCTTTTCAGGCTGTTTCTTCCAAGCATAACAACATTTTGATGTAAATTCAGTTAAATGAAATTTCACTCAACTATTAGATGAACCTTTAAATGATAATGATTGGGAAAGAAAAAAAATGAAACATCAATCAATACAAAAAAAGGGTTTATTTTTGCCTCAACTTGATTATATTTTTCTCTCCTCAATCGCTTTCATTTATCATCTCTCTTCATATTCAATCCTCTTGTTAACTTTTCAGTTGAATGGATACAGAATCCAACTGAACAAAAAAACAACAACATCTCAAGATGATATCAACTTTTATTTGAATCATCTGAAAATCTGTATCAAACTTGATCACAATTGACTCACATTCACAAGTCTTAAAAAGCGAAACTTTTTTTTCAAAAAAACTCTTTCTCGCTCAACATTAATTTTTTCATGTTACACCAAATAATTCATTGAAATAACTATTAACGGAACATTTTCTCTTAATTGTCACTCACTTTTTACTGGTGATTATTTTTTAATCAAACTATTTAACGTTTTCAAAGTTAACATTTTCATTGTTACCCATTGACTTTACTTAATTGTCTCCTTACAACTCTCTTCCTACTCATGAAGCTTCATGATAATGATGCTGACAATTATTGATTTGCCTGATACAGAAAAAAACAAAAGAGCTGAATTTCATCAACTTTTTTTTCTCTCTCTATTTTAATTGCTTCCCTTGCAATTAATAGACTTGCAATAATAATGTTGAATACATTATAAAATGGTTGAAAAATTGGTTGAAAAGATTAATTCATTGGAAATACTAAATCGATAAGTGGTTAAATTGAAATTGCTTGTTTGGTTAATTGCAATTGAACCTGTTGAGATGTTTTATTTCATCTTTACATGATTATTTGATCACAATTGAATGTATCAGCTTGAAATGGTTCAATTGTTTCTTGCTGTTACCCTTTTGATACTTGAAACGGAAACTATTCAGTTTACTCAGTTACATCATTAAAACACAATTTGATTGATAAAATGTTACCAGATTTACCTTGAAACTCTCTATACTCTAATGACCGTCTTGATCACAATTTACACTCAATTGATCAACTTGTAACATTTACTTTACCTTTTTAACAGAAACTGTTATTGATTGAAAATAGGTTTAGACATTTTATTGGGTCAAGGTTATTCAATAGTCACATTGTTACTCTTCATTTGGTTCACATTAAATAATCATGTCTCATTCAGATCATATTACAACTAGGATTTACTTTTCAATCTCAAATGACCATGATTTAATCATGAAATGTTCACCATACTATTGATCAGTAAATGTTACTTGGTTTCCTTTGTTTCCATCCAATGATCGTCATTCAATGTTTACACCACAAATTGTTGACTGTTTCAACAATTTACTGTTAAACTGGTTGTTTACATGGTAATAATTATTCAAATAGGCTTTTGTCTTTTACAAGCTAAATTTAAATCAATTGAAAGGTTTAACCATCATTGATCAGACAAGCTTGATAACTTGAATAAAGACCCAATAAAAGCTTGAATCACTGATTAACTTTAATTTATCTCTTGATATTAATGTTATCACTTACCATGTAATACAATTGATGATTAAACCATTTACGGTGACTAATTAACAAGCTATTTCTATCAAGCTTACAGAATCTTAATTTTTTTTGTTTTACAACTTCCAGACTATGAGAGTAATCAAATGTTTTGTCAGTCACTGTAAAAGTTGATTGCTTTGCAAGGATTGTGTGACAATTTACTTAATTATTTGTTCCAATAAAACTCGCTATTGTTTACCATTTTATTGCTTTATTTGTTATGAAACTTACAATTGGATAAAATGCAATCTAATCGTCAATCAGATCAACCAAATCTTGTGCCTATTATGAATATAATGGCTATAAGATTGACTCGTTGAGCTCATTTTTCATGGCATCTATTTGAAACAACTTTATTGCTTATCTCCAATTCATTGGGCTGCTTCAATGAACCCCTTTCTCACTATTAATATCAAATAAACTAATCCATCATTTTTTTTGCTACTTATTATTTCAGATCAACGTCAAAAAAGCAAAGAAAGGAGCAGTGGCTGTTGTAACTCAAATTGTTCAATCATTTGAGAAGCAAATGATACTTTAATATGTAAAACAAACCAGAGGAATCATCCTAGTTTAGTTTTAAGAGACAAACTTTCTGTCCTGATGATTTTGTTCGCAAAAAAATTGGCAAAACGCAACCCATTATCATCATTACTGTAAAACCATAAACACAATGGTTATGTAAATCGCCAACGGAACGTCCTATCTTTTTGTGTTTTTTTTTCTCATCCATTTTTTCCTTCTCCTCACACACACACACCATAATAATCATCTTCATCAACGTCTCCTTCTTCTGTTGCTGTTACAAGTTTTTTGTTCACGGAAAATTTGGGTGTTTTATGTAATGTTAATAACCAAAAATACCAGGACACTAAAGGTCTTGACTAAAGGCCCCCAAACAACCGTCTATAATATTGACTGGAATGGTCAATCCTTTTAAACCCGCAAGTTGTTATGTTAATCGTCTGCCAACCTTTTTTTGGGGAAAAAACAAATTGAAACGTGAAAAAAGCAAAAGCAACTAACAAACAACTGTCTACAAGAAAACTGTCTACCTTAAAGTTATTATTATTATAATAATATTATAATAATTACTATTATCATTATCATTATTATTGATATTATTATTATTATTATATAAATACATATGTATAAATACGAACGGAAAACGTAAAAAACACATAAAAACACAAACAACCACGGAGGGAGATTCTCTTGAATATTGTCATTCTCATAGTCATACTTTTTGGTTCTCATCGCTGTAAATAATAATAATGTACCTCGTTTAACCTCTCCCTTTATCATTCCATGAATAAAAGACACCAACTACAAGAAACATTGATTTTACTCGCGAATCTTATTGCTAATTTTTACATCTAAACATTTTTATCTAATTCTTGAATCTTCTTCTCTTCCTTTCAGATTAATCTCGGCATTTCCCCCACTGACTGAGGAGCGTCTCAATACAAGCTTTATTTATCGACGGATTGACTATCTTAACTATTCAAGGAATCATTACACATTGATTTAATAGATTTCTATTAAGTGGAACACTTAATTACTCATCTAGTGATATTATCCATTTCGTAGCTTTAGGGTAACCTTGAGCATCGTATTGAGCATGTATTCACTTTACATGAGCAATGTTAGGTTGTCGAAATTCATTCATTTGATAAATAAATCATTTGTACTGTTTAAGTCCTGTTTTACGATGAATTCCCATTCAATCTCATTTTCAATTTTACTTTATTCATTTTTTAACATTTCAATTTTATCTAGTCTATGGTCAAATATAAAGATAACGTAGACTAAATTTTCTTGTTACCTCCTTCATTTGCAAGCTATAACTTGTTACACCCTTTATAATCTAGTTTTTGAGATCACTTATCAATTTAGTTTCTTGAAAAAACAATTGTTTTAATCTTCATATCCTTTAGTTGTCCATATTAAGACATTTTTTCGTAATTCGTAATTTTGCTATTTTCCTTAACAGCTGTTATTGACTACCTTTCCGAAAACCTTCCTGTCCTTTCAGAATCAAATCTCCAAAATACCGAATCCAAGTTATTAGTCCAGAATCTGGTAATTTTAGTCAGGAATTGTATGCGATATGGCACAACGAATCGACAAATAAGTTTAACTGGCATTTTGACTGAAGAGTTGAGGTAAGTTTATGGTGATTATGGTTTGTAACCGAAACACTTGGATTGTTTTTTCTTATTCGCAAATTGATTTAAATATTTTTTTATTTCAGAATCGCGTCAAAATTGAGCCAAATAATTCAAAACGAGATCGATTCTGCTAAAATGACTGCTACTATTCCTTATGGGCCCAAGTTGCCAACTTGTACATCTATTAAATGGCGAATCGATGTTGTAATTTCCAGTAGTTCTTTGTCAAAGGTTTTGGAGCCATTGATTATATTTGAAATTCATACCGACTCTGGCGCAAAAATTAAGCTATGGCTTCATCTTTATCAGAATTACATAGACTAGATGAGAAGAAAAAATTGTACCCTTCATTGAGAGCAAACTCGATAAGATAGACATTTTTAAAACGTCGTTTCATCATCCATCTATCATCGGACCCCAATTTGATGCAAGATAAAGAATATAATACTCGGACTGATATTACTCACAAGGGAAGTAGCTCAGGTGTCTCAGCGATTTCCGGTCGAGACTATGTTCATTCGATAGAGCATAAAAAACTAGCGATAGGGTTTGTCGGCTTTAGATAGAAAACTTTCGGGTCACGAGAAAATTGAGGTCAAAACCCGTTTTCTTGCATAAAATGCAAAGTTTCCCCAAATTTTTTTCGAACTTTGATTCATTTTCCAGGGTTTTCAGCCCTGAAAAAATCATTAGAAATATTTAAAACGCTATAAAATGTCTGCGAATCACGAGGAAACTCAAAATAAGAGTAAATTGATGATGATTCCAATTAAAATCAGGAAAATCAAATAAATTTGTAAATGCAGACATTTTATAGCGTTTTAAATATTTAAAGACTCTAAAAATTGAAAATAATGATACAATTTAGAGCCGAAAGAAACAAACGATTTACTTAATCAGGCAATTATTCTATCCAAATTAAAGTGCGTGTATAATGATGTTTATGGCTCACAAAATGTTTCCACTTATAGCTGCCGACGGTAATACACTTTGTTTTTTGATAGGTAATTAGAGTAAAAAAAATTCACCGAATTTTCCATTCTTTCTATTGCACCAAATCATATTAATAAAATATCATGAATCGAACAGTGATGCTGGTTGGGTCAAATAATTTTTTGTCTCTGACTCTTATCTCTACTTTTACCACATTTTTGGAAATCTGTTGTACCTTACCTCCTCTTAATATCTAAACAACAAAATACTGGGTGACAATTATATAACACTACTCTTTTTTTTCAAATAACTTTACATCCAGTTGGCGCTACTTCAAAATTTTTTACAGGAAGTTTTTAGGCTTCAAAGGAAATGGTTTACAACCATTTTTGTTTTGATACAAGCAACTTGAAAATTTTCAAATATGAAGCGATATTCTATTGATGAACGGGTTTTTTCGTTAAAACTTTACTGAGCACTTTGGAGGGCATTGTATTGGTAAGGGATTTGAAATTGATGAAATTGTAGAGATAAAATGGCCACCCTACAGTCCTGATCTGAATTTTTTGGATTTTGGGTTTTGGGGCTATTTGAAGGACAGAGTGTATGCAAACCGACCAATGACCCTTCAAGAGTTAGCAGAAGCCATAAAAACAACATCAGATCGATTTCTGACGAGATGAGAGCAAATGCTGTTGCTGCCTTTGAGACGCATTTACGCCGTGTCATTACCAGAAAGGGGCGTAACAGTAAAAACTTGTGTGCTTAATTTCCTTTGAGTCATACTATATGTATACCAAGTTTGGTCAAGATTCAATAAAGGATTCAGATTTTATTTGAAAAAAAAGAGTAGTGTTATATAATTGTCACCCAGTAATTAAAATTTCCATCTATCAAACTTGTGTGATTATAATGCACTTTTAACTTACAAGTTTTATTTTGTTGGATCCATGGAAAAAAATTTGCAGTAAAAAACTGTACAAGATTAGTTTTAAAGGAGAAGGATAGATGTCTCTATAAGTTTATGCAATTTATTTCCTATTTTACACAGTATTGTTTAATTGTTAATCGGATCAGTTTTTAAGTGATTAAGTAAGTAAATTGCTATAATTTGTTTTATTTTTTCTCAATCTTTGAGTCGATTTCTCGGACAAACTTCGAACAGATCTTTCTAATTTTAGTCTGTCTCTTTTGCTATTGCTCGTTATTTCATTGCATCATCAGCTGATTTTGTCTGCAGTTTAACGTTATCAAAATCAAACCTATCAGTCGTGGTCTTACTCTTGATTTTGAGTAAATTTAATTCTTGACTGTGGACTAATTTTACCTTAACTAATTCTCACACTGTTTGTTAGCTGAAAGTATTATCATAATTTTATTAAAATGGATGTGATGTATAAAGTGAAACCAATCTTTGGTGAAGAAGATATCGTGTTGCCAGATAATATGTATTATGTTAAACCGATTGCCGATTTTGGTTCTTCTAACTCTGGCTTTTTATGTGATTCTATCTCGACTCAGGTACCTGAACCAAAATCAACAAACCAGTCAAATAAGAAAGCTGGAAATTCTAAAGAAACCATGAACAAAGAGAACAAAAAAAGTGATGAAAATATGGATACATCAGCGAAGACACCTGGAAATAAATCGGAGGTTAAAGATAAAAAGCAAGGTGAAAAATCAAAGAAGGGCAAGAAAAGGCTGAACAGTGAAAATCAATCTAATCCTGATCAGTCTACATCAAAAGAAACTTCTGATGGAAATACCGGTAATCAAGGTGATAAAAATGAAGGAGGCAAAGAGGGTGAAACGCGACCGATTATTCCAACTCTGGACACCTATCTTGGGAACATTATTGGAGATGTTGTCGTTCAAGATTTTTCAATCCAAGTAGACTTTGATTACAAACCATTACGAGTTTTAAAAGTTATTAATCATTTGCGAAAAAATTTTGGCTTAAGGATAGCTGTTAAAGTATACATCAGTTCTACTGTTTTGGTTGAATCAGAGACGAATGTTGACGAATGGAGAATGTTTGAAACTTTTGAATCGACTATTTTACCTCGTCAGGATAACCAGCTATTTGTTACATTGATCGTTAGGAGATTTACACCAGAAGAAGCTTGGCTTAATAAACAACCATTCATGATTTTCGATCCTTCTCTTGGCACAGCTGTTTATGGTGAAGTTAATATTGCCCGGCATATCACACGTGCAGCTCAAGTGTTTTGTCCACCTATTTGTTCAATTTATCCAGAGAACGATCCTGATCAGGCTGCAACTGTAAAAGATATCGATGATACTTTGAACGAGATACAAAAATTTCTCTTCACCCGAAGCCTTCAAGATAAACAAGCAAGACCCCAGATACCTGAGATCAAAGACAGAAGGCTCAAAGACAATAACGATTTAGACGTGAAATTTACTCTGGATTACATTCTTTTGCTTTCACTCAAATTATAGCCAATTGCAACTCATACTTCTAACAGAATTATATTAAACGACTGTCATTATTTATATGAATAATTGGAAACATGAAAATTTCAGTCAATAAAAAGCTCGATGATAGTTAACTCTCAATAATCACTCATTTTATTCAGGCTTTCACAAACTGGAATAAAATTCACAATGTAAAGCATGTTTAGAAGCAAGCATTAAAGAAACGTTGATTCGTGTAAACAAGAGATGATTTTATTATTCATATTGGTTTGAATGTATCGTGATAAAATATAACATGAGTTTCTTGAGGCTAGTATTTATATATTAAAAATGAAAATATAAATTTGTTTGTTTATGATCTAATTACAGTGTTTGTTTCATGATTTCGTCGATTCGTCACTTTTTTACATTAAAAGGGTTTTTTTAAAATAACTTGAGTTAACGGACAATTGCGGTTGTTTAGATGTATTTTAATAATAGGTAACGCCAACAGGTGCACTAGCATAAGGTTCGTGATCACCGTAACCAGATGAATGACCATAAGATGGGGCAGCATATTGATGGCCTGATGAACCATAAGTACCAAGAATGTGACCATAACGTCCATGGCCTTGGTTTCCGTACTTATCATGGTTGCCATACTTGTTGTGGCCATAATTATTGTGAGAAGCGAGACCTTAATCAAAAGAATAAGAAATATCTTTAGAAATCCAATTTTCCTAAACTCAAGATTCTTCATAAAATCAGTTGCAAGCATATTAAATTGTCTCACCATGATGTCCATGGTTATTGTGATGACCCCAGTTAGATCCATGGTCACCCCAACCGCCATTGTGAGCTTTCTTAGCGTATTCCTTGTCATAAGCCCATTGTTTCTCGTAACCGTAACCTCGGTTTCTGTTTGGATGAAAAAAAGTGATTTATTATTGAAATTTTTCATGAAAATCCGATTTATAAAAGAGTTGAGTAAACACAAAAATTGAATCATATTAATAAATGTTAAAATGTTTGCCATTTTGTTGTGACATTGAAACAATTTAACACAAAATTAAGTGAATCAAGAAAATAATTCCCTTTTTTCCAGGTCAAAAGCTGTTAATTTGAATGAATTTGGTTTAATGAATGCACCAAAATTGCTCAGTGGTCATGAAAAGTATCTGACCTGAACAAGGTAATTAACACATTTTGTTCATTCAACACTAACCTTGAGTAAAGTCCATAATCTTGATTATGTCCATGGCTACCATGTTGACCACCATAGCCAGCATTTGAGCCCCAACCGCCATACTTTTTCAATCCATTTGATCCCCAGCCATTGTCACCATAAGCATCATGACTTCCTGTAATCAGTTGAACATGAGATGTAAGTTGAACCAAAGAAAAGTATTAAATCATTTACTAACCATAAGCACCATGACCATGGTCACCCCATGATGAAGCATGTTTACCATAATCATCATGGCTACTTGATGATGGATATCCATAGCTTGATGAATAAGCTGCTTCAGCAACGACAAGATCTTTAGTTTCAGCAGCAAAGCTCAATGAAACAGATGATAAAACAGTTAACACAATCTGAAGAGGGAACAGAATAAAAAAAGAGAAACATTTTTAATCCTTTTTTCATTTCTTTTCATGGGTTTGATGAAAACAGCAACTCTGGTCAATTCACTTTCCCTTCATTGAACTGGTTAACAAAAGTTAAACTTACCAAGAACTTCATTTTCAAGATTACTTTAAAACTTTTGGAAAAGGATAAAATGTTGAACAAAATGTATCGAAGGGTTGAAATGAGCAAAACAGTTGAATACACTGGCACTAGTTCGTTGAAATGACAAGCCAACCAATGAGCAATGTTGATGAGCTTCAGTCACTTTTTATACCAACAGTGAAAACTTTTTTCCACCAAATTAATTCATGTCCATGAACCTCCCTCTTTATCCTATTCTGGCCTCACTTGAGTCCCGTCAAAGTCAACAAGGGAGTTACAATGTGCTTATAGACGTTATTAGATGACAACAGTTTACTGAGCGATTCTCAATTAGCCAGCCCACTTTTGACCTTTATATCGACAGTAAACTTTCCTTGTTGCTTTCATGGAAAGTAACAAGAGAAACAAAAGTCGAAAGAGAAAACTTTTTCGTCAAAATTGGTTCTTTTTTTTACATGTTGACTGGTCACTTTCACTTTCTATTGTTTCCACTATTACAACACTCTTGTCCATTAAGATTACCGTTCTTGTTACACTTTTGCATTTTGATCCATTTTTAGTGCAAAATGTCTTTCTTTCTTTCTCTTCTTCGTCTTCACACATTTTCACTTTATCATCATTAAAGACCAGTTAAACTGTCCAGTTAAGAGTTACCACTTACGCGATTCAAATTTACACGTTAATTGCCCTGGTCTAGGCCTTGAATGGACTTACTTGTACGTGAGAAAGTTTACAATAAACATTTGATCTACTTTCACTTTTTTTTTACTTTTGGTCAGCCTTTATTGCCATTAGTGTTTCATGAAACAAAAGTCAAGTGACCATCACCATGATGAATAATCAGTACCATTTAAAAGACAACAAATCTCTTTACACTTCCGTTCATCTGAATACTTTGATTGTAGTTTTTTTTGTATTAATAAATATATCATTTCAAAATTTCCAATAACTATAATTTATCTTACCAATTAGTTGTGTAGGTCGCCTCAACTCAAAAGAAACGCTTGTTGAACAGATTTTCCTAAATTTTTACATTCTATCGACCATAATATTCCGATCTCATATCAACAGACAATGACTTGGAGCATCTAAAATCACAGCTTGATCAAAAGCTCAATATTTGATTTGATGCTACCGATGTGCAAGTGATTTCAATGTGAAAGGCTATTTCAAAAAATAACCAAAATTAGCTAAAATGCTGGAAATTTGTCTTCTAATGTAAATCAGTTTTAACTGATTTTTTCATTAAAACTAAATATGTTTATACAAATTTTATTTCAGTCTAAGATTGGGAAAATTATTGACAGAAATTGAATTTTAAAATGATCAATTTGTTATCAAAATAATAATGTAAAGTAACCAGCCGATGAGGCTTTCCCTTAAATAACCAGAATTTGCAATAAAATGAATTTATCATCGTTATAATTTAATTGTTTCATTTCCCGTTGTTTCATACCAAATAATTATGGACGACTTTGAATAAAACCTTTGTAATTGGGAAAAATGGCTTTTTTGGTTAAATGTTTTTACCTGGTTTTTACTGGTAAATGCAGAAAGATTACTCTCGCAATTGTTTCCAGTTTTCAGAGTTAACCATTAACAATCAAGAGGCTAAAACTCATTTAATGATTATCATGCTAAACCATAAGGCAATTGTTTAATTTATTTTATAACATTAATCAACCTCATATCGACAACACTAATTTAAATTGTTTGACCAACAACAACCATTGTCCTTCAAAAAGCGCTTTTCAGATCATTTTTTTTCTTCATTCTTTTTTTTCTCTCTCTAACCTAACATTACTTGATTATCGCCATTTTCATTGTCTATTTTGATTGTTAATTGTGATCATATTAATAATATCATGATGATAACTTGATCTTTCACCTTCAAAATGTGATATTAAACTGTGCCTTGAATTGTGTGTGTTTTTTTTTGGTTTCACCGATTGTAACAAAAATTGTGAGTAAACTTGTTTGTTCCTTGAACTTTGATTAAATTGTGCGATGAGCAGCTAATTATTCAACGACTAGGCTATAAAAATGATGTTAATTGTAATAATTAAAGTAGATGTTTACTGAATAGGTTAAGGTGACAATTGAGATGAACAGTGAAAAATAAAAGTATAACCATTTAACTGTCCATCCTTGCAACTGAATCTTTCCTTCTCATGGTTTGTCTTGTGTATTGCCATTATAATTATTTAATTATTACATTAAAGTGTTCATTAAATTATCCTGGAAACTCTTTCATGTTTTAATAAACAATTTATCAATCAAGTGTTGTCAGCTTTTAATATTTAAACCTGAAACGCCAAACTGTTTTCATTTAGACACTTTAACCAAATTTATTAACATTTGTTCAATCTGCACAATTAACCATCCAATTCCCATCATGAGAATCATTTTCAAACAATTAAACCTCTTAACCATTTCATCGCTGTAATAATTCATCAGTAATTTACCTTAAATCCCAATCAATCAAAGTTATAAGTGACCAGAAGAAGCAAATGATTTTTGGATGGAAGCAGAAAAGATGATTCAGATTCTCTTCTCTTTCCACTTTCTCTTCTTAATCACAATTTTAATCATGCAATTATTGCAGTCTAACAATTTCAAGATCAAATGGGAAATCATCAACTCTGACCCTGATAGCCTTGATTGTAACATTCAAGTGTAACGCTTGTTTTACCCTCAACAGCGATCAAAAATGGAAACCCAAATTTTTCCCAAACTTACCTAATCGTTAGACAAGATTTAAAATTTCAAATTTCCAATGAAACTCTAAATTCTGGATAAAACCAAAAACCCAACTAGACTTGAAGGCTTCAGCTTCAGACTCTTACAGCAATGAATCAAATGCAATTGAATCTGTCAAAATATACTTTACTTCAAAGCAAACCTAGTAAGTTGAAGCAAATTATTGGCCCAATAAATGACCCTTGACTTTAATGTTGAATTTATTTCCTTCATTTCATTTTTGAATAAACATTTCGCATTCAATATTGAAACTTGAAGCTTAATCTCGATCTGGGAACCTTTTATTAAGGTTATTTGGATTAAAAGTAATCACTTGAAATAGATTAAAGGTTTATCTCTGTGAATCTATTCAGTCGCGAATTGATCTTAATCAATAAATCTTGAACAATACTTTAATTTTTTACTCAATTTCAAGTTGATCTTCTTTACTCACTCTTGGAAACCCCTTTAAAAAAGGTCACTCAATTATCATCTTGACTAAAGTGAATTTGAAATTAAAATTCATTATCAGGTCATTTGTTGACATTTTAAAGGTTGTCAATGAATCTAAATGGTCAACAATCAACTTTCACCTGAATTTGTATTGTGCGAAACCATTAGAATCCTCATCTTTATCAATTAATTTAGTTTGTTCAAGTTGAACAAAATGCAAACCCATTTACTTTGATCATTCATTTAATGAACATTTTTGAAGGACAATCATTTGTAACAATCAACTTTATTGTATCATTAATCACAAGTAAAGTAATAGAACAAGTTGAAGAAGAAGAAAAGTACAAAAAAAATAACTTTTCATGAAAATTTGATTCCAAAGTGCTCTTGTCAATCAATGGGTTAAACATTAATATGTACAATGAACAAATCTTACAATTGGTGATCACTTAATGATCATTAAATTGTCTCATGAACATTGATTTACCATTTGATACTGATTCAACTTGATTTTGTAAATAAAATTTACACTTTTCAAAAGCAAAATCAAAAGTAAAATCAAAAGTCAAGTCAAAAGTCAAGTCAAAAATTGCAATCTAAAAATGAAATGACTGACCATTGATTAGTCCAAGTTAATTAAAGTCACTTTCAAATTGGTTCCATATTGTTCAATGAGAAACATGAAAAAGAGTTGAGAAAAAATTGTTGATTGGAGATTTTTTTCATCGTTTTGGTTGAATAGATTTAATCAAAATTATTATTGACCAAGCAAATTTGCTTGACCTTTAAAATTACCGATTGAACAACTAACCTTGAAAAAAGGTAACTTTGTCTGTAAATGCAATTGAAATTGTATCAATAAATATCAATAAATGGTTCAATTGGGTTCGCTATGAGATTTATATTGGGATACAATTTTGGTTATCAGTTGGTCAAATTGATACGTTAATTAAGGTTGGAATCAAGATCAAGGTAACATTGTTTTCAACGTTAATTCATTGAGATTAACTTCCATTGATGTTGATTCAGATGAAATGGACATTTTGGTTAAATAACGTTTAACCTGCAAATAACAATAGAAGTGGATAAATGTTGATCATCGTAATAATAATCAAGATGATAAAGATAATTAAGAGCCAAATAACGTTTTTCATTTTCTTTCTTCGTCTTTAATCTATTTTGTTCAGCGTTTTTTTCCTCATTTTCATGGACTCAGATTTCAATCTGACTAAATGAGTTAATCAATTGAAATCAAGTCATGTCTTTACAATTAAGATAACAATGATTTAAACCTTTCTATTAATATTTATCTGATTCAAGAAATGATTTGATTCATTTAAAATGAGCTTCTCTTTTTTTTGCTGTTGAATTTTTAAATTGTTTTTCTACTCATTTCTCAATTCAATTAGCTTCAACCAATTGGATCATTAAGTTGCTTAAGATTGTGTTAATGATCATATATTATGATTATATATTTGATTGTCGGTTAATTGTTTCTAAATATTGTTATCCTTGATTTTAAGTAAGAGAAACCTTTTAACAGGATTATTTACTCCAAGATGCTAATTGTGACAATTTAAAACATGAAAAATTGAATACAATTTTGCAAAAATGAATTATAATTTAATGATGAATGGCGAAGAAAATTAAATATTTAAACTTTTATATAACAGTATCCATTCTTGGTTAATATGACACAGATTTTCTTATCAGAATTGACTATTCTGAAAATGGAAGACAGTAAAGAGCCATCCATTCGTTTAAACACCGAGATAAATTTGTCACTCATATCCATATTAATGTAGTCGTAATAAATTCTGACATCAATTTCATGTAGCTCGAAAAAGGTACTTAAAGATACAACAGGAGTTTGCCAGTTGATCCTATTGTCCAACACGCGATCAGCAAAAATTAATCCATTCTTTAATTTAAGGTTGACTAATTTCATTGTGGCCCTAGCATCTTCAACTGAACAATGACCACGTTTTCCTTGTTGAATTTTTTCTTCCAAAAAAATGGACGATAATGTTTTCAGTCCAGGCTTCGATCCGCGAGATCCAGATAAATTATAAATAACGCTTGTATCAATACAATAGGGATGGAATGTTTTCAGAGCTTTCAGATCATTCTGCAAAGATTGGCCACATAAAATTGCATCGCGTGGAATTATTTTCTTTAAAATTTTTTTAACATCGGATAAGGTTATGTCTACTGGGTCCAGCATTTCTTTCGTGATCCCACTGAAACGGGTTATATAGTCCTTTATGGGAACTTCTGGTTTCACAAGAGTATCCAAAACCAAGTTATAATTTTCATCGACTATGCTGACTCGAGTCAAAACACTTTCGTTTCCTTCGGCTAAACACATTTCACAATCTATAGCGAATAATGGCGAGTTTTCTGTCACGGGTAGATATCTTTTTCGTATTGTATGGCGAATGTCGCTTAGTGGTTTAGGAAATTGATAGCATTCTTCTAGCATTTGACCAGGAGATAGCAACAAATCCAATTTTGTAAATTTTTTACTCTTGCTGTTCAGTTCTTCGTTTTCACTTTCAATTTTCCTGGTATTTTGTGTTTTGATTTTCATAGTGCCATCTGGATGTCGAAGTTTCGCGGTTTGATTCTTGGATAAATTAATGGTCAATAGATAGTCCAACCAATCAGGATATATATCAAACTGTAAAATTAATAAAAATCTAGGTAAGGACATTGAAAAATATTAATGAACGAAAGTGGAACATACCCTGACAATGTCGTCAAATGTAGTAGAAAATTTTGAATGAAGCTCATCAGCATCAAAGTCTAACAGGAAAACAGCAGCCTTCTCAGCTTTCAACACTCGCTGTAATATAAACCATTCTGGTTTAAAATTAAGTTTTGGCGCGGGAAGGAAGCAACTTAGGATTAATTGTTGCATGTCGCCCAGAGTTAAAAATTGTTGCTCTCGATTCTTCAGATCGTGAGCTCCTTTAGCGTTGAAGCCTTTCATGAGTAAAATGAATTTAGGCTTTAATTTATTCAATTTTTGTTGTTCTCTCCTCTTTTCTTTGTCAATGATTTCCATCTGATTATCCATCTGATGTTATTAGGTAAAATTAGTCCACAATCAGGAATTCAAATCACTCAAAATCAAGAGTAAGACCACGACTGATAGGTTTGATTTTGATAACGTTAAACTGTAGACAAAATCAGCTGGTGATGCAATGAAATAACGAGCAATAGCAAAAGAGACAGACTAAAATTAGAAAGATCTATTCGAAGTTTGTTCGAGAAATCGACTCAAAGATTGAGAAAAAATAAAAAAAATATAGCAATCATACTTACATACTTACAATTATACTTAATCCCTTAAACACTGATCCGATTAACAATTACAGTCACCTACCAGAAACTGCACTTAATTTTTTTCAACGGTCCCTTTTGTTTCATTGTTTACATTTTGTTTATAATGTACCACATGTAATGTAAAATGGCGAGAAGAAATTTGTCAATCAAAGAAAGATTGAAATAATTGAAAATAAAGAAAACAATTATTGTGAAGTTGAAGAGCTTGATTGAGAAAAAATAAAACAAATTATAGCAATTTACTTACTTAATCACTTAAACACTGATCCGATTAACAATTATGTAAACAATACTGTGTAAAGTAAGAAAGCAATTGGATAAAATTATATAGAGACATCTATCCTTCTCCTTTAAAACTAATCTTGTACGGCTTTTTACTGCAAACTTTTACATAGAGCTAGCAAGGTAAAACTTGTATTTTAAAGGTTAGTCATAATCCAACAAGTTTGACGGATTAAAATTTAAAAAATTTTGTTCTTTAAATTTTGCGAGGAGGTGAGTTACAACAGATTTCCAAAAATGTGCTAAATTTTTATTAATTTTCATCTTCTGTGGGTCAAAAGGTAAACAAAATATCCAATATATTATTAATATTAGACGTTCAACTCTATCAATGGCCAACGATGACCATTATCCAGTGTCATAACAAAGACTTCTCAATAACTGAGTAATATCAGTCCGAGTATTATATTATTTATCCTGCATCAAATTGTGATCCGATGATAGATGGATGATGAAACGACGTTTTAAAAACGTCTATCTGATTGAGTTTGCTCTCAATGAAGGGTACAATTTTTTCTTCTCTTCTAGTCTATGTAATTCTGACAAAGATGAAGCCACAGCTAGTCGGAGCTGGTTAAATTTGGTCAAACTACAATCAAATCTTAATTTTTCGCCAGAGTCGGTATGAATTTCAAATATAATCAATGGCTCCAAAACCTTTGACAAAGAACTACTGGAAATTACAACATCGATTCGCCATTTAATAGATGTACAAGTTGGTAACTTGGGTCCATAAGGAATAGTAGCAGTCATTTTAGCAGAATCAATCTCGTTTTGAATTATTTGGCTCAATTTTGATGGAATCCTGAAATAAAAAAAATATTAAATCAATTTGCGAATAAGAAAAAACAATCCAAGTGTTTCGGATACAAACCATAATCACCATAAACTTACCTCAACTCTTCAGTCAAAATGTCAGTTAAACTTATTTGTCGATTCGTTGAGCGATATCGCATACAATTTCTGACCAAAATTACCAGATTCTGGACTAATAACTTGGATTCAGTATTTTGGAGATTTAATTCTGAAAGGACAGGAAGGTTTTCATCCAGAGGAGACCCAGCGCAAAGGTAGTCAATAACAGCTGTTAAGAAAAATAGAGATGAAAGGAAAATTAATAATTACGAAAAAATGTTATAATATGAACAACTATAGGATGTGAGCAGAGGACTGAGAATTCCTTTAATGATTTAAGAATTACATCTCTTTTATTAGCGACTAGTAATATGGGCGTAGCAAAGATATTTGTAAACAAGTGATCTTTACCTTTGATTAATTGTTGAAATGAAGATTGGGATAACTGTTGAGCTGATTTTAATGAATTTCTTACACATTTAGCTGTTTCACGGTTTCTTAGCAAAGGTAAATCAAAATTAGACATGTTTGCTTTTAATGGAACCTGTCTAAAAGATATTTACCAAACAAAAAGTAAACAATTTGAACTGCTGTTCAATAAATATCCAACTGCTTGTCAAAGTATTGCGATTGATCGATCTAACAATCGATACAATTCTTAAATTTGATTTACAATTAGATTAATTTCTCAGCTCCGGAATTGCATAGATAAATCATATATTTTCGATTGATTATTTCAACCACTAGTCTAAAAATTTTATGATTTTAAAGATTATTACAACTTTCAACATTCGCAAACAAATGAGTGCCAAAAAAATAGCCTCAGATCAGATCTAAAATTGATTGGTTGACTGGATTTTGAGATTGACAAGCACATAATTATTCATTCGTTCCCAGAATAATGCGTGAAATCACACGAAAAATTTTCTATGCTGTGTCAACAAAAATGGCTGTGAATACCTCCAGAGATGTTAGAGAATTAACAGTTGTCAGTTTCACTCTTATGAGACTTTTTTGTCCCATATGTTGTTGTCCTTAGTTTATGAGGCCATTAGTCCTTAGCGAAAGTTACGATGGCAATTAATCATTATTCAGACGCCAAAATGCGATAATCCGACCGATAAATAAGAATAACGTGAGATAATAAACGTATTTAAACATCCATTGCATTAAAAATTTAGTAAACATTACATATTTTTGAAATTAAAAAAAGAACCACTTCAAAGACATGAAAATGATGAACCTAAGCAAATTATTGAATTGTATATTTACTTTTTTACTTTCGAATGATTATTTCAGATTCTTGTAATTATTTTGAGTCTCAGTTTTACGATGAAACTGATTGTGGTTTTGAAGATGGTCGTATTTTCAGGTCAAATTTTACAATACAAAAAATTTTCTTTTCATTGATGGCCTCTGCACTGGTGAGATTTACACAAACTTGGATATAACAAAGATGATATCTCCAATATGATGAGTGATTTGGTTAAATTTACACGTTCGAACTTTTATTTTTAGTGGTTACAGGCGAAGGCGGTGAAGCGTTTTTATCATCTGGTTCATCGGATTCATCTAAATATGCTCGTCGAGCGATAAGGCTAAATAACAAAATGAAAGAAAAAACATGAATTTTTTGAATTGTGTGTTTGAGTGATAATAGGATGACAGAAGAGGAACAATAAGATCTGACAAATAGCGAAAACATTTTCAATACATTCACTGCTCTATTTAATGTGTGTTCAATACGTACTATAATTTGGCGAATATTAACAACTAAACTATTATTTTAAGATTAATGATGATTTGTAAATTGACAATGAAAAGAGTCAAATTTTGATCAAATAAAAAAAAGAAAAGGTAAAAAATATTCTTACTAATTTTTATACAAAATTACTTTTTAAATAACCCTTTCAATAGCAAGAAAGTTTATAGTTTTAAATTGCGAAACCTTTTGCATCCGCAAGCAATCTGTAACAAACAGACCGCAGATAAAATGATTCAAAACCAATTGCGGAATGAAGAGAGGAGATGTAAACAAATTAAAGTAAAAAACATTATTTGAAAAGATGTGTCATGAATACCAATAAGAACACTTATCAAGTCAAGATTAACTGATTTATATTATAAAAATATATAACTGAAATAAAAGCTGCTGCATGGTCATCGATGAAATGAAAGGAGGTACAAAAGGCATTGACATTTATCGACTTACCTAGGCATAACAGGCCCACAAATAACATCACAACAATTGGCTATAATACTGCCTTTTGAGTAAGGGTTTTTGATGCCAGATCCTTTTTTGTAAGAAAAAGAGCCTTTAATATCTTCATTGGTAGTTTGATTAGAGCTAGCCAAGTAAGTATGGAAACCAGCAAGACCAAGAATCGACCAAACAGATAGGAAACATACTACTCCTTCATAAACACTGAATGGTGATTTTTTGACCGCTTCCAAGAAATTGTCATTCTTTGCCACTGTCAAATAAAAAAGATAAGGATTAATTAATGAATTTAGGGATCCGATTTGAAATATTGAACTTACATAAAATGATATGGACTATGACACAAGCGAAAACAAAAACTATAAGAGATGCCAAGGAAACAATGAACATGTAAAAATATCGATAGTTCCTTTTACCAACACAGTTACCAACCCACGGGCAGTGATGATCAAACCGTTCTAAAATAAGGAAAAAGAATAAATTAAAATAATTGTTAAAAGGACGAAGGGATAGTTTTAAAAATGCCAAGCTCAATGCAAGCTTGAACTTGACAAAAAAAAAATAATAGATTTAAAATGATTGATTTTTCTTCTAGTTTCAGCTCTGTCATTGTATGCAGCTTTAAGCAACTCGAAAAGATTGAATGTTAATTTTCATATGCTAATTTTAAAACATATCTGCCAGCCAACAATCTATAAGAAAATTTAATGGAGGATGAGAAACTTACCAACACAGTTGTCACATAAACTACAATGAGATGCTCTTGGCGGTCTAAAGATTTTACAAGTGAAACAATACTTCAACTTAATCAGCTGATTGTTTATACTGACTTCTTTCGTCCTAGGAGGAGGGCGATTTGGTAATTCTAAATAAAATAATGAAAGAATGTTAATACATGAAAAGGCAATGATCCAGCTAAAAAATACCTATTTGTTTCTCGATATAAGCAGCCTCTTCAGCTGAGGCTCTTGGGATAACACCAGGATCACTGAAACTGGTTCTTAATAAGGTAGAGAGGACAAATATAAACAATAGTCCTCCAACTACTGGAATGACTGGACTAATTTCTCGTGCCAGGAAAGGACAGCTAAATAGATGAAGAGAAAGAGCAAAATATAAATTAATTGAATGTTCAGGCAAACGTGGATGAGGACTAAAAATAAGAAACATACTCGAAGATAAAGAAAAGTGTACATGTTGACACAAGAACTAGAATTGTAAAACAGAAGATTCCCATTTCTTTAGCCATCATAATTTTACCATCACAGAAAAACCTATTGCGTCCGGGAAATATTTGCCATCTTTTTTTTCTCTTGTGTCCACTTTTTTTTCCATAGCTAGAAGTTCCTTCCCTCATTTTACGGTCTTCGTAGTCACGAGAAAAATGGGTTGAGTGAAGGCCGATAGTGCCTGAAGATATTGTTGGATAATTTGTTGATGTATCTCTAACACCGCTTCCAACTCCACCACCACTGGAGCAAACCCGAGAGGAATAATTATGTGAATGATGAGGTTGTTGAGTTGACTGAGGTTGTTGTGGTTGATACCTATTAGGTCCGTAGGGATGTGCTGGGATTTGCCCCGGATTAGATAGTTGATGATGGAATTCTTGTGGGTGAAGGTAATGTAATTGATGAGGATAATTGTACGATTTATGAGGTTCTCTTAATGAGTTCAGACCATAGAAAGCGGTGGATGGTCCACCAGGATTGACTGATGAAGATGAGTGATGATGAGAATGATGATGCGAATGATGATGGCCACCAGTTCCTTGACTGCCACAACCGCCACCTCCACCATCACCAGCACCGTTAGTGCCAGTTGGACCAGTTGAGTATGATGATGAACAAGGGTATGTCGGGGAAGGGTATGGATAAGCGTATGAACCAAAAGGCCCGATCAAATGACTACGATAATGGCTGCTGTATTGAGTAGGCCGGTTACTGTGGTTCCGATGGCTTCGATGGTCTTTATCTATCACAGATCCGCTATTATCATTGGCAATGTTCATGGTTAACCCCAATCAATGCTAGGGCGTATATCACTTTACAGCCTGGACAAAATGAAAATAAAGAAGGCATGATTTCACAGCTTAGAAACATTGACTCAGATAAGAGACACTTAAAGGAAATTTAATGTTTACAATGGAAATGGTAATTAGGACGGGCAAGATTCAGTAAAACAAAGATAATTTCAAAGATAGACGTATGGATATAGTGAGAATTTGGTTTAATATTTATCAAATATCAACACAAATCACTGTAAACAAGGTAACCTGAAAAACACAGAGAAAGGAAGAGAAAACCAGAAAGATAAGGAGGAGGGATAGAAAGATAAGCAAGGAGAGAAATGGCATAGAAATGAATGGGGAAAATGGTCACAGTAATGAGAAATTACCTCAATGAAATAAGCTCATTGTTGGCGTATTAATCAGAATGGTGTTGGTCATGAAAGCATAATGATCCAAATAGCCAAATTTGTTGAATCAAACTAGTAGATCACAACAACTGCTAAGCCAAAGAAGATGAAAAATGATGACTTCAAGCGAGATGTCTCAATATGAAATCTAAAGACGCAAAGACCAAGCCTCTCTCTCTCTTTCTTTCACTCTTTAACAGAAGATACCTGTTTTTTCATCTTAATCTTTTTTTGTTTTTTACGATTCATAAACAATTTGATGAATCAATAATTCCAACAATAAACATCAAAAATCTATCAAAACAGCAACTGTCTTATTCCAATTTCATCCTAAAGCAAGTCAGGTACCACAGATTTATCATACCTGCAATTATTGCATAAAATTACTTCGATCTTGCCAGGATTCGAACCTGGAATCTCCTGATCCGTAGTCAGGCGCCTTATCCATTGGGCCACAAGATCAAGTCTTGGGGGTAAAGCCCAATGGGCCAACAATTAAAGACATGATGGTCCAAAAGTCGCGTGGAGGCCAAATGAACTCAGAACTCCAGGTGATGTAATGGCCAGTTTTCACGCATTTATGCCAAAAGCCATCGCATTGAAGTGCACTTGAAGGCAACTGGGTAGATCAACTCTGGCCATACTAAAAGAAAGAAAAAACAGAGAAATAATTAATCGTTAGACACGACAAATTATTTAAATACCTCAATTTGCCCGACTTCTTTATGTATCCAAAAATGAATAACAAAATCAGTTGTAAACATTAAAATTATTGCAATAACAAAATGAACTTTTCAGTAAAATGGAAAACGATGTTATCGAAACGCAGTGAGAGAAAAGAATGAAGAATACGAGAAAAAGCAACTTCTAAAAGATTCAGTAAATCCATGGCTAGTTATCATCAGAATGATAGACAGAAAGAGTCTTGCCGACGACAACGAGCAGAGTTACTGGATTGAAAATTATCTCTTCATGAAAGACTGTGAAATGATAATGAATCCAAAAATCATGGAGTAGACTCGGTCCCTGTGAACTCGCCAATTTAAGCTTTAAAACAAACAGAGAGTCCAATCCTTTTACAACTTTAACTCAAGCTACTAATCCAATTATTATTTTTCAAATTTTTTCTAACAATTGACCGGGACTTTCACACTATTTTGACAAAAAAAGACAAAAACTGTTTTCATCAAAAAACTAGAATTTACCAAAATCAAAATGGACAGAGGTATTCGCAAAAAATTTCAATTCGAATTAAGAGTTATAACTTTGTAGGTTTGTAGGTGCATGCAAACTGAGTCCAATAGTGCTATTTAAAATTTCTCTGATCAACAGTTTTCGAGAAAATCGAGGTCGCAGGTTTAATAGATCTAACGCATCTATGCCAAAAGTCATTGCATTAAAGTGCACTTGAAGGCAACTGGGTCGATCAACTTAATCCATACTAAAGAAATGACAAAACTAAGAAATAATTAGTCGTTAGACACGCCAAATTATGTAAATATCTCTATTGACATAATAAAAAAGATCTGGACGAGAGGTTGACTTTTACCTGTTTTGAAAAAGTGATTTTGCCTGTCTTTTACTATGTTAAAAATTTCTCTTCTATTTCTGCATACGGTACTTTATGTTTCCTTCCTTCATATTTATTTTCTTGATTGGTCAACCAATCTTTAAAATGAGCGAAACAACCAGATTGAGTGAATTAAAAGGACATCACAGATTTCTGTTGTATCACTAGTTGAGATGGATTATGATTATAAACTTGACCATAAACTGGTTTATTAAAAAACTTTGTTTTGCCATTGAATACATAATGTAAAGGGTAGAATGCAAAAGGAATTGATGCAAGACAAGAGCGAGTTTAAACCAATATTACTGCATTTTTATTTCACATCAATATTAACTATGTGCTGAACATTACAAAATATTCAAATGACGTTCCATAACAAGATGAGGAGTACCCATAAGTTCTTTATCCGACAGAAATTCTGGAAAAATCAAATAAAAATAAACAAACAATTAATTATATTGTAAAAATGTCTGAAGTTGTTCAATTCACTTACCATTATACATGTCTTCGGGGCCAAAGTTCATATCTTGGCCTTTTAAAGTTTCAAGCATAGCATTTGAGCTTGAAAGAAAAGGTAAATGTCCGACTTGGGAAGCTGCTTTCCTTTCCATCATCAATTTCAATGGAGCCTGGACACCTTGATTTGATTGAAGAATAGAATAACTCAGTTGTTCTCTATTTTTCTCATACTATAATAAAACAAGAAAATATTGATTAGGTCAAACAATTAGAGTATATCTTCAAGTACTTACCGAGGCTTCAGAGGCCATTAATGGATGTTTCGATATTTTAGCTTGTGAATCATTTTCAAATCTAGAGTGAAAAAAACATCAAAAATGAATAAAATACATTTTGGTTATTATAACAAACTTACCCATCTAAAATCAAATTTCTTTCAGGATTGATTAAACGTGTACTATTCCCAGATTTAGAAGATGAAGCCATGGTTGACAATTAATTCTATCAAAGAAAATCAAAGTATAATTAATCAAAAGAAGCACAAGTTGAAATAATAACCGGACTGACTCAACAAATTCAAAAAAACATACGAAATACAGCAATTTCTCTAACAATAGCCCTCTTGTGTCTATTTTAACAGAAACTAACTTATTTTCACAGTTTGAATGAAAATTATTTTTTCGGTTTCAAATTCAATCAAACTCATGTTATAAATATTTCAGAGTTTTACAGATTATTATTTTCCACATATTTAACTATACGCTATCTAATAAGAAAGAAAAATGCTTGATCTAACCGTATTGCTATTTTAATTGTATATAATAAAATACAATACATCGTAAGATCGTGTAAGATAATTTTTTAGTGTTTTATTTTTTAATGTCCATATTAGTATTATATTACTGTTAGATTGTTATACCATTGACATGTCTTCGTGTTCAAATTTTAAATCTTGACCGTTTAAAGTTTCAAGCATAGCATTTGAGGTAGTAAGAAATGGTAAATGTCCAACGTTGGAAGCAGCTTTCCATTCCATCATCAATCTCTACTCTTCTCATGCTCTAATAATAAAACGAGAAAGTATTGATTAGGTCAAACAACTTGAGTATATCTTTTAATACTTACCGAGGCTTCAGAGGCCATCAATGGATGTTTCGATATTTTAGCTTGTGAATCATTTTCAAATCTAGAATGAGATAAAAAACAACAGAAATGAATAGAATTTGGTTATTACAGAAACATTATGTAACAAACTTACCTGTCTAGAATCAAATTATTTCAGCGATTGATTAAACGTCCTCTATTTTCAGATTCAGAAGATGAAGCCATGGTGGACAGTCAATGGATTTATTGGAATAATAATAGAATAAACGAGAATATACTTTTTAGTCAGGACATAACTCAATGCTATTTCATCACATATAGCAACTGATCTTACGAATGATCATAATTAATCAACAATGAAATCACTTATTGAAAAACAAATAAACCTTTTTTAATTTTCAAAATGCACATTCTTGAAAATAATAGTTCAAATTATGCCGCACTTCGTTGTCTTGACAGCATCACTACTCCGAGAGCTTTATGTTTTTTGTTCAATCACAGATTTAAATTGTTAAATTGATTTTAATACATGAATCTTGTTAAATCCAAACGAAAAATAATTAGTAATAAACTATACTGATTATGATTTAAAACAATAAAAATTAATTTTTTAATGGGTTCAGCTAATAAAATAATCTAATTGTACATACTGTTCTCCTTGTATCTCTGAAGCTGTGTATAAAGCGAGTCAAAACTTGGTCTAACTAAGCTCTGGTCTCCCTTCAGTTAACGTATTAATCTTTCGCCTTTTACTAAAGATTACCGTGGAGGGTGACACACAATATGAGCCTTTAGCGAATTTTTGCACCCCCCTCTGGGGGGTTATTATTAATCCAAAAACAGAAGCACACCCAATCATGAGTAAGGGTTAAACGAACCTCAATCAGCTCGTTTCTCTTAATCTTTGATTCAAAGTCTAACTTGGCTTTCAAAGATACGAGATTTCGCGGCTGACTTTATCCCTATTTCAGCTTAAATCAGTAACATGAGTAAACTAGATTAATTTGAACAAGTTAATTCCTAATTAATCTAATTAAGTACGATAATACTCATGAGCTTGAATTTCGACTCAGCAAGTTGACACTTTAAGAGGAATGAGCTGACGGTGTTTTTCCTGGTGTGTTCATTTATCCTTGCCATTCAATCTTTCAATTGATTTGTTGATAGCGGAGTAATCAATGAGAAGAATCTTGTTTGCAATTCTTACAGCAACTAGCGTAGCAATAGCTTATCTTGTCTATTCTTACAACCGATAGATTAGGGAATAACTTTGTGCTTGTGGTGTAAACCATGATAATTGTTTAGTTCATAGTCTACTCTTTTCAACATCATATCAGCCTTAAAACTTTTCCTGTTAATTAAGTGTAAGTAGTGTTTATTAAATTAAATAAATTTACATATTGTCCATCACCTTTGCATTGAGTGAGTTGCTCTTCAGTCATTTTGGTTACCATCCGCATTTTGGGTATCTCTATGTGTATACCAAGTTTCCTTTTTTGCAACTTCAATTAACATTTTTCTGTTGGTTTTCTTAATTCTATTCTTTTTCTTTGTTTTTTTCAGGATCACTTTCCATCTGTAATAATGAATATTGCTAGGTTGAATATATTAGGGACGTTGCGCCCTACTTTATCAAGACTTCCTGGTTCATACTACTCTTTTGGACGGCACTTTACATCTACAAGTGATGGTAAACAAATTGACCGATTTTCTCATTATGATCTCAATATTCTCCTGTTTTGATATCTATTTTTCCTTTTTCATGTATTTAAAGGGAACTACGTTACCTGTGATGTTAGAAATGGTGTTGCTGTTGTTAAATTTAGTGACCCAAAAGAAAAAGTCAATAGCCTTTCAGAAGGTCTAACCAGTGAAATGAAAGTTCATCTAGATCGACTTCTGACCGATTCAAGTATTATAGCGGGTGTCTTAATCTCTGGTAAACCCTCAAATTTCATTGTTGGAGCTGATATTGGCATGCTAGAAAAATGTAAATCAGCTGGTGAAGCCGAGACCCTTGCCCGAGGTAAGCCCATATTCCAATTTATTTTCTGCTATTTCCTTTGCATCTGTTGAACTCCCTCTCATATCTTGATCTTTCTTTTGAACTTAGGTGGCCAAGAAATGCTTTTACGACTCAGATCAAGCTCTAAACCCATCGTCGCTGCTATAATGGGCCAATGTCTTGGTGGTGGTTTAGAAGTAGCAATGAACTGTCACTACCGAATTGCAGTTAAAGATAAAAAGACTGTATTAGGCCTTCCTGAAGTTATGTTGGGCTTATTACCAGGAGCAACTGGAACTCAGCGTCTCCCTGCTTTGATAAGCCTTCCAGAGGCCTTAACAATGATGTTAACAGGAAAGCAAGTGCGTGCTGATAAAGCAAAGAAATTGGGTTTAGTCGATCTTACTGTAAATCCATTAGGTCCTGGTATAAAATCTCCTGAAAGTCTAACTTTAGAATACTTAGAAGAAGTTGCTGTTCAAATCGCTGAACAGTTAGCTAAAGGAAAATTAACTACCAATCGTACAAGACCTTTACCGGAGAGTAAGTGTTTGATTAAGATTTAATATCTTTCTATCTCTGTAATCTACAAATGCTCTTTTTCATTTAGGAATTCAAGCTCTACTTTTCAAAAATCAATGGGTTCGTGATAATCTTGTTTTTGCAAAAGCTAAGCAAGGAGTGATGAAGCAAACACAAGGACTTTACCCAGCTCCCCTTAAGATACTTGATGTTGTAAAAACTGGATTAGAAAGAGGTGAACAAGCTGGACTTGAAGCTGAAAGACGAGGTTTCGGTGAACTATCTCAAACCCCACACTCAAAATCTTTAATTGGTCTTTTTAGAGGTCAAACTCTCTGTAAAAAAAATAGATTTGGTAAACCAGCTAGAGAACCTAAAACAATAAGCGTACTCGGTGCAGGTTTAATGGGTGCAGGAATTGCTGCTGTATCATTAGATAAGGGATATGATGTTGTATTAAAAGATATGAATGCCAACGGATTAACCAGAGGTGATCAACAAATTCAAAAAATTTATGGTGGCTATCTTAAAAAGAAAAAGATCACTCAATCTGAAAAGGACGTTTATCTTTCACGACTAAACCCAACATTGAACTATGCTGACATAGCCAATTCAGATATTGTCATTGAAGCTGTATTTGAGGATATAAAAGTAAAACACGCCGTCGTCAAGGAAGTCGAGAAGTATGTTCGACCTGATTGTATATTTGCATCTAATACATCAGCGTTACCAATTGCACAAATCGCCGAAGCTTCTCAACGACCAGAAAACGTTGTAGGAATGCATTATTTTTCACCAGTTGATAAAATGCAACTTTTAGAGATTATTACCACAGACAAGACAAGCAAAGAAGCTGCTTCTCAAGCTGTTCAAGTCGGTTTAAAACAAGGAAAAGTCGTCATTGTTGTAAAAGATGGTCCAGGATTTTATACAACACGAATTCTCTCCTTCACCATGTCTGAGGCTTTCCGACTTCTTCAAGAAGGTGTTGAGCCAACTAAACTCGACAAATTATCTAAAGCCTATGGATGGCCTGTCGGAACTGCTACTCTTCTAGATGAAGTGGGTATGGATGTTGGTGCACATATTGGCGTTTACTTGGAAGGTATTTTCAAAGAACGAATCGCTGGTGGAACTCGTGAATTGGGAGATGCTATTATGGCCTCAGGCTTCTACGGTAAATATAATTAATTCATTAAATTATAGTTTTTATCAACAAATAGCCTATTCTGCATTATCCTATTATAGTATTTATTGGCCAAAGTTCATTTTCAATCAACCTCTTCAAGAGTACTCTTTAGGTGCGCTAGACTTTTTATCATGATTAAATAACAACCTTTGGATTGTTATTACATTTTATGTTGTTTATCAAAGATAGGGTAATTGCAATGTGATTTTAATAACTTTCACAATTGAAACAGCAAAAAACATCTAAAAATCGTCAATTGAACTTGAGTAATCTCTAGTTTCAGTCTAAACTATGCAATGACAAACTCTTAAGTTAGTCATGTAAAACATTGTCTTTGGTTTTATCAATTTTGTCAGTTATTCTTTGTATCTTTAGATAACCAGATTTGTATTTCCAAAGTCATCAGTTGATAATCACCCATGACAGAGTCAGTGTAATTTTACTTTTCCCATAGATTTTGATCTTTTATTTTTTGTTTATGGATCTTTTTAAATAATCAAGTTAATTCTTGACTCAAAGAAAAAACATTTAAGTTTTCACTTTTATCTCTCAGCAATATCCAAAGTGGTAGATAAAAGCTGTCGAAGCCTTCAAAATTGATGAACAACTTTCAAAGTTTTTAAATCAAGATCTAGTAAGGTAGTTCGGACAACTGCGTAATTTTTCGCTGGGTCAAAGACCAAACTTGAAGAATGACCATTGGTCAATATTAAGTTACACATTGACAACCTCTGCAAATAGAACCGGTTTATTAACTTTGATTTGCTTAGCATTTGATTTAATCTCTGATTATTTCTCTGTCAACTTGGATGATGAATTGTGAAAAATTATCTCGATTGGATCTTACCTTGACAAACAAGAATACCAGAGTTTGGTCTATTCGATCTATAACTTATATTTTTCTGCTAATCAATTAATTGTTGCACTTACTAACTTAAATTAAATACTATTCTAATTGCTATTCAGGTCGCAAAGCTGGTAAAGGATGGTACATCTATGACAATTCTGCTAAAAAAGGTTCACCTAGACAAATGAATCCTGAAGCCTTGGCGATTCTCAAGCGTCATTCACTCACGCCAAAATTAGAGTAAGTTGAAAATTGTCGTTATTTTTGACGAATTAAGTATTTACTTCTCTAATTGTTTTTCATTCTTTCTCTTCATTAGAAATACCGATGAACAAATTCAAATGAGACTAATTGTTCGTATGGTAAACGAAGCCATTCTGTGTTTACAAGAAGGTGTTCTTCATAATCCTGTGAGTTATTGAAATAAATGTTATTTCTTATTTATATAATATTTAATTACAAATTGCTAATTCATTTTTATCATATTTATCTTGCTGTGATTCTAGTTGGAAGGTGACGTCGGTGCCGTATTTGGACTTGGATTCCCTCCTTTCCATGGTGGACCATTCCGTTTCGTTGATCATTATGGAGCTGGACGACTTGTATCATTGATGGAAACATTCCAGAATGCTTATGGTCCTGAATTTGCTCCTTGTCAATTGTTACTTGATCACGCTAAAGACCCAACTCTTCGATTCCATAAATAATAAATTGTTTCACACTTTTTTCTACAATTAAATGAATATCATGAAGGTATTTTTATTATCTGTAAAAATTATTTACAACAATTAAACATTTAGTATTTAATTTAGATTTTAATAATTTCTTGTGAGTAACAAAAAACAGCAAACTGAAAAATTCAATCAACGTTTCAAAAGAGCAGGTGAGTTTATGATATTTTCATGAATCCAACGGATTGACCAAAGGATTCTTTTCATTTGAAGTGATTATGATTGCTCTGTTATTTTATTTCAATAAATTAAACGCAGAGTCGCAGCTATAAAAGTAATAAATGCTAAATTGCTTGAAATCAAAGGATAAATTGAAAAAAACTGTCTTCACTTTCATTTTCCACTGTTGGTTGAGTCAAGTTAATTACATAGTAGACATTCGGAAAAGAGAAAGTAAAATTGAAATTATGATGATTATAATTATTATTGATAAACGATTATCTTTAGTCTTTCAATCATTATGGCTAATCAACCCATTTAATCACAGCTTTTAATCATTTAAATTATCGAAAGGAGAAGAAATAAGTCAAGTTAAAGTGATCGATTCGTCAATTTTGTTGGAGTCAACAACAAAAGTAAAGATGATGAGGTTCTGGTCAAATAAATTAGTGGTTACCTGTTGGCAGTGGTCAACAGAGAGCAACTAGGTAAGAGAGAGAAAAAAGTGAATACTAACCAAAGAAGCGGAATAATCAAGATGAAAGGTCAATATGAAAGGATGACCGGGGTTAAAGATACAAAAAAGTGAAGGTTCATTACCATAGCCTCGAGGTAATTCCCTAGGCCAGCGAACCATCAATTCAGTGTAAACATCAGATTCCAGTCAAAGACCTCACAGACTCTCTCTCTTTTTATCTTCTCGTCTTCTCTTACTCTCTCATTAACTCTCACTTTCCTATTTCAACCAACAGTAAGGCCAAAAACTCGGGAGATCAAAACAAAAACGAGTGAGGCCATTAAAAACGAAGTCGAAGTAAAAGTAAAACTCAGGTAGAGATTTTATTTCAGTTTAAATTCATTCCTCACTCAGTGAAAACAACTTTTGATTGTTTAACCGTATTCCTTGCACTTGATTATAACACCAGTTAACTTCATGATGATTTTTAATTACATTACAATTGTTTTAGTTTTAATCTCAATCTCAGGTCAATCAGAAGGCCGAATTGCAAGAAATGAAGGTTCATTTGGAAATAATTCAAAACCCGAAACCAGTAGTAAAACAACTGAATCGGTCTCTTCAACGCGATCACCAACATCAACGGCACTTCCTTCCTCAACTCCATCGCCTTCATCATCAACCACACAATCCGATTCCCTGAAGGTAATCGATGTCAATGGAAACAGTGTTCAACTTTTCGCTGGTTCAGGAACCAATTTCGCTACTAATATTGCTAACGTCATTCAGAACAATCTATCCAAATTAACCAATCGCCTTGCTGATCAAATCAGTTGGCTAAATACAACGGAAACTGTGAACAGTCTTTGGAATGATATTCGTCGAAGTGATTTAATTCAATCTCCGATTGCTATGACTGCAGCCGGTTTAACCTTTTTTGGGTTTGTCTCGATGATGACTCTTTACCTTTTCCCATCTTTGAGATCAGCATCATTCCCGGTTAATTATAAAAGTCAACTGCAAAAAATTGGTCAATTGGGTCGATCAGTGGAGGAAATTGCAGTTACTGTTAATAAAGCGATTGACAGTTATGCTCGAAGTGAACCCGATACTTGTATGATGATGGCTCTCTGTACTTTGGGTAATGCTAAGCAAGTTTCAAGAAAAAGTCGAACCATTGACACAATCAATACTTTTTTAAAGTAAGTTTTATTAATAATAAACTTAAATGATTCCGTTAACTCAATTTTTCATTTCTTCCTCAGTTTTCCTGGTTTAGATGAATTCATTTTGTCCAATAAAAAATGGCGCGATTCCCATGCTTATGGTCGTGATGGTGGTGATTGTGAGGCAATTAATATGAACCAAAAATGTCCATTCAACTACGATACCTGGAAGCTTTTGTTGTCGAGTCTAAGCTCGGTCATTTGATTTTTTTACTCGTAAACATATATTATACTTTATTACGGGCCTTTAATCAACTATTTTCTCAAATAATAAACTTTCTTTTGGATAACCTGCCAATCTCAATTGTCATAATCTTTTTTTCAACTTTCACATGAACAAAATCAGCATTCAAAAGAGTAAAACCGGCTGACCGGTCAATTTAAATGAATCCCATTACAAGAAGCAATATTGTATTTACCAGGTAAAAATGTCGAGATCAGTCCAATCAAATGTTGAGTCAACAAAGTGAATTAATACATGAAATCATTTTATTTCTTGAACTGAACTTGAAAACTGAAACATTTATTTCTTTTTGAACTGTCTAACACTTAGTTTGGTAACAATGAGTTATTTATAGCGAAAGTAAACATTAAAGCTGTTATTAGAATAAATTTTGAAAAAAACTGACCACGGTAATATGATTGTTGACACAAAGAGATACATATTAATTTAAGTCAGATCAATTTTATTTCACGTATTTAGAGCCAATGGTATGATATAATTGAGTAAATGTATATTATTTTGGTAATATTTTCCAGATCATCTGCCAGAAGGGCGACAATAAGCTCGAAGTTGATTCATTGTACACGATTTGTAGCAACATTCATCTGTAGCACCACGTAAACTCCTAAAGAAAACTTGACTATCCTCATTTTGTGATCTTTTATTCAATCCAAATAATGAAAATGCGGCCTTTGGTTCCATGAAATTACTTGTATCTGAATCATTTTCTTCAAAATTTAACTTATTAAATTGAGTATCTTGTGACCAGGCCGTATTATCTGAACGAGAAAAAAAAATTGAAATAGCAAATATCTAAAATTACTGAGGCAAAAAAAAGCTTGGATTGAATTAAATTTACAAACCTCTGATTGCCCAATTTTCATCATGATAACTTCTTTTACCGGGTAAAGAGCCTGAACAAACGAGTTGAATTAAATCCATCAAATTTCGACCACAGGTTCGAATCTTTTGGGAGCGAAGATCACGAGATTGGAGTAAATCTGAATCACTTCTTTTGGGAAAAGAGTAAATGAGAGGGAAAATTAACACAAAGACCATAACAGTGTTGTACTGTGAGATTAACCAGCGAGTTGATTGGATCATCTAAAGGAAAGACAATTTAGGGCCACAGATTTGATGCAAATATTAGAGAGATTAATGAAGTGGGTTAAAATTAAATCAAGCAGTTAATAAAAAGAAAGATCAAAACTCACCTTAAAGTGATGATGTTGAGTTTGAAGTAAATAAATAAATCCTAAGTTAGATTGTGTAATTTTAAAGACACAAGGAGTTGAAAACCAAGAGGTATATTCAAATATATTTGATAAATTTTGGTTTATACCAGAAAACCAAACACTGATTGATGAAGAAAACAAATTCACAAAATAATCACCGTTTTTAGCAAAAACATAATATCACTGTAATTGCTGTAACTGCAAGTTAAGGTAGATTTTGTCAATGAGAAGATTTTTTATCAACAAGTGGACACCACAAACTGTTGTAAATTCAAGTATACAAACTGTTTATATATATATATGTAAATAATAATGTTTACAATTTATAATTGTAGATAGAGTTATAATTTCCTTGAATACTAGAGAAATGTAATTTAAGGATTGAAGATGGCCACAAATAAATAAGAAGCAAAATCTACTGTTATAAATAAAAGTCTCCCACAACACCTTTCATCTCACATTGCAGCTCCTTATGTATAACCAAGTTTAACCGATGAGTTTTTTTCCTGCGTCATACATAATAAAGTATTAAAATGACAAATGACGCGCATAACTTTACAATTTTGACATATCACCTACAATTTAATGTAATCACATATTAACCATTTTAGGAGGTTCCAGTAAACTCAGACAAAAATAAGGCACAAAAAGCACAACTGAACAAAAATACTGGGAATAGAGAGCCGGAAAAAAAGGATTAGGCTTTGTAACAAACAACCAGCGGATATGGCTTTGGATATGGGCTTAAAAAATGACATGGATAAGGCTTGGATAAGGCTTTGATAAGGGGATAAGATGGCTGTCAAAAATAATGCCCTTGATCCGGATTAATTGAGCAACAGCAAGTAGGCTGAGAAAAAACAAGATATAAAAAAAAGCAAGCATTAAAAGCTCTTAATTTATATTTCAAAATCTGTATTTGTAGGCATTTTCACATCCAAAACGTTGAATCAAGAGTAGTTACACTTGTTATAAAATGGTCCAGAATCAGCTTCAACTCAATCATCCTGGTTACAATGGAGACTAAACTAGTGTAATCAAGTCAATTGTTTCACTTTGTTAACTGTTGTTTAAAACAAGTTGTTGCAAGAAAGTGCAAGACAAAGTTAAGGTTTGAAAGTCTATGTTTCGACTAATTGCAAAGGCAATGCTGAAACAACATTTCAATCTGAATCGAGCATTTTTTTCAGTTGATCATTCTCTTCTCGTAATTTTTGCAATTCTAATTTTAAAGATTCATTCTCTTTTTCTAGATAACTTGCTCGAAGTACAATTTGGTTTTCCTTTAATCTTCTTGCTTCCCTTGATCTTTTGGCTGCCATGTTGTTTTTAACTCGACGAGCCCAGTAACGGGCATCTTTCAAAGGGTTTGGAGTCTTTTCGCAAATCCTATCTGCAAAACAGTGAGCAAAAACATGGTTTAACAATTAGTTGTTAAGCATGAAAGTCTAAAGCTTTAAAACCAATAACCAAAATTTGATTTTTCAACCTTATTTTTTCAATTTTTTGACAATGAACACCATGATTATGATCATTATTACTCCTGAGCAAATTATAAGTATAATCAGAATGAACTGATACAGCACATTGAGACTCAGAACAATTCCAATAGATCACATCACTATTCTTATTTTTGTAATTCAACAGAAATTCATTGAAAACAAGTAACTTGCCACCTCTTTGGGATTGTAAAACTTCCATCATGCTAAGAAATAGATGAATGAATTGAATTCAAATTTTTCCTGCTTATATATTTCAAATAATCAATGTGATCGCAAGGTATTTTCGGAAACAACAAAAGCATTTACTGAACCTTTCCCTGATTTGTGTTAATCCTAATCCTTTTTCCCAAAATTAGCAAGTTACTGCGAATGGATTTGAAAGCTCTCAATTTGCGAAAAGACTCTACACCCTTTCAAAGTATCAGGTACATGCTGTTTACGAGACTTTTTCATGATTGGCTGAGGACGAAGTTCATCTTCACTGAATCGGGCACTTGAAGGATCAAAGCATGCCTCACTTCCAGGTCGAGTGGCCAACGCAATATCCAATGGACTAGACAAGGAAATTAAACAACAAAATATATCAACAGTCAAGCAAAAAACAAAATCAAAAACTGAAAGCTTAACAGGTTACATAAAATCGATGCTATCATGCGTTCAATCAAAATAAACAATCAGATAAACTGACCAAATCAAGTCCACCAAGGTTAACTTTTAGGTAAAACATGTCAACTTTATTTGAGCTTATTTATTAATCCGCTGGATAATATAAAGTTAAATCTGACCAATCAGTTGGTTCAGTGCTTAATATTTATACAGTAGTGGTCAGGGTTAAGTTAGCTTTTTGCTTATGAGGACCAGCCGCAACAGCTTTCAAGGTGCTTGATAGCTTGTTTTACCCACCCATAGATGCTAGGTTGCTAGGTTCCAGCTTAGCTGGTAACCCATCAAGAAGGGAGGATGGGATGGTCCACGGGCCTAACCCTGGTAAGCACTACTGTAAGTGAAAGTACCGATCGATCTTGATTTTGTTCAGTTTTCTATTGCATTGTTTTTTCTTATCTCTAGAAACGGAATATTCTCGAGATGGCGACACCTAAAAATGAACTTAATTGTGACCCTTTTTTGTCAACTTAACCCTGACCACAACTGTATTGTTGTTTTGATCAATAAACCAAATCTCTCAATGTTTCACCCTCTTAATGTTACTATCAACTTGAAAGCTAAATGTTTGCCCATAAACCAGATTTGCGTTACCAGACTTTGTAAACATTGAATCAAAATTTGGTATTTTTTTTGTGCGAGCCCAAATTCAACCCAGAAAACAGGTTAATTGGGTTAAACAAAAAGTATCTAATGCTATTTGTTTAATCAGATTCAGGGTAAATGTTAAATTGTGTTGAAAGGGTGAAATGAGGAAAGGTTAAGTAAATATTTTTTTCACCAAATGATTCAAATGATAAACATTGCCTTTGATAATGAAAATAATTTCCCAAAATAATCATTTTTCCCTCTTTCATTTCAACTGACAATCAAAGGTATTGTAGACCAGCTTCTTCTGTTTATTATTATTTCGCAAAATTACGGTAAAAATTTGCAATTTAAATGCTAACAAAAGTAAACAAAGACAGTTGATTGTAACTAATGGTTGATTAAAATAATTAGTAAACATATTTACCTGAATTTAACTTCAATTTTTTGTTCCTCTTTAATGGTATTCATATAATTAAAATCAACTCCATTTACAATGAGAAACTCGTCCAGATTCATTAAATTACTTTCTGTCTGTTTACCAAATTTTTAACCCAAAATAATGATTTGAAATGATCCACATTATGGAAGCAATCAATGTGACAATTGACAATTGGGAGAGAGAGAGAGGAAAGTTTAAAATGATTAAATTAATAACAATTGATTATCACTGTTTACAAATTAACTCTGACAATGATGGTTAAACATTTGCTTCATTGGATTGTTTTATGGTAAAATCCAACACAAAAATCAATAATTTAGATTCTTGGTAATTTTTGGGTTTGTTTTGGTTGCATCTTACATTTTATAACAAGACAGTTATGATTGTCAGAGAAGAGTTTGATTGATTGTCAATGAATAATAATATAAATTAATCAAACCTCAGTTTTGTTGATATAATTTTTCATGATGTTGTTCAAGATTTTTTGATGTCAAGTTGATTCAACTGATAGTTGGAAGGTAACCAGCAAAAAAAGTTAAAAATTAAAATGTTGAGGTTGCAGAGGTTGTTGGTATCGGTGTTGTTGGCTTGTATTTTGATGTTGATGGTGAAACTGGTGATGATGAAGATGACTGACAAATGGAAGACATTTGAAACGTGATCAATGAAGTATTTAATTTATGGTCAATCTAGAAGGTATTATAAAGTCACGTTGAATTGCCTTCCAAGATGAGGATTTTGGCTGATGAAAGTTGTTGACCAAAGAAGCTGATTAAGCTGGTAAATTGACCAAGAGGAGACCTTTTCATTGAAAAACCAGGCAAAAAATGGTTAAAGACGAGAAAGCACCAAAAAAACCAGATTAATGGGACCCATAATGCCTCATAATCTTAAAGTTATATTTCATCATAACCTTGGGATATACAGCTTTGATGACCATATTTTAAAAGATCATCTTTGACCATTAAATAACTGTTATAATCAAGCGATTTATATATTCATCAAAAATTACAATCACAACTATATTTACAATTTGCAGCAATCACATGTTTCTCGGTGAGATTGTTTACTTTTTAGCTTCCCATAAAATTTAGCTTTGAATTGTTTTATTTTGGTTTCAATTTGAGTTTTATTTTAATCAAAGTGATTTGATTTTCCAATTTTAATTTACTTGTGTGTTTAAGTTTGATAGCTGCTAAATAATTGAATGTATTGGTTGTATCGACAGTGTATTCTGTCTTGTCCAAGACTCAGGCCAGGACTCAGTTCAGGTGTTTATTGTAAATATCAAACCGTTTCATTTGTTATCCAGAGGTCGATGGTCATCTATTATTTTGCTTGATTGTTATTTTAAATGTCAAGGTGATCAAGTGAAGGGTTTATTAAACATTAAGATTAGTATTGGTTCAGTGACAACAATTTCAATTGTAAAGCTACAAGATTGATTTTACCAGGGCTTAGATTTTGTGTGATTGTGTCTCTTGTTTTTACAACTTGCTTATTATTGATCGGACAATTTTGATCACAATTTAATTATTGCTGGAAGCTTATTCAAAATCATTTTCTTCCGTAATTTCGTTGAAATTTGTCTTCCATTGCTGTAAGCTGTTTATTCATTAATGTATTGTAAAAGTCTATATTGGCTATCTGGGTTCATGACAATGTTAAAAATAGTTTTCAATAAAATAGGAATAATCAGCCAGATAATGATTAGTTAATTAATGCTCCTTGTCAAAAATTCCTAGATGTCATCTTTGCTGGTCAAGATATGCCCTTACCTTGCAAGTAAATGAATGAATCCATTAATAAATGTACAATGGTTATGATAAATGATGGGAAAATATACAAAATTAGCATCTTCTGTCCATTCAGTTGCTGAGATAATAAAGTCTATTGAAAGAAACACAAGATATCATCTTTTTTGGTAACAATTCTTGGGCTAAATTTATGCTTGGGTTGATCAATAATCAATAATAATAATTGATCGATTCTGAAAGGTCGAGTGGATTCAAATTTACAGAAAAATTGATCAAATTTTCATCAAGGTGAAACTCTGAGAAAATAAACCGATCTACAAATAGATATCATGTATTAATTCATTTTTACAGGCTTAATGTTTGAAAACTGAAATTTTATATCAATTTGCTTCTTAAGCATCTGCCATCCAATTTTGAGTGTCAAAATCAAAAATAGTTTGTAAATTGTAAATAATAAATGTTGAAGAGGAAAAAATTATCTGAAATTATGAATAATTGCTGAATCTGATATTTATTGTTACATTTTTTATCCCAAAACAAATCTTTCAATCCATAAACCTGGAAATTAAAGATGCAAGGATTTTATCAAAGATTGAAAAGATTACTTCAAATCTATTAACCAGAAAATATTCATCCAAGTATATCAACATATCCTGGTGTATTTTTTGGTAAAAAGAGAATCCTGTTGTGAATAAACACCAAATTTCAAAATGAAATCTTTAGCTTGCTCTATTGGTGCATCTTTACCCTTCATTTGCATTCTGGTGCTCAAATAGGCTTCGGTTTTCACCCTTTGCATCGCGAATGGAAATACCGCTGATTTCAAACCAAAAATAAAACCAGAAATAATTGCATTAAAACTCAATAAAATTTAAATTTGAGGTGAAAAAAGTTCATGAAAACTTTTCTATGGAAATTTAATATTAAACGGAAATTTTGGGTATCAAACAATGGTAATGATAATAAGTTTAAAATTTTTCAGTGATTATGCGACTTAAGATGGTTAAGTTTTCGATTGGTGTTGATTTTTAATTTATCTTTTATTTTTTCATCAGAGATATCAATTCTAGCACCTTCAACTGCTTCTTAGAGACGAATTAGTTTGTCAAAGCTTTTAAGATATTAGTCGCACTAAAGTTATAAGTAATCCCCTCCGGGGCAAAGGTAAGTCACCACGAACATTATTCGTTTGATTGAATTTTTTTCTATGGCTGATAAACTACTTAACGAGTTAGTCCAACCCTTCGATTTAAACTGCTTAAATGACCTTAGGTAAAACGGCACTATCGAAAAGTATTTAAAAGGAATCGTTCCTTTTGTTTTTTCATCACTTTCTCAAACCTCTAACAGTGAATAAGTTGATCTACTGTCGTGTCTTCTTATCATCTCACTTTACTTTGACATTGTCATTTGTACCTTTGTGATTAATTCAACTGTGATTTTTATTCTTTAAATCAATCATGTCTCATTGTTTTTCCCTTGGTCAAGCTCTGGCTCGTGCTAGAGAGCTCAAACAAGCCAAAAAATCCGAAAACGAGAAAGAAGCGCGTGCCGAACGGATTGGAAACATTTACGATGCATTAATTGATTGTGGATACGATGAGATCAAAGCTGGTTTTGCATCAGAAAAATACAACTCACTCGAGGAAGCTCTTCAAGCATTGGCAGCAGGAGCTTTCGAGAAGAAACTCGATCGCATTCGAATTAAGAAGCGAAAACAATTTATAAGACAAATATACAAAAAAGGGATTGTGATTCCCGTCAACTTTTTTTAAAAATCTAATGTTCTCAACCTGTTCATACGACGTCTGGAATGACCTGATCTCCAAACATATCAACTTGTAATTTTATTCTTATAGTCATGTATTGCCAAACTCCCGGTTATTCCCAATATTGTAAACCTAAATTGTAATTTTTCTAACCAACTAAATTTTGTTTTTTATAATAAACTAATTCAGCAAATACTTGTGGTTTCCAACATTTATTTTCACTCGACGCGTTCAAACCTAAAATGAAATCAGTCAGTTCTTTGATAATCAGGGAATCGACTGTAACTTGGAAATTAAAGAACAGGGTTAACAATGCAATAAAGTTTATTTCAATAGAAATGGATAAGTAACTTGACTAAAACGGGGACTGTGCTTGAAAATGATCAATTTTGTTTGGAATGATCGAGAGGTGCATTTACAAATAAATATTACATCGGGTATGGATCAAAATTAATTACAGGATGAAATATGTTTACAATTTTAAATAATCTCGTTTTCACCGGGTTATAATAAATAAATCTCAAAGTTCCAGATGGTTCTGTGATTTAAATGAAATAGAAGATTCAGTCGAGTTCATTGACTTGATATACTTAGTTCGTTCTTTTCGAACATATTTGACACCTTCCATTACGTTATTTATGAATTCGTTGACATCAAATCGATAGTTAGTAAATTTTTGATGAGCTCCTAAATTTGGATGGTTCCCTTCGTCTTGTGGGTACAGCTTATCTCTTTTAGACCAGGTAATATACTTGAGACCTCGAAGAGCTGCCAAATCTTTGTAACAATTTTCATCATCACAATTGTAAAGTTCAAATAAAACTCCCCAATCTGGTTGAAAAAGGCAATGAGTCAACCCAGCTCCATGCATTCCAATCAAAATATCTGAGTTGTGACTAATTTTTAGCTGTTGATCAAATGGCATTTGGTGCGTAAACTCAACTTTCTGAACTTTAAAATGCTTCGATTTCGCTCTTAGACTGGTCAAAAGTTCTTCTTCATTCAATATCTTGCGGTATTTAGTTGTCCGGGAAATCAGAGTTATTCTAATTTCCGATGGGTCGTAATCTGCGTTGAAATCTTGTGTTATATTCAATTTGTATAAAATGTGTTCATTGAATGCTTGAAACAGCCGGCTCTTCCTACATCCAGGCACAAGTGGCATATTATAATATAAACCTGAGCAAATATAAACAAAAAAAATGAATTAAAAAATTGAAAGGGTGATTTCCGATGATTTAACTTACCAAAAACCATTCGAGGTAACAAAGGGAATACAACATCTTTGAAACAAACCTTTTTACCAGAATAAGGGTTTAAACTAAGAATTGGATTATCAGTGAAAGCTTTCCATATTATTCCAAAATTACTTCGATAAGGATAAGTGTCCCAAATGAGTATATTGATATCAGATGAGAAGCTACGGTTAAGATGAAGTGTTGCATATAGATTGACAAAATCACAAAAATGATGGTACATGTTGACGGTAGCATCTAATTTCATTATATAAGTAGGCTTGGTAATTATTGTATCACAGTCTGGCTTGTTATTGTATACATCGTAATGTTCCAGCTCTTCATACCAGGATTGGAGAGGAGATTTATGAGCGCTTTCTTTCCTAATTTTGGAATCATCTATATCGCAATCCCAACCACCAATCTGGCCATCGTCAAGAACATCACTTCTATATTTGATAGGTTCTTTGAGTGTTTTTAATTTTTTAAAATTTATCATGATACTTTTAGCTCGACAAAATCTGAAATAACGAGTACATTCCAGGCTTGAGCTTTGTCCTAGGAGTTTCAATGGGCTTCCAAAGGTCATTTTGGGTTTACAGTAAGTATCTAGTTCTTTGGCTCTTTCAGCAATATAACCGAAGTCTCCTTGATTAAAAAAGGTATCACTTTGTTCGTCTTTAGTTTTCGTCCATCCTTTGCTACTGTCTGCACAAACTATGATGTAAGAAGATATAGAATAGTTAGTCGTGAGAAATAAACTCATTATTTCACATGAAAAGAGAGGATTAATAGGATTCAAGAATAATACAAACCTGCCACTCTTTCAGTCTTGTTGAGACAATTGATCCCAAAACTGGATTCATAACCCCAACATTTAAGGCCATGAGTATTGACATAATCACAAATCTCTTTGTGTCTTGAAGTAGATTGTTTTGAAGCTGAACAAAGCTTATCGAATAGTTGTAAGTTACTTTGAAAAAAGTAGGGATAATGATACAAAGGTAGATCTGGTAAAGCTATATCTATCTCATTTTGATGACTAAATTGGAGCATTAAAGAGGTTAAACAGTATAAGATTTGGCCATGGTAAGGTTTGAAATTGATTTTTACCATGGTAAGTTGAGTTGATAATTCAGGAATGAGAGATATATAGCCAAAGTTGACTCAACAGGATACTTGCAGTTGCTTGAAAACTTTAACTTGTATCATATGGTTATAGTAGATTTTCCAGAGCTTGTTCAATCTATTAGATAGATTTATTAACTTCAGAGTATTACACCAAAATAATCACTTGAAGTTGATTTAAAAAGCATGAGTATTACTTGACCAGAATTTTCCATAAAAGACATTTTGAACAAATGATTTTAGTATTAAACAAAGAACGGGCACAAAAATAAGCGTTGCATGTTTTTTGAAGATTGGGTGAAAATATCAATATATATTAAATAGAGAATCACAGAGTAAACAATTTAATTTTCATGTAGTTTATAACTATAAACTAATAACACAATAATCAAAAGACTGACCACAATATGAAGAGCTATTGCTATAAATCCATCTAGAGTTGAACGCAGCTAATGCGGACAGATGTTATTGGTTATGATAACAACAGCAGGAAACTGGTTCAAGCTGTAACAAGTAAGATGTTTTGGGTTTCCTTAAACTTGAGATGGAGTTTATTGGTTTTAATCAACTAATTTAGATTATAGTTGGTCTTATATAATAAATAGAAATTGAATTAAGAATTATCTTCAACTTTATTTTCTATTAATTTAAGTTGTAAACACAAATAAACAACTAGACAAGTTAAACAACCTAAAGATTAAGAAAGACCATTCTGTTTGCTCCGGAAGCAGTTGGCTGACGTTTTGTTCCATTGATTTCCAGGTGAAGAAACTCTCTTTCTTTCTTTTCTCTCTCAATCGTCAAGATGTTAAGGCGTTTGTGAAGAGTATAACTCTACCAGAAGACCTTAAATGTCGCGGAGTGTTACAATAACTTTGAGTTGATCTTCGAGAAAAAAAATTTATTGAAATTTTCCAATTTCAATTTGTTAGAAAAGAAATTGTTTTGCTTCTCAATTTGAAATTTGAAGACTAATTGAGCTTAAGGAGGAACATTGTGTAGTATAAATGTGAAGAAGAAAAACAAAGAAAAAAAAATTTGAATTATGAGAATCAGAATGAAAAATTGACAAAAACAAAAACAAAATTATAAACTATGATCACAAGAAAAGAGATAATTTATCATAGAACATGGTTAATATTTTTTTGGTAATCAGCTCTAAAGTCCCGTGTAAACTGAAAATAGACGAGATAAAACGCTACTACTTCGAGCTCCTTTGGGTAAAGTTCCAGGTGCTGGTAATAATGATGTACATTCATTGGTTTGAGGTCCATATCCTTGGCAAATTATATCAGGTAATCTTGAAGCGGCCATTCGAAGTAATATGTTAATAAACTCAACAGCTTCTTTACCACATTTAGTTTCAACTAGACTCTCAGTACAACCCTGGAATCGGCGATAAGCACAACATCCAGCGGGGATTCGTCGATCCCATTCAACGGAGGTTACAATTTCTAATGCTGATTGTAAATCTTTAACACAGCCTTTTTGTCCTTTGGTGGCTTGACTAAGACAACTGGCATGTTTAAGGTAACTCTGTCTTAATTGGGTTCCTGGTGTGCAGTATTCAGTTAATAAACGATTTCCACCTTCGCTAACGAAACTAATTAATTCTCGTTGAAGAGGAGTTGTACATTTTCGAGTGAAATTACGCAGACATGAATCAGCTTCTTTAAGGTAACCACATTGCTTATTTAGTTCAGCATCATTGGTACCAATTCCTGTAAGATAAGTAGAAATAATCGATTATTAATAATTTTTGAAATTCAAGCTTATGGTTAAAGACTGAGACAAGGTTTATTGTAAAGCCTAATTTCTTGGAGTACTGATTAAGGTATTAAATTGAATTTACAACACTAATCAGCAGCCGTCTAATGATCAATATCGGAATGTTGACAGTAAAAAATATTTTTGTGTCTTACAAGGATAATTGACAAATCAGCTTGAAGGGTTTAAGGTTATCTGATCAAAAGGTAAACATTTCAATTGTTTTTGTCAACAACTTATTAAGTCAATCATATTGTAGGTCAATACAATCAAACCCAAAATCAAGAGAGAAAGAGATAACAAAGAAAAGTAGAAACGTAAATGAAATAGAATACAGAAATGCTGGAAAATTGCATGTAAAAAAGTAATATCGACAATTTAATTGTCAATTATTGCTTCCAACATACATTGTATCGCATTTTGTTGACAAGTTTGAAAAAAGTCAAAATAGGTTAAAATAATTAAATCGTGTTTATTGTGATTGGTTTTGAAAACTCCCCAATTAATCACTATTAATTATTAATTGATTCCTTACGGTTCGAGGTAAAGTCTGAGTAAGACTTGGAATGAAAAATTTGCCCTTAGTTAACTTAATCACTCATTCAGCAGTTAACTGATTTGTCACTCTTAAATGATTCACATGACATTAAATATGATTAAGCCAACGAAAATTAACCATAAATGATAAAACAAGAGACTGAAAGGTAAGATTTGCACCTTCAAACGAACATAATTAACCCAAGAATTAATCAGCTTGGAGGTCGTTGAATTTAACAGCTACTGATTGTATTTATAGCGATGAATCGATTATTGAATTGACAAAAATTCTTACATGAAGCTGAGATTTGAATAGGAAAATTTGATATGGGTTTAGCTTTAATGAAAAGCTTGAATTGTGAAGTTGAGCAACACTAAGCTTATTGTATTCATTGATTATTGTTGATAAATCAATGGTTTATTAATATAAATATGAAACCAGTTCTAACTCTATTGATGTGATGGAAATGTACAAAAACTTTTGATTAGGTGTGGTTAACAGTTTGTGGTCAATAAATTGTTTCCGGATTTCAATAAGATGATCAAAAATATTAAGCTTAATCATTCAGTTTAAGAATCAGGAAAAATAACCCAATTTGGGCCTTTATTCATCCTGACTGTAACAAGTTTAACTTTCAATTTCAGCCTGAAAAAGGTGCTTCAGACTATTCATAAATCTGGCTTTGAGCGAGTTGATTTAAGATAAGATTGAAATTAAAATTAAATCAGATTAGTGGTTAGCTAAAGTTAAAGTTTTAATGCTAAAATTTACTTGTCTATATTAATACATGTACGATTCAGGAAACTTAACTTCAACTGTTAACTGAATAGTTAGACAAATGAGTAAATTTTCCGCTGATTAGTCAATAACGCGATACCGAATTGAGCTTCGCCGTGATTTATCAGCTACCCTTTAACAGCAACTATCATTAATAAACTATTTTAATCTTTTGATTATTTATTTAGCTTTTTGGCTTAAAAATAACATTTCATGTTTACAACCATCTTAATGGTTGAAGTACATTTCAATTGGTTTCTTTTTGATCTGTGACAATATGTAAGCTGTTTCAAGATGAGATTATTCAATGAACGGAGAAATTTTATCAAATATTCTTAAAGGACAAAAAAACTGAATTCAATCAAAGGAAAGCCTTAATTATTTAACTATCCTTGGCAGAGGCAAAGCGATTTTTCTGATAATTTGTCATTCTTCAAATTTAAAGAATCATGAAATCGATATAAACGTAATTTGAATAGAAGTTTTTAGGAAATTTTGACACAATCTTTCAATGATCAGCAAGGTTAAGTGCACAAATTGACATCACTCATTAAGAAATAATTGATTTTTGATCTTCTCTTCTTAATTTCGTCAACTATGTCCGTTCTTTTGAGTGTCAATCAAAATGACCTATTTTTCGAGTACAATCATCATAGTTGTTTTCAGGCTAATAAATTGGTCATCTAACAAGGAAGTCTCATTGAGCTATCGACTGTCAAATCAAACAATCGATCTAATCGAAATGGGAATCATTTTTCTTGTTTTTACCTCATTAATCAGGTCAATTATGGTTAATCGTAGAGGATAGGATGTTATATGATTTGTCAAGTCACTAAACATTGATTTACAGGAAGAGTCTCACATGGGCTTTTAATTACTAGCCAGATACTATTCATAAAAGGATGAAATTTTTACTTACCTCCAGAAGGATTTTGGGTAAAGACTAGCAACGTTGCTGCACAAAGATCCAGTTCTCGAAGATGGCATGTTTGAGCGTAACCTTGTCCGACAACTGAATTAAATATGATAAACAGGGGAAATTAATTTAAATATAAAAACAAATAAAGCTTGGGACATAGTAATTTGTTGATCACTTTTTTACTTACATAAAACTAGAAAACACAAACTAATTCCAAAATAATTCATTGTTATGTGAATTTGAACAGGGACACTGGATCTAAAATAATAGATTTAATTATTAGAAAAGATCTGTTTCCGTTGAGTGCAAAGATGAAAATGAAATGAAAATGATAAAAATCAGCAGTGAAAGTGGCGAGAGAAAGTTTGATTCCTTAATATTTACCGATAATCGTGGATCAGCCTCTTTCTTAAGGTATCGCCTCAATTTCAAATCGACTTCTTTCTTCATTTTCTCCATCACAAGAGTTGACTTTTTATTCATTTGGTTTGTAAGGTGAAAGTTGAATTCGCTTCGGAAGGTTGTGCCTGCCAGTGATAGTTTCTACCTTCTTGTCATCGAAACAGTTTGAAAAACATTCTTATCGTAGTTGATTAGTATTGTCATTACCAATTATTTCTCAAGTTATTTCGCCATCCTAATCAGCAAAATAGATCTGGATATTTTAATTAATCGATTGTTGAAAAATTTCATTGTTTAAGGTCGACAGCAACTTTGAGTTGATTAGTATGACTGGTAAGGTTGATTTTCATCATTTTAGTTGATACAGGCTGATGATAACAAAGTTAAAAAAGAAGTGTTTACTAAGAAAACTTATCGCAATATCGACATAAAAAGTCGAATCTTTAAGATCACACTCAATTTCAATGGAAATCATTAAAAAATAAATTAATTAGCTAACAACATAAACAAATTAAACCGATTTGGTCAGAATTTAATGTTTACATCAGAATATTCTTCTGACGTTAAATCAATATATCGATATATTGTTTTTAAACGATCCATTGAAGCTGGATCCAATAATCATCAGCTTCGTGATATTAAAAAAGTATGGTTAAAACGAATCGGTATCAGTCATAAAGGTACGGGGTTATGTTTATAATTAAAGCAAGGGTTTGGACAGTGGGACTTGGGATCTCTAGAAACAACTGAAAGCTCAATTTTTTCTCAATTCTGTAATTCTTTGCCTAATAATTTCTTCAAATTATGCGTTTTTTGGTATCGAGTACTTAATTTAAAGTATCGATATTTTTACTCAGAAAAATATCAGCGAAACGCTAGAAATCATTATTGGTAGAAAGTTAAAGCTTTGTGTTATGATTATTTTTGCTGCACTTCTCTCACTCTTTTAATTAAATTGTTTACCATTGTTTAGGATTGAAACAGTGTTATATCTCAACAATTTTTGTATCAAATTACTTGCCCATAATTTGATCTAGATTGACAACATTCAGTAAGTACAATACTCATGGTAAAACTCATGTCAATATCTTTGAGCTATTCGCAGTCATCGGTTTGAATGATGTCAATCTCTTTTCACTTGATTCTTTTCTTCTAGGATATTTTTTACTTTGAAACTGAGAGAATTTTGTAAAGCTATATATACTTATGGAAGTCGATAGCCCACCAGTAACTACATCTGCTCTTCAACAATTTATTGTTTTATCCAAAGCAAGTAAAGGATTGGCTGCAGTTGAGTTGATAAAGCAAGTTCTTAATCATCCACAAATCTATGTGTTCGGAGAATTGTTGAGACAACCCAATATTAAGGAGTTGGCTGATTCAGAAGACCATAGAAAATATTATGAACTATTGGAGCTATTTGCTTATGGAAACTATTGTGATTATAATGAAACCAAATATCCGCCATTAACGCAGCAAATGATAACAAAACTACGTCACTTGACTGTGGTGAATTTGGCGAGTAAAAACAAAATTCTAAGTTATGATAAATTGAACGAAGAACTTGGGATAGATAATCTGAGAGAGCTGGAGAATCTTATTATAGATGTAATCTATTCGAATATTATTAAAGGTAAAATGGACCAAGAAAATGGATGGTTAGAGATAAGCTCAACTATATCTCGAGACATTAAAGAGGAACAACTAGAAACGATAATAACTGTTTTATCAGATTGGTGTTCAAATTGTGAGAATGTCATTGCAGACATTGAAAGTCAAATAATTAAAGCAAATTCAACAAAAAGCGCTCATTCAAAGGAAAAGCAAGAATTGGAGGCCCAGATATCAAGTATTGAAATGCATTTGAAAAATTCCGGTCAAGACATCGAGTTTTCACAAGATAATTCTGATATGAATTTATTCATGAGTCAAGCATCAAATGTTGGTAAAACTAAGCGTACTCCACGCCGATCTAATAAGCCGTCTGGCCCAGGAACGTCCAGAGACTCGAGATCGTTTGATTGAAAGCAAAGATATTTTTTTAATTTTATGTTTCATAGCATACTAAATTCTGGTGATTATTGAAAAAATATTTCGCCATCTCTAATAAATATCCATTGTGTAAACCACTCAGCAATTATAAATGACCATCAAAATATTCTGTTGTATGTAGTTTTTGGTTATAATGTCACCGAGAAATTAAAAATTTATCGGTTTTGCAGAATAAAACAGCAACCATTACCAAGATACTATTTTAATCATTTACAGCCATTTCAGATTGGAAAAATATTTCTCAAAAACAAAGCCTTGAGGTCAAAGATTAGTTAATGTTGATTTCGACTGTATTATTCCCTATATTATCTGTGTAGTTTAAAATTATAAGCTCTTAGCAAACCTAAATTAATCTCTCACTGTAAATTCTCGAATATTCACTCAGAAATTACTTTCACCTCGCATCAGTAGCAAAGTGATCTTTTTATTTTGGAATAATCTCTTGAAAGATCCGAAATCGAAGTCCTCCAGGAAAGGATTACAAAAGGCTTTTAAAAAATGAATCTTTTTTTAATCCTTGAAAATCGTTTTATATGTTTAGTTATGTTGAATTAGGCGAATTACATCTTTTGCAACAACTTTGAGGCCAAATTTTCTCATTTTTTGATTCTTCGAAATTCTGGTACAACTGGATGGAACTGTTATGATTTCTTCGCCCCATTTCGGTAAAAAATCGAGGGTTTGCTATATGAAGTGGAAAATATATCGACTTAAGGCAAAATCCAGGCATTCAAAGCCATAACTTCACAATTTTTATGAAAATTAGTTTATTTTGCAAAACACATTCTTGAGAAGTGTCCCTTCATTTTGACGTTTGAATGGTGCTTGTAAGTCTAGTCTGATTGTCGAAATTTAATTTTGAAAATTAGTCCAATATTAGTAGACATACCTTAATTAGCATCATCCGTGATGAAGTTACTCAAATTAAATTGAATATTTCCGAACGATAAATTGAATGAATACTCGAAAGTTTACCTAAAATGAGCAACAAATGAAAATTGAGAGCAATTTAATGTCTGGATCACAATCTAATTTAATGGTTACCATGTACCATTATCTGTATTGTAGAGACATAATCTAATAGAAAGACTAAAAAAGACTGGAGAAAAAAAGAAAGGAAAGAAAGACAAGAACAGGGTTTTACTATTTTGAGTCAAGGAAAGAAGGAAGAGATTCATGTAATAATGAGTTTATAAGTTCAACTTGAGGCCAATAACCAGGAAAAATGATGTTCATTAGGCCAATTCAAGGTTATATCGGGTTAAAAGTGTATACAAACTGGTTCAAGGTTAAGGTCAAGGCTAAATTAACTAAATATAAAGCAACTCTTTGTGTTATACAGTTTGCTCCAATTAACTTGCGCAGTAAAATTGAGTTTCTTGAGTTGACCTGGTAAACAATTGATTTAACTGGTTGTCGAGATTTTATTAAACAAATAGCAATCAAATATCAGACGTTGAATTGATCAGTAATTTGAAAAATGATAAGACAATTGTTGTGCATCATAATATGAGCAATAAGCTGATATCTAGTTGATTTAACAATTGCTTGATTCAATTTTACATTTACACTAAATTGTGATGGTTGAAGGCCTACTCTTAGGAGCTAATTAAATTTACTAATAGATGTTACTAATTAGTAATTGAAATATGAAAGTGGCCTGGAGGCTGTTAGCTGAAATCAATAGCAATTTGTAGTTTAAAACTTTGAATTTTCACTTACGATATTGGTGTGAACCTGATAATCGGATTTAGATCAATGTAAATTTGATTAGTAAAACTCTTAAAACTGGTTTTCTGGTTAAGTTAATTAAGAGATTTAATCCAAGCTTAAGGCCTTTACAAAATATTAATAAACAAAGGTTTCAAATAAGTTAAACAGTTTAACCAAAAAACAATATTCAATCTAGGCGCCAGAAGAAAGGCGGAGTCTCGCTGAATAAGAAATAAACCGATTATTTCGAGTGTAAACAAATGCTATAAATTGCTCCACTGTTTTAGATGTTACCATTGAATCACTTGCGACTGTAGTTATCAGGTCATTTTTACAAGTTCCTTTATCATGTCTTTGATCAATACTCAACTCAAGCGAACCATTATTGAAAGTGAAAAGAGTGAAGACCTCTCATCTGAACCTAGCTTTGCTAAAAAGGTAAATATACTTGTGATTTTTTAAAATGTTTTACCTCGTTCCCTTCAATCATTGACCTTAACTCATCTATATTTCTTTTATTTACAGACTACAACTATGACTGCCGAAGATCGGTTAACGTTAAGAGCTAAACGTTTTGGTGCTACTGACAAGTTACAAGAAAGAGCCCAAAGATTTGGAATGACCAAAGATGGTGGCATTGGTAAAAGTGACAAACCATCAGCTGAAGTATTGAAAAAACGTGCTGAACGCTTTGGTTTAGCCAATCAAACCAAGAAAGACGGTGTTCCTGGTCTTGAATGTGACGCTGAAACCTTAAAGAAAAGAGCTGAACGCTTTGGTGTTATTTCCGAATCTGTCAAAGAACTAGATAGTCAAGAAAAATTAGCAAAAAGACAAAAACGCTTTGGTTCCCTCAAAGTATGACATTATCATTACTTTTTTATCTCATCTCCACCTTTATAAAATATATAAATTTTTCAATAGAAGCATCCAACACTGTAATTTGCTTGATTGTATTTAATGAAAAACGTAAATAAACAATTTAAATTTAAATATCAAAAAAGTTTTCAATCGCTTTTTTCTTCGGCCACACTTAAGAATAAAATTTGTATAAATTTAGTTACAGAGTCTAAATGGAAATAAAAAAAGAGTAAATTAGTATAAAATTGCTTTTTTTTCAATCGCGAAATCGTCTTACCAATGAAAGATTTATAAACTCTTGGTTTATTCTGCCAATAAATCGTTACCATATAAACTGGGACCCCCATTAAAGTTATTAGAGCTGCGATACCCGTTTCAACAGGTTTAGTATAAGTGGGTAGTAACACTAAGAATAGACAAACAATCAGGAAAACAATCGGCCAGACCAAATTTACCTAAACGAAATAAAAGATTTGATGTTTAAAATCTTCAAATTTTGAATAAATCACTTGAAGCAGAAGTAATAAGCTCTGAAAAGTATTCGGTAATACTTCAGTGTCTATTCAGTTTGTTCAAATGCCTTGTTAATTTACCTTAATTGGTCTATGCAGGTCGGGTTGCTTATATCTCAACCAAATAAGAGCAGCAACAGACAAAGTGGTGAAAAGTGATTCAATGAAGGATGCATAAGTAATTAATGAATACACCTTGGTTGTTGTTAAATATAATAGCGTCAATAAACCCTGTTAAAATACAAAAAGAGTCGATTAAAAATTACATTGTTTTGATTTGAATGCAGCGCTGGAAAATTAGAAGAGTCGATTAATGTTAACACTTCATAGACCAGAATTAATTAATCCCTCAACTCTTACTCCTGAGTTTGATCAAAAACCATTGATTTAGCCAGAGATCGATTCAAATCAGGTTTGGATAATAAAATTTTGTTTACTGTCTATTTAAACCCAATTCTTTCGACTTCACACATAAGTGTTATCGCGAATGGGATTGAACCTTTTTGATACGCATAAAGATTATAAATATTGCTATGTAAATCTTGACTGATTATTAGCCACATCTTGACTGAGATCGATAATGGCTAAGCAGAGCAATATTGAGACTTACCAAAAATATTAAGGAGTTAACTGGAGTGTAATAACGTATATTAACCATTGCAACAAAACTTGGCATATGGCCATAACGAGCACCGACAAAGAACAGCCTGGCTGAAGCAAAAATGCCCCCATTGAGACCACCAAAAGTTGACAAGGCCACAAAAAATGGCATTGACCATTTAAAATATCCTAAAGTTTTATCACCGAAAGTAACTGCTATGGCGTCTGTAGCAAGCACTTCATCAGGAGTGAGGACAACAAAATATGCCAAATTGGCGAGTACATAAATTACTGTAACAAATGGTAACGATATATAGATTGCTCTAGGTAAATTACGGAAAGGATCCTTCAATTCTTCAGTCACAAAATTTAGATAATTCCTGAAATATAGAAGAAAAATTTACATTAGCCAACAATGAATCAAACAAATTCAGACAATTTCTGGATAAACATGGTCTTTTGTTTGCTCAGTTGATATTTCCTTGTTTATTTAAGGCGACTTGATAGTCAAATTAATTGTTTGTAATTGATATGACTTTGAATTGCCATGTTTTGCGTGGTTATCTTACCATCCAGCATATGAAAATAAACCAGAATAAAAAGATGCAGCAATTTTACCAGGATCAGTTGCTGTGTTATCCCAAATTTTTGATAAATTTTGTGTTTTCCCTGTAAAATATGACAAAAACAGAACCAGATTAATTAAGGTAATTACTAGGAAAAGTTCATATTTGTTTCTGGTTTTTCAGGACAAAAATTTATCGATACAACAAAAAATTAAACTTTGAATTGAATGACATACAAAATGATGCACATAAACCAATTAAAATTATCATTCAAACATTGGAGGTTGTAAGTGCATTTCAATTGTTTGATTGATAATTTTATAACCACATTAACTAATCCACCAAGAGTAGGCGAAGTTATTTTTAGTTGAATCCTACAATAATCAATCAGAATGCTTGTTGACCTGATAAACTAATTTTATACCGCAATCATTTGATTTGAATCGGCAATAATTTAACGCTCTTCAAAACCTTAATTTCAAGTGTTTTCTTATCAGTAACTCTCATTGAATCATCAACTATTACCAAAGCATTTCAGACGCTCTCAGTTTCAAAATCACAAGACGATTTCTTCGATCAGCAGAAATTGATTGTAAATCAGATGACTTCATCATGATGGTTAACCAGAGATCAAATGGAGGTATTTAATCATTAACCAGGTTGGGTTTCTGCTGCTTATTAAAATATATTAAATGCATGGTCATTGACTTGCCAAAAATATTAATTCAGATTGTCAAACAATTGGAAAGGCAAAAGTGATCCCAGCGTGATTAAACTCACAATGGCAAGTCTAGATGATCGAGTAAATTTAGTGAATAAAGCATCACAATTAAAAACCACAATTCATAAGTCAATATTTTTACTTGATTGGTAAAAGGTTAATAGACTCTGACTCTAGTTATTAATCTGATTTACCTAGAAATATGTAATTTTATTTACTCGATCAGTGTAAATCTTAGGAGTCAATCAGAGGTAAAACTGAATTCACATGTTAAACCGAAATATTGAGTCTCCATGGGAGTTGAAGATTAACCTTAATTAGAAATAAATAAAACATAGCAAACGATTAATACTTGGTTAGTTAATAAAGTCAATCAAGTTCAATAAACTTGCTTTTAGGCAAAATTTGATGAAAAGTTGCAAGATTCGATATTTTTGCCTGGAATTTTTAATTGGCTAATATTCAACTGAATATGAAATAAAAGCTGCAAAATTAAATTTCAAGAGCTTGATGAGTTGTTACACCAGCTATGATCAAATTTTCCCTAATTCCGAGCAAAAATGCACTATCATTCAAGAATACTTTGTAATTTTAAACGCTCATTTCAAATGATTTGCCTGTACTTGCAATTGTAAAGATTGAATTTAAATCACTAGTAAACCCTGCTTAATAATTCACCCAACTTGTTGAATTAGCATAACATAAATTCATATCCATTGACCGGGCAGATTGTAAATTGAGCTGAAAATTTAAAAAAGTGCTATTTCACTCAATCGGTCAGCTCTTACAGTCTTAGCTTTTGAAAGTTAACCCAGGCTATTCCTTTGGTTCAATCTTGAAACAAGAAGCTTCAACTGAAAGCGATTCTGGTAAAATTTGGTTCATTTTAGGTGGATTGGTCAAGTAATAGACAAGAAATGTGAATAAACATCAACAAATCATTTCTCATAACAGTTTCAACATTAAATTGGATGGAAATTCATATGAAAATAGAAAATATTTTCATGAGAAATTTTTGGCAACATTCAAATAAGGAGTTAATCGCACTGGTGACAGTAAAACATAATTATAATTTAGCTCAACTAGTGCAAGCAGCAAATAGTAATGTGTAAGCAAATTTGCCCTTTAAGCGGAAATGGAATAAAATTTCCGGTTCAATGTCAAGTAAATAATACGAAATAATGAGTTTAAGCATACTATTAAAGAGGTTGTAATCAGATCAAATTTAGATGTAATTCAAATCATCAACAGATTAAGGGTTATACTGAGGATAAGGTTAATCTTAAGCGTTCATGTTTAGCTTGAAGACAGTTCTTTGGGTCATTATTTGACTGCTGCCAAAAATATCAACTTGATTGACATTGACATTGACTTATTTGCAGTGGTAAATAGACAATCAATGATTTCAATGTTGATTTGTTTGAATTTTGGGATAGGCGAAAGGTTACGTCAATTGGGTTGATTGAACTCTACATTTGCATTTGAATGGATTAGAAAAGTTTAAATGTTAATCATTAAATCTTATCTTAGCCTACTACAAATTGGTTAGGATTAATGAGATGATTTTATTGGGAAAATGTAATGGATTTTATAAGAAATTTATCTTCAAGTAGGAAATTAGTAGGTAAATCAGTCATTAGTTATTTATAGATATTCAATGTTGAGGAAACAATTTACAAACCTGAGATTAAGTGTACAGCTCCAGTGATTACAATTATGATCAATGCAATTATTTTTGAGATTGTGAAAGCATCTTGAACGCGGGTTGCCCATTTAACGTTATAACAATTAACGAATGTAAGGAAACCTGGAATTGTGAGTAAAAATCATTAGAAATTTGAACGCAACCAAAGTAAATAAATACAAAGATTGATGAAACATGGCCAGAACTGAACACAGTGAAATAATCGAAATTTAATTATCACTGATTAATTTTTCTATTGAAGTGAAAAGCATTGGCAAATCAACCTCAAGTCAAAACAAATCTATAATTGCAATTTTCCCATGTTATAAAGCAATGTGATAAACGATACTTATTGTTAACTTGAATTTACAATAACATAACCGATTTGATCACCATTTTACTTCCTTCCACAACTTATTCAATTTATCAAAATTCAAATTACTAGGTTTAACTAACCTTGGACCTAGCCAATAATTTAAAATCATTAATCACGTGTTTAGCTCATGTTAGGGAAGAGAAACCAGGAATGAAAAAAAAGAATAGAAAAAAGTTGGAGAATTTTTGACAGAATAATTGTTTTAACATTTTTTACTCACAAATGGCTGAGGCGGCAATCAGACGAACTGCATTATCTGGTGGAGAGCAATCATATAAGGGTTGAAGTAAGTAATTGGCAAATGTAATGGCTGCAATGGCGTTTCCAGCGGGCATTATTATGAACATGGCAACCCAAAGGAATAAAAAGGCAGGCAAAGGTCCGAATGCTTCTTTAATGTAAGCATAATCACCACCTGATTTAGGTACTGAAGTTCCTAATTCGGCGTAACAGGTTGCTCCAATGGTGGCAAGTATTCCACATGAGACCCAAACAAATAGAGATAATCCAATTGAACCAGCATCTTGGAGAACCCCTTTAGGTGTAAGAAATATTCCTGATCCAACAATGATACCAAGTATAATGGCAACTCCATTAAGAAGACCAATCTCCTTTTTAAGAGCAACAGATTCATTTAATGGATTAGATTCTGGAGACTCACAATCAGCATGTTGTGATATTTCTTTGTTAGTTTTACCACTTTCACTGTTATTTTCAACTAAACTACTCATCTCAAAATTAATTTAATAACTCGTTCTTTGAACAAAAATTGTCTGGTCAATTGAGGGAAGATCATTAACACTCACTTGAATAATGAAAGTTACTTTCTTGTTTCAAGTTGATAGAGAGAGAGAGACAAAGATGAGAGTCTTGATGATTTTAGTGATGATGATTATGTCTGTGGCGGTGATAGAAGATATTCAATTTGAAGATTATTTTTTTTGTTATCGTTGAACCCGATTCACAGCTTGCTTCAAGATCGGTTAACTATTAATGTTAATGGTTACAAGTTTACTAACAAAATGCTTTTCATCAAAGAGGATTAACTATGAGTGAGACTTGACTGGTTATGGTCATGATTTCCCCCTTTATCATCATTCCCATCATCATCCTACTATCAACATAGTCGATCTCTCCTTTGCTCTCTCTATCTCTCACAGTAGAAACTGAACTGTTGATATCATTTCTCTTCTCCTCTCGGTTACCTAAATGCCATTTTGTGTTTTTTGTCTTTTCCTTTTTTTTTTATTTACAATTTAACAGATTGTTCGATAGATTATTGTGTTTCTTTTTTTAACTATTGCCTACTAATTAAGCTATTTGCCTTTGTTGACATTTGTCTCCTCAATCGTTTCAATTGGATTTTAATTGTGTTAACTTAACAATTGGTAACTTCACAATTCTTCTTCTATTTATATTCAATCAACAAAATATTTACAATCTTCATTCTGAACTAATCCTGCTGTCACTCTAGTCTTCATGTTTAACAACCTTTAAACACACTTTTCCCTCCATAGAATTGATTGTCAACCATTGAATTGGTGTGATTTATTTAATCAGAACGATTTTCATCACCGTATTGAAATTAATCATATGTTTTGCCGAAAAAAACCCACAGCTGATGAAAATTAACTATGATGTCATCTAAATGCAAAATTCCATTGAAGATAAATTATCTAATTTGGCTAATCTTTACCATTGCATACATGACAAGGATAAAAAATAGTAAATCACAAAAAGTGAACTTACTCTTTGCTTTTAAAAAAAATTTGTCCATCCAATATCATTCAACTTTAGCGCCTTTCTTGTGGCACTGATCAGGTGTAATGAGACAGGGTATACTTGATCCCGCTCTATTCATATCTGGTTAAAATCACAATGATATTAGTTAACAGCTTTCACTTGTCAATTACATCGAATGAAATGATTTATTCTGAGCTAGCCCTAGGCTAAACTATCATTCAATTAATACCTTAATGTTGGACAAATAAGCTGACTAAAAGCGTTTTCACTTTTGATTCACGTTTCAAAAAGTACAGACAGATATTCATCAATTGTGATTAGGAAGTACAATTGATAGTTGCAAACAAACAAGTTTGAAGAGAAAAAGAGCGTAAAAGAGGGAGAATGAACATGAATGAGGGAGAAAGAGATGAACCAAACAAGAGTCATCTTGATAGACTTTGGTAAACTGGGTCTTTCAACATTTTTATTTCCTTTTGTTAATTAAATTGTTCATTTATGTTGATCCATTTTTTACCCTTGTATTAATTGACAATCTTATTTTTAAAGGACTCATCGAAGGTACGTACTTGTTGTTCAATATTATCTGTCTTTCTATTTACGCGTCACTCTGTTTGCTGGTGTAAAGTATTCTGGTTGTTGTGTTTCATATGGTTCTTTACTTGTATCGTTTGCATTCTTTTTCCCTTCCACCTGTGCCTAAATTGTCCTAACATCTTATCTTTTCTATTTCCAGGCCTACTTACCATTTTATTGTATTGTATTGGATTAACTCTGTGATCTATAGCCGACGTGCTTTTACTCATTTCTTGACAATATGGACAAATCCGAAACCTTGAACAAACGTCAAAGTAGGCCCACAGTTAATTCAAATCCAATTGAAAGGAAAAGCTTTCGATCTTTAGTGTGTGATGAAAGTGGTATCATTATTGGTGAGATGGTCTATCGGTGTTTAATCTGTTCCTTTATCAGTGAATCAATGGATAAAGTTCGAGCACATTATCAAACAGAACATGTTGACATCGAAGATATAAGCAATGGTGAATTTAAATATGTAAATAGTGATAAATAGAAATACGATGGAAATTGATGGACAATTTTAGGTACTCGAATGTACCTGGAATGTTGGTGGACTGCTTATAAATAAAATTTTTATTTATTATTATTTATAATTATTGAATTGGAGTTATTATATTTTATGTTATGTCAATCGTATTATTTTTGGACTTTCGCTATTAAGTGCTATTAATGGCAAGCCTTATGATCAACCACTGGTTCAAAATGGTCGGGATGACGGTTTCAATGGTGGATATAATCGAAGTGATGGTTACGTTATGATTCTCATCTTCCAGAAAAGCCAAGACGTTCAAACAGCACCTTGGATCGTCCCTTTTGAACTCAAGGACTCAGCCAGAGTAACAAGGTTTCTCAGTGTTTTTAAATCGAGAAATCCTTTTTTGGTTCCGCATTGCTAATTGCAATTCAACAAAAAAATTCATCAAAGTAGCTCAAAGGCGGAGTTGTGAAGGATGTTGGTTTGCAGACAAGAATCTTATAACAGAACTGGGTTTATCCTGCATCTATTATTCAAGTATGTTATAACTTGTCTAGACTAGAGCTTATACGCAGAACATTTGAAACGAGTTTTCACCACAGCGTTTTCTTAAGCAATGGTAACATGCATTCCATAAATTTCCCAGAATTTCTATTTGGAATGATGATATTACTCTGTGATTTCTCTCTACAAATTACCGTTTTTATAATTTTATTATCCGTGGATATTGACGAGTCGAGATATTTTTTAGATTCATCAGACCAGCAACTTTATCCTAAGCAAATGCTCAATACTCATCTAATTCATTCTATTCGCGTTCACAGTCAACCAATTACAGCACTTCAACTAGATTCTAGTCATCTAATAACATGAAGTGCTGATCATTTAATTAAATTTTTCAAAATGGAAACGGGATCTTGTAGCTAAACGTAGTATTTCGGTGGTATCAGCTGCCTCGAAGTTGATAAGGTAATTTAACTTAAGATTTAATATTATTCAGTTAATTTATTAATTTATTAATGTCTTATTGTCTTAATGTATTATTTTTTATTTGAATTTATTATCTTTTAGACTACACCAAATTCAGCTTTAAGTGGTTGTAAAGTTGGTCAGATTTGTCTTTGGGATCTTACAACTGGAACATGTTTATTTAACTTGGAAGCTCATACGGATGCAGCAGTAACTGCTCTTTTGGCTACAAGTTTATATGCTATTAGTTTAGGAACAGATAATAAAATCAATATTTGGGACAAATACTCTGGCCACCTCGTTCATTCATTACCAAATGTAAGATTTCCTCACTTTTGCACACAATGTTTAAATATATGGATATCGTAGATCGTTAATACATGTTAATACAATATTTATTATTTCTTTTCTTTTAGCAACGTTCGTTTTGTAGTGGAATGGTTCCTTTGAGGTCTAATATTCTGATCACTGCCAAAGAAGATCATCTAATTTTATGGGATCTTAGCGAAGCTGTTCCATTATTATTGTTCCATTTGTTATCAATTTAAGCTCTTTTGGAGATAGTAAAAGTTCTTGTATCAAGAGCCATACTTTGTATGCATCTCTTAACATGTTGGCAGTCCTAAGCGAGACAGAGCGATGTTTTTCCGTCGTTGCATTATTTCCCAGTATACATCATGAACTAAAAAATTTAAAGACAAAAATTTAAGATTAGTCGTTTTCGGTGTTTATAGATTAATTAAAATATTAGTTAACGATTTGAGCTTCAAATTATTATGCTCAAATGTTCATAAGCATACTCACAGCTGCTCTTAACTAATCCTTGTTGAATGTAGCGTAAATAGCAGAAGAGATCACAGACAGCGGCTATCCGATTACGACAAAGAAGAGAAATGTTGTACCAATCTTGTCCTAACTTCATACGATATTTACAAGTTCTTGGTATATCCAAGAGAGCACACTTCCTGCGATATAAAATAATTACATTGTATTAATGAATAGAATAGTTCAAATAAAAAAATCGTGATGTAAATGTAATCGTCAACAAAGTTAATGACTACAAGTACATGCTTGAATACAATGAATTTAAAAATCATACTTGGGAAATGCTGACTTATCAGAAACTGATTCTATTGCGATTGAGTTATCTTCGATGGCGGATAGCACGGATTCAGTTAGTGATTTGTTTTTAAAATTAAAGACTGGATAAACTTCTTGCTCGTAAATACTATTAATGAATGAGCTTGACTTATCAATACACGGATTTTTTCGCCATTCAGCAAATTGTTGATGGAAAACAGGGTCAACTTCCCCTAAAGATGATGAACCTGGTGTTACGACCTCAAGATCGCAAGTAACTCCATTAGATTCATAATTAAGTCCAGGATTTCCTCCCAATTCATAGTTGCTAGGAGATTTTTTTGGTGTAGTTTGATTTGAGTCAGATTTGGTAATTATACCTGAAAGTAAAAATACTGGTTAGCAATAATCATAAAATTTCGACAAACAAAAATTGAATGGGGTATACAAAATGAAGAATAAATGAATCAAAATAAAAAAAAATAAAATAAAAATTACGTGGTAAATGGGTAAATGGACTGAGTTTTGCACGCCAATATTCAAATTCACCTTTAAGGTTATTTTTACTCCCCTCAATATGAGGGTGAAGATGTTTATTGGGAGTAGCGGGTGTTGAAGTAATAACTAGAACTTTAAGAGCATCCACTTCAGCTTGAAGAACATGCATTTTCATCATTGCTTCTTTGTAGTCCCGTTCAAATTTGGCTTTCTTAACATTAGCTGCTCGAACCATTTTATTGGCTTCTTCGAATAGACTGGCGGTTAAATCCTCCAATTCATATTCAACTTGACTTCGAATGCGAGACAACTTTGTTATTTCATCGTCTTTTGCTGTCAATTCATGTTGCACTTTTTCCAATTGTTTACTAAGAAGCTGGATCATCTCATTGGGATTCGATTCATTAGTTTTATTCTCAATTAATGGGGGAATTCCTGAATTTTCAGAAACAGGTAGCTTATCAGCATTTGCAGTTGCAGAGATCGCTTCAATGGCTGAGACTGGTGAAGCATCCGATTGAGATTTGCCCTTTCTGTCCACACAATGCAATCCGTTTTCAGTTGAGTCATCGTCATCATCATCAGTACCATGGTCTAAATCTGAGTCGTTCCCAGTCTCAGGCCAATAACGCCTTAACTTGACTCCAGTCTCTTTTTCAAGAGAATCAAATTTATCCTTCATCCTAGTTTTGCATTGAGTAACCAGTTGTTCCTGAAATCGAAGAGTTTCCTCTGACACATCTAACTTTTCAGATGATGAACGAGGGGTTGAATATGCAGATGTTCCTGGACCACTTGAGGAAGAGCCATTTTCACTGGTTTTATTGATAACCTGTTGAGGTGACTGAGGGACATCGGGATCAGTAACTAGATCTGTTTTATTTTTTGAAGGTGATGAAGGAGTAGATGATGTTAATTCAATAACATTATCGATACCATTTCCATTTACTTGTGTACTCATTACTGTTAGAACTGATTTAACAATGAATTAAATATAAAATGTGTTGAATGAGCAAAGAGTTGGAACAAATTGACACAAAGAGTAATGGATGGACTTGAATTATTTTAAATGGCAATGAAAACACAATGTAAGTAGCGAGTGGATGAGTATATGGAGTGAAGAAAAATTTCAATTGCAGAGCTTTTCCATCAGTTTGTTCGCCATTTGACAAAGATGGGAGCTAAGTTTATTGCTGATCACATTGGTTGCTTGTTAATAATAACGATTATCCATAAAGAGTAAGTCAATTAACGAAACGATAAATAAGATTGGGACAACAGGCAAGAAGATAATCTTGGGTTCCTCATTGTTAAGCTAAAAGAAAAAAGTAAACAATGTTATAGCCTCTGGTGATATTAGCACCAATACTTTCTTAGTCACCATCATCACTATTGCACTAAGTAAAATATAACATGTTGATTATAAATTAACAATAAGATGGATCAGAATTAATCCAATTAACAATTAAATAAGACAAAACATTTGCTTGGTTCAGAGTAAAATTTTTGACTCTCTCTTGTGGGAAAAAGTCATACATTCTCACAACTGGTTATAACTCCCTCTTTCTTCTCTTTCTTTAAAATCACACAAGAAGCCCAAAATAATTTTTCTCATTCTTATAGAACAATTTGATTTGAGTTGAAATCATCAACTTCCCGATTCAATTAACTAATGAAAAAGTGGCTGAATCCCCTGTTCTAATAGCAGACCAACTAAGCTTTATTGTAACTCACCCACTTTTATCATTAGACTATTAATTAACACGACTGAATTCAACAAAGAAGAGTTAAGAAACGTCGATTTATTGATAAAAATACGCAGTGAATTATTAAGGCGCTAATAACACTTGCGAACGATTGAAAAAATCACAGAAAATTATTCAATCGGTGAAACAATGTGAATATTCGAGATTTATCCGCATATTATTATCATATTTATGATTACTAATCATTAATATTAATTAGTTATCGGCCATCATTCAATAATTTAAGCTTTTCAATCCAAAAATTTTATCGATTCAAAATTTAGATGAAAGATGAGACAGTATTCTCGATCCCGAACATTTACCACAGAAATCTGAATTTATCGGTATTTGAAATAAATTTTCTATGCTTGCAATGTTCCGATAGTTAGATAAATGTATTTGTTATGTTCAGTTTCAATTCTTTAGCTTCGCTCATATTATTTGTTCATTGAGTAATTTATTCGGCGTATTTGATCAACAATGTATTACATTAATGTAAATATATTTAAAGTAAATTTCAAATAACTAATGACTTATTGAAATTTGATAAATTTACTACAAGAACAACTTCATAATGGAAGTACATTATTTTCACGTTTCAACCATTTCAATGATACAAATTCAAATTACATTTTTTGTCCAGTTTATACTCCAGTATAACTTGAAAAGATTCTGGACAAAACACTATTCGATCGAGCACCGAGAGGTTCAAGTCCTTCGGGTGGCAAAATCTCTCCACATTTGGCACTTGTGTATGGATAAGACTGGCACAGCATTTCTGGTAATCGAGATGAAGATAGTCGAACGATTTTACGACTCAAATCAAGAGCAGCCTGACCACATCTATTTAAAATTGAGACGGTAACACACTCTTGGAATCGATTGTAACCACAACAAGCCATGGCAACTCGATTATCCCAGCTTGTTTGTGTCAACTCTTCAAGGGATCGCTGTAAATCTTTGATACATTGTTTGGATTGAGATCGAGCTTCACTCAAACATCTTGCATGTCTCTTGTATTCAGCTCGTATCTCTGTTCCTGGTGTACAAAATTCATCTGCAAGGCTTTTTCCTCCTTCAATAACGAAATCAACCAATTCCCGTTGTAATGATGTCACACATCGTCGGGTATAATTCTGGCGACATGATTGAGCCTCTCTAATGTAACCACACTGGCGATCAATTTCAGCTTCTGTTCCTTGTAGTCCTATCAAGAAAGATAAAAATTAAGAATTGTTAGTTAAATTGTTTTGATTTGTATCAAGATGCTAATTAGTTATCACCTGTCTTCAATCCCAAAGAATATCTTTTACAAGCGTTTACTGAATCAGACTAATTTTATATTGCTTCACATTGAATGGAAACCAAAATCTGAACAAAATTATTAATATAATTTTTTTCCTTCAAAATGGTCAAATATATTGTCCAATATTAAAAGGTTAATAGCAAACCAGTTTACGATTTTATTTATATGAACTAACAATCATTTGTTTCAATTAACTTGAAACAAGTAACCTGCTTAATATTAACCTTGAATTTAATCAAATTAATCTCAATGGTTTACTTTCATTGATCTATAACCAAGTTTTACCTTTAATGATCACAAGCGTTGATACACAAATAAACTATTAATCGTGTAAACGACAGCAATGACTTCAAGATGAAACAAATTAACAGTCAATTTGAAAAAGAGATGAAATTAACTAATTTTTTGAAGGAAAACTCTTTCATGCAAATTCATTCATCATAATGTCAAAAAATTACCTTGAGTATTTTGGGTGAAAACAAGTAAAGTTGCCGTACAAAGGTCAAGCTCTCTCATGTGACATGAGCCTGTTTGTCCATTGATTGCTTGTGAACCTGAAATGGGTGATGAACAAAATCAATTAATCAATTGTTTAACTTCACAATTATCAAAAATGAAAATCCATTAACAGAAAACAGTGAAACAGAAAGGATGAATCATAACTCACCAAATGAAATGATTAAGATAGCGACAATTAAAAGCATTGTTTATGACTTCTGCTGATACCAAATGACTCAAATGATTGTTAACAAATTGTATTATTTTAGTTTGAACTAGATTTGATAATTTAAACGTTTGATGATATTAATTGATACAAATTGATCTTGAAACAGTTTTCATGTTGTCTCGACTTCACAGTAACAAAAAGTGAAAGTGAATAAAACAAAATTGAAATGTTTGCCTTTTCTTATTCCAATCGTAGTCATCAGCATGTTTCTACTCAATCTCGACCTCAGGCAATTGAATTTCGATGTTGATAACAAACAGGTATTAATGAGGAGGGTCTTAATTGCCGTGTTTTACATTAAAATTCCTCATTTTGTCAAGAAAAGCACAAGATTCTGGAAATTGGATCATCTTTCAATTCTGCATTTCTTTTCCACTAAAATCAAGTGAAATGGTTCGAACTGAGGAAAACTCAGGATTAATTGTTAGTATAAAATGGATTTGATGTAAAGTTAGCTTCTAAATTGAATGTAATCAATAAGTAATTTAACATAAGCTCAAATCCTGTTGCGAAAACCTTCATTAATTAATCATCTTGTCAACTTTTTCATTCTGTTATTTACATGATTCCTTATTATTGTGGTGAAAAACACAAGATAAGCAATTGTGCCGAAGGTAATGAAACTCAATACCAGTGTTATCTCCATGGAACCTCATGGAAATTCCCAATCTTTTGTGAAAACATAATCGAAAGAAAATAGAAATTTAAGAAATTTAAATTAGAGAGAAGCATGAAAGAATGAAATCTTATGAATTTAATGGAAGTTAAAGTCATTTCCAAGAACAAAGTTGAAACAACAAACTGGCAAAATTTATATTCTTAAACATTTTGGTGATTTTAAGATTAGCGAAGCCACTAGTGGACAATGTGCTGGACAATGGACTGTATAGAGTTTTTCCAGTAGATTAAAAAAGATTTACGAGACTTACTGAAGATTCTTAGTGAGCATATTGTGATGTTTCTTTGTCGGTTTTACCGATTCCAAAAGATGTGAGTTTTAATTATTTTTTGGCGGTGAAGGAAGATATTGGATTGAAAGATTTATTTTTTGAAATACAATAATAGTTATCACTTTGATCCAATTCACAGCTTTAAGATCGTTTGACTACCAATTTTAATGGTTAACCGATCTCTTTTGCTCTCTCTTTCACACTTTGAGATGGAACCTTTATTGTCATTTCTTTTCTTTTGGTTTTTAAATTTTTCAATTCACAATGTTTTGATATATTGATCAATATATTGCTTATGTTTGCTGTGTTTCCTTTCTTTTACCTAATAATTAAGCTATTTACCGTTGTCGACATTTTTTGTCTCAATTATCTCAAATAGATTTTAATTTTTAACCTTTCAACATTCACTTTTGCCTTCATAGAATTGATTTTCATTTTTTACCAAAAAATCACAGCTGATGAAAATTAACTATGATGTCATTTGGATAATCAAAGATGCTATTCAAGATTAATTAACTAATTAGCTAATCTTTGGCATTGAATACACGATAAGGATAAAAAATAGTACATCACAAAACTTACTCTTTGCTTTTAAAAAGTTGTCTATCCAATATCATTCAACTTTAGCGCCTTTCGTAAAGCACTTAAAAGGCGTAATAAAGTGTTGATCCCGCTTCATTCTTGTTTGGTAAAAATCACAATTTAATACAATAATTATATTGCTTAAAAGCTTCCACGTGTTGATTACACTACACAGAATAAATTATAAGTTTTTTCTGATGTAAATTATTTCAATCAGAAATTAATTAAAAGAAAGAAAGGTTTGAACAGAAACTGATTAAAACTGTAAAGCAAAATTCAGTCGATAATATCGATATGGAATATCGATGTATCGGCTGTTTTCATGTTGCATTTTTATTATGAAAACTGTGTTCTGGATAGAGATTTTGTGCTCAATAAAGATGAAAATGTTGTTACTGGAATGGTTATAAATAAAATTTGTATTTATTATTATTTATAATTATTGAATTGGAGTTATTACATTTTATGTTATGTCAATCGTATTATTTTTGGAATGTTGCTATTAAGTGTTATTAATGGCAAGTCTTTATGATAAACCACTAGCTTCAAATGATCGGGGCGGCGGTTTCAATGGCGCAGATAATCGAAGTGATTGGTGGTTAATAACATGGTTCTCATCATCTCGTTTATTTAATCTTAGTTTACCCTCTTTTAAAATTAAAGAGAAAGTATCTAATATTTACTATAAATATGGTCTGCTTTGTTCAACTTATCCATGGTTAATAATACTTCTTACATTTACCATATTTTCATTCTGTGTTTACCCAATTTTTGGTATTCATTCGTTCACCAACAACTATTTACAGAAGTATGTGACCCCTTTGGATAATTTTTATGTCTACGGTAAACCTGTCAAAGATACATCATCTTCATACTCATCCAATCATCATGCTCACCAACATCCTCACCACCAACCAAACTTGGAACTTCTCAAAGGCCCTCCAAGATGGGTAAGATTTTCTGTAAACAAAATCTAAAAGTAGCATTCTCAACAAATTATACCCTTTCATTGTTAATATGGGAGTAAACAATTGACTAATTCTAATTATTTTTCCAAATTTTTTTTAAATCTCAGTTTCAATCAGGTGCCCCATACGCAATTATTCAACAGATAGTTATCAAGTCTGCTGTTATCCCATGGAAGAGCAATCTTATACTTATGGATGCCATTCGTGCACCGTTGGCACAAGTTTTCTCTATTCTTGAATTTCTATCAAATTTTAAAACCGATCAAGGGTAAGAAATCGTTTAAATGTTCCCTCTTTCTATCTCAATTCTCGTTCTGTGTAATCCCACATAGTTTAAAAATGTTGCAATTCATTCTAAAAATTACCAGATTATTTCAAGGTAACAAATTAATCTTTCAATTTCTTTGTAAAGTCTCTCAAAAGCTCATCCGATTACTATAAACTACCGATGATTGTCCATCTCGCTTGATTCTCTTGAATTAGTTTGAATTGATGAAAATGAATTTCATATTCAAACTTGTAAAGAGGGAGATTAGATAACTGACATTACAGGAAATACACAATGGTAATTCAATTCGTTTAACATTAGTAATTACGTTTGAATCAATTGTTGATAATATCATATGTAAACTGCTAAGGGGAAACTTGTACAAAATTCATGTGAAATTATTTAAAGAAAACTGTTTTGTGTAACTCGGTAAACAAGATTGGACTAATCAAGGACAACGGTTATGAGTTGATTGCATTCACGCTCGTTTGTTTTTGCATGTCAATTTTTGTTTAAACAAATAACTAATATTTGATTTCATTACTTTGCTATTGTCTTTTTTCATATCTACAGGTCTAAATCAGTGAGCTTGAACGACATATGCCTTCAAATTAATGAACCAATAAGTTATTCTGATAACTCAGCTTCCAATGTACTTCCAAGATATAATTGCCTTCTTTTCTCTCCTGCCAATATTTGGAAGAATGATATAGACAAATTCCTACAGGATGCAACGATTATTAAAACTATATTTAATACTAAAGATTTTAGTTACCTGGACTCGGGTAATCTCAGAGAGATTCTATTTGGTGTACCTTGGATGGAAACTGGGATTAGACCCTTTTACGTTCGCACTCGACAAAGAACTTTAACTTTCGCTATTACAATTGCCTTCTCAGGCTATAATAAGATATTTTTTGAGAGTTTACATAAACAACTTCGAGATAGGTATCCAGTCAATCCACTTTGGGATCATCATCACGACAACAATAATTCCAGTGGCATCGACTATTCGTCCGATTCACCTCAAGTAGTTACTCATTTACACTTTCAGAATACTCTTACCTTTTCCGTCAATTCCCCTATTATAGCTTGTTATCTCTTGCTGTTTTTTTACATCTACTTTTCAGTTCGTAAGTATTTAAAATCAATCTCTATCTTCAAACAACCGTTTTTTCATTGATTGTTCAATAATACTTAACAATTCTTTAGGTGCAATTGAGCTGATTAAGTGTAAATGGGCTTTAGCTGCTGGATCAGTTCTTACTGTGGTGATGTGTCTTCTAATGACTCTAGGAATATGTTCATGGTTCGATTTCAATCCAACTCTGGATGGAAGTGAGATTTTGCCTTATCTCATAGTTATAATTGGTATGTTCAGCTCTTGTTCGCAATCCTCTTCAAGTTTTACATCACATCAATCTGCATCTTATTCATGTTCAATATGCTTACTCTTCTCTTCTTTTTGATTATCTCTAATTAACTAGATCATTCATCAATCAGATGATCACTTTTTTGATTGAACTGATAATCTTAATATGATTTTTTAAATAATTTTGCTTTAACCATTAACCTTATGAATTGTTTTTTGTGATTTTTTTCTTCAGGTTTGGAGAATATTTTAGTACTCACGCAGTCAGTCATTGCTACTCCATCTCATCTAGACGTTAAAGTTAGAGTAGCTCAAGGGCTAAGTCGTGAAGGATGGTCTATGAACAAGAATCTTATAACCGAATTAGGTCTTCTAACCTTTGGCTACTTCACTTTCGTACCTGTTATCCAAGTATGTATTGAGCTTCTACAACTTTATTAGATCTTTAAAAAATGAGTTTTTACCATTGCGTTTTCGCCGTCGCATGTAAAATACCTAAAATATTTTAATTCATTTCATTTTTCTCATAGGAATTTTGTCTGTTTGGAATGATGGCATTACTCTGTGATTTCTTTCTACAACTTACCATTTTCATAACTTTATTATCAGTGGACATTCAAAGAGTTGAGGTATTTTTGATGACAAAATCTTACATCTAAAAAGTATATTAATTCACTACTTTTCATTATTATTCGACAGCTTGATGGAAGCCACAAAAAAGCGAGTCACTCCACAAACGACTCTAAAAATAAAATGAATCGACTATTTGAATCTGGGTATGTACATATCAAATTTAATTTTGATCTTTGGAACTAACTAATTGAATATTAAATTTATTTTCAGATCTAATCTCTACGAATCTGATGCAGCTCGTTTAAAAAATGTTAGTTATTGGCATAAATCAAACCCAATGAAACTTCCAAAGAGACTTAGACTTGTTTATTTTTGGACACGCACTCGATTTGTTCACCGATTCCTAATGATGGCGTTGATTGTTTGGATTAGTATTTTACTTTATAGATCAGGAGTAGTTGATCATTACAATTTACCTGATGATGAGTCAATAGATTTTGTTAAGGAAAGCAAATTATCAAAAGAGCCTGTTTCACGAGCTCCTCCAATTGAAGTTGTATCAGAAACAAAATCAAATGATTTTGAACACTCACAAAATCGATTAAAATATTCAAACAAGGACCCCCGGGAACTTTTATCTTCACATCACTGGTTTACTCTATTTGGATTTTACAACATTTCACTTTCTGGAAAATATTTATCGTTCCTTCCACCCATTCATTTGGCAATACCAGTCGATCCAACTGAGGCTCATAAAACCCGCCATCCGTCCGAAAGTGATCCTCAAATATTTCGACAATTCTTGTATCCTGGAAGCATTCATGCTTCTTTTGATCAAAGTGATGACTGGGACGAATTTTCTTACGATGAATCAAATGATATTCACAATCGGCCTCATTGGTCCTCAAGAGAAATTTTTCTTGCTTTACTACTCTCTACTCCCACTCTAACATTTATCATTTACATCTTGGTTACAATGTATCGATGTATGTGTTCTCGGCGTTATGATGAATGGCGCAGTTCTTGGTCAACTCCCAACCATCCAAAAGGACAGGATATATCGCGTCATAAATTGGAAGATTATTTTCTTGAAACTATGATGGTTAAAAGACAAGCTCATCAAGTTGAAGTTGAAATCGTTGAGTGTTCAAATGAATCACCATATGTTGCTTCATGTTCAATGGAAGGTGATATACGAGTTTGGGACGTTCTTTCTGGTGAATGTCATTTATTTATCCAAAGATCGCTTTTATCAGATTTAATTCAACTCGAAGAGCCCAAAACATTTAAACCTCATCATAAACCAAGCAGTAGTTTCTCCTCTGACTCGACTTATGGTTCATCTCCAAGCACGGGCTCTGGGGAGTGTTTAGAGACAAATTTTTCTCCGTCTAGCTTTGATCCTTCATCACTGAGTTACTCTCGTGTTCATAAATCGACAGACAAGTCTAAATGTGGTTATGATTTCAAACCCTTTTACTCTCGTTTTAACTCATCTAAAAATTTGATTTCAGAACTGATAGTTAATGCAGCTGCATCTAGTGATATTGATGCTCATCCATATGAGATATCTGCTAATCTTAAACGCGAATCTACTTTATCTTTCCAACAAATTTGGTCTCTTGATGTATATGAAAGATTTATTTTGGTTGGCTGTGCTGAAGGACGTTTTGAAATTTGGGACACGCTTACAGGTCTTAATCATTATAATCAGGAATGTATGGCAGGAATAACTGTAATTAAAGCTCGTTCTGGTAAACTGGTAATTGGAAGATTAAATGGTATATTAGAAGTGCATCAAATTGAGAGTAATTTTCGAACAGAAAATAACGGATGCTATGTTTTATCTTCATCATCATCTTCGTCTTCATCTTCATTCACATCTTCATCGTACATTAACAATTCTACTTCAACTCAATCATCAGACCCGCAACTTTATCCTAAGCAAATGCTCAATACTCATCTAATTCATTCTATTCGCGCTCACAGTCAACCAATTACAGCTCTTCAACTAGATTCTAGTCATCTAATAACAGGAAGTGCTGATCATTTAATTAAAGTTTTCAAAATGGAAACGGGATCTTGTAGCTATACATTACATGGGCATTTCGGTGGTATCAGCTGCCTAGAAGTTGATAAGGTAATTTAACTTAAAATTTAATTTTAATCAATTAATTTATTAATTTCTTGTATTTTTTATTTGGATTTATCATCTTTTAGACTACACCAAATTCAGCTTTAAGTGGTTGTAAAGTTGGTCAGATTTGTCTTTGGGATCTTACAACTGGAACATGTTTATTTAACTTGGAAGCTCATACGGATGCAGCAGTAACTGCTCTTTTGGCTACAAGTTTATATGCTATTAGTTTAGGAACAGATAATAAAATCAATATTTGGGACAAATACTCTGGCCACCTCGTTCATTCATTACCAAATGTAAGATTTCCTCACTTTTGCACACAATGTTTAAATATATGGATATCGTAGATCGTTAATACATGTTAATACAATATTTATTATTTCTTTTCTTTTAGCAACGTTCGTTTTGTAGTGGAATGGTTCCTTTGAGGTCTAATATTCTGATCACTGCCAAAGAAGATCATCTAATTTTATGGGATCTTAGCGAAGCTGTTCCTTTACGTGTTATCAATTTAAGCTCTTTTGGAGACAGTAAAAGTTCTTGTATCAAGAATTTGCGTATTGCTAACAACAGTCGAGCCGTTGTTTGTGATTATGGAAAGAATGTTTGTTTTATCCATTTTCCTGGTGTTACACAGAAAAGTGATTAAAGTAATCTTACTGTCTTAACACGTTGAAAAAGTTCAAAATCAAAACGAAAGCAAAATCCCCTAAAGCAAAACTACCAAGTTTGTTAAAATGCTATCATCTTCGTCAGATTGGAAAAAGTTCATCTCCAGATGAAAAAGTACACGACAGTTTTAATGATTGAATATAGTTCTATAATCAATAACAATGTAAGTTACAGAAACGAATTCAATTAAGACAATTTCTTCATACGCATTAACATACTGAGATCAGAGATGTTCATGAGATGATTGTCTTCGCTGAATTCGTTTCTGTAATTAAAATTATTGATTAATTAATGATTGGATGATATTCATTCTTCAAAATGTGAAATGGCTGTATAAAAATATTTAATATAATGTATTATTGTAATCAAAAATTTTCGTTTCAATTTAAATTTTATGAAACTTCTGAAATTCTGCCTTTTATTTTTGCAATATTCGCGTAAATTCAATTCATTCACATTACTAGTCTTAATCAAAATTCGTATGAACAAAACTATTAGCTTAAACATGTTTGCAAAATTTATATTATTAGAGTAAGCACTGGCATCGCTAATTGCTTTTTCATCCAATCTGGATAAATTATGTGACTTCAAACCATTCAATACATTGAAAAAAGTCCCATAATTTATCTACACAGGTTAGTACACATTGATTATAGTAATTAACTCTGATCTAGTCAAAAAATGAACTACAAACACTTATACTTCTGTACTACTTATATCTCTGAAATTATCAAGCCCATTGGATAATAATAACTATAATTTAATATCGAAGCAAAATGATAAGTGAAAAAAACAACAGAACTTTTTTTGTACCCTAGTATAATTTAATGGGAATTGAGAACACCATTCACATTAAAATATCTGAAAGGGGTACATGAGATTCTCAGTCAGTATACTGTAAAGATATTTTATTTAAATTAATAGCATATTTACCTGACAGAAGTTTCATAGATTCATCTCTATTTTAAAATAAATGATCATTTAATCTCTAGAATCTCGACAACCATAATACACGTATTGAAAAGGAGTGCTTGAAATTTCATCCTTTTGGAGTTAGCTGTAAACTAAAACAGAAAAACATTAGAAAATTCTCAGCAATTTTTATCATAATTTAAGATAATATAATTTAAAATCTTTCATCAATCATACTCTTGGTGTTGTTGAAAAGCTGGGTCAATACTGAAAAAATGTGATCTAATTAATCAGAACGAGTTTATTCATCATATTGAAATGAATCAGATGTTTCTTCTTGTAAAAAGAATATATATTAAGAATGAATAGCAATGTTAATACAATGTCATCACATGAAACTTAAGATTTCATGGGATTTAATTCAAAATAGTAATCTAACAAATTATTAAATGTTACCAAACTGTACTACAGAACAGAAGTAAAAAGAAGTAAAAAGAGTCAAAATGGGAAAATGTATTATATAAAAGTATTCAATTTAAGCGCCAAAAAGGAAGACTGATAAGAGGGATGAACATCCCGCTTCATCCCTCTTTTATTTCTTTTCTTTACACCGTTTGAATTGTGTTTGTGAATAAAAGTTAAGTTTGAATTAATCTAATTCAATGAAAACAATTATTTTTTTTGGCTACTCCGGTTCCTAGGTCATTCCTAGTTAATCCTGGTTCATGTCTCCTCAAGATAACCTAGCAAAAGTCAACATGAATGAACCGGATAAGAGTGAAAATGACGGTAACCCACCAAATTGTGGTGACAAGGTAAAGACTTGCCTCTTGTTTTCTTTATGTTGTGCTGGTTAAAAAAAGATTTTCCCTCGTTTTTTGATTGACTTATTATTTAATTGATTGTTCTGTTTATAATATATTTTTCTATTTCTTTTCCAGGCCATCCGTGTTGAACAAGATCTCTTTAAAGGTGTTCAGTTTTGCATTTGTGATGATGTTGATGCTGCAGAAGAGGTTAGTTTGAGTTGTCTCGCTTCCAACATCACCCTCTTTTCTATTTCTCTCTGTTACATTTGAAACCAGAAAGAAGGCAAAATTGCATATTTATACCGGTGTTATTTTCATTTATTGTGCCGTTTTATTAATTTTTTCATACTTTCATCCATTGGCAGGTCAAAAAAGTTCTGGTTGAAGGAGGAGGTAAACTTGTAAATTATTTATCTGATATAGCTACACACTTGATTGCTAATAATCCGGACCATCAAGATGTTTGTCAAGCTTTAGAAATCTACGAAAAACCTGTGGTTACTGTGAGTATCAATTGATAATGGTATCTTTTCGATTAATTTGGTTACTAATTTTTACTTTATTCCTGACAATTAATAGAGTCGTTGGGTATGGTTGAGCGCCAAAGCAGGATGCCTTCTTCCGTATGTTCAACTCTTTTTGCTGTTATCATAAACAATGATCATCAGATTTACTTATTTTACTTTTTTTCTTACAGTACTGCTGCTTTCTCACCTCTCAAAAACAGACTCATGTCTGGTGTGGTAGCCTGTCCATCTAACCTTCAACGAGAAGATTTAGATGCTTTATGGGCAATGATTACATATCACGGAGGACATTTTCAAATAAATCTAGACAAAATGTGTACTCATCTCATCTCTGGTAAAGCAGAAGGGGTAAAATATGAGAAAGCTCTTACAATGAGTGATAAAATTAAAATTGTAACCCCAGATTGGGTCATTGATAGTATTAAAGGTAAAGCTTTGTGTGATGAGGAGCTTTATCATCCTAAATTGCTCATATTACCGGGTGATAAAGTAGAAACAAAGAACGAAACATCTATCACGCCAGTATCAATACATGATACAATGAACATGATTACTTCAACGATTAGTGAACAACAAAGTAACACTGTGACAAGTGCGCCATCAACCCAAGTTACTTTAAGAACAGTATCCTTGCCTCCTCCTACTATGGTTGCTAGTGTTAATGCCCCAGGACTTGGTCAACAAGCAAGGCCATTAAGAGTTTTGGTGCCTTCCCAAAATCAAGAATTGAATCCTGTAGTACCACAACAAAGTGGTCAGCCTCGTCAGGTATACCTAGCATTACAACAACCTCAAATACGACAGCAGCAAGTGAACTTGGCGCAAGTTCGTCAACATGCTCCTCGAGGGCCAGTGACTGAAGGAGTTCAACCAGTCAAACCAATTATTTTACAGCAAAGAATTCAACCTCCAGGTAATTTAGATTTCTCTGCTATAAAGACACAAACTGTCACTCATTCAATGTTAATATTTACAATATTGATTCTCTTTGATCGTGGTCGGATGGTATAATTAATTACTTAACTGAAATCAGCTAAGATAGACCAAATGAAAGGACTTCCAGTTAGCTGATTGATTAGCTTTTTCGTTAAAAATGCCTAGAACGTTTATTTGTTTATAATCAAGGCTTATCCGCTAGATTTCTGTAAGAAGCATTCGATGATGCGTTTGTCTTTTTTTCTTATCACTTTTTTAATCACAATTTCAATGCACAGTTTATGAGACTAAGTTTATGGATAAATACAATTTAATCAGAGAAATATCAAAATAGAATTGAAATAAACTTATAAGTAAACTTGAATACAAAATATGATTGTTTATTTTTGAGATCAGATAGTATCCACTGGAAATTTTTCTAAGCTCAAAAAACTTAAACTCTTAAACTTAGAAAAATCCTCTTTACTAGATAAAGAACTCACGAGATCATACTCTATTTCATTTCTAAGGAAGTTGAGATTGATAAATTTTACTGAGTCTTTGAATAAGTAAATAATCTCCTAATACGGCCAGTGTTGATAATCTCATATCGCATTATATTTTAAAATTTTAATCTTTATTTATTTTTACCAAAAATTTTTAGCATTGCAACAAGTACAGCCTCAACAACAACAGCCTCAACAACAACCTCCTCATTCTCAACAAAACCACCAATTGGTTCACCAGCCTCAACCTTCTCCACAACAGATTCATCAACAGCAAAGTCAGGTCCAACAACCACCTCAAATCCAGCGTTTACAGCAACAGCAACAGCAACAGCAGCAACCACAACAGTACCAACAACTTGTCCAGCAACATTATCCTCGTAAGTAATTTTTGAATTCATTTTAGCGATATTTTCTTAAAATTCACGTTCTGCTATAACTTTTCTCTTTTTTTATTTTCAGCCTTAAAAGATGGACAATCAGGAGTCCCTATCTCTTTTCCAAATCAACAACAACCCCCGCTTCAGTCTCATCCTCAGCAGCAGATCCCGCAATCACTTCAATCCCAATCTCAACTTCAACCCCAATCCCAACAACTACAGCATCCCCATTCTCAAATGCAGCTACATATGCAACAACAGCAACAACAGCAACAACAGCAGCAACAACAGCAACAACAACAGCAACAACAACAACAACAACAGCAACAGCAGCATCAGCAGCATCAGCAGCAACAGCAGCATCAGCAGCAGCAACAGCAGCATCAGCAGCATCAGCAGCAGCAACAGCAGCAGCAACAACAGCAGCAGCAACAGCAACAACTAACCCAGCAGCAACCACAACCACAACCACAACAGCAGCAACAGCAACAGCAACAGCAACAACCACAACCCCAACCACAACAACAGTTTACACAGATCCAGCAACAATCTCATTTAAAGCCACAGTATATTCAAAATCAACAATATCTTATACAGAACCAACAGCCCCATCAAAATCAAACACAACAGCCTACAAATCAGATTGCATTTAAAATGGGTGTTCCCCCCAACTATCCCGGGTCGACAGGTATGGTGTCACCTGGGGTACAATATGTTAATACCATGAACCAAAATCAAACCGTCCAAGATCCTAATCAGCAAATTCGTTTTCTTCAAGGTCAACAAATGAATCAGGGGCAGAGACAAGTGATTCCTGTACAGCAAAGACCCCCTCTTATGCAACAAATTCAGTCCGGTCAACAAATAATGCGTGCACCTATTCAACAAACCCAAGTTTTCAGTGGCTCACCTCCAACTAATCAAGATAACATAATGCAGGATATGCAGCAACCAAACTCTGTACAAATGGTTCAAAATCAACAATTTGTACAGATTCAAAGGCATAATCCTCCGCAAATGGTTAATGTGAGTCAACACAATGGCCCTCATCTTATCAGAACACCATCACCTCAACAGGTCGTTTATCAGCACCAAGGACCTTTAGTTGGTCCACACCAAAGACCTGTTATGCAAGGAATGCAACAAGTTATGGTTAGTTAGCTATACTTAATTAAATTTGATTCATTTTACTAAATTATCTTTTAATTTAAAGCAGCCAGGGACACCGATATATAACCAACAAGGACAACAAGTCGCTGTAGGTCCATCTCAGGTTCAGCGTGTTCCACAGCTCAGGATGCAACCGAACTTTCAACAAATGCCTAGAGGCCAATTTCGTGGACCAGTTCAAGCTCAACAGGTCGTAACTGGTGGACCTCCTCGAAATTTTATTAGACAACAAGTAAATTTTCAATCTTTTTAATACGACTTAAATAAACTAAATTAAATAAATAAATCTAAATCACAATTTATCATTTATTCAGATACCAGTTCAAGGCCAATTAATTCCCAGACAGGGTCCACCGCCTGTTCAATACTCACAGCATTTTTCACAACAAGCATCCCATATCGGATCTCAGCAACCCCAACCAGCTCCACCGTCCCAGCAGTTACATGATCAACAACATTTAATTCCTAACCAGATCTCCAATCAAATTCCTGCTCAGCATCCACAAGCACCACATCCTCATACTGGAGTGCAATTGGAGACCCAAACCGTACAAAAACCTAACCAGACTTTAATACGTGGTCAAGCTAGCCAGAATTGGAATCAACAATGGACACCAACTGCGGAAAGTCCATGCGGAATACCCAACCAGCGTCTTTTGATTAGACCTCCGTCCAATAACGTACTCATCGCTCAACAAAACGGCCCTGGCACGCCACAGATTCTGCATTCTCCTCAGCATGATGGAGCAAGGAAGCAATTACCTTTCGGGAACCAAACACCCGTTCGCATTATGCATACCGTTGGTCAACGTTTCCCTATCGCTCCTAATCAGGCGAGTGATCCATTAAAACAACATGCAAATTTAGCCCCACCTATTAATAATGTACGTTCACTCAGTACAACCTCCTCAAATACAAATACATCTTTAAGTAACTCTAATAGTCCTGGTTTCACCCCTTCTTCTCCTGCTGTCACCACTTCACTAACTATTACCCCTCCCTCTATCACAAGTACTTGTGCCTCTGCAGTAGTTACTCCTAAAACTAAGACCACTTTAGCTAACTTTCTTAACACGCGCTTGCAAAACAATAACGCTTCAATTGGAGCCAGTGTTAAGCTCTCCAACGAAGTAAGCAATGCTCCCCAAACCCCCTCTTCTCAATCTCATGCTGGTGACGGCTCTTCTACTTTTTCTTCTGTCTCAAATCTTCCGCACTCCTCTGGGTGTACTTCGGTATCTATAACCCAGAATAAAACAGGATGCTCAGGAGCCTCTGGTGTGGTAAGCTCCACAAAGTTTCGGTGGCTTAAGCATGAATTTGCATGGAAATACTTGTTTTTTTTTTATTCTAATCTTATGTTATATTAAATTTTATTCGTTTAGGTGTTGCCGAATGGCGAGCTTATTTCTCCTGTTCTTCCTTCGATTGAACCTCAACCAGAGAGACTTTTTGGTCATGAACCTCGAATATTAGTTCCTCCATCGTTTTGTCTTATTGGTTGCATCTTTTATTTTGTTGAAGCTGAAAAGAATATTTGTAATGTTAGTGAAGAACGTTTGGAAAGCTGTAAGAAAATTGTTCAAAAATACGGAGGAGAAATGGAAAACACCTATTCTGATAAGTGCACTCATGTTATATGTGAAACGCAGCAAAACCCAATAGTCCAACAGGTAAAACTCTCATAGTTTTTTTTCGGAATTATCAATTATCTAATTGTTTTTTTTCTCTCAATTTAGGCTATAAAAGAAGGCAAAAGATGTGTCACAATATTCTGGTTAAATGATATTATTATTGAAGGAAGGATGAGACCACCATATAAGATATGGCACTTACCTCGAACTTTTGATGGCGATTTTCTTCCGTGCAGGGATCACATTATCACACTGACTAACTTTGAAGGAACTGAGAGAGTATTTGTCAAAGAATTGATCAAAGTTACTGGAGCTCAATATACTAACTACCTTAATCATAAAAATACAATTATAATTTGTAAAAAGTAAGATAAATCACCTAATGTCTTATATTTGAATAAAAATTAAATACTCTCCTTACTTGATTTTCAGGTTAGAGGGACCAAAATTCAAAAAAGCCCTTCAATGGGACATGCCGGCAGTTAATTTAATATGGTTACAGGATATTCTTTTTGGCCATCATAATCAAGCTTTAAGTGCATTGCATAAATCTCAAAGATATACCAAGTTCGAGTCAAAAGATTGCTGTGAAATAGATTACAATTTAGTCAAACCTTTATTAACTTGTTGGAAAGTGCCATTGAAAGTCCCAGAAGACTTACCAAGAAGAATTATGGCGTTGAAGGAAGAAGATGTTAAAAAAACACCCCCTCCAGTCCCATCAACATCACCCACTCCTGTACAAACTAATCAATCGAACCTACCTCTTCCTCCTCCTCCTTCCCTACCTCCAACGCCACAGACTCCATCTTTACCCTCAGCTCAGCAGCAATCGTCGCCACAACAACCACCATCTCTACCCTCGGTCCAACAACAATCGCCACCAACATTACCTTCTTCAATACCTCCATCTTCATCTAGTGCCACAATTGAAGCCATGGAAATTGACCAAACGCTCGATGCCTCTAAGCCAGTTCCAACTTTAATAGCTAAAAAACCAGATAACCCTCTTAATGCGTTAGCAAGCTTAGATTTAAATGATAAAGATTCTCTAATGAATGAGCCGACTATGAAAAAAGTTAAGCTCGAACCATCTAGTGAAGTTTCACCGAATGAAAATTTAACTGGAAACTTGCCACCTCCTCCTCCTTTAATGGTTGCACCTTTCGCCAATGCTAGTCCTGACCGAGCTGCTGTTAAAGTAATGTTTACTGGTTTCAATGATGCTTCTACTCTAGCAGAACTCAAGGAATATGCTAAAAAACTTGGGTTAACGTTAATTAATGAATATAACAAATGCACCCACCTTATTGTAAATAGAATTGTGAGAACGTCTAAATTCATGTGTGCCTTTAACTATGCGGACCATATATTAACCTCTGATTGGATTGTTGATAGTTTCAAACGTTCTCATCTACTCGACGAAAGCCAATATATTTTGTCTGATCACAAAGGTGAACAGTTATATGGTTTTGATCTCAAAGAATCATTAGAGAGACGTAAAGCTCGTAAAACACCTCTTTTTAAGGATCATGTTTTTTATATCACTCGATCTTGCCTACCTTCATTTAAAATTTTGAAAGAAATAGCTGAAAGTGCGGGAGCTACTGTCACAAAGAAGGGTCCTTCTCCAAAACAATTGCATGCCCTTAAAAAGGTAAACTATTTCATTTCATTTGGAATCATTATTTTTGATTATCTACACATTTATTTATTAATATTAATGTATCTATTAACTTTTTTTTTATAGCGTCGCAATGATATTGCTTTTGTGGTAATTAGCAAAGAAGAAGACCTCCATACTTGTGATCTGTTCTTTGAAAAAGAAACTCGTAAGTTTACTTTACTCAAATTTTAATTATCTGATTAATACTAACCAAAACTCTTTTTTTCATTTATTTACAGCGGTTCTCAACTCAGAATTCATTTTACACAGCCTTTTACGACAACAGATTGAATACGAACCATACGCTTTCAAGCCTCGATGATTATATTTTTTCTTTCATTATCTATTACAGTTTTCTTATAAGTATTTTGTTTTAACGATGATTTTTCATGCCATCTCAAAATTTGACTTTATTTATCACTGATCATCATCATCAGAAAGTGCAAAAGAAATAAAATTTCTTTTACATTAGAATTGCTTGTTTTTTCAATTACCAACACCAACAAAAAAACATATTTTAAATTTAATTATAACCTCTTAATTAGTTTATTTCGTATCTTATGTGTAAATAACATGATCAAAAATGTTTATACCTTCAGTCAAATCGAGATGCAATTTCAAAGGTCCAAAACAATAAAACCATTGTGTCTGTTTTACTTATGCAATATTGAAAAATTTGTCAAGTCGAGATCACTTTTCATCGATCTCTAAAGGTTTAAATAATTTTATAGTGAGAAAATCGGTAAAGTCTCAAAATTTTATTCAAAACAAATCAAGCAAGATCACTATATTTGTAATTGACAAAGGAATGAAGAAACCGTTGTTCCACTAAATCAATGAGTTGATTATTATAAGTAGCAAGATAATATTGATTTGAATAAATGGTTGGACTCAATTTAATTAATTTTTGTGAAAGATTATCTCTCTTTTGCGGTCGAGTTCGATGCCGATCTTTTGAAATCATAATTCCAAGCTTTGATAATTTTAGCTGTTAACCGTTTAAGCCATTTGAGAAAATGTGGTCAACAATCTGATGGCAAAAAAAGAATCAGAAGATTTCTTTTCTGTGTGTTCAGCAACTTCAAATAACATCATAAAAGTCGGAATAAGCTTTTTCTTTGTGATTCGTTATACCAGATTTAAATCAAGGTAGAGTTGTTAATTATAATTGTTCACCCTTCAACTATCTGGAAATCTTAGAAAATATTGAATTAATAAAAATCATTGGCTTGTAAATTAATGAATACAATCAGCAGGGAATATCTCAACTAAATTCAAACCCTATTGTCAAGTTTAATGATTTTAATGTTTCGTAATGTTAATGTCAGTGACTGATGAGCTTTTTGTTAATTGTTGTTTGATTGATTGAGATGATTTCATTAGTTGGATGTTAGTTTAATTGAGGCTGATAGCAAATTTGAAAAGAAAAATGAACCACAATAAAATAATGAACTAAAAATGCAATTTTATTCTCTTTTTTACAATGAAATTTACTCTTGTTTATAAATTTTTGCATCCATTTAGGTAATTTATTATTTACAAAATTGAGATAAATTGAAAAAATTCAGTCTGATTTAAAAGCAATATTAACTGAACCGTTTTCATTCTTAGAGCCAAACTGGGCATCTAAATTAACAGATTTATCACCAACATTGGCTTCAACATTATTTAAATCATCTTTGTTGGATTTCGTTGAATCAGCTCGTCTTTTTGATTCTTTCCCTTTTAGGTAAAAAATATAAATAAATGTATAGGAAGTGCCAGCAACAATACAGGCCAAGGCGTAAACTTGATAAGCTTGACGAGCACCGAGATTTTCAAATAAGAAGCCACCAACTACTGAGCCGAGTGCCCGACCAACAGCGAAATGAAGAGCTGCCCAAGCTGCTTGCATTGTGGCTAAAAGTTCATGAGTTGATAAGATAGCTGCATACGTTGTAATAGTCACAATTAGAAGAGTTGTGGTGATTCCTTCGAGAGTTTCAAAAGCCAGAACAACAAAAGCATTGGGAGCGAAGGAATAACCAATTAGTCTGACTGCATAGACCATTATGCCAATGATTAATATCATTACATGACCAATTCGTCGTTCAATTGTTCCAGCATAGATGTTGAATGGTATTCCAGAAATAGCTGAGATTGAGAAGCTTAATCCAATCAAAAATCGAGACGCATTCAGTTCCTCTAAATACCAAACAATAAAGGTCTCAATGAATCCCCAAGTTGAACCAATGAAGGTTACGTAAAACAACAGAATGGCCACTTCTTTATTGCGAAGCAATTTACCCAATTTACCCCAAAGCTCCATGGCCGGTGGTTTGATATTTAAATCAATGAAGAAACTAACAACTGCCATAATTAACTTGAAACTGCAGTAAACGATGAAGCAAGGTACAAATGCATCGATATCTCCTGTAATTCAATGGATAAGAAAAAATTAATATACAATTTAGATTTGAGTAAATTGAAATTTGCTGATCAATAAATGGAAGTCAATTATTTGATTATCAGGTTTTTTGATATAATCTGGCAATTACATTTCGACTTTCTCCAAACAATGTGAATTCAATATAATTCACCTGTATTAATATAAAAAGATGTCTTCATGAAATCAGGAAAATTAAGATCTGCTGATTGATTAGGAGATGAAACGGTTTACTGAACATGATTGTCAGCAAAGTTGATCATCATCAAAACAATTGTTTAATCAAGCAACTCTTCCAATGATGACAATTTTCCCAAACAATTGTTTACACTTTTTACGACTAATTTGGGTGGTCTAAATCAGCCAAACAGCAATCAAATCAACCAAAGTTAATAAAGACATTGATTGGCAACAAACATACTGAGATCTCAATTACCAAATAATCAAAAACTAATGCCAACTAATTGACACTTCACTTTTAATAATGATTCAGACTTTGACAAAAAAGGTAACCAAAATCTTCCTCATCAATTGAGCTATTTAATGCATACATTTCCGTCTATAGTTATTTGATTACGATCCACAATTCAATTGTTGGCTAAATTGTCTATAGACTCGCAGTTTGTGTAAAGGTTTAAAATTGTTTTTCATTTGTTATCAATCAAATTCAATCACTGGCTATCAATAAATCAACGAGAAAATCAATGAAAATTGTATCTCACTATTATAAACCATTAGTAGTTATTTTCCTGATCTGACAATTAATCAACCTTACCAATAATTTAGTTTTTGGTTAAGGAAAAAACTGTTTCATTGAAAACCGTGAAATGATTTCAATCAGTTTATTTCACTTTTTTAAATTATCAACACAATTGTCAATTTGAAAGAGATGAATGATAATTAAAATTTCAACGATCATAACATGAAATGTTGAAGTTGATTTGGTTAAACAAATTGACTTGATTAATGGCTTTTAATTGAGTTGATATTTTCTAATGACTATCAATGATAATTGAATCTAATGCATTCATTTGAATGTAAGATCTAATGACAATAGCTTTAGCAATGTTAACAAAACAATGAAAAAGGTCAGTTGAAAGGTAAGCTCATTGAAAGGCTTGAGTTGAAAGTGAATTTTGAATGAATGTTAGGTGAAAAGGACAGTTTGAAAAGATGACGATGATAAAGATGATGAAAATGATGAAGAGTATAATGAAAGTAAAATAGAGGGAAAGATAAAAGAAGAGCTAAAGTACCTTGAAAGGTCAAAGTCGTTATTTCCGTTAAATTGCAACTCAATGTTTGTTAAGCTTGATCCTATTGTAACAATAGGCAATTTACCTGCTATTTATCTTCATGTTATTACATATAATGGACTAGCCAATGTTGATTTAATCATAAACACAATCAAAATAGAGTCAGTTTGATTAAATCAGTATGAGTGCCTAAAACTTGTATCTAGTTGGATATAAATTCATTCAAAGTCAGCCATTATTATCCAAAATTGATTGTTGGCTGAGCCATCGGTGAATGGTTATTTGAAAATATTGTTAAATACTATGAAATGAGCATGAAATTGATTGTAACAATCAGCTAAAAATCAAACAATTTCTTGAATGATTAAAACCTTTCCATATTTGATACCTTGAAATAAATTATATTTGATTGATGTAAAAATTGTAGGTTTTGCAAGGTTATAAAGCAAGAAAATTAAATTGTTTTAGATAAAGTGTCAACAATTTGAAAGGAAATAAGTTAACAATTAAAGGTAATATTTATATTTAGAAATGGATAATTGCAAATAATTGATTCTATAATTTGAATTTCAGCGACATTTCAATTGTTGATTACTTACCACTTTTCTTGAGCTTATCCATAACAATGCCAGTCAATGGCGGGACAAATACAACTGCAATAGATGACCATAATCTTTGATAACCATATTCAGAGTTGTTTTTAGCTACTAATGTCAGAATTGCTGCTTTTAATAGACTCATTTCGGTGGCTATCACGACTATCAGGGAAACTCGAAGAACTAAATACATCCAGAATGTTAATCGCAATGAACTTGGCTCTGGAATTTTTTTCTGTTTAAAATGTGGAATCATTCCGGGTTTATTGAGTGGACAGTCAACGTAACAATTAGCTGATCCATTGGTTTTACAAGTTAAATCTAGGTAAGTGTTGCCATTGTATGTAACTGTGTGAAGTGTTGCATCCATTCGCGGTGTTGAATAGTTTCCAATCAATTCGGAATTGGGTGACAATTTGATCACCAAAGAATCAGGTCGAAATGGTTTAGACGATCTTGAATCCAACCCAAAGCAATAATTACCATCACTCTCATAATAAAGGCATAATGAACCAGGTGAACTTTCACATGAAACACTGCATCCAGCAAAAGTGATCAACTCCATTGGCATTGAATTGGCTGGTTTGAAATTACGATATTTCCCGTTACCAATTGCTAATTCATTTCCTGGCTCTGATTTAGTTTCCGTTATAGGTTTTAGACAATTCGGTAAGGTTAGTTCAAAATAACGATCACGATCAGCAACCGAACTCGTCTTTGGACACTCCATCCTCACCGATTGCCCAGTGTGAACACATTCAAGTACAGTATTTATTTTAGGTACGTAAAGAAGTAAATAAGCAATACAAGCGCATATCACCAACGCTATACTCAGCATTCGACGAAAGTTTCCAATTTTATCAGCCAGCAGTCCCACTAATGGAGTTGCTATTAAAGTCGCTAACGGTGTGACAGCAAATTGTATTCCAATGTCAGTTAGACTTATTCCTAAACTTTTCATGTGGAGAGTGAAAAATGGATACAAAGCCATGTCACCTGAAAGAAGAGACCAAATACAATGATTAGTACATTGATTGAAACATTTGTTAGTCAAATCAAGCTGCTTTTACTTTTTCAATGCTCGGAGATGTCTTTCGTTCCAGGTTCTTGCAAATGCTAACTGTCATGCTACATTATTAAGGTGCTTTATTGAGATTTTTATTGAAAATATTGTGATATTGAAAATAATTAAATTGAATTTGGTTGTACTCTGATTTGGTGAAACTTGAAGCAAATAATGAAATTAGCTGTTAAAGTAATTCAACAAATACGTGATTACACCAAATTGTACAATTGTTGTGGATCGATTTGAGATGATATTGATAACTTTCATCTTAGCTTTTGTTTTCGGTAGTATTTTGAAAGCTAATTGAAGCGCAAATTAATTTGTTGGACTAGTAAATCATTCAATTTGGATAAAACAACTTAAAATTTTCATCATATTGCTGATAAACTGCACGATTGATGGATGATTATTGTTTACAACATTAATTTTTGCTTCCTCAGTGAGTCCAGAAACAGATTTTTAGTGAAGCTTAATGATAGACAGGTAACCCATAAAGCTGCACGTTGTGTACAATTCATTTTGAGTGTAACAAAATAATTAGGCGATGAAGAAAAAAAAAGAAACCTTGAAAAGACATCTTCAGCTATACACCTTATCAAGAATAAAAATAAACACTCATTTCAGCGTTTACCACGCACCATTGGTTATGTTACCTGATAAACTTGACAGCAAAATTCAAACACACAATTAAATTAAAGATGGGAACCACATTAATTGTTAGTGAATCTAATGCTGACATTAATATTGAACATTTGTTACATTTGAAGTAAACTTACCTGCTGACTGAAGAAAAAGTAAAACCTTGACCGAGGCCAACTCTTTTATCTTGAAATCCTCCATCAGAGAAATGGTTCCTTCCTTTGGTTTGGATTCATTTTCCTTTAATCCCTTTGGGTTAATCACATCCTTTGATTTACCCATTTTACAGGGTATATGATAAGATGATGGTTAATCCAGTGATTAGTAAACAAACAACATTAAAAACACAAAAAGTAGTTGAAGATGATGCTAACAAAAGAAGAAGAGTTTATACAAAAGTTAAACAGTTGATGTTGGTGTTGATGATGAAGATGAATATTATATTGGTTTTGATGAAATGAATTTAAACTGATCCAGTGTAACCGGTTTAACAGTTGCTTGAAAAGTTAGTTTATTACCTTCTACTATTACTACAAACAAAAATTAACCTTACCTTCACTATGACTGAAAATAACTGTTAACAAAATGATATTCAAGCAACAAGTGAAATAAGAGAAGCAAACAGGTTTCCGTGATCACTCCTTCTCTCTCACACATTTAGTCTTCTTTTTTTCTTCTTCTTTCTCATCTTGACATTCAGTATCCTTTTACCAATCATCATCTGATCTTCATCATCCTCACCAACACAATTAACAAAATTGAAAGTGTTGAACGTTCAAATTGGCCAAATTAAAACAGCTGACCAGCTACTATCGGCTAATTTTCATACGGATCCAAGTTATGATCTGTTAGGATCCAGATTGATTGATCAACGTCATATTGAATATTTAGCTGATTTAGTGATTAATTGGTTGTGAGGTGAGGCAATGATTAAATCTCTGTTAATAGAGCATGAAATTGCTTTTGTTTTTAGTTTTAATTGATAAAATTGTTTCTCGTTTCAAGTATTACAATATTATGTATTTCACCAAAACACATTTTATTTATGTTCAAAGCTTTTTATAACTTTCTCGTTCATCTATTGTTGACTGATTAACTGGCTTTTTTTCATGTTGTATTAATCTGTTGATCACAATTAAATGAAGTTCAATTCAGTGAAGTTGATCAGATGAATCTAAATTGATCTTAGTTTCTAATGTTTCAATTAAAATTAAGATGTAGCTGCTGTTGTTTATACTTGCCGAGGCATTAAGTCTTTTGTTGTCGCTGTACATTCAAGGGTATACAACCATTTTGATTATCAACCAACCAATGGATTTGATTGATACAATTAAATAACTTAATTGAACCAGTTAATACCCTTGTTAATCAACTGAATAGAGACAGTGGCCGAGTAAATTTAATCAAATTAGTGGATTAATGCAACAGTTGAACCGGTTAAATGAACTCTATTGTTTTATTTGATCAACTCAAAAATCAACCAGAGAGGAGATTCATAAATTGCTTCAAGTTGAAATTGGGTTTTGGGTTGATTTGGATTAGAGACTGATTATTAGTGTCTAAATGAAGGACAACTTGACTAAAATATAAGATTAATTACCTTAAATCACCGTAGATCTCAAAAGGTAAATAATATATCAAAGCGTCAATACAATGTCTTTATTTTTTGATTGTACAGCTGTTGGATAATAACATTTTCAAATTTCAAGCCTTATTGAATTGTTTACTAATTTTTACTCTTATCTTCTTTCCAGATTGGATAAAATCTCAAGTCTATCGTCACTGTTGCTCCTGATGTTTGTAAATCGTTTCAATGGTTTTGTAATTGATGTTCAAGCAAATATAATAATTTATCCTTGGACCTAAAAATTTACGGTTCAGATGATTTGAACGTACAAGTATATTGTAATATCATCTTCCGTGTTACTCACCGTATCTTCATCTGGATCGTCTTCATCGTTATAATCATCTTAGTCTTCAAACCATCAACCATGAAACCAATAATCTTTTCATTTTTTGTCTTAGCTCTTCTTACGGATTTGGGTCTTTTGAATTTCATCGTTGGAACCTCTATGCCTGTCAATTCACAATTGAAATGAAAAATTGAGTTAACCAAGTCAAATCTTAAACAATGGTGTTTCAGTGTTAATTGTGTTTAAATATTAATCCAGTAAATATCGATCAAGGTTTGATTTTGCTTGGAGGGAATCACTTCACGGATGTCATTATTTTGGGTAAACAGTTCTATTTAATTAGGTCTATTTAGCTAGCTGTAAATGTCGATTGGACAGGAATGTTTAAACAAACATCCCATTGAATTGTGATTTGCGGTTGAATCACAATTATTGTTTGGAGTGAAATCAAATTGGCAAACTGTTATTCGTCTGGACATGCAACAATTAGTAAAATTAGTTCTCATGGGATAGGAAATGTTATTACTTTTTAGCATGAAGTGATTTAAGTCTCATCACAATTTGCCGAGTTAACCAGCCGATTTAACTAATTAAATAAATTCCAATAATGTCAATCCAAATCTCAAAGCTTGCAATTTCGATATGGAATGCGAAATTGGAGTGATTTAGGACAATCGTCAATAGCTGCATAAAAAATTAAATTTCATTCAACAATTTGAAAATAATTATGATCTTTCTAATGTATATTATGGTCTAAAATACCGATAATATCTGTAATATTGCAATACATTTCTCTTGCTTTATTTACAATAAGTATCTGTTTATAAGGCGCCGTATTTTATTACATAAAATGAAGAGTTGAGGCCATCTAGTAGAGTTTAAAGTGACTTGATTTGTGAAATTGTCACAAATCAATTGATTATGGCCAATCACTCATATTTATGTTTTTATTTATCATCGTTTATTCATCTTAATAAGCTGTCTGTAACGTTTTTTGTTTTTCTCTTGTAAAGGTTTATTTGGTAATCAGTTGTTTCTCCGGCCTCACTTGGGATTCACAAATGGTACATTTAATTCTTACTGCTAGTTTTATGTAATCGGTGAACAAATTATTTGCTTTTCAACACGATCAGTCATTCGACAGTAAATATTTACATCAACACCAACTGACCAACGTCTAATGCTGGAAGGAACTGGAAGATGTGACTGAGAACCAAGTTAGTGAAATCTTCGTCTGGTTTTGATGTTTCTTAAATTCTATTGTGCAACGTATTTTTTTATATACATAACTATTGACTTGTTAAATTGTTTTCTATAATTCGATTGTTTTGGAATTAATTATGTCACGAATACCCCGTGACTGGTATGATATATTGAATGTTGATGGTGATCTTGATTTGATCTGTACTGAACTGCTGGTTGATATGCTAAAGAAAGCGTCCGAACAAAGTCAAGCTATTTTTGCTGGTACGGACAGGAAATTTTTCATATGGGAACTGGAAGACTATAATAAATTGGTTTCTTTCATTTTCGATTTGTGTTCCTCTCTTCACATGGACGACGATTTTGTAAAATACAACTCTTGTGAGTTGTACGAAGAATTTCTTTATCGACATATCGAAAATTTAAAGTCTCAAATTGCCAATGGAACAGTAGAGGAGGAAAAAAACCTTTGGTACAACATAAAGCATCAAGCTCTATTGCGTCTTATTTCGTGTATCATGTTATCAAGTAAGATCAGTTCCATGCGTGCAACCAAATATTTGAATGATTTTCACGAGTTAATGAAGTCTTATGGTCAAAAATATTCCAAGAATGCCATCCTCAGATCAGAAATACGAGTGCTGAAAACCGTCGATTTCAAGGTTGATAGATGTTTGCTTTACGCAATCTGTCCATTGTTGATATTAACATTAAGCCATAACGAGCCAAATTTGGATGCAAAATTGTTCTATTCTATACTCCACAAGATAATGGATTATTATTATTTGGCGAAATCAGATATTTTCAAGCGACTATTTGAAGTCCTTAGCAGACAATCAGTGAGCAAAAGGTAAGTGATTTCAAGATGAATTTTATTTATATAAAAATATTTTATTTAACTTCAATATTGTTCCATAAAAGTGTTTAGTCGATTAATAGCCATTTATCTGATTTTTTGCTTTTTAATTTCAAGTCAATTTGTAAGTCTGATGAATAATACAATGTTGATTGGCTCTGCAATTGTCGCTGCGGCACCAATGCTGGTCAATGAAAAGGATGCACCTCAGGTAAGCCGAGTGAAAAATCGATGATCTTTCAAGAGAAACTAATTTTTCAATTTAAAATATTCCCCAATAGGTACTGACGGATCTGGCTTTCATAACCTGCTATGATGAAAAAGATATTTGTACCATAAGAGACGTTATACTTGAAGGTTTACTTGCATCAAAATAATAATTTATATCAAGACTGACTATCTTTATCTCACATTGAGATTGGAGCTGAACAAAAGTTGAATCAATCATGCCAAAGAATATTAAGATTTGAAAATTCCAGCGATTTGAAAAAATGACAAAAGCCTAAGAGCTATTGATTTGTGATAATTGACTATGTTCATAATTAACATTACTAATAAAGCTGAATAAAAAAATAGAAGCTTATAAATCTAGTATTGTTTACATGGTAAATAACTTGCCCCAGTAGCGATTATGGGAGATTATGAATGGAATTAAGAAGTATCTTAGTGTTAAGAAAATTGTTGTTTTGCCGATGGCAAATTGGATAGATTTACCTCGGATAAAAAATAGCTTCTTTTTATTCCTTAAATTTCCAATCTTGACGACAAATAGGACACAATTGGACTACTTGAGGAGAGTTCAACCATTTCATAATACAATGAATATGGAAACAATGAGAGCACTGTCCCCAAACAAGCGGACACTCGTCACCAGGCATTTTACAATCTGTACAACATCCATCAAAAGCATTTCGACAGATTCCACAATTATCATCCTTGGCAATCCATTTCCATACAGCTACTCCACGCCAACCTAATTTTCAAGATAAAAAAGCACATCTTAATAACAGAATCAATGTGAATGAAATCTTAGTTTGACATTTATGAACAGAAGCACTTACTTTTAATATTTACTTTCATTTCCAATGGTTTTCAGATGGTAACATACAATTAGTCAAAGTAAATTAGTATTTACCAGTTTGTAAATTCATGACACAATCAGCTGTTGAGAGCGGCAAATTCTCTTCAGTTAGTAATTTCAAAAAACAAGAGATGGCTGTACTTTAAAAAAACACCAAATGCATTTTTAAATTTTTGTGATTGATTTGTCAATCAATTAGACAAAAAGTCAAGTGCCAAAGATAACCTTACAATGGTCTCCCCATCTCGTATTAATTGAAATAACCTTTAAATTTAACTAAAAAAGAAATTGAAATAGATTCGATTCTGTAACAATTTTTCATCTGTTCGAGGAAATTCACCTAAGAACAATTCTTAGACTAGAAAGCGATCAAGAGATAGCGTTAATAAACAGTTTTTATTAAAATTGAAAAGGATATTAATATTTTCAAATATTGCGCCTGAAACATTTGACGGAAAATTTTAGGTACTCCACTGTTATCATGATTCATGCATCGATTGTTCGCGAAAGCTCTTTCCACTAATTTGAATTGTTGCACAGATTTTGTGAATTAACTGCAAATTAGGACATTAGCTAAGTATTTGTTTATAATTGATTTCATTTGTTTTCCTTTGATTGGGTGCTTTAGAGACTGACTATTGGTAGATTAACATTGGTACCATGGATTCAAGTAATGACGAGGAGCTGTTAAATTTTTCATTTGTCCGGCGTCCATCTAGTTATGGTTATTTTAATCAACCCTCAACTTACACATCACCTTCATCTTCATCTTCATCCCCATCTTCAACACCAACAAGCCCTTCGTCACCCACGTCTTTATCCTCTGCATCTTCATCTACTTCATCCAGCAACTCATTCAGTCTTTCCTCACTAAAAATGTTTCTCACCAATAATTATCACAGTATCGCAAACTATGGGAATGATTTGGCTCAAGCTGGTTCCTATGAAAGAGCTATCGAGTATCTAAGTTTGGCCATATCTTTGAATTCATCTGATTACCGACTCTATTATAATAGAGCTTTATGTTATTTAGAGACCAATGAGCTTGACAAAGCCTTTAAAGATATTAGTCGTACTATAAGAAGTAATCCCCTTTGGGGTAAAGGTAAGTCACCACGAACATTATTCGTTTAATTTAATCTCTTTTTTCATGACTAATAAACCATTTACCCAATGAGTCCCATCCTTCGATTTAAACTGGTTGCATGGCCTTAGTTAAAACGCTTCTATCGAAAAAGTATAAAAAGAATTGTTCTTTTTGTTTTTTTCATTTACTGACAATTCTTCTTATCATCTCACTTTACTTTGACATTGTCATTTGTACATTTGTGATTAATTCATTTATGTTTTGTTCTCCATTCTTGTATTTTATTATGTCAGGGTATTTTGCTCTTGGTCAATCCCTTGCTCGAGCCAAGCAGTACAAACAAGCCGAAAAAGCCTACAAGAAATCCCTAAAATTGGAAAACGAGAAGGAAACGCGTGCCGAACTGATTGGAAACATCTATGATGCATTAATTGATTATGGATACGACGAGATCAAAGCTGGCTTCGCTTCGGAAAAATATTTTTCAATCCAGGAAGCTCATGAAGCGTTGGCAGCAGGAGCTTTCGAGACGCAACTCAACCTAACAAGAAGTATAAAGAAAAAATACTTTAAAAGACAACAATACAAAAAAGGGATTCTAATTCCTGTCAACTTTTTTTAAAAATATGATATTCTTAAACTACTCATACGACGTCTGGAATGACCTGATCTCCAAACATATAACTTGTAATTTTATTCTTATAGTCATGTAATGCCGAACTCCACGCTTATCATCAAGATTGTAAACCTTTTTTTCAAACGTGGACTAAGATTTTTCTATTAACTACATTTTGTTTTTGATAATAAAGTAATTCAGCAAATAATTTTTTATTCATCTTTTATTTTTCATCAGAGATAAAATGTTGTGAATAAACACCAAATTTCAAAATAAAATCTTTAGCTTGCTCTATTGGTGCATCTTTACCCGTCATTTGCATTCGGTCCTCAAATAAGCTTCGGTTTTCACCCTTTGCGTCGCGAATGGAAATACCTTTGATGTGACTTCAAACCAAAATAAAACCAGAAATAATTGCATTAAGATGTAAAGAGCTGAAAAAAGTTCTAAAAACTTTTCTATGGAAATTCAATGTTAAACGGAAATTTTGATTATCAAACAATGGTAATGATAATAAGTCTGAAATTTTTCTCAATGATTATAAGACTTAAGATGGTCAAGTTTTCGATTGGTGTTAATTTTTTTATTTATCTTTCATTTTTTCATCAGAGATATCAATTCTAATTCCTGTAACTGCTTCTTAGAGACGAATTAGTTTGACAAAGCTTTTAAGATATTAGTCATACTAACGTTATAAGAAGTAATCCCCTCCGGGGCAAAGGTAAGCCACCACGAACATCATTCCTTTAATTGAAATTCTTTTTTCTATGGCTGATAAACTACTTAACCATTTAGTCCCACCCTTCGATTTAAACTTCTTAAATGACCTTAGGTAAAACGACACTATCGAAAAGTATTTAAAAGGAATCGTTCCTTTTGTTTTTTCATCACTTTCCCAAACCTCTAACAGTGAATAAGTTGATCTACTGTCGTGTCTTCTTATCATCTCACTTTACTTTGACATTGTCATTTGTACCTTTGTGATTAATTCAACTGTGCTACTTTTATTATTGTACTCAATCATGTCGAACTGTTTTTCTCTTGTTCAAGCTCTTGCTCGTGCCAGACAACTCAAAGAAACATTACTGAAATCGGAAAGCCAGGTGGAAGCGCGTGCCGAACTGATTGGAAACATCTACGATGCGTTGATTGATTGTGGTTACGATGAGATCAAAGCTGGTTTTGCTGCCGAAAAATACCGGTCACTCGAGGAAGCTCTTGAAGCATTGGCAGCAGGAGCTTTCGAGAAGAAACTCGATCGCATACGACAGAAGAAGCGAAAACAATTCATAAGACAAATATACAAAAAAGGAGTTCTGATTCCCATCAACTTTTTTTAAAAATCTAATGTTCTTAAACTGTTCATACCACGTCTGGAATGACCTGATCTCCAAACATCAACTTGTAATTTTATTCTTATAGTCATGTAACTGTGCCAAACTCCCGGTTATCCCCAATATTGTAAACCTAAATTGTAATTTTTGTAATCAACTAAATTTTGTTTTTGATAATAAACTAATTCAGCAAATACTTGTGGTTTCCAACATTTATTTTCACTCGACGCGTTTAAACCTAAAATGAATGACATCAATAAATTCAACTACCATATAATGTCAAGGTTTCATTCACCTAGACTTTTAGGCTGTTATAATGAATTTGGTCCATTCAAAAAACAAGCCAGCTTGATTACCTTTGAATTGAGCGATTGATTGTTCGTTTACCAAATTTAGAAGCAAAATTTAATAAGCTTAGGCTAATTGATCATTTTATTGACGTTTTGATTTCATTGAAAACTCTGCATACAATAAACATAGGCAATAGAGACATCAATAAAGTTGAGTTGCTCGATTAAGTATAATAGTCAAGTAAACTTGTACACTACAGGAAATTTTGTAGTAGTCAGGTCCAAGTATATTATATTTTTCACGAAAACAGAACAAAATAAAGTTTGATTCTATCGGTGCTTTGATTTATTGTTAGAGTGCGACTATGAAAAATCCTTTTTAACTTAAGCCTGAATACTAGTGTATCTGACTTCACTCATTTTTCATTCTAAAAATCGCCACATAAATCGATCTGTGAAACACTATGAAGTCTGATATTTTTAAATGCTTAAACATACAAAACATATTTTCATTAGTTTGTGTCTTGGGTTGCTCCGTTCAAATCAATTACATATTTACCCGATATTTTAAAAGTGAAATAATATCAATTGTTACAATTGAAATTCCTGACAAAACTACTTTACCAGATATTTCATTTTGTTTTGAAAAATTGAAATCTATCAATTTTACCAAGTTGAAAGCTTTTCACCCAAATATAAAGCTACCAGATAATTTACCTGAAATTATTGCTAACCTTCCAAGCAGAAGGGACGATACAAAGACCCAACACCATACAATCTCTGATATACTTGCCAAACATTTGACAATCAATGAGACAACAAATTTACTTTTCGAACCAGATCAGATATTCCATCGTATTCGCATTTTACCTCACAGGTCAAACAGTAGCGAATTCAAAGACTACTGTCGATTCAACAAGTTTTACTATCAAAAGTGTTCATCTGACATTCAGGTTCATGTTGAAGAAGTAAATCTTTATCCTGATTATATATTTCTCATGCAAATAATGTTGGATCATAAATTTTCGAAGAGATTTAGAAGGATTAGAGTTTCTTTCGTCGAAAGAGGCGGTGTTCCAGCGAGTCGTCAACTCAAATGGTTACCCATCAGAACAGAAAAGACTCCGACTGTTCATCTTCTCAATTTCTTTTCAGTGAAAACAAAAATGCTTCCATTTCCAGGATATTCATGTGTAAATTACAATGAAACTGCATTTGAAACTCGAGACGCAAAATTGGTTGGCTGTTTCAATAGACTTTCATTGGAAAAATTTGGTCAAATATTTCATTCATCTCCTGTCTTAGCTGATAGCAATTTAAGATTTGCTACTTCTGATCAATTATTTGATCCAAATTATCGGAAAACGGTTGACCAAATACTTTCAAGGTGTGAAAAGGAAGCTATACTATATGATTGCTCATCAGAAAGATACATAATAAGGACTAGAGTACCAGTTAAGAGTCCAAATCAATTTACTCATATTCTGTTGGAACCGACGAAATCGCCAAACATTGAAACAAGAGCTCAGAGAGCGGTAACCTTTCTGGATTGTGTCATTGCAGTTGGTGGAGTCTTCAACTTCTGGTTTTCCTTTGCTATTAATGTTCACATCCCGAAAGGAATCAGATTAGTTCATAAAAAATGTAAATCGCTAACAGATAAGCCTGAGAATCATTTTAAAAAAGACAATCATTTCCAATGTTATACACAAAAATTAATTGTGCACACAGATAAGCCATTCAAGGTTTACACCATTGATAAAACATGGTCTGGCCCTACAGTTGATCTGAAACCTTTAAAGGCAAAGATCAGTAATTTGCCTGAAAAATTCATTTCAACATACCATTGATAATATTGATGTTATTCATACAAACTGAAATAGAAAGTTATCTTGATTATCAAGGAATAATTGAGTTAGAGGTAGAATATGAAATTATGAATATGTCCTTCTAATCAAGACGTTCAAATTATTTAAATAAATTCAGACTCAAATTGTAAACAAGAAAGATATCTAAAATTTTAATTTATAATTCCGTAAATAAAACAAATATTTTAAAAAATACAGTCTCGGTGCCTTAATTTATATTCATCCTGGAAACGTTGTTTGACAACGTTATTGATCCATGAATTTATTGCTAATTGCCCTGAAAACTGAAAAGTGTAATAGTTGGATTCTGAAAATGAATGAGTATTGATAAATATTTTTCTTCTTCCTGCTCTTTTTAGCAATCAGTCAAACTATTTGGTGTTCATAGAATAAGCGAAATTGCAATATCTTTTGATAATATTAGAGCCGATGGATTTGATCATTCAACTTCTTCTTCTTCTTCAAATTCTCCTTCATCTTCAGCTGTAGCTTCTTGGTATTGCTGATATTCAGAGATCAAATCGTTCATATTTGACTCAGCCTCGGTGAATTCCAATTCATCCATACCTTCACCAGTGTACCAATGCAAGAAAGCCTTTCTTCTGAACATAGCAGTGAACTGTTCAGAGATTCTCTTGAAAAGCTCTTGAATAGCGGTTGAGTTGCCGACAAATGTTGCAGACATTTTAAGACCTCTTGGAGGAATGTCACAGACTGCGGTCTTGACATTGTTTGGAATCCATTCAACGAAATAAGAGGAATTCTTGTTTTGAACGTTGAACATTTGTTCATCCACTTCTTTCATTGAAATTCGGCCACGGAAAACAGCAGCAACAGTCAGGTAACGACCATGTCTTGGGTCACAAGCAGCCATCATATTTTTAGCATCAAACATTTGTTGGGTTAGCTCAGCAACAGATGTAGCTCGGTATGATTGTGATCCTCGGCTTGTGAGAGGAGCAAAGCCAGGCATAAAGAAGTGAAGTCTAGGAAATGGAACCATGTTTACGGCTAATTTACGTAAATCAGCATTTAATTGTCCAGGGAATCGTAAGCAAGTGGTAACGCCAGACATGGTGGTTGAGACAAGATGATTCAAGTCTCCATAAGTTGGTGTAGTCAGTTTAAGAGTGCGGAAGCAAATATCATAAAGTGCTTCGTTGTCAATACAGAAAGTCTCATCAGTATTTTCAACCAATTGATGGAATGACAGCGTTGCATTGTAAGGCTCTACAACAGTGTCACTCACTTTTGGTGAGGGAACAACTGAGAAAGTGTTCATGATACGGTCAGGATATTCTTCCCGAATTTTAGAGATCAACAAAGTACCCATACCAGAACCAGTTCCTCCACCCAATGAGTGAGTCAACTGGAATCCTTGTAAGCAATCACAGGATTCAGCTTCTTTACGAACGACATCAAGTACTGCATCAACCAATTCAGCACCTAAAGATGAGACAGGTTATGTATTCAAATTAGTATAATTTAAGATCATGATAAACCGCACCCAGCTCATTGTCTAAAATGAACACGATGTAGACTTCATGAGGTGGGTAAGTTCAAGCGCACAACCAGAAAAAAAAGACTATTGAAAGGAACTCAAGTTTGGCAGACTGCGCAGTAAGGGGTTTAGTTACCCCTGAGCCAGAACTTTTTTTACATCCTGTATAGATAGATTATTCAAGAAGAAATGGTTGAGTGCAAAGATGAAGTAATAACGACAAATTACGTCTAGACTGAGGAAAAAAAGATGAGTATCATAAACTGTTTCCAAGCTATATTAAATACAGGATAAACAATAACGCAGTTGGCTAAACTATATCAAAATCTGAAAAATCTAGGTAAATCTGGAATAAATCAAATCAACACTGGACATAATCAACAACAAAAAGATGAAATCGAATAAAGATGACAGCATTGAAAATAATTATGAACTATAATCAAAAGAAATGAAAAATTGCTATCAATAAAAAGAAACGAAATGAAAACTTAGCTAGAAAAAAAAGCAAACCCATTCTGACTAGTTGGTGATTGCATGAGAGCAACAAAAGAATGTAGCCTGCATCATCATCTTACCTTCAGTATAATGACCCTTAGCCCAATTGTTACCAGCACCAGATTGGCCAAAAACAAAGTTGTTTGGTCTAAAGAGTTGACCAAAAGGTCCACTTCGAACACTGTCCATTGTCCCTGGTTCCAAGTCAACCAAAACAGCTCGAGGTACGTATTTAGCATTTCCTGCTTCACTGTAGTAAACGGAAATTCTTTCTAATTGGCATTCAGAGTCACCATGATAGCTTCCAGAGGGGTCGATTCCATGTTCATCAGAGATAACTTCCCAGAATTTAGCACCAATTTGGTTACCACATTGACCGGCTTGAACATGTACGATTTCACGCATTTTGATTGTTTTTATTTATTTCCAAGTTGTCACGTAATAAAATTTAGTTTTAAATTATTAGATTGTAGGCAAGAAAAGGTGGGTTGTTGATTTTATTGACAAGTCAACAAATAAAATTGAAGCTACTTAAAAGATGGTTAAGAAATAAGATGTAGACTGAGACTGGTTCAGAAGTTTTAAATCAGGAATAAAATAAAAATGACGACAAAAGAATCTGATTCCAAATATAAAGCTGAAAATCTTGTGTTTTAATTCCAGATGGCACCAGCTTACTGTTAGGATGAACTTTTTTCATCATGAAAAAAATAAAGTTTAAGCTGCTGTTATAATCAACAAATTATTTTATTTATTAGCTTACTGGAATTTGAATGCCTATTAATCAAGCCAGATAACCAAATAATTCATTAAATAGCTGAATTTAGTTTATTTGTGTGTTAAATACTTAAATAAGAAACACATTGTGCTTAAGGTTCCTATTAATAGATGGAGGTTCACTTTATGAACTGGACTAATTTATCTTGTTGGTCTGTCATAGAGTAATCTAAACAAATCCAGTTCTAATTAGTCTAATTAAATCTGTTTATCTTCACCAGCTTAAATATCCCTTCAGCCGCTGACTTTAAGAGTGAAATAATTAATAGTGAGCTGGTGGACCCAAAAAGCCACGGAAATTCAACGCTGTTTTAAAATCAATATTTACTCAGATTTCGTGATGCAATCAAAATTCATTATTATTCATTGTTATACCACAATGAGATAATATGATGAGATACTCCATTCCCTGCGATCCTGGATTGTTAAATCCTGGGTAAATCATTTGTCTTTACAACTTGAAATTTATCAAATTATTGGACTTTGAATGCGATTTTGAATTTACAAAATTACTTTTTATTTCATAAGTGAAGTTATGATCTTTTTCAATTTTGAATGAAACTTTGGGATTTATCATCTCCATTTGATTTCCTTTTTTGAATGGACCAAACTCATTATAACAGCCTAAAAGTCTAGGTGAATGAAACCTTGACATTATATGGTTATTGAATTTATTGATGTCATTCATTTTAGGTTTAAACGCGTTGAGTGAAAATAAATGTTGGAAACCACAAGTATTTGCTGAATTAGTTTATTATAAAAAACAAAATTTAGTTGATTACAAAAATTACAATTTAGATTTACAATATTGGTGATAACCGGGAGTTTGGCATTACATGACTATAAGAATAAAATTACAATTTGATATGTTTGGAGATCAGGTCATTCCAGACGTCGTATGAACAGTTTAAGAACATTGGATTTTTAAAAAAAGTTTATGGGAATCAGAACTCCTTTTTTGTATATTTGTCTTATGTATTGTTTTCGCTTTTTATGGCGAATTCGATGGAGTTTCTTCTCGAAAGCTCCTTTTGCCAATGCTTCAAGAGCTTTCTCGAGTGAATGATATTTTTCTGATGCAAAACCAGCTTTGATCTCATCGTATCCACAATCAATTAATGCATCGTAAATGTTTCCAATCCGTTCGGCACGCGCTTCCTTTTCTTTTTCCGAATTCTGAGATGTTTCTTTCAGCTGCCTGGCACGAACAAGAGCTTGACCCAAATTAAAGCGAAGCGACATGATTGAGCACAGTAATAAAAGTCACAGTTGAATTAATCACAAAGGTACAAATGACAATGTCAAAGTAAAGTGAGATGATAAGAAGACACGACAGTAGATCAACTTATTCACTGTTAGAGGTTTGAGAAAGTGATGAAAAAACAAAAGTAACGATAGTGCCGTTTTACCTAAGGTCATTTAAGCAGTTTAAATCGAAGGGTGGGACTAAATGGCTAAGTAGTTTATCAGCCATAGAAAAAAGAATTTCAATTAAAGGAATAATGTTCATGATGGCTTACCTTTGCCCCGGAGGGGATTACTTCTTATACCGTTAGTGCGACTAATATCTTAAAAGCTTTGTCAAACTAATTCGTCTCTAAGAAGCAGTTACAGGAATTAGAATTGATATCTCTGATGAAAAAATAAAAGATAAATAAAAAATTAACAATTAATTGAAAACTTGACCATCTTAAGTCGCATAATCACGTAGAAAATTTTTAACTTATTATCATTACCATTATTTGATGCACAAAATTTCCGTTAATATGTCCTAATTTGCAGTTAATTCACAAAATCTGTGCAACAATTCAAATTAGTGGAAAGAGCTTTCGCGAATATGATGAGATACCCCATTCCCTGTGATCCTGGATTGTTAAATCCTGGGTAAATCATTTGTCTTTATAACTCGTAATTAATCAAATTATTTGACTTTGAATGCGATTTTGAATTTACAAAATTACTTTTTATTTCAAATGGGTAACTCAGATTATTATATTTACATCATGGCTATTAAACATATGAAGATATAAGTGAAATTATGATCTTTTTCAATTCTGAATGAAACTTTGGGATTTATCATCTCCATTTGATCCAACTGATGATAGTTCAGCAATTGATTCAAAATGGTCTGGAGTGTTGAAAATAACAGGCGAACTGATAAACATTGATGAAATTGTTGGGTTGCTTCTTGGAAGGAATCGATTTCGACCAAAATAATCATTCCAAATAGTTTTACTCAAATCAGGCCCTGAAATCATCAAAAATAGATAGAAAACAATTGTAAATAATATGACAATAGCATTGAAAATTCAGTATTCTCATAACAATACTCTCTAATAAAGGCCAGAAGAGCCCGTTGGTGTATGACTCGAACCATTCTGTAATCCAGCTCTGAAGCTTGAAGATCTTCGTTGGTAAAACAATATTGATAACAGTAGGATAACCATGATTAGAAGTGACAGACTAACACCAATCATAGTCCAAGCAAGTGTTTTATACAAAGGACGAGCTTGTCGAATCCGAGCCAGCATGTGAGGATTGATTCCTGATAAATTTTTCAAATTTTTAGACCAAAATTGAGCCTCTCGAGTTTTAGTAAAGCTTATGTTTCCAAGAGATCCGCCAATATACAAAGCTGTTGGATGATTGGTATTGAATTTATTCCAACGAGGATATTCTGGTGTTACTGTCCTAGGAGCATAACTGTTGATGGCAAATTGGATAAGGATTGATTAATAAATTGCTAAAAGAATGAGAAATTAGTTGAGTTCGATATTTACCCGAATTTAGCGAAGTCAGTCCATAAAGAGGTTATTCTTTGGGAAACCTTTTTATCACGGAAAGGTTGATTACGACTGGTTCCCAATTTCATATCAAATATATAAAATAACTCATCTCCATGAGAAGGTCCAGTGTCGACAGGAATTAATGCTTTAGAGATAATTCGTTCAACCATACTGTTCTGTCCACGGTAGTCGAAAATGTAAAGGTAAACAGGTAAATTTAGCTCCCAAAGGATACGAACTGTTTCATCAATACAGCTTATGAATAGAGCATCGGTTGACAACTGAAAAAATTAAAGACAGATTAGTCAAATAACAATGGGTTGAATATTTGAAATTGTCCTTACATCAATAAATCTAGAAGCGACCTGAGTTGAATTGAATGGATCCATTTTATTGAAATACTCATAAAGAATCAAAGGTACTACTCGCTCCTTTGACCTTCCTTTGAATGGTGTACAGCAATCAAGGAAATCTGAGGTCAATTTTTCATGAGCTCGTCCACTTTCTTCCCTAAAAGCTTGTTCTATTTCTAAAGAAATGATAAAAGAAAAGGAAAAATTAGAGACATTTTCATTCGTCAGAGTGAATCGATATTACCAGGATAAAAGAAAAGAGTTTCTTGTGTATTGTATCCAATCAAAACGGGAACCCTGTTCACGATTCCACTTGTTAATAACTGCCATGGATCCTGGGGCAAGAATCTGTTGGTAGTTCCTTTTTCAACTACTGGTACAGTTTTTATTGGGTATTCACCTAAAATCTAATGGAATGAAATAAGGTTAGAAGTAGTATAGCATTCGATGATCGGCAATCACTTACTTTACCATTACTTTGAGCTCGTAGCAAATCGAGTGTTGGGACAACTCTAAGACATTCAATTAAAGTATCCCGTGGTGTTATTGGACATCTCAAGCGCTGGCCTATTTGAACAGCATAGTCCCAAGGATCTGACTGCAGAGCCCAATCGCAAAGTCCTGAACCACTTTCTAAAATTGCTTTGTGAAATAAACCTTAGGAAAGATCAAAGCATTCTAAATCAGAAAATGGTAAATCAGAGTTGTAACTAAAAAGACACAACTAACACAATTGCAATATTTATGCACAAATTGACACAAATACTGGAAGAAAATGGTCAAAAACGTGTAAAAATTAATTTCTTGCAAATTTAGACTCTGTTGGTTTAAAGGGACATAAAAACTGATTCCATTTTTGCTAATAAAAATTTTCTCTGATAAACAGTTTTCGAGAAAATGGAGTACGAAGTTGCAACTTCGATCGCCTTTTATTCAATTACGAGAGCAGATTTTTCAATGAAACTCATTGACCTGATGTAAATTTTGATGATCAATCAGAAAATGTACTTATTTTGAAGAATAAAATTTTCTGTTTTCTGAAAAACAGATAAGTTCGATTTTCATTGAAACCTCCGTTATTCTGTGACCAAAAGAGTCACAGCGATGAAACTTAATATCTGTGCATAAAAATTGTTGGTACACATCATAGTTCTAACGCTTTTTGTATTTTATTTACGTTTCTCTAGATCTTAGCAATTGGCCTTAAAACTTTGAACTTCAATATTTCGAGAAAGGCATCACCTACAGTCACCATTCTTTGACCAAACATTAGATTGCATTATGGCATATAAAACCATGGTATAATGTTAATATAATCTGACTGAATAGCGAATATAATGCAAGCTAATTCATTAAATAATGAATATTCTACTAACATGTAAGGTTTGTGCCATTATGTGTGTTTAAACCATTTACCTTAATAAATAAAGAATCAAAACAGACAGCAATAATACAATGCTTTGCATAACTTTTTTGCATCATTTCAAATGATATAATATTCAAATATATTATAGCCCATAATACAACCTAATTTTTGCAAAGAATGATGATTTTAGATGCTATCATTCTCGAAGTATTGAAGTACAAAGTTCTAAGACCAATTGCTGAAATCAAGAGAACTGTCAATAAATTGCAAAAAGTGTTCAAACCATGATGTGTACCAACTACTTTTATGCACGAATTATAAGTTTTAGCTCTCTAAATTTTACGGTTACGGAAAAAGTTCAGTTTGACTGAAAATCGAACTTATCTGCTTTATTTTGATCAGAAAATTTTATTCTTTAAAATAAGCTCATTTTCTGATTGATCATCAAAATCTACATCAGGTCGATGAGTTTCATTGAAAAATCAGCTCTCGTAATTGAATAAAAGGTGATCGAAGTTTCAACTTTTTACTCCATTTTCTCGAAAACTACCTATCGGAAAAACACTTCAATAGCTCTAATTGAGTCAGTTTTTATGTCTTTACAAACAAACAGAGTCTAAACCAGAAATAAATTTATTTTTACCCGTTTTTACCCATTTTTGTCAATTGTGTATCTTAGTAACAACCGTAAATCAACGAGTAAAAACATGATGTTTCATGAGATGGATTAGATTACCTTTAGACAGAGGCGATATAAGGTGAAAGAAAACGGAAGCTGCACCAGCCCCTTGTCCGAAAATGGTAACACTACTTGGATCGCCAGAGAAACTCTCGATATTGCTTTTAATCCATTGCAAAACCAATAATTGATCATATAATCCCCAATTACCTGATGCACTTTCATCGTCTGAACTCAAGAAGCCTAATAGGATAATAGAAATAAATAGAAGGAAGTTTATGTTATTTAAGATCATACTTTAGGACTTTCAATGATCAATGTAAGGATAAATTACCTAATAAACCAATCCGATGATTAAAAGTGACTAAAACGATTCCTTTATCCATAATCTTTTGAGGTCCATATAAAGAGCTATCACCAGTTTCAAAAGTACCAGCTCCAATAAAAACCATTACTGGGTAAAGAAAATTATTGAATGGAGTTCGCTGAAGAAATAAAGGTTTCAATTAACAGCTAATATCACAAAAACTAATTGACCAAATTGATTCCAAATTGGGCAAATACTAATGAAGTTGTTCAATTACCTCGACACTTGGAGTGTAAACATTTAGATAAAGACAATCTTCATTTCCAGTGTCAACACCACGAGTATCCAATTGAGGACAGCTTGCTTTATAAGTCCAAGCATCAGCTAAACCTGACCAACCTGGGTGTGGTACTGGTTGCTAATTAAACAGATAAATAAATTTACTTAAAGACAAAAATCGAAGACAAAAAAAAGCTTACTTTAAACCGAAGAGGACCGATCGGTGGTTTAGCATAAGGAATACCAAGAAATCCAAAGAACTCTTTGTCATCTTCTGTTCTCATCGGTCTTCCTCTTAAAATGCCTTGTTTCAGAGTCACTTGTGGGTAAATTGATTGACCCATGTAACACGGTACAAGCCATGTCAACAGAATGAACAAAATGAACAAAACTAACACCAACTTAGAAAGCAAAGGATCCTTTGGATGTTGCAAGAAGAGACCATCAAAGAGTTTACATGAATCTAGTTTCATGATCAATGGTAAACTAAACTTAGGAACATAACAAATGAATTAATCATTGGATCATTGTTTACATGCATGTAAGATAACATTCAAAATAAGATTGAAGATCGAAAGCAGTAACAGGTTGAAAAATATTGCCGAAGCAACATGGAGCACGAAATGAATACAAGTTGAAAGTAAAAGTTGAATGGGAACACAACTGAGTTTCAATTGAATTCTGTGAGTTGTATTCTGATTGTTGTTGATTCGTTAATAATAACCAAATGAGTGACAAAAGATTCCAGTCTTCATCTCTCTTCCTTTCCTCACCCAGTAACCAACCGGGATATGCAAGGACAACTAACGAACCATAATTTAAAGCTAAAATGAATGAAAATACATGAAAGGTTGGATACATAATTGCTTCCAGGATTATGATGAGCTTTAAGCAGAGCAATGTAACATCAACATCAACAATAATGTGATCAAAATATGAAAAATAGCATTTACAATGGAATCGCTCAACCAAAGTTCCGTATTGGAAAAGGAAGGAATATTATTATCTTTTCTTTCACTGATTAATGTGACATCAGCTGATGGCCGTCTTTTTATGTTAAAGGTTAGTTGGTTTTACACAGGACAGACCAGAGAGTTTCAAGATTGCTGATGAATGGGAATTTGTATTTTGTGTCTATTTTTCATTGGTTTTAACTTTTTGTGAAGATCCATTGTTACATGAGATGTACTTTACATGAAAATTCACGATTTAAACATGAAAATGGAACAGATTGAAGCTAAATTGTTGACAAAATTTTAAAAGATTGATTTCATTAACTTTATCAACTCCTTAACTGTTATGCCTAGGCTCCCAGAATAAATAAGACTTGTATCCACAAAGAAATATGGACAAAAACTTTGACTTCCAAGTTGATTAGAGTTAGGACTTTGTAGGCTTGAAAAGACATTAAAACTGCTTCCGTTTGTGTGGTCTAAAAGTTTTTCTGATCAAAAGTTTTCGTTGAATTCGAGTATGAAGTTGAAACTTCGATGGCCTTTGATTTAATTATGAGAGCAGATTTTTAAATGAAACTCATTTAGATGTTGTAACTTTTAACGATGAACGTGTAAATGTACTTATGCTGAGGAATGAGATTTTCTATTCAGAACAAAACAGATAAGTTCGATTTTAATTTAAACCGATGGCTTTCTGTGACCAAAAGAGTTAAAAGGCTGAAGTTTATTATTTGTACACAGAAATTTTTGGTTCACATCATGGATTGAATAATTTTATGAGTTTAACAACAGTTGTCTTTATTTTGGCTTTTGCCCTGCAAACTTTAAGCCCCGATATTTCGAGAACGGTGGCCCCTACAGTAATCATTCTTTCACCAATCTAATTCTCAACTAATTAGTAATACAATTCAATCAAATAGACTTTTATTAGTGCATTCGGGTTACGATATTTGGGTTGTAAATGTACTAGAAACAACTTATTTAACAAACAAAACTCATCTCAATGCATTTTCTGGTAAATAAACCAGTTTTCTGGTTAAACTTATAATGAAATACAAAGAGTACCGTCAAAAGCTCGAACATTAGAATAAAGAGTTGAGGCTTAGTGAAGTTTGTAGGGACATAGAAACTGCGTCCATTGGTGCTATTAAAAAATTCATCCGATTGATAGTTTTCAAGAAAATCGAGGTCAAAGTTGAAACTTCGATCGCCTTTTCTGCAGCTAATGAAGCAGATATTTTCATAAAACTTATTACATTGGAGCAACTTCTGATGAGCAACCAGAAAATGGTCTTATTCTGAGAAATAAAATTTTCTTTTTCTGGTAAACCGATCAAGTTCAAATTTCATCTAAACCGATCGCATTCTATGACCGTAAGATTTAGCGAGCTGAAACTTATTATTTGTCCATGAAAGTTGTTGGTACTCATCATTGACTAAATACTTTTAACAATTTAAAAACAGTTCTCTTGATTTTGGCCATTGTTGTTAAAATTTTGAACCTCAATATTTTGGGAATGGCTTCACCTACAATCATCATTCTTGGCCAAACATTAGATTTCATTAAGAGCTATGATATAATGAAATTCTAGATCATTCAAGATTTCACGGAAAATGTTATAGCATTGTATTAATACTTTTGTAACCAGATTTGAGACTCAATTTCTTAAGTTATCAAACACAAAACTTATGCTTTAGAAGCATCTTCATTATTAAATGAGCTGAAACTCTTCTCAACTCGAAAGTCTACGTACTTTTCCATAGTTCTTCCGTTTTAAAAAGTTGGCCCTTAAGGTTTAAATTAAATTATGAAGCATCACAACTAAATTTTGTTGATGTATTAAATGATGAGAATGCATTAAGAATGAATTGAAATGAGCAACAATTTTAAAGGAAAAAGGCAATGATTGAACTTCTGCATTCACATGCATTTGGTAAATAACCGAATGAGATGAAATTTGATATTTTTATAATTGGATTTTAATTGGATTTGAATTTAGTGATCAAAATTACAGTTTTGGAATCTGTATTTTCATTTAGTTCAAGCATTGTTTAATTTGTTTCATATTTCATAACAGTAATGAAGCTGGTGATCAATCGCTTGATGGATTGAAAAGTTTGTTTTAACGTAGAGTTAAGCTTTCTGTTCAATAGTTGAATGAAACCTTAACGACTTTGTTTTGTTGAACTAATGAGGTAAAATGTTTTGAAATTACACCGAGCTTCTTGATATTTGCATCGATTTCAACATTGATGTTATTCGCAAATTACCGAAAACAACTGCAACTATCCCGATACCTTTTATCACTAAACATCTAACGATCTAAATTTAGCGTTTTAACTGCTCAATTCAGGCTCAAAGCAACACAAACACAAAAGTTTGTAAACACAAACAAAGTGGAATCAAGGTTAACAGCTTATGTTAATAAAGAGCATCAAGTAAACAGGTAAGCATATCGTTCACTTGTGGATGAATAACCTCTCAAGGAATCTGAATAGTTTGACCACTGATCTACCAACCCTGATTGGCTAACCAGATCCTAGTTTCACTATCTTTCTCCGTTAGATTTAGCCTAAAGCTCTGATGGTAAAAGTTGAGCAAGAAGAAAGATCCACCTTGAATCGGTTTGTGAATAATTACCTTTTCAGAAATGCTTGAGGCTACCAGAGGCACGTTTATGCATTAGAAAGTGAAACTTTTCCTGTGTTAACTTCACAAAGTTTTACTTCTAAAAATATACTTTTCCAGCTCACTTTAGTTTCTCACTAGAAGTTTATATTGAAGATTTTCCACTCAAATGGAATAGTCCGGATTGAAACTACCTGTAATTGGTGTAATCCAATTTATTGCAACATAATTCTAGTTTTCTTGTTTTTTATTTTCTCTTCTTTTCCAATGAAACATTCAAATGAATTTCAACTTATCCAGAGTCAATTGTGAATATTTTTTCTTCATGTGTCTGAGTTTTGTTTTATTTCCTAGTTATTCAAAGTCACCTTTACACACCAATGGTTCCGTCTAAACAGTTGATTAGGTTCAATTTTTCTGCATCAATTTTAAGTGTTAAGTCAACTTGTTAACATTGGCTCTGTGAAAATGTCGTCCGAACTAGCGATTTGTGGTAAAAGTGTTTCCCTCAATCTTGGAAGTTATCTTTCGCCAACTTTGATTCTCAACAATTTAAACTTAGCCATTCCAAAAGGATGCATTTATGGGTTGATTGGACCTTCTGGTTGTGGCAAGACAACCCTTCAAAAGTGTATAATGGGTGTTTATAAACCAGATCATGGGTCTATCTCAGTTTTTGGTTCAACCCCTGGTTCACCCGAATCACTGGTTCCTGGTCCTAGTGTTGGTTACATGCCACAAGATATTGCTTTGGACAGTGAATTGACTGTTCGTGAACAGTTAGTTTTTCTTGGTCGCATCAACAATCTAAATATGGAATTGATCAATATTCGTATAAAAGAAATTACTGAAACACTGGAAATTAGTGACATCGATAACAGGTCAGGCCAGTTTAGTGGTGGACAACAACGTCGCATCTCCTTAGCTTGTACATTTATTCATCAACCCTCACTTTACCTTCTCGATGAACCAACTGTTGGTTCTGACATTGTTTTAGTTCATAAAATATGGAATTACCTCAAACACTTGCGTGACAATTCTGGTGCAACAATAATTATATCAACTCATTACATTGAAGAAGTCAACTCTGCTGATTTGTTTGGTTTCATGTCCAAAGGTACAATGATTATTCAAGATTCACCCAGTAATTTTATCCAAACATCAGGAACTCGAACACTGGAAGCAGCTATTCTCAAGGAATACATAAAAATATACTCTCACCGACTTGAAACGCAAAGGCCAAGTTTTTTCCCTGAACAATTTTTAAATGATACAGATTTAGTGCCAAAGAGAAGGCGATCATTAAGGTCGTCCATTGATAGTTTAATAAAGCGAGTGTCTTTTGCTTGGTTTCCTCGGATGAAAAAATCAAAGGAAAAGACGAGATCCCAAGAATCACGAGATGTCCCACCGTCATTGCCAAGTTACTTAATAATTTCATTACTCATTTGGCGATATCTTCTTCGATGGAAGATTACAATGACAATTCCATTTGCTGTTTTCCTTACCATGACGATAACCAGTTCAATAGTAATGTTTGGTGTTTATGGATTACCAATGAAGCAGTTAGCTGTTGGAATAGTCAAGCATGCTAATTCATCCAATTACCTGACTAATGTGACAAATTATATGGCGACAGATGATTTTAGTTTTCTTCAAATGCCTGATGAGGTAATTGCTCGGCAATCAGTTGAAAATGGGACCATTACAGGGTATCTTGTGATTCCCGAGGATTGGGATTATTATTTGAAGCAAAAAGTGGTGACAACGTTTTCAACAAATCCAAACGAGGCTTCGATTAAACTAAGTCAAGTTACATTAATTCAAGACACAACTCACGCTGGTAAAGTATTGACAGTCCAAACTCGTCTATTTCAAGCTTTGGAGAGTCTAATGAATAACATAACAGTTCAATCAGGATTTCACCCAATGTACAATTCCTTCTTTGATTCTCGTCCCATTTTTAAATCACTGGATGAACCAGATAAATTAGCTCCAAGGTACAACTTCATTGTTAGATTGTATGTATTTTTCATCGAAACGTTCACGATTCTTCTGTTGACTGCTTGGTTCCTTAGAGAGGGAAGTGAAACAGTCAATGAAAGGCTTATATCGTTGGGATTGAAACGCTACCAATTACTTGCTTCATTAATGGTTGTTGCAACTTCATTTTTGACTATTTCATTCATGGCAATGTTTGCATCATTTGTAATTTTCCTTAAACTTCCAGCTCCAAGCTCGTGGTTTGCTGTGGTCTGGTTAACGGTCTCAATCGTCATTTGTGGCATCTGTAAAGCTCGATTACTTGGATCAAATATTAAGTCAGACATTGGTTGTATGACTTTAATTATATTCTATAATGCACTTCTCTGGTTACTTGGTTGTGTTGCCTGGCCATATGAAGGTTTAGATTATTTCATGCAGCCCTTGACAGTTATGGTTCCTCACCTCGAACCAAGTACTGCTCTAATAAGACTTACTATTTATGGTGATTCTGTTTACACACCTCAAGTTTACCATGGAATCGGAGTTGCAACTGTTTGGGCTGTAATCCATTTGTTGATCACTTTTGTTTTAGCCAGAAAGTGGTGAACAGATTTCGACTCATTGTACATTCACATTAACATCAATAAATTAATATTACAATTGATACTTCACTCATCCATTATTTAAAGATCACAAACGTGAAATGTTTTAACCGAAATTAAATTCGAACAAATTTAATGCGCGAATTGGGGCTTTATTAATATTTTAGGGATTACATGATACAGATTAATATATTAGTCAAGTGAAGTTGATGAAATTCGGTTTATAACTTATCCTAATTAGCATTTGTAAGTCTTTTTGAGTGAATTAATCTCGGCCTGGTTAAGCACATTTTTGGTACAAAGTTGAGGGTTGTTAATCTCGTAAGTCAATCGAACGAACGGGTATAAGTTTTCTATCAGTTAACCAAAAACAAAAGGTTGAAATAGAGCAAGTGTAAGTACCATTTTAATATAATTTTTCATTCTATCGTTTTTCGATTGCTTCTTACCATGATTAGGACCCTTATCACCAGGCTTGGGGACTCCTACGGCATGGAATAGACCGTGCATGACGACTCCCTTACAAACACACTTGTTACTTAAATTGAGTGGGGTTCCACCAGCAACCGAACCAACGACTACGTCACAGCTGTAAACATTTGGTCAAAAATTATTTGCTGAAAAAAGCACTTACTTTGTATGTATCCACACGTAAACTTACTTTTGTGAAGATTTGATGTTCAAATAACGTGACTGATTGTATCGAGGTCTAAATTTAATGCAAGTAGTTCCGCTGATTTCGTTCATGGCGGCTAGAATAGTTGCTCTATGTGGGTCTAAAGAATCCAAAGAATTAATATCAATTAGAGTTTACAATTAAGGTAATGTCAACAAAGCGTTTATTACCTAAGGCTGGGTCAATTTCATATGGAATTATCACGCGTCTTGGCCACAACGATCCTGGCTATAGTTCGAGAAAATGAGACCAGATTAGTTCATTACAATTATCAAAGTTTATACTCGACTTCATAGATTGGTTTTTGACCGATAAATTTATAAAATACTAACTTCCATCACTTGTCCGTGAGTGGAATGGATTGAAGAGCTTAAATAGATGATTAAGCAAAGGAAAAAAGATGAATGTTTAAGAATCATTTCAATAGTTGGATTGGAAACACAAACTCCGTGTACACATTGGACAAGAATTCAATTCGAAACTTGAATGTTCACCCGAGTTTACATATAATGGATTCAGTATTGAATTTTCTGCAGCTTTTATATGCTTGGACTCTGCGATTTGACGAGATTTTGATGCAAAGTTAGTGCTAAATTAACGATTAAGAAGCACTCCATTGTCAAACATCTTGATTCTGTCCATTTTTAGACACTTACATACAGATGTGACTTTTTCAACACAATACATTTCTTAATCATCACTAATAATATCATCATACTTTTAATTAAATCTAGCTTGTTGCAGAGAAAAATCGAAACAATGAGATGATTTCATGTTGCAATTTAATGTTGCCTGTCCAACAATAACAATAATTTTCAATTTTGTTCGTATGATATTTAAGATGAATCCGGTTAAAAAATTTATTTATATTTAATGGATACCATCAAGTAAATATCAAATGATGAAGTGTTATTTTAATTTTACACCCTAAATTAGATTGCCCATCAATATAACTTGACACTTTTTACTCAATCACTAGCCTTTGTATTTCGTTCAATTCATCGCTAAAAGATTTTATTTCACATTACTTTCCTTCGCAGAAGCAACGATTGCATTTTGTGAGTTCAATATTCAAACTGTTCACTGTTCAAGTACAATAATCGAAGCATCACCATTAAATACTACATTTGCTTGTGAATTAAGAATGTTGAAATCGCTAAATTAAAGTGTATCAAAAGACAAAATACAATTCTCACTGTAAAACTTGCAGATTAACGTCAGCAAGCGAATCAACTGAAAGACTTATACTTTAATTGTCAACAATGCTTCGACTTTAATCAAAATTTTCAAATATAATCTATTATACTATTGTAAAGTTTTGCAATTTTATAATATCCTTTGCAAGGAGCTTAATTTTTATGTCACCCAGATTTTGAAACCATAAGCAAACTCACAATAATTACACTCTCGTAAAAGAACTTGAACTTTTTTTCCGAATCCAGGTTACTGAAGAGTATGCAAAAGCTTGACTTTCGAGTCAAGAGCTACGACTAGCTGTCCCTTAATGTGGATTGACTGTATTGTCAGTGAAATGCAATTTTCGGCCAGTCATAATATCGACAGCCTCTTTAAATAATAAACTCAATGTTTCAACGCTGAATATTTATTTATTGAAGGAAGTTTTAGAAATATTTTATCATTGGTTATTGAATAATTCAAGAAAATGATTCAGTTTTTTTTGTTTTCAAAGAAATGACATTTACATCCTTCTTATAACAAAAGGTTTCACATCTTTACCAGGATTTTTAGTTCCATCCAAATAAGAAGTACAATTGTATAACTTGTTTATCTTAACGATGTCCAGTTTTGATAGTTTACCTTTGACACAAGAGTTAAGTAGTTTCACTCCTTTCTTTTTGGGCTGAATAGTCTTCAGTCCTGGCGACTTGCTGAAAGCATCACCAGGATAATGCATTATTGAATCTGAATATGAAAATAGATAAGAAGGAATAAATGTTAATCATAATCTGTGAATAGATTTTTGTATTTCTTCTTATTGTTCGACTTTGACCAACTTACCATAGTCATAAGCAGTAAGAAGTCGATTTTGATCTGGACTTAGCTTCTCAAAGTTTCCAATGTACTCTTTTATGATATTATCTGTAAGTATCTCAACATAATCATCGCGATCGGATCGCACTTGTTCATGAGCAAATCCTAAAGCATGCATAGTTTCATGGACTGCAGTTCCTGCACATCTACATGCAGATGAGTTCATGACAATTTGTTGAAATCCACCTTTATAACCAATAAAAGAAGAGCAGCTGAATGTGAATAAACGAAAAATGAACAGTCAAATTGTTATATTTTTTAATGATTGATAATCGTTTGCTTACCCAGGACCGTCTGTAAAAACAAGCACTCCTGTTCGGTTATCGTCTTTTTCAGCATTTTTAAATCGCAAGCAAGTGTGGTTCTGTATATCATTGAGAGCTGTTTCAATTTCGTCTTTCATTTCTTTCGCTGTAAAAAATGGACAATAATTCAAATAAAAAATTGATTGAATAAAAAGCATAATTAATTACGGAATGATTGTTGAACAGCAACAGGAATAGGTTTTTTTGGGTTCCAAAGTCTCTGGTTGTCCACAATAGCATTCTTGAACGACAGCTGAATGGAATGAAAGGGAATGAAGAATGAAATAATTGCATGAACAAGCGAAGAAATCATTGCTTTTGTAAAATAACTCACCGAGCTAGCTGTAGCTGAAATACTTTCCATGATATCACCCAGAACGATTTTATAATCTTCAAATTTGAATTTTTCAATGTATTCAGTCAAATCCGTGGAATGGACCATTCCAACTGGAGCTGATTGACTGAATCCAGTCAATATGATGAAGAAAAGGATTCGATGAAATACAGTAAAGAAATTCATTGTTTAACTGAAATACACTTGAATTCACTAAACTAAATGTACTTTTCCATGGAAGTTTATTCCTTAAATAGTGACTTGGCAAGTAATTAATGAAAATGGGCATTTTAGATGTGAGATTAACAAATCGGAGCTTTTTCACGACATGGAGGTAAAGATGATCTAATAAAACCTTGTGATTAATAATTCAATGTCACATTATTTAATCTGTTCAAATAGTGTCAAAAAATTTATTGATATTGAAAGTCTAGTATCTATTGATAAATTAAACATATTAAATTATTAGCAACAAATTGTTTCAATTTTTATTTTCACTCAACCGAAATAAATATTAAGCAATTAAACAATTAATTGACACATAGATTTAACTTTCTTTGTTTTAATGATGAGTAAATAATGAAGCAGACTTTGTCATATTACTGAAACTTTAAGGTTGTCACTTGATATCATATTTCGTCGCAAAGCCGAAAAGTCCAAATGTCCGAAGGTACAATGAATATTCAAGATTCACCCAGTAATTTTATCCAAACATCAGGAACTCGAACACTGGAAGCAGCTATTCTCAAGGAATACATAAAGATATACTCTCACCGATCTGAAACTCAAAGGCCAAGTTTTTTCCCTGAACAATTTTTAAATGATACAGATTTAGTGCCAAAGAGAAGGCGATCATTAAGGTCGTCCATTGATAGTTTAATAAAGCGAGTGTCTTTTGCTTGGTTTCCTCGGATGAAAAAAGCAAAAGAAAAGACGAGATCCCATGAATCACGAGATGTCCCACCGTCATTGCCAAGTTACTTAATAATTTCATTACTCATTTGGCGATATCTTCTTCGATGGAAGATTACAATGACAATTCCATTTGCTTTATTTCATGCAGCCTTTGACAGTTATGGTTCCTCACCTCGAACCAAGTACTGCTCAAATCAGACTTACTATTTATGGTGATTCTGTTTACACTCCTCAAGTTTACCATGGAATCGGAGTTGCAACTGTTTGGGCTGCAATCCATTTGTTGATCACTTTTGTTTTAGCCAGAAAATGGTGAACAAATTTCGACTCATTGTACATTCACATTAACATAATAATTGATATTTCGCTTCAATTATTATTTAAAGATCACAAACATGAAATGTTTTAACCGAAATTGAATTCGAACAATTTTAATGCGCAAATTGGGACTTTATTAATATTTTAGGGATTACATGATACAGATTAATATATTAGTCAAGTGAAGTTGATGAAATTCGGTTTATAACTTATCCTAATTAGCATTTGTAAATCTTTTTGAGATTATTAATCTCGGCCTGGTTAAGCACATTTTTGGTACAAAGTTGTGCGTTGTTGATGTCGTAAGTCAATCGAACGCACGGGAATCCGTCTTCTAGAAGTTAACCGAAAACAAAAGGTTGAAATAGAGCAAGTGTAAGTACCATTTTCATATAGTTTTTTATTCTATCGTTTTTAGATTGTTTCTTACCATGATAAGGACCAGTATCACCAGGCCTGGCGGCTCCTGCGGCATGATATAGACCGTGCATGATGATTCCCTTACAAACACACATGTTACTCAAATTGAGTGGGGTTCCACCAGGAATTGAACCAACGACAACGTTACAGCTGTACATATTTAGTCAAAAGTTGTTTTTTAAAAAAGGTTTACTGTGTATATCACTCACATAAACTTACCTTTGTGAAGATTTGATGTTCAAATAACGTGTCTGACCATTTCGAGGCACAAATTTAATGCAAGTAGTTCCGCTGATTTCGTTCATGGCGGCTAGAATAGTTGCTCTGTGTGAGGCTAAAGAATCCAAAGGATAAATATCAATTAGAACTTACAATCAAGGTAATGTTAATCAATTATTACCTAAGGCCGGGTCAATTTCATATGGGATTGTTTTATCTTTCCACAACGATCCTGGCTATAATTCAAGAAAATGAGACCAGATTAGTTCATTACAATTATCAAAGTTTATACTCGACTTCATGTGTTGGTTCTTAACCGATAAAATACTAACTGCCATCACTTGTCCGTGAGTGGAATGGATTGAAGAGCTTAAATAGATGATTAAGCAAAGGAAAAAAGTTGAATGTTTAAGAAGAATCATTTCAATAGTTGGAACGGAAACACAAACTCCAAGTACACAATGGACAAGAATTCAATTAGAAACTTGAACTATTACGAGAGTTGACTGAATAATGGATTCAATAGCGAGTTTGCTGCAGCTTTTATATGCTTGGACTCTGCGATTTGACGAGATTTTGATGCAAAGCTAAAACTAGTTAACGGACACTCAATTGTCAATCATCTTGATTCTGTCCATTTTTAGATACCAACATGCAGATGTGATTTTTTCAACACAATACATTTCTTAATCATCACTAATAATATCATGATACTTTTAATTAAATCTAGCTTGTTGCAGTGAACAATCAAAACAATGAGATGATTTCATGTTGCAATTTAATGGATATCATCAAGTAAATATCAAATGATGAAGCGTTATTTTAATTTCAAATCTTAAATTAGATTGCCCATCAATATAACTTGAGACTTGTTACTCAATCACTAGCCTTTGTATCTCGTTCAATTCATCGCTAAAAGATGTTATTACACATTAATTTCCTTCGCAGAAGCAACGATTGCATTCTGTGAATTCAATATCCAAACTGTTCAATGTTCAATAAGCGAAACATCATCATTGAAAACTACATTTGCTTGTGAATTAAGAATGTTGAAATACAGTAATTCCACGAGTTTTTTGTTTTTTTGGAGTGCTAACATCTGTGTGACCTACAGGGGGAAAAATTAAAATTCAAACTGTAAATTTTACAGTTTAAACAATTAGTGATTTCCCTTTAGCCTTTCTACCCTTTCCCTTCAGTGGGAGTCATTAGACTAGATCAGTTGTTTAAACTGTAAAATTAATTGTTTGCCCTCGTAGTTCACACAGATGTCAGCACTCCAAAAAATCAAAATTGACTGTAATGAAAAAATTCCTTAAGGGAATGGGAGTTTAAATGTAAAAAGTGTCACGATTAGACAAAAAAGGTAATCGATTGGTAAACATGCGAAATCTAGCCACATTAGCTAGTGAAGTGTTATTTTTTCACGGTGGATTTTCAGTGAATTCATGTTATTTTTGAAGTTCTCTTGTTTCTTGTCGGTAAATCGATTAATCGATGTTCTAATTAAATTTTTAATTTTAATCGATTAACTGTTCGCTCGATATGGCCTATTCGTCGTTCGTGTTTGAATAGGGAAGCAGCTTATTTGTTCAAAAATTAAATTCCTAGTTTCAAGTTTCAATTCAATTTTAAGTTCCAACTATAAATATTATTGTAAAATAAGTGACTGACCGGTGATTTAATTTAAAGATTCATATTAAAAGTTACAAAAGGAAAAGAAGTGTTCAACTGGTTGCAGATCCTGAAATTCCTACTCAATGTTTTTTGGTTAAATAGGGCTTACCCTAATCGCCCAGCTCTACCCTTCACCCTATTACTTGTTTCTATAACACTTGTGTTTCTATCATCTCAGCGCATATCTTCCTTTATCGCAATGGCAAACAGTGAAAAAACGACTTTAAATAAAAAGCTTGAGAGACTTTTGTCAAAAAAGTGTGACAGCACTAAAAATGGTGATGAAGAGCTAGCCTTGTGGAAAGGTTTCATACGCATTTTGACCAGCTTTTATGAATTGAACAATGACTTCATAACTGTACAAGAGGTCGCACTTTATAATAAGTACGTATGTATAAGGGATGCCAAGCAATCAAAAAAACGTGGGCCAATACAAAATAAAAACTTGGCCAATATTATTTGTAGTGCTAGTCCTGCTGCAGACGCAACTAGACACCAACTGAAAAATGGCAAAACAGTTTTGTTAGTCACTTCTGCATATGAAGGGTTGCTTACTAAAACTTGTGGTGTACGCGTAAGCTTAGCTATTATTACTAAGAGCAAAGAATTTTGGGTTTATGATCCAGGGGAGGATTCGAAAATTTTCATTGGCTCTGTTATTAAAAAAATAGCCCAAAGGCTTGGTATCAATTCAATCAAAGTGTTTCGCGATAACCAGAGAGATGACGAATTTGGTTGCCCCCAAAAAAGCTTAGCGGAAGCTCATCATATACTGAAAAATGGCTTCGAAGCTAAGGATTCAGTTGCAGAATTTATCATTTCCAGAAACAAGTGGTTAAAGTGATTTCTGCCGAAGAGTGAAGCAGCCGAGGATTCTCAATTTCAGATCTCGTATGCTAGATCTTGTTGTACACAACGAGGACTCAGCGTAGTCCTCAGCCCGATAGCCCGCAAACCAACCACATACTCATTTTGACTCATCCTGCTTGTAACCCACTTATTAATAAAAATAAAAATCAATTCATCCAATAAAGATAGAGTGTTTTACTTATTTTCCTTCGGTATGTTCCGATTTCGCCAACCTTTTAAGCTGTTTTAAACATAAGCTTTAAGTTAAGCTTTGCTCAAAATTTATTTAAATTAAATGAGATACTCAATCAATATTTCGATAATTTAAGCACCTAGAATCATCAATTCTTCAAAAATTGAGCGTATTAATCTCTGCCTGGTTAGGCACACTTTTGGTGCAAAGTTGTGGGTTGTTGATGTCGTAAGTCAATCGAGCGCACGGAAATTGGGTTGCTAGAAGTTAACCAAAAACAAACGGTTGAAATGAGCAAGTGTACGGGGTGTTAAGAAAGCTCGCGCCTAACTTACAAACACACACGTTACTCAAATTGAGGGGGTTAAAGAACCCAAAGAATAAATATCAATTAGAACTTACAATCAAAGTAATGTTAATCAATTATTACCTAAGGCCGGGTCAATTTCATATGGGATTGTTTTATCTTTCCACAACGAGCCTGGCTATAATTCGAGAAAATGAGACCAGATTAGTTCATTACAAGTGTCAAAGTTTATACTCGACTTCATATATGGTTTTTAACCGATGAATTTGTAAAATACTAACTGCCATCAACTGTCCGTGAGTGGAATGGATTGAAAGCTTTTGTAAAATTAATAAATTTAATTTATTTCATCTTTATATTATATTTGTATGTTTCAGACAGTTATTAGGTTGTCCGGCTCAATGTGTCGGGACTTTTATTTTGAATATTTTATTCATTCCTGAATCAAATTCAGTTAATTTTTTCTAAAATCGTGTAAGTAGAGATTCAGAATTTGTTTGACACATATTAAACCCTTTAGACATTGGTAATTCGAAAGTAATTCGAAAAAAATCGAAAAATGGCGATTTTGTAAATTTCGAACTTTGAGGCCACATAGCGTTGTTACTGATGAAAAATTTTTCAAAGTCATTCCATTAAATTATAGTAATTGGGTTGATTAAAAATCACTTTTCTCAATTTTTATCCTGATCTCCAAGTTTTCGAGAAATGTTCGATCAAAAAAGTTTCTATCGCGAGAAAATCACAGGGGGGACCCTTAGTTTTTTAGAAAATTTTGAGGCGCACGAAATTTCATTTTTTTTATTTTTTCCCAATAAATTTCGAATTAGAAAACGGAGAATTATAAATCATGTGTCATAAAAATTCTGCATCCTTCTTTATATGATTTTCAAAAGAATTGTTTTAATTGATTTGATTATCAATAAAATATTCACATTCAAAGTCCCGACACTCTGAGCCGGACAACCTAATATTATTGAAATTAAATATCTATCAATATTTGGACGTTAACATTGGTAACAACAATTAAAATTTACATGTCATGATTGTTTTTTAAGATTCAACAGTTTTTGAGATAATTTATCATATTAAAGGCTTTTTTAGCATTCATTTTCGTACATTTTAATGTTTTCAGGCTAAAATATTATATTGTTGATGATTTTTTGTTATCATTTTCAGTTTTTATCGCTTCTTGGGCAATAATAAACTCGTTCGTCAAATAGGTATTTTGTCGTATTCGTCGGTACAATTTTTTGGGAACATCAGCTATTATCCAGTCAAGTAGAGTATCGAACAACAGGATTGTATTATGATAAATAACTACAAATATTAACCGGTAGGCCAAGATTTCCCAGAATTCTTCTGTTGGTTTGTACTGTTCACTTCCTCCTGGAGGATGACGGAGACCTGAGTAGGCACATGTTGTTGAGGAATTAAGAGAAAGGTTATTCTGCTTGATGAAATCGGTGAGATTCTGGGGTAAATTTTTAGTCTCATAATATGAGATAGACCAGGATATAAAACCATCAAGAGATCCATTTTTCAAATAGTAATATGTTTTAGGTACTAGACTTGAAGTAAAGGCAATGGTTAGTGCACTTGTGAGAATAGAGAGTTTTCCAAGAGCATTAATTATGTGAAACCAAACACCAATGTCTTTTATTCTGACAGCAACAGGTCTTTTGTAATGAGATAGAAATTTTCGTGCATCCAATCGTATTTCAAAAGCATTGTTAATCAGGGCAAATAATGGGGCCAAAGGAAAAGCAACAACAAATATTGTAACCATTCCGAATTGGATTATCATTTCCAGGTATTCGTAAAATAGTGCAGTTGCTTCCCAATTGTTAAGAGGGTAATCAGCTTCCCATTGAGGTAAAAGAAGTATATCTTTTGGATTAAAGTTGATAATTTTTCTGAAAATTTGAAATAAAACAGAATGATCAGAATTATTGATAATCAATAACAAGGAAAATAAACGAAATCAAATCGTTTTTTAATTCACTTACTCAAGCTTCTTCTTTTCAAACCAAGGTTGAAGCATTTCAAGTAATGCAAAAATTGCTTGTTTTCCTATCATTATGAATGCCAATTGAATTGTTAACTCAACGAAACATCCTCCGAGGCCACATTGCTCTTTATTAAGAAGTCCTGGTTCATACAGGTCACCGGGATGACGGACAAAACGTCCTTTTATGAATGCTATGTAAAAAAGCGACGAGTAATAGTTGACAAATTCTAGAACGTATAATTTAAGCGTTAAGCTATTGTCAAATTCAGTTTGCGTCCGAGGTAGCTCCATTTCAGTTAATTTATAAGCCACTTTGGTATGGACCCAGTTGAAAATTATGATAAAAATAACATTTATGAAAGAAGCACTTGATGCGCTGATTAAAGACGAGTATTTTCCTATTTTAGGATCGAGGTCCTCTGAGAGGGCAGTTTTAACGGAGACTCGGTAAAAAATAATGCCAAATACGACACCTATTAAAATTGATAGGAAAAATAGAACCAGAGAACCCGAGAGAATCATATATGGCAAACGTTTCTTCCAAAAAGAGACATAAGGTTCATACATTCTAGTTATGAAATTGAGACGCTTTTTTCCATTTTTGTCCAATTTGTTTAAGTACTCAGGACGGGGAATTTCATCGTAATAATCTAAACTGGAAATATCCCATTGATAGGTGATACTGACTGAATATCTTTTCCAAAATTGTGTGAAAAACGATGACCAAACGGACATAAAGATGGCAAAGAAAATAGTTGAAGGGTTATCAAAAAGGTACGAGAAAAAGGTATCAATACATGAGGACGAAAGAAGCCAATAATCACAATCATGGTCAGAACAAAGAGGACACATCGCGACATCATCATATAGTTTTGTGCAAATGCTGTTAGATACTGGATCATATGGATAAGTGGCGATGCTGTAAATGAAACAAACAACACCAGCAATAGATGCAGGAATCAACAAAGTCGTGTAAAAACCCAACCAAGCAAAATACATCGCAAATTTTGCTCCCATGTAATTACAAATATCATCTAATGGTTGCTGGTCGAGTAAACGCCATAATGAAGCCCAATTAGTATATAATTGCATCCGGGTTCGATCACTGTGGCTAGGAGACAATTTACCTTCGTGTAATGGGTAAGCAGCTTCATAAGCACCATCTTCAATCAATTTATCGATGCCAATACATGAAGCATCAGTGCAACTATCTCCATAACTGACTCTTTTTAAAATATGATCCACGATTCGCGAGCGCTGCGCTTGGGAAAAGAAATTTTCTTTCTTATCACTGGGAATATCAAACATGTATTCTTTATCTAGTCGATATGTTGCCGTGAATTTTTCTCCCCTAAGAATAGGTCGTTTAAATGCCTGCCTTGATGATTGCTCAAAAAATCGGTCTTTCCAAGCTTCAACAGGCTTGACTGGCATTTTAAAGTGCAAAAGCTCAGCATATCGAGAGAGTACACCCCAGGGCGCGTGTATTTTGGTAAAGCGAAGTAGTGAGTTACCTCTATGTCCAGAGCAAGACTCCAACTGTAGACCTTCTTTGATTAGATTTTTTTCAAATAAATCCCGATACTTGTCAAATCGTTCTCGAAATAGTTGTGCTGATTTGTTAACAATGACAAAATCGATACGACGCTCACCATCGTCAAAAAAATGTGAGTCTGGATCAGGGTGTCTATCAAAGTCGTTTTCTCTAGGCACATCATTTTCATGACCATTCATCTTTTGTTGAGTACCAGAAGAAGGTTCTGCAACGGCGCCAGGAAGTGAAGGTTCTACAAGAAGTGAGGATGATGATGAAGATAACTGTTGGGCTAAATTACTCGGTAGAATCCTTATTTGAAAACCTTCATCATTTACTCCACTTTCCAACTCATGTGCTTCTGTTTCTTCCATGATGATCCACAGCGAATGTAAATTTTAGCCAAGATAGAAACGAAGGTATCTTTTTCCACCATTTATTGGTACAAATTTGGGTCCTGAAGGCTATAAACTATCCTGAAAATTAGAAAAAAAAAGAAACAGATTATTCTAGAGTTCACGGCATTTATTTAAGATTTATATTAAATTCAAGTTGAGTTTTAAATGAAGGCAAATACAGTGAAAACTAATTCAACCAACATTAAGATAAGACTGGTTTGATCATTAAAGTCAGCATAACGTCATGGTAAAGAAGATCAATATAAATTGGGTTTCGTTTGAAACCTGAAAAGTTAAAAACTAAAGTTGTTTAGTTGTGAAAACTGTCAACATAACTACCAAACTTAATTGATTGGGAAACAATGAAACGGAAAAATCGATATTTATTGACTATTCAGTTGAAAAAATCTTCTTCAATGATAATGGTAGATGATGAGAAGAGGAAATAAATAATGGATTTATGCGAGGACGAGTTATACTAAATAATGCCTGTTGACATATGATATATTGCATTGAAACTGACTAAACTAAAAGAATATGAAAAGTAAACTACTGTAATTGATAAAATTAATATAATGACTGAATCAAGATCAAGAAAAGAGTCGATGGATCATAAATTTGAGTCTCCATATCTGATTTCAAAAACAAGTTGGCGAAAAATCATAAGCTAAGATCATAATCTCATGATCAGACAGTATAATAGCATTTGAGCATTATTAAAAGCAGGATATGTCTATGAGTTCGACTATGATAAAGGTGGTTCGAGTCAGGTTAACACGAGGAGGGTAAGAAGGATAAGTCTTTAAAATGGAAATCATTGAACTCACCATTTCAATCAAATTTGTGAAAAAATAACTATTCTATTATGTTCACATTAATGAGATGGAACAGGTAGCTGACAGAAGTCCGGTGATCGATCATTGTTGAAAATTCACATTAAAACAAGGAAATCAATCGTATATTGATTACATTGGTGATGATGGAGATAGCAGTGACGGCGGTTAGATGGTGGTGAAATACAAAGATTGGGTTTATTATCAACAATGAGCTTGAGTTGAGATACTTTTAGGTTATTCTTGGGTATTCGCCAGAAAATGAGTATAAAAGGAAGAAGTACTAGGCAGGAAATAAGGTGACATCATAATTGAACAACTGTAACCTAATTAACAAACCACATTGATTAAGTACAAATATCAATCCATTTTAGGCATTTTCAGAAAAAGGTAGCAAATGAAGAAGTCACAAAGTCTGGCAAGAGTATTGAAAGAGCATTTTGAATGTTGCAAATAAGACAAGTCATGGAAAATCCAGTTTTAGAATAAACTTGTCATTAAAAATTCTAACCAGCACTCCTTGATCATTAAAGAACTTGAAGATCCTCTGGATTCTTGCACAATATCTTCCGTAGTTTCTTGTACCTGGATAGAGATTCCCTTGAAATAGTCTGGTTGTACTATTCCGCGAGCATCCAATTTCATTATAATCCAGTTCCTTACTCAGTATTTATCCTTGATGTAAGATGTCCATGGTTAATTTAAGAATTACTATCCCACAAAGGTAAACAATTATCAAATAATTAAAAAAAGTGATATAAAATTTTCTTAAGACGATTGAACCTAGAAAGGATCAAATCTTATCTATCAGGTATCGGTATCCTTTTAGGTAACCCAAAATTTGGGTTCCAAATTTAAATTCAATGTTTTGGTACCAAAATTTGTGTTCAAAAGAGTGATCATGCGCGTGTAACTGCGCAGTCATATTTTCAATTTTTAAAACAAGATTTTAACCTTAAATTGTAATGTTTTTAATTTCAATTTTCCGATCAGTTTAAATAACCATCAAAATTGAGATTGTGACTGATTAAAATTTGGACCAGGTTGGCTTTCGTCAAAAGATGGACTTCGTTTCTACCAGTGGACAAAGTAACCAGTGGATAAACTCGATGATTAATCACAATATTAACGAAACTTTTAAAAAACATAAATCTGGTTTTAAATTTTAATCAGAGATTTATTCAGGTCAATCAGATTACATTAATCTTAATCTGTGTGTCTAGCAAGGTCAAGACAGTGAAAATTGAGATAAAGGTTGACATAAGCAAGTGTAAACACTTAACTAACTGTTAACAATGATCAATTTCATTGCCTTATTTACATCTAAAATTGTCTAATCGATGAACAAATAAACAATGTCTTCAATCAGGTTATCAAGTCTAGTCTTAAATCTAGTTGTAAAATCTTAATAAATCGTAACTCTATTCATAATTAATATTTAAATCAATAACTACATTGCTTTATATTTTGATACTGTTTTCATATTCTGGTTAAATCATTTTCAAATTGTCATTGCTATTGTTTTGCAAGCTTGTTTAATCTTGATCATTCATTATTTTATGATTTTCAGAAACATTTCATCAAGTCAATGCAAGTAAATTATTTTGCCTAATTCTTACTACTACTTAAACTGTGATTTGATATTTATCAATGTTCATATGACTAATTTGATTGTCTTATTGTTTAATTGTCTCATTAGTGAATGAAATATGTTTAAGCTTATTATTCCGTAAAAAAAGATGACAGTTATTAGGTAAATCTTGAATCATATGTTTATCATGGTAATTATTACGATAAGATTGTAGATGAGCAATTAAGACCTTTATGATAATGGTAATCACAATTTTCAGGTTTATCTAACAATTTTATGCTTTTCACCTTTGTTAAATCAATTGACAATGGTTAGTGTTAATGACAATTAAGGCGTTTCACCGTAATTCAAGCAAATCAGCCTTTAATAAACCCTCATTATTTTAATGTGCTACAGTTAACCAGTTAAATCATGATTCTAGTTAAATCACTGTGTTTTTTATATTTCATTTTTTCAGCAAATTTAATTAACTCACTTCCAAGTAAGTATCAAATTGATTGTCTTTTAAAACCCAAGTTTAAACTTGAAACTGTCATCTGGTAATTTCAATCTATAGTCGATACCAATGAGGTGAACACAGATGACCAGGAAAACAATGTAAACAAGCCATTGGAAAACATCAATTTGTTTTTGGGTGACATTAAGTTAAGAAGGAAAAACAATTCCAATGACGATGACATGGTAAGTGACTTTAATTTTGATTAATTTACCTTATGATTAACAATTAGATTCAGCATTACACTCATCTAAATCCAATCAATTTAGTTGTTAGTGTTTCTGTTGGCCAGGAATCAAAATATGTAGTCAACTCTTTTGTTTCTCATTTATCCATGTTATGTTAATGATATTAATTAATACAGTTGATCGTTGAATCAAGTTAATTATTTCATCTCTTATCTTGTTTTCAAGTTGAATATCAATCTGTGATTAATGGTGATTTGATCAACCCTTCTGTTTGTTTCTAATGTTACAGATTTTATTCCGAAACGCAATTGAATACGATGACAACCTTTGGTCTTATGCTTTTGTTCCCATCGAGATTGATGCTAAACTTGGTAATTAAATTAGTCTATTTGGTAATTGATTTTTTACTTAATCTATTTATTTGTTTCATTAACTTCAGATAGTATCTCGGGATTGATTGAAGAAGCCTTGGATGAATTTCACCAGAAAACATGCATTCGCTTTACCCCCAGAATAGCTGAGCGTGATTACGTTAAATTCATTTATGATGAAGGGTAGGTTTAATTGTTGTAAAGGTGACACTTAAAAACTTGCAGGTGGACGATGCCACACGAAAGCATATCTTGCCTTAATCACGAAATTTGGTGACAATGATTAAGATGATAATGAAGATTAGGAAGCAACAGATTTGGTTTTGGTTTCATTGTCTTACTTCATTATTATCGTAATCATTATCGTCTACCAGTTTTTAAGTGTTAAACCCTTTAATTGGACGCTGAGTGTTTGTTTATCATCTTGAGTCACTTAATAATATGTAATCACTTTACTTTAGATGTTATTCATTTGTCGGTCGACTGGGTGGACTTCAGACAATATCATTAGGCGAAGGCTGCCAATGTAAAGGAACCGTTATACATGAGACTATGCATGCCTTGGGATTTTACCATGAACACAATCGATCTGATCGAGATGACTATGTTGAAATCATTTATGATAATATCATGGAAGAAGCTAAAAATATGTTCATAAAATTAAGTCCGGATGAGAATCGACTCTTCACTACATATGACTATGGTTGGTGCATTAAATAATCTCATTGTTAACCCTCTAATGTTGTCACTAAACACACACTAATCAATTTACATTTTCTGGTTCCATCAAATTTAGATTCAATTATGCACTATGATGGGTCAGCTTTTAGTAAATCTAAATATTTGGCAACAATGGTTCCTAAGGATAAAGGTGTTGTGCTCAAGCATCCTTGTGATAAACCCTATCTTTCTGAGAAGGACGTCGAAAAATTAAACCAACTCTACAATTGTAAACCCAATTATTAATTTGTAAATCATTACTATTCTTAAACTCAACTTCGGTCAAAATTGTAAACAAATAACTCAATTAAATTACGAATCATACTTAAACATTAGGCCTCTTGCGTTCAAATTAAATTAAATCTTCCACAATTTTCGATATTGTACACTTTTCTCGACTGATCTGAGAACCTTATTTCACTATGAATCTGGACAACAGAGGTGAAACATTTGGTAAAGGTAATTTATTTAACTGCATGGTTTCATTTTGGGTTAGCCAGTTAATTTAAGATTAACAAATTATACAGTAGAGAAAGCAAATCAAAGTCTGCAATAAATTAATCAACGTCTTGAGTCTTTCAGTCCATTTATATGAGCCATTTCAACATTTTGTCCGCTTATCGTCTTGATAGGTTGATTTTTCTTCTTTTTATAATTAGACATAGTAAATGTTGATTTGACCAATTCGCGTGCCCGAGTTTGTAGGGCCAATTGTTCACCATTATTGGTCACTCGTCTTCTCGATGATGTATCCAATCTTAGGAACCAAGAAAGTTTAGGATAAAGTAGGCAAATGGCTTTACGAAAGCTTCCATTGGTTATGCCATAAATCAATGGATTAAGAGCACTATTGGCTGACGCAAATACTTGAGCCCAAAATTTGGCTTCCTCATTCCATGGTTTTACCTATTGACAATAAACAGTTAATTAATAATTAAGCTAACAACATATTAAATAATTGCCATATATTAGCTTACCGAATCAACTGATGAATTTAATGCAATAAAACGATAAAATACAACAACTTGCAATGGGCTCCAACAAATTGCCGAAGTAATTAGATAGATGAATAGCATTAAGATGACTTTACGTCGATGTTTGATTTTAATGCTATTCTCGTCTGTACTGATTTTGGTCTCGAAGCTTTTCATCTTGGCAATTACCAAGCAATATGAGAATGTCATTATAAATAACGGAATGTAAACCATAAAAGCCAATAAAACGAACATGTAAACATCGATTTTTCTTCCATCTGTTTTACACCAAACCTGTGAAAAAGTAATCATTATTAATCTTGTCATTTAAGTGAATTGGTTCAAATGAATATTGACAAACCTCAAAGTAGTCGCACCATTCACGGGTACGATATTCACGCCAAAAATAAAAGGGAATTCCAATGATGAAAGATAAGAACCAAATGAAGCCCATTATAAACCAAGCTTTGCGTCTTTTCATTGGATTCCTGAATGGCCTGATTATACCAATGAGTCGATCACACGAAATCCATGTTAATGAGAATATACTTGTAATTAGAAATAATACTGTAAAGAGAAAGCTAACAATTAGCCTGATGAGATTCGTTTTAAGATTAATTTAAGATACAAAATGATGGAATGCTCAAAAAGTATTAAGACAGCGTTTGGTGTAAGATTGATTTTGATTATCTTCATTAGGCTTAAAAGATAAACCTTAATTGCAATCCTTGACAGAGGGAGTGTAAAATTATGTGACATTTAAATTATAGCATTCAATTGAAAAGTGAAAATTGATGCAAGATCAATGTATTGTTCATCTTTTAACAACTGTCTAATCACTTATCATGTGGTGGATCATGTTTGCAATCAAAGTCTCCTACCAACAATATTATTCATAGTAATTTTAAATTGCTCAAGTTGAAACGCTGTTGATATTAACAGATTCATCTTAGATAAGGAAAAATAGTTACCAGGATGATTTAAATAATCTTTAACAATCAATATTGACTAGGAAATGCCTATGTTTAATCCTACAGCACACAGTCAATTCACTGGTTTGATTCAGTTAGACAGAGACAGTAAAATCAATTGGATTGAAAGCAATGATAAATCTAAATAATAAACATGAACGTATATTGGTTAATATTATTAATCGTTGAATCTAGTGTGCTTCAATTATTGATGGATAGGTAATGAAAAGCCTCAGATTGTTAGTAATACCTGAACATTTAACATTACCACCCGGAGTCTGATGACGCAAATCTTTTTAAGTCTCACACCAAACTAATGCAAAACAAATATGGATATAAGGTGATCATTGAACACAAATTAGATGAATAATTTGATGATTGATCAATCATTTATAAATTAGTGATACAAAAATGGCTTACCTTTGGATGAGGTTTCAATTTTACAAAAGACTGGTCCTAGAGTATAGTTTTGAAACAAATTTTCTTGCAATGAGGTCCAAGCAGAAAACAATGTTGTCATTAGATCAGCAATGGCCATATTACAGATAAAAAGATTGGTACAGTTGCGAGAATTTTTAAATTTAATCATAACTATGAGAATGAGATAGTTTCCTATGAATGAGATGGCAATGATGATGAGAAAAATTAATATCTTTAGACTCATCTCTAAGTATGACTTGTGAACCCAAATCAGGGTTTGACTTCGGTAAGAGATTATTGCTGTATTGTCGATCCAGTCTTCTGGAGAACCGAAGGAAAGATATTCCAAACATTGTATATCTGTTAATGATGAGACTGGTGAAGATGAATTTGGTAGGTAATGAATGCTTGGAACGGTCACAGGACCGTCCGGTGTCATTAATAAACTGTCCAGTTGATTGGTTAACTGTTTAGGTAAAAGGATTGAAAATAAACTTTGGTAAGGGCAACAAAAGCGACTAGAAAACTTATGATTGTAATGATGATTTGATGGTGTGATGATGAGTATGATGAGTAGGATGAATAGGATGAAGAGTGAATAACGATAAGACTTTCACTGGAAACAGAAACGATATAAAACTACATTTAATAGGAATATACTTGGAAGAGTAAGTGATAGGGACAAATAGGGATCAATCAATAAGTTAAACTACTTGGTGGTCTAAAGGAAACATTATTGTTGGTGGTTTCACTGTTTACATTACTGATCCGTTAATCCACAGGTGTGTGTTCAATAAAAGCTATTATTAGAACTCAATTACGCTTTGTTAATAATATTATTATTACCTATTAGTTTAACTTTTGGTTTTATCTCACATTGGTTGAGAATTCAAACTATGGGAGGGAAAATGAAAAAAAGGCTAGAAAAAGATAAAAGCATTGGATGTTTGATAGCAGATAGTATCAGGTTGTTATATTGGATACAATGGTACTTGATCAATTATCTTATCTTATTTTTGCTTTTCATTTTCTCCTCCAGCAGAGAACAGATTATTAATTGATAATTTATAATGCATTATGTATATTGTTAATGATGGTATTAAAGTAAAAGTGTTGTTTCATTACCTATTTGATTGAAACCAATCATCTTTATTTTCTCTATTAATTGTTCTAATCTTTAAGTTACAAAAAATTTACTCGACATCAGTGTTAAATGTTGTTGTCAATCATCAACTGATAAACTAGTTATTTACATTTGATAGTGAATACTTTACATTATAAATGGACTCTAACAGCTTTGGTTGACAAGGTTTAATAAATGTTCTCGATCAAGTCTAATCAGTTCCAAATCAGATGCAATATTTGCTCTTTTTGTTTCGTCACTTTCTTTCTCTAAAAGTTTCGATGATCTAGAAATTGTTTTGTCGAAAAACTGCAAAATTTTGGTTGCAAATTGTTCCTTGTAAGGAATTAAGACAATTGTGTCATGTGAAGCTCTCATGTTGATTGACGATTGAATCAAATTTTGATCATGGAGATCAAGTAAAGTTATATTGTGGACATTTCTATATCGTTTTAGAGCTTCCAATAAATCATGATCGGTCCATTCATTAGAACATATCTTGATGGGTAAATTGTTGATTTCAGCTTTACTCAATGAACAGGTGGCTTTAAAATTACCAAGAATTCGTCCAACTTCTCGAAAAATCTCCATTTCATGATTGATTTTTGGATCGAAAAATTGTGAAAAAATATCAACATTTGGAAATCTTTCTTCTAAAATGCTTATGATTTCTTTGTTTTTCTCTTCAGGTGAGTGAAGTCTTTTTAATCTTTGGTATAGCTCTTCTGTCACGAAAGGAATCAAAGGATGCATCGCAATTAAAGTTGATTTGATAAGCTGGCCACAAATTGCATAAGAAACTGGATCAAATTGGTAATGATCTCTTGGTTTGATGACTTCAATATAGATATCACAAAAAGATTTTACCCAAAAATTGACGAAATTGTAATAAATTCCATTATAACTAAAATTTTCGATATTTGAATGGAAATCTTTGATTAGAATAAAAAATTGACCGATGATCCATTTATCAGTTTTACTCATTCTATCTTTGTAACTTAACAATTCTCTCTCGTCTTGAATTACGGAATTTGAACTACTATCTTCTTTAAAATTGAGAAGATAAAATCTAAAAGCTTGCCAAATCTTATTAACCATATGGCGATTATTTTCCAAATAGTTGACACCAAAAGAAATCTTTTCAGAAGTAGCATTATATTGATACAGACTTAGCCGGAGTCCGTCAGCCCCACAAGCAGCTATTCCTCTAGGAAATAATGATCGTTGAGTAAGCAATGCATTTTGATATTCTTCTTGATTAATCAGCCCTTGGTCAAGTAGTTTACCCGATTCAATTTGTAATGCATCTAAACTCGTGCCATCTATTACGTCGTTAGGGTTAATTATGTTTCCTTTACTTTTACTCATTTTTCGTCCTTTGCCATCACAAACCATACCATGAAGATAAACTTTAGAGAAGGGAAGTTGTTCAGTTAGGTATAAAGAAATTAGTGCCATTTTCATGACCCAGAAATTAAGAATATCAAAGCCAGTTTCCATTAAAGTCAGAGGATGAAAACTTTTGAAGAAAGATGAATTTGTATTTGGCCAGCCAAGTGCAGATAAAGGCAACAGAGCCGATGAAAACCATGTATCCAGAACATCTGCATCTTGTTCAAGAACAACATCATTAGTACCTAAAGTTTGACAAGCTTTTTCAATTGCTAGCTTCTCATTTGGAGCTATAAACCATGTATCTTCGTTTTGAGAGTAAACTTTCCAGGCTGGGATTCGATGTCCGAAAGGTATTTGTCTAGATAGGCACCAATCACGTTTCTTATTGAACCATTCAATAAGCATATTAACTTTTCTTGGCGGATATATGGAAAAGGTACCATTTTCAATACAATCTTTAAGAACCTCATAGCCAGGTTTAACATTTAAAAACCATTGAGGCATTATTCGGTGTTCAATAACGTCTTCAGATCTTTTACAGAAGGGAACTATTGTTGCTCTTTTCTCATAACCATGGTATAAATTATTATCTTGAAGAACTTTTAGAATCTCTTTCGCCAAATCATAACGATGAGAACACGAATATAAATTTTCAAATCGAGAAGAGATTGAGCCCTTAACAAGAGTTCCGTCAGGGTTCATGAAATTACAAATTGGAAGATTATGTTTGAGAGCGATTTCATAATCAGTATAACTGGATGATGGAGTAATTTTAACAGCACCAGTTCCAAAATCGATATGTGCATGTTTGTCAACAATTACAGGAATTTCTTTTTCTGTTATAGGATTCAGAACTTTTCGGTTGTGATATTTGGTATACCTTGAGTCTTTAGGATTTACAACAACTGCAACATCACCGGGAATAGTATAAATATTCATTGTTGAAACTTTAATTGCTTCACCTACCTCACCATCAACAACAGGGTAATTTACAGTATGAAAACAACCGAAATCAACCTTCTCAGGATAGCCAGGAATCGATATTCGAGTACCTCCATCAACATGGCGAAAGTTGACTTCCAGGTCAGATAAAGCTGATTGCATGAAATAGGACCAATTAACTGGTGAATTAGATCTGTAAATAAGACCTTTTTCGTGTAAAATTGTAAATGCATGGCTAACGGAATTGGAAAGAGCAGGATCCAATGTGAAATATTCTTTATCGTAATCAAGCGAACCACCAAGACGATTTAATTGCTCTTTGATTTCCTCGATTCGAACATGTTTCCATTTGGAAAAAATTTCTTCAAATTCTGCTTTTCTTAAATCTTTTACACTTTTTCCTAGAAGAAAAATAAATAAATTGCTTGATGATTTAGTATTCGGTAAACCTACTTTTATCAAGATTATTTTATAATTTCTGATATAGTACCTAATGATTTTCGGGTTGTTTTTTCTAATAGAATATAAGTTGATATCCCTGCGTGATCGAAACCAGGAATAAATGTTATATTAGCATCAGAAAACATTCTTTGATGACGAATGTAAGCATCTTGCAATGCCAGAGTTAATGCATGTCCTAGATGTAATTGACCAGTGATATTTGGCGGTGGTAGCAGCAAAGAGTAAGATTTTGATGTCTCATTCTTTAATCTGGTTTTGAATGTAGAATTAGATAACCAAAAGTGAGACCATAATTTTTCATATTCATCTTGCTTAGGTGTTTGACTGATTGGTGCATCAAGACTTTCTTTAAAAACATTTTTCTCTGTTGCACATTTATATTCAAGATGTTCTTTGGCAGACAACTCTTCGTACGGTTGTTTCAATTTCAAATCGTTCCATTCTTCTTCAATCACCTTCTTGGCATCGTTTTCCTTCAAATCGTTATTTTCTTTTTGAATTTCAATGAATCTGTGTTCAAAATAGATGGCAAATGGACTTCGAGGTAGCTTTGGTTTTTCTGGAATTTCACTTAAACCAGAAGGCAGTTTATCACGAGTTTTTGAAGTGGATGATCCTGTAGATGGTCCAGATGATGATTGCACCCCATTTGTAGAGTCACTATGTGCAAAGTAACGGATTTGACTTGAGTTGATGATAAGAGATCTCAGATTCCTCACAACAAAAGCCATGATTTAACTATAAATTATGAAAAATAAAAAGTAAAATACAATACAATACAATAAATAAAGTTCTGCGTTAGTTTTCAAATGTAAACATCTGATCAGATGTTTACATCGTTTACTGAGTAAACTTTACTCTAGGGCAGGTTAATAAATTACAAAGGCATAAAGACATTTATCAGGGATATCAATGAGTTCTGTCACTTTTTTCATTAACGACTCTACTTCGATTTTAAATCAAATAGATTTATTCAATCAATCCAATAATTTCAGTACAGTATAAGTGCTCTTCGACTATTTCTTAACTCAATCGCAATTAATCATTTAGAATTCATTGATTAAAGAGAAAAGTGAATTGGCGGGTTTTGTATGCCTTCACCCATTTTTCATTATTATTTCCTCAGAGACTATCTACTTTGGATTCTATCATCGGATTTGAGCGCTTCAAAGATTAGGTGCTGTGCATTATTAATCACAAAAATTTCTGATTTGAAGAAATACATAGAAGTATGTGGCCCAGTTGAGCGTTAAATTGATTAGAAAGTTTCCAAATCCATCCATCCAAATAATGAACGTGAAATTGTTTCATTCTTGCTATGAATTGAGCATTGCAATACAGACTAATTATTTTAGTATTGAAATTTTGATCTTTAAATTCGATCTGCGGTCTTTCTAGCAATATTTCGTTTCGCTTTTCTTTTCACCATGGGCTTATCAATGTGAATTTGCTGTTACATGTATATTAAATGAGGAAGTAAACTAAATCAATAAACAAAATGGTGAATTGAAAACTTGAATACAGTCAATAACCAATTTAAACTTTCATTTTTTCACTTATTTTGTCCCAACATGTTTGAGTTGTTAAAATCCAAAGTAAATAAGCTCTTCAGTGTCGGGTTGTTGAATCACTTAATATACCTTACAGGGCTTCATGGGCTTTCACTTTATTTATTTTGAGCATAATGATGAGGATAATAAACATTTCTCACTCCATTGTTCTTGAGTTAACTTTAATTAGAGACTTTTCCCAAGGTTTTAGGCCCACCGTGAAAGGTTGATTACACTCTGAAGAGCAATGAATATTGTCAATAAACGAAATAACAATTGTAAGGCCAATGGATCAATTGATGCAAGTCTTGATTTTTTCTTACTTCTAACTGGTTCCAGTCAATCTACACTCTCACTTTTCAGCTATTATTTAAATAAAGATGAGCCTATTTAAGCAGGTAAATCATGTAAATCCATGTTCACTCAAAGTTTAGTCTTATCGGTAAATCATTGCCAAGTTCATGAAAAAGAGTAAACATCTCAAAATGGACATGAAAATAACGCAATCAACAATCATCAAATACACTGCCGTTATTCTGTGTCTTGGAGCAACCATCAAGTTAGGTAATTAACTGTTGTTTCATTTTTAATTTATGGTTATCCTTTCACCACAAATCATTTTGTTTAAACTTTTAGCGATGACCCAGGAAGCTGATGTTAGGAAGGACGTTTCTCGGTTCAGGCAACGACTTTTGCAAACCACAACATTGTCACCCAGGACAATTCAACCTCATATAGTTAGTGCTTACTCAATTGGAGTAATCAACGGGAAAAAGATGAAAAAACAGACTGGAATCAATGTTAAAGTTATAAGGGATCGAATGGACAAAGGAACCAAAGTCGTCTCTGGTATAGTATCGTCATTTGCTGGTCCTGGTGATGCATCGACATTAGAAGATGCCTTTTCCAAATATGATGAGTTGATGGAAGATATTGAAGCAGATTTGACTAAAACCAAAATTGGACTTGGCCTTAAACTGGAAGAAAGTCTGAAAAATTATAAAAAATCGACTGATCAATTTTTCCGTCAACTGAGAAGTTTTCAAGGAGGTGACTGGGGTTACTGGAAAAACCAAGGTAACTATTTTCCGAGCATAGATGAGAAAGAAATGAAAAAAAGGATTCTCAAGTTAAATGATATGTTAAGTCAGGGATTTGAGAGTTTCATAGATATGTCAGAGAAAGGTAAAGATGTTCTCAGAAGGTTATACAAAAGAAGATATCAAATGAGAAACAACTCATCTTGAAGTTCATTTTTTTACCAAAATTTTATAAGTAAACAGCTGTAATTAATTCTACTTTCTTCCTGTCAATAAAATTCTTATTTTTACTCTAAATTCGGATTTTTTACTTGCATTACTTGAACTATTTCAGCTGAAGAAAAAGCTATATCCAAGTCTGTCAGCACTAGATATTAAATCCATCAAGAGAATTAGCCATGAACGGTATGATTAACTATCAAGATAACGGATCGATTTAAAAAAAGTTTAAAATAATATTCAACATAATTGCGCTCAGCTGTTTTTGGGATGAAATTTTAGGCTGCGTAGTGTTTCAACCTGATGGGATTAAATCAATAAAATGCTTACCTCTTTAGCACCGTTTTGGTCATTTTCCATTGATAATCTGTTATATGGTTACATTTTAAATTGTTGAATTAAAGTTGTAAAAAACTAACTAAATTTCATAAAGCACGAAGTTTACAGAACCAAGAAACTCAAACGAAACGAAAAACCAGAAAAATCTGTTGCGCATGCTTATAGGTGATTTGCTTTTATTTTGATATTTTGTTGTCAATTTTTATTAAAATTATAATGTCAATATTGTTCAATTTATTCACTTGTTCAGATGGTAATTGGTAACTCTTTTAATCCACATTTGTTATCTGTGATTTTTCACGTGTTATTAGTTTTTTGAATCATTAGATCAAAACTGGTGTTTATCAACTTTATTGAATGTGCCTTCTCTTCTGTCTTGGCTGACAACCAACATAACATTTATTGCTTAAGAAATATCTTCTCCACTGACATGGAATATGAATTACACTGTGGTAAGTTGAATTAACGACATTGTAATAAATTCTAATATCATTAAAATTTCTGATGTTTGAATGAAAATCTTTGATTAGAATAAAAATTGACCAATAATCCATCTATCAGTTTACTCATTTTGTCTTTGTAACCAAACGATTCTCTATCGTTTTGCATTTCGGCATTTGAATTAATACTATCTTCTTTAAAATTGAGAAGATAAAATCTAAAAGCTTGCCAAATCTTATTAACCATATGGCGATTATTTTCCAAATAGTTGACACCAAAAATAATCTTTTCAGAAGTAGCATTATATTGATACAGACTTAGCCGGAGTCCGTCAGCCCCACAAGCAGCTATTCCTCTAGGAAATAAAGATCGTTGAGTAAGCAATGCATTTTGATATTCTTCTTGATTAATCAGCCCTTGGTCAAGGAGTTTACCCGATTCAATTTGTAATGCATCTAAACTCGTGCCATCTATTACGTCGTTCGAGTTTATGATGTTTCATTTACTTTTACTCATTTTCCATCAATATCACAAACCATCATATGAAGATGGACGCTAGGGAAAGGAAACTGTTAAGTAAAAAGTCATTTTCATGACCCAGAAATTAAGAATACTAAATCCATTAAAGTCAAATAATAAAACATTTGAAAAAAGATGAATTTGTGTCCGGCCAGCCGAGTCCAAGAGCAACAGAGCCGATGAAAACCATGAAAACCATGTATCCAGAACATCTGTATCTTGTTCAAGAACAACATCATTAGTACCTAAAGTTTGACAAGCTTTTTCAATTGCTAGTTTCTCATTCGGAGATATAAACTATCTATCTTGGTTCCGACAGAAAACTTTCCAGGCTGGAACTCGCTGTTCGTAAGGTATTTTTTCTAGATAGACACCAAGTTTCTTATTATCTCAGGTAGCTTTGTTTTCCTGGAATTTCACTTAAATCAGAAGGCAGTTTATCACAAGTTTTTGAAGATTGTCTTGAAGATGATGATTTTACCCCATTAGTAGAGTTACTATGTGCAAAGTAACGGATTTGACTTGAGTTGATGATAAGAGATCACAGATTCCTCACAACAGAAGCCATGATTTAATTATAAATTATGAAAAACAAAGTAAAATACAATAAATAAAGTTCTGCGTTAGTTTTCAAATGTTAACATCAGATGGTTTGAATGAATGTTTGAATTTGCGTCCGGCCTCTCATGTGTGTAGATAAAGGCATCAGAGTCGCTGAAAAACATGTATCTAAAACATCTTCACCTTGTTCAACAACAACGGCATTAGATCCTGAACTTTGATAAGCTTTTTCAATTGATAATTGCTCATTATCAAGGTAATAAGATTGATTAGATTGAATTATGAATTAGAGGATTTTTTCATTTATTATTCGATCTATTAAGCTCTATATGATCTTAGCTCAGTTTTTCAAGTTTTTCGTTCTCAGGTTATTTCTTCAAATATTAGCAAATCCTGGAAAAAATAGTCTATTTCAAAGTTTATTAAAAATTTTCCTTTTCTTGCAGGTAATCCATTCGAAGGTGTTCATCAAAACCAACCTAGAAGTATTTTATGTTGTCTTGAACAATAAATAAGCTGACTAGAAGCATGTCTCCAGTCAGTAATAAACTAAACCATGGATCATCTGGTTGTTTAGTTTCACGCGAAATTCGAGAATTGGACCATATAGTAAGTCGATTGGAACAAGGCTCAGTATTAACTAAATTTTACCCTAAAGGTAAACCAGAGAAGCGGTTCTTTTGCTTACGCAAAAACACTCGTGAATTGGTTTGGTTCAAACCTGTTGGAGGTCGTAATGTACTTGAAAATTACATTGATTTGAGGCATGTTAAAGAGGTACGGATTGGTCCAGCTTCCAAGATATTTGAACGTTGGCAAGATGACGCTCGAAAATGGGAAAAAGGTCAATGTTTGGTTGTTCTTTATGGCCAACGATTTAGGTTAAAAAATCTTTCCTGTGTTGCCATGTCCATTAATGAATGTGAACAATGGGTTAGAGGAATTCGTTATTTATCAGAAGAGATTCAAAATTGTTCCTATTTAATTCAAATTGAAACCTGGTTGACTCGTGAATTTACAGCCTTGGACGGTGGCCGAGCAAGTTTAACATTCAAAGACCTTAAACCATTCCTGTCCAAGATTAGCTGTAAAGCGACAACAGATGAACTAAAGCGTTATTTTTTACAAGTTGATTTACAAGCATCAAGTGAAATTTCATTTGATGCATTTTGTAAATTGTACAGAGCCATGGTTGATCAAAGACGAATATTTGACCAATATTTTTCCAGTTATACTCAGAATGGTCGAACCGTTAGTTTAAAGGATTTTATTTCGTTTTTAAATTTCCAATCAATGGAAGGTGATAAAATTGATGAAAAGACTGGTTCATTTTTAATGAGAGAATTTATTTCCACTGCAAATCGATATCAGTTAAGTGATTCTGTTCATCAATTTCCACCTCATCGTCATCATCACCAACCTCGACCACTTTTAAATAACTCAGAGGAACCGTATTTCACTATTGACGAGTTTATGAATTATGTTTACTCTAAAAACAATCAAATTTGGGATAAAAAATTTGAGTCAGTACATCATGATATGAACCGACCGTTAACTCATTATTGGATCGCCTCTTCCCATAACACTTACCTTACTGGTGATCAAATTAGAAGTGAATCATCTATTGATGCTTATGCCCGTTGCCTGCGAATGGGATGTCGAAGTATTGAACGTAAGCTATTCTTGAAACTCTACTAAAATCAGTTTTTAATTTTCTTGTTTTTTTTACTCATTTACAGTTGATTGCTGGGATGGACCAGACGGTTTACCTTTAATTTATCATGGCCACACTATAACTACTCGAATCAAATTTATTGATGCTGTTAAAACAATCAAGGAACATGCTTTTGTTAAATCTGATTATCCGGTTGTCCTTTCCATTGAAAATCATTGCTCACTTCCTCAGCAAAGGAAGATGGCTCATGCATTTATTGAAATTTTAGGAGGTAATTCAGCTAATTCATTTCAATATATTTTCGACTAGATTATCAAACTTTAATTATTACTTTTCTTCATTATCTTCTTCTTAGATTATCTACTTACTCAGCCAATTGACAAAGATGAAACTGAAATGCCATCTCCGAATCAGTTGAAACGCAAATTTATCATCAAGGTTGGAATCATTTTTAAACTAAAAATTGAACCTTCCGTTTGTAATTTATTAAATTTTCATTTTTCCTACTTTTTATTCATTTCCAGCACAAAAAATTATCAGACAATGGAGAACCCAGTTTGTCTCTAAAAAACTCAGATGATAACAATCAGGAAGTTGATGTTAATACTTCCATCAAAAGTGGGATTTTGTATCTTATGGATGATTCGTCGGACCGGGTAGGTGTATTCAAAAAAGCTTGACTTGAATTGATTCGCTCAATTAAGTTCGGCAGTTTAATTAAGCTTGAATTTAAATCTAAATATTGTTCTAACCAATATCAACTCTTAATTATGATAGGAATGGAAGCCTTACTTGTTTATGTTGACAAATACCAAGATGTATTATGCTGAATACAATCCTGATGATGAAGATGAAAGTGACGATAGACCGGCTCATAAGATTGACTCTTCTGGGCCAGCATCTAATGATGAGCTTCATTTTGGTGAAAAATGGTATCACGGAAGATTACCCGGTGGTCGTCAACAAGCTCGTGAATTACTTGAAAAATACTCACACTTTGGTGATGGGACCTTTTTAGTGCGTGACAGTGATTCATACGCTGGTGATTATTCATTATCTTTCTGTTGGGAAGGAAAAGTTAACCATTGTCACATCAAAACTAGACAAGAAAAGGGCCAAACTAAATATTATCTGATTGATTCGGTTCCATTTGATTCGTTATACAGTTTAATCACTCATTATCAATCTCAACCTTTAAGATGCAAAATGGGAGCCATTTTCCTTACCGAGCCAGTACCTCAATTGAAAAGTCACGAAAGTAAAGAATGGTATCACTCATCAATAACTCGACCTGGGGCTGAAGATTTATTGAAACAAATCCAGGTTGATGGTTCATTTCTGGTTCGACCCAGTGAAAAGGAGGAAAATTGTTTTGCTATTTCTTTCAGGGCCGAGGATAAAATTAAACACTGTCGTATAATTCAGGAAGGACGACTGTTTGTCATTGGAAGTGCAAAATTTGAGACTTTAGAAGAGCTAATTAAATGGTATCAAAAGTATCCCTTGTATAAAAATGTTAAGCTCAAATATCCAATCAGTGGCGATTTCAAAAATGGTGTGAAGGTAATAATTGATAGGGAATTTTGTACTCGATGTAATTTTCTAATCATCTTTATCTCTTTTCATTATTAGGGCATTGAAAGTAGTGTTCGTGGTGGACAGGATGAAAATTATTTGGATCCTAATAATTGTCAATCTGGATTAACTGTGAAAGCTTTGTTTGATTATCATGGACAAAAAGAAGATGAACTTTCATTTTGTAAACATGCTATTATTACTAATGTTGTTAAGGCAGATCCTTGTTGGTGGAAGGGAGACTATGGTGGCCTCAGAAATCATTGGTTCCCGGCTAATTTTGTTGAAGAGATTGAACCAAATGATAATTTGAATGACAAGGTATGTCGAAAATTTTTATTGTAAAAAGCTGAAATTTAACTATTTTTTTCATTTCAACCAATCAGTTTGATGATCAAATGCCCATCGGATGTCTTCAAAAAGGAAGTATTGACATTGTTGAATGTGCTGTTGCTGCATCAAACGTTCCAATCAATGGAAAAGAATGGGTTTTCAAAATTGTTTCACCCTCGCAAGTTGAGCCTATTGAGATATCTGCATCTAGTAAAGATGAAATGATTGATTGGATCCAGTGTATTCGAGAAACTGCTCAATCTACTCATCAAAAAGTAAATATTATTATTAGTTAATATTAATCTATGAAATATCATTTTTTAAATTTAATAAACTTTTTTGATTTATTTTGTAGATTTGTCAAAGCAAAGAGATTGAACGTAAAGAACGGGTCGCACAGGAATTGTCAAATCTTATAATTTATTGTCGCTCTGTCCCGTTTGTACCTGAAAGTAAATTTATCATTGAATTATTAGTTAATTACTGTTTAACCATAAAAGATCATTTTCTAATTCATTTTATCTATCTTTTTCTGGTTCATAGAGATCGGCATCTTTACAGAAATGTCGTCTTATCCTGAGACAAAAGTGGAAAAATGGTTGAGTCCACAAAATTGTCCTGCTTTCAATGAGTATCACTTCAAACAATTCAGTCGAGTTTATCCTGGAATGAGAAGATTAGATTCATCCAATTACGATCCTGTTCGTATCTGGAACGCAGGAGTTCAAATGGTGGCTCTAAATTATCAAACACCTGATCGACCAATGCAGTTAAATCAAGGCAAATTTCTTGAAAACGGTGCATGTGGTTATTTATTGCGACCCAATTTCATGTTTGAACCAGGGTTTGATGTCTATAAACCCCCCAAAATCAATCCTGTAACTATGACTATTCGAGTAAGTCTTTTTCACTGAATAATTATAATAATTGAATCAAAAAATTGACTGGAATATATATTCATTGTTAAAGGTTATTGGAGCTCGCCACCTTACCAAAAATAGTCGAGGTAACATTAGCCCATTCATTGAAGTTGAAATTGTCGGAGCTGATTATGATTGTCGGAAGGTTAAGACAGGAACATGCCGTAAGTTGAAAAATTTATCATCTTTGTATTTCAATATTGTCCAGTATATTCACTTTTTAATCCAATATCTTTTATATTATAGATGACAACGGATTTAATCCATGCTGGGAGGAAACTTTCATTTTTGACATTGAATGTCCTGATTTGGCTTTATTGAGATTCGTTGCTTACGACGAGGATAGCTTTGGTGATCCTAATTTTGTTGGTCAAGCTACTTACCCATTTAATTGCTTGCGTCAAGGGTATAGAAGTGTTCCCCTCAAAAATGAATACAGTGAAGAACTGGACTTATCATCTCTATTAGTTCATGTCAAGATCAACAAAAATGAATTTGCTCTCTAAACTAATATTTAATTTCCACCAATCCACCATTCCTGATAATAACTAATCAAGCATAATCAACTCGTGTCAATTATTTAAGATAAATGGTTAAATTGTTGCCATCAACATTAATTATTCTTTAAGTGTCAAAATTATTTTCCAAAGTCTAATGTTGTCCCAATGTAAGCCATCCATACTCATGAATTAATACTTGAATACAAATTCGTGAAAATTGTATAAACACATGAAAATATAATAGTTATAAATTGAATTTTTGTTTTTGTCATTCAATGTGGAATTTGGTTTTAGACAGAATCGATAGGAATGGCAATGGTGAAGAAGCTGATGATAAAAACCAGGAGAACTGAGGAGAAACCAGAACGAGGATGATGACTGCGCAGCATTTTTCTTTTCGCTCTTCATTCTCATCAATCGATCGATCCTTCTACTACAATACGAGAGATGAATCCAACTTAAGATATGAGCACAGAAAACGAGAGAAGCAAAGGCAAAAGAAGAAAAAAGAAGATCATTATGTTCATCATCATCAGCATCATCTTTTTGAGTTTCACTGAACACTTTCAAGAGAAGCAAGAGAGCTGGAAGAAAGAAAAAGCAGTGGAAAAAAGAGGAACAAGATGTGGATGATGAGAATGATGAGAATGATGATGGTGAGAGAAAGAGTGAAGCAAGTTTCCTCAATAGTTTCCTTTTGGGTTTCCTTGTCTTCCGTTAATTCTTCATGTCAACTCACAGTGTCCAATCTTTATCATGATTCCTGCTGAAATAATATTTGATACACTAATCGAGTATCATCATATTTCTCATTTTCAACCTAATCATAAGCATACCGATTTTATTGTTAACAAAACTTGAAGTCAATATAAATTTGGTGCAACATCAACATCAGTAAATTTTTAGTGGAAAGAAGTGAAATCTTATTTTAAGTAATATTTTTGTTATTTTCAAAATAATAACAACACAATCAATGGATTCCAATGGATCTCATGATATTTACGAGGTTAAAGAGATTGTTGGCATGAAAAAAGTTGGGGTTAGTAAAAATCATTTTTATTAATACATTTATCCATTCCTTAACGTATTTTAATGTTACATTATTATTCATCAATCATGCGATTCAACCCAAGAAATCCCAAATTCAAATTGAATCTTTTTCTTTGGTGACACCTCCTGTTGATTGCTGTTTCATTTGTTGATTAACTCTATTTACACAAATCAACTATTCACTGACAAGATTGTCAATGATTAAAATGGTGATAGAAACAGATGTCAATAGAAAAGATGAAATACTCAATGAAATTGAGATACAGATTCAACCAAACTGTGCTTCGCTTGATATTTTGTTGTAGTCATTGGACTAATACAATATAGTCATTTGATCCTTAAAATTAATCTGACTATTGATTATTTAATGTAAAAGGTACATTTAATAGACTCTTGATTCAAATTTCACGAATGTCAAGTTGATCAGATTGAAAAGATGCATAAAAATATCAAATTTAATGTTGAGTTGAATTTTCTCAATTGATGTTTCATATTAATATTTTCAAGAGGCAAAAATTGAAGATTCGGGGAATTGAGATAATATGAGAAACAAAATAAGGTAATAAGATGTCTAGCAATTGAAAAGGGATGATTTCATGATGAGAAAATTTCATGAAAATTTAGAGTAAAAACAAAACATTTGAAGTAAAGTAGAAATATCGATCTTTGGCTCTTTTTTTTATCCTGTGTTTTTCATAATAATACAACATGAGAAGCAACTTGCTGAAGTCTTTGCCATGAACAAAATACTCATTGTCAGACTCCTTTTTTATATTATTATCCATCTTTCATTTCTATCCACAGTTTTCGTCTTCTTTTTTCCACTAACATGTAAGACTATTTCCCATGATGATGATGATGAAAATGAGAGGAAAGCCTGAGAAATGAAAAGGTTTTCCTGAAGGATTTTACTATCGAGACAGAATGATGATAATGATGGTGAAGATGAGAATGGAAAGTAAACTATTATTTATATACATGTATTGCGTGCATCTATTGATTTAGTTTAGGCTAATAAAATCGATTTCAATGGTTACTCCAAAAATCATCATCACATGTTTCATTCGCGTTCTGTTATTCATGCTTTTTTCAAATTTTGCTCGATCAATAAATTAATTGAGCAAATAATATGTTAATAATTGAATATTAACTTAATTTTCCGGACCAATAAAAGTATAATAGAGTAATATTCATCGGCAATCATATTAGTTATACTATTTCAGGTAAACGAATTTAATTATTTTGTTTCTATCAATACATTCAACTACAATTTTCATTTAAAAGCTCAAGCTTTTTTGATACAAACTAAAGTTTAGTTTGATATTATTGCATATTAACTTTGATAATTTTTCATAACAACAAAATAAATTAAAATAATGCTCAAGAACAGCATAGATGAGGTAATAAGTTTATGCTCAAACAATATAATAGGCATCACACAATAATTCAATAACACGTTAATTCATCAATAAAACATTAACAAGATAAATAGATTGAAATTTTATAATGTTGCTTACTAGTTGAATTATCAAACAATGCTACTATTGCTGAAATTTCTGGTTGAATCATTTCTTGGCCAGACTCAAACGGTTAAGGGCTCCGTTGAAACGAGACAATTGGGACTCAAGAGACTTGGAAATGCATTTCAACTTGTCCAGATTGTTGATAACTTCTATCGATTGGGTAAATGGATCGTATGCAACATCAAATCGACGTTTCAATTTGGTATAAACATAATTTCTAAAAATAAAATCGGATTAAAAATTACAGATTATTACTCAGAGAAAATTCAAATATCTTGTTACGTGAGCTAGAAAATATTGATTGGTATATTTTTTCAATGTCATGGTTCAAAGAATGACTTACTTGAGCTGTTCTTTTGCTTTTTCAAAGCTTTGGGCGACAAAATAAAGACCCTGGTAATCAACATCTTGGTAAGGTTGAACAGCGGCCTTTTCTGGCTCAAATGGTTTTTTCTCTGGTTTATCTGACAATGAATGCTGAAGTTCACCATAAGATGATAAAAGGCCAGCCCCGTATGCTTTTATTCGTCCATCTTCCATGCAGAGACCAAACTCAACGGTGAACCAATAAAGCTATGATTGGGAGATGAAATTAGACATGTACAGGTTGTTCGAAATCTCTAATTTAAGATAGAAAAGCTTACAGTGGCAAATCTCTCAATTTCTTGATCATCAGCGCCAAGTGATGCTAATCCTATTTCTTGAGAAAACTCGGCAAATGTTGGATCAGCTAATATTGGAGCATGACCAAGGAGCTCATGAATACAATCTCTATTTCAATCAAATAAACAAATTGTACGAGAAAATTACTACATCGAAGAATAAGAGAAAACGAGGGTTGATGAAAACACGAAGGATGGTAAAAATGTCAAAAAGCAGATACACACGGTTCAGGAGAATGGTCAGGATTAGAACCATGTCGAATGTATTGGGTTGACTGGAAAACTCGGAAAGCAAGACTTGCGAGAAAATCTCTTGCAGTTAACAATCCAGCTGCAGGTCGTAGAGTGAATCCTGTCCTACCTGTTGATACAGTAAACAAAACAAAAAATTACGCTAACTATTAACATTTAAGAACTATTGACCATTTCTTACGTCTTAGGAAATTAGAAACTGCTTCAAGTTGAGGAATTGAGTCAGGACTATAACCACATTCTCGTTCCAAGGTTTGAAATACTTCTACATGCTGACGACATGCATGAGTTGGATACAATTCAACCAGCTTTCGATAAACAGCTCCCCTTTGAAAGAAATAAAGCACTTATTATAATCATGATAACCAACCGTTTGCGGTAATAAAAGCACATAAAAGATGAATACCATGTTTTGATTTCATCAGGAGTATATTCAACATCAGGAATCCGTTGTCCCCTAAAAACAATACAATTTAGATTTCATTACGTAACCAGATGATGATTTTAATCATACCATCGATAATCAAAAGCTATTTGAGCGATCTCCTTGCGCCGTGCTCGATAAACTTTATCAGTAAATCCCTAGAAGAACACAAACATTTTTAATTAGAAAGAATTAATAGACAATTAAAAAAATGAACATTGCAAGAGAAGATACTAGCGTCATCTTGTGTAAGAAATGGTTAATATTATATTATAAAAAGTAGAGGGAAAAAAGACAAGACAACAATCAAAGAGTAGCTCTTTGATCCTCTTTGCATCAATGGAAAAAAATACAGCTTTATTTTTAGCTCGTTTCATTTATAATTCATTTTCTTAATGAATTCACGAATATAATCGCTAAAGTTACGACACTATACTGAATTAAAACTCTGTGAAAATGAAAAATTAACAACCAGTTAAGACGTTTCACTGCAACAAATCAAAAGTGTTGAGATTGAATAATGATATGAATTATAGACAGAACTTGGACTTTTTAATTGAGATTTGATATTCGGTGTTTTAAGGAGCATGGAAATAGACTAAATTTATGTGATTAAGGTTGTTTACAGGTTTTATAGAATCGCTGAATAAAAGATAAAGAGGTGAAACTTACACCGACAGATATGATTGAGGAAACTAACGATTTAAAACTTGCGAACATCGTTCTCTCACCAATAATCATACTTTACTAGGGCTATTAAATAAATCAAAGGACATTCAAGATTGTACAGAAAAAGTATCGCTATTTAATAATATAAAAAATGACAGAAGTTCTAATCAATATTAAATCGAAGTTGTGCTTTTATTTTATGAACGATTACTTTTGTCTTCTTTTTATTGGTCCTTTTTTGATTGTAAGATGGCGCTCAAACATTGATTGTTGTTTAATGTTTTGATAAAAAGGTTGCTTTTTGATCGTAAAATTAATTTACACAACTCTTCAGTTTTGTCAGTGGTTAATATTAGTACTAATCTATAAACATACTCACTGGATGGTCAATATCTAAATCAGGTTCGTATTTGGTCATAATGTGAGTACAAAAGTCAAGATCACTGATGTGTCGAGGAAACCATGGATCTGTTAATTGGTCAGTTGTGTTTTCATTTTTCAAGCCAAGAAAAACAAAATCAGAGTAAGCTTTAATTTGATGGTTTAAATTAAGTTTAAATGTGGTTACCTTTAATGCTGATTAGCTGTTCCTTCAAAACTTCTGCCTGAGCAAGATTTCCATGTCTTAGTGATTTCATGAGATGCAGTAAGCCAGATGAGGATATTTCAAGACGAAGAAATATTTCCATTATGTTTGGATCATCACGATTACATCGACTCTCTATGTGCTCAATGTGACCCTTGCAAGTCTTATTTAATCATCAATTTGGCGGTGAAAGATAAAGTAAAAGTGTAAGTTCTTCATTGAACAATACTCTGTTTCATTTTTCAATGGCCAATACTTCAAATTGATAATCTATTCACCCTTTACTGAAATTAGGAAATTTAAAGTAATGGCTTACCTCAATGAATTTTAGAATCCTTGGAAGACTAGAGAAAGTCCCATCATTCGGACGTAGCAACAAGTGTTGAATTTGTGGTTTATTGAATTCCTGGTCATTATTTGTCTCAGAAACAACAAGAACCTGTGATTTTGATCAGAACCAATATAGTCTTCATTTCAATCACTATGATACTCACCTCTTCTTCTGGTAAATCAGTGTCTTGTGAGTTCTGGCGTTGCTCTTGTAACCACGATAATCGCGCTTCACGATTTTTTTGAGTTTCAAATTTTGCATCATCAACCAAAGAGCGCCGACGAGAAGGATAACCATGCTAGAGTTGTGACAACAAACATTTTCAAATGGGTTACTTGGAGTACACACCAGTGATATAAAATATTTCCATCAATTTACATATTTGGCTTGATTGGACTTTAATTTTTCTTAGCAACTTGCAGAGCTGTCCATATTATCCTGTTCAGTACAGGAATTGATCAATCAAACTGCTATCCAAACATGTGTTAACCAAAAAAGACTAACGAGTTAAAGAAAGGGTTGAAGTTGAAAAGATATTGACGGATGTGGTTTGATAATCTATTTTCGTAGGAATCATTCAACCATGGAAATGTAACCTGTAAAGTTACATTGAGATGAATCACTTTTATCACAAGAGGACAATATAAAGAAACGATGAAAGGAATTACATGAGTTGAGCCAAATTAGCTACTATTATCATGTTTGAGCGACTTCAAAGAGATTTGCTAATCATTTCAAGTGGAATTAATTATACCAAGGGTCAACTATCACTACCAGACACTCAATGAAACTGGTTAACATTCATCTATCCAACAACAAAATGACCAACAAAAACCTTAATCATTTAATTACTATAACCTGTGGTAAATAAGAATGAGCGAAACAATCAAGGATTATTCACATTGCATTGCCTTTGATTAAATATCATCAATCATAGCCATCTCCACCATCAACAGCAGCAACAAATGGTAAAACTGATTTCAAGCATCTTTATATTAACCCTGTTGATATTGTCATCAACAAATTTACCACTTTGATTACAATTACTTGCATCTGAAATCATGAGCAACATTCAGCAACAAAGCTGGTCGGTGTTTTTCAGCTTGGACGTCAGTACGAAAAATGGAAAAGATCAAGCACAAGAGTGATACTCGAGCTTTTAAGATACTCCAAAGAATGTATATTAATTTCTTGGAAAAGTGTGATCGGACAAAACTATCGAAATTCCTAAATTTATAAGATATTCTGTTATCTTTTCAAAATTCATGTGTAATGTGATCTTTGAAAGGTCGAGTTCTCTCTGTCAGTCCTGATCTTGTCCAACTGTAGCTTTATAAGCTGTTGATTTGCTTTTGTAAAGTTTACATACCATTGAATGGTGAATCTTACCCGATCAGTCTCAGATCCATTTTTATCGTCAGAATCATTCTTGATTCATTTTCAATTCCCTGTTGAACATATAATAATAATTGTCTTCCTATTCTATTAACTTCCTTCCTTTTCTTGGGGCTTTTCTAGTTCACCGATCACCACTAATTGGCTTGAACATTGGACACTCTAATAACCTTTTTCATTGCGAGTATCATCGTCTGTAAATCGCTTTTCATTCCCTTGTTCAGTCAATAGAATTTTTGGATTGATTATTATTCCTATCAATATGAATATCATTTTGAAAAGATCAGCCTCTGAATTATGCTAGTTTTCAAGCTGTCGTTAAACAACTACTATAATAGACGGATAATTTTGCCTGGTAAAAGCTTTCATCAAATTAAGGATAAGATCTTTTCATTATCACCTTTACATTGTTATGAGATTCACTTTTGATTTTTTTCTTCTCTTTTTTTACTTCAATCTAGTATGAAATGAAGTAAAAGCATCTTTAAGGTTGTACTTTTTTATCGTAATCGCCAGGAAAAAAGACTCATAACAATAACTCAGGATCATCATCATAAAAGGGAATAACAATAACCATAATAATCCGGTGAAAAGAGTAAAAAAGATGATAATGTGTCAATATTTGGAAATGAAAACTCATTGCAACCATGAAATTAGATTGATAGTTTGGTCTTGCATTATCATACTTGTTGAACAATTGAATTCAATTTCTTTTGTTACATTTTGTTGACAAAAAAAGGTCAATTCAACTCAAAGATTCGGAAAGAAACACGATAATCAATACTAATCATATTCAAGATTCAGTACATCTGTCAATCCAATCCAATCTAATTGACAAATAAGCTAATCAGCTTGTAATTAATTCAGAGTTGGCTTGAAGAGCATAACAGATTAGCCTCAAAGTTTTCAACATTTCATGAACAAACCAACTGTTACTTTAGATTGAGATTTACATTTACAGCCTATTTCGATATCAAATTAATCTAATTGTTACTTAAATTTGACAAATTATACTTTTCTAATAAGTAATGTAATGAATTTATCAACTTACCTCAACGCTGTAGCTTTTGATTGAAAATTTAGCCCGACTTAAAGCTGCTATCGAAGCCATAACAAGAAGAGATTGAGTATGAGTGATGAAAACGAAACAAGATGATTGAAAACACTTTTAAACACTTTTAATTGTAACAATCATAGGCGATATCAAGGGTACAACAAGTTTAACGTTAAGTACACATTAGGAGTGAATCTTGTTCTCATTTTGGTTTATATTCAATGGTTAAACCTTGACTCCCTGTAAGGTAGTGACACCTTTTTGTTAGACCCAAGAAAATGAGATGAGCAGGAAAAGTTGCTCATGCTACACTTCAGGGATTGAGAAAGAAATTTCAAATTGCGGTAAAAGTCTCATTCGACTGTCAAAATAATAGCGAAACAATTTAATTCACACAAGAACAAAATAATCAACCAATTGGTGAATATATCTTCCCATAGAGAAACATTGAAAAATTAGGTAATTTCCCATTTCTATTATAACCTTAAAATAGTAAAGCATGGAAATTATGAAAATTTTTGAAAAACGATCAACCGATTATCGCATTAAAATAACTTAAAATTACCAAAAAACAATGTCTTCAAAATATTATTCAATTATTTTGACAGTCAAATGAAATTTCATTCCCAATCTCTGAAGTTTTGGGAGCAACATGAAATCAAGAGTCCCTATTGCCAACAGTTTACTTATGTATTTCACTGCTTTTCCTGCTTCTCCTCATCAATATTAGGCTATTGTAGGTAAAATAAAAACGAGAACAATTAAAGATATAAACAGGATTGATGTAAAGTTTGGTGTGATTAGAAATGAATCGCTCAAAGTGAATCCAACCTCTCCGTGGTCAACTCTGTCCAAGAAAAGTAAAGCCTGAGATACAAAAAAGAGAAGAGTTAACTTTTGATTAGCTTAATGGACACTAACTAACCTCTAGACGAGTTGGATCGTTAGTCTCCTTTAATGTTAATTGGTACAAATCGTCATAAAATTGGTTTGATAAAAGGTTAACTTGTGTCACATTGATAATTATTAAGTAAGTGGCTGCAATGTTGATCAAAAAACGGTAAATCAATTCAACCAACTGTTGCCCATCTAGTTGTTTGTTGAGGACAAAATGTAATTGAAATACTGAAGGAACAAAATTGAACAGAATGAATAGAGCAAGGAAATGTTTCCAATGATTGTTGGCAGTCCGAATAAATTCAATTGTATTACAATAGCGATAACGTCGGTACAAAATGATATCCTCTGATTTATCTGTACGAGCCAATGTAGTTGAATGTAAAGGTGAAGATGATGGATGGTGATTTGATAATGATGAAGATTGAATCCTTTTGTCTTCCCTGAATGAATTGTTGATATCACGGAAAATTGATTGAGCCAAAATAGTTGAGATTAAAAATTGGTAAACAAGAAGGTGGACAATCAGTAGACCAATTAGATCAACAATTATGTGTACCATATCAACCAGTGTTATTGGCGAGAGTATACTAGATGTTGAATCCAAGGCAATGGTTATCAGTAATTGAAAGTAAATAACAGTGGACAAGACTATTAAAAGGTAGAGTCGTTTACGGACAGATTTAACTCTATCACTAACCCATTGTTTTATCTCAATATTGTCCTTGGTGGGTTGATCAGCTGATGGTGAATAAAGGGTTTGCCAAATAGAGTCCAGTTGATTTAATGGAGGTTCACGGGCCAATATACCATTCAACATTGTAAACAGAGTAACATCATTGAGAAATAGAGTAAATTTCATGAAATCAAGACGAGATCCAAAAGAGTCAACTAATCCAGCTGAGGGAAGAACCGAGATTAGCATTAAAAATGAATGGGTTATAGCAAAGGTCCCCATAAAATAAACTATCCTTTGGATCCTTAATCTTCCTGTACGCTTTGTCAGTAAACGGTAAATTGGCTTTAGTAAAGGCTGGTTAACCAATATACCAATAAAGGTCAATTTAAGATCAATCTCGGGTCCAGCATTAGAGGTATCTTCCAAATTAACGGCAACTTGATTATCATCATTAGAAACGGTTGAACCATTATCACTAGGTTTGTCTTCATTGTTGGTTAAACTCTTGTCTTCACTTGTATTGTCCTCAGTATTGCTGATAACAACACTCGTCTCTTCACCGTTATTATCATTATTTGAAACATGGTTAAGCTGATTAATTTCACTGTTGTCTTGGTCAACTAAAGACTCAGATTCATGGTCAGTTGGCGTTATTACTTTAGGTTCATTTGTTGTCATAATTAAAGATTAACTCAACCAGTGTGATCCAATTGATCCACTGGTAAACTAACATAACCCAGCGAATCAACTTTAACCAGCCAAATGATTCTCTATTGATTGAAATGGCTTTCTCCTTAACTGATCATCATTATTTTTCCTTCTCATCATCATCTTATCATTTAGTTTGTCATCACGGAAGAAAAGTGAAATTAAGTTCACTCCAAGCCTTTCTTAGCATGAGCACGCTTAACTTTAGCCTGATTCCTAGGAATTGAATCTGACCAAGAAATAACGTAACCATTTATTTAGGTTAACTACTGTTTAAACCTTTCTGTCGATAGCTCAAAGTCTAGGTTTTGATATTCAAATTTATTAGACTTCTCATTTACCTGGAATTGGCTTGAATCTTTACCTTTATTTACCTAGTTAATATGTTTATAGTAAAATAATAAAGTTAAGGATTCAAGTGACGATAGAGATTATGATTGGAAGCACGCAATTTCAATCGTTATTATTACCATTTTGAGTTTGTAAGGAAAGGATGATTGGAAAATGAAGAAACAAAAATAAGGTTGATTACATGATAGACTGAGAAGAAAAGGTAAAATGAAATAAAGATTAATTATTCAAGTTGATCTCAATTTTTTCCTACTGATTGTTGACTTTTTTGACTCATAATTATTTTAAAACTAGGTCTGTGTAACCCAAAAAAGATTTAATTTTGCTATTAAACACTCGATAATCATTAATATAATCATTTAATGGTCCTTTAATTGTGAATTGTTTTCTTTTGTTATTTTCAATGCCAGAAGCAAAGAGTTATACTCTTTACCAGAAGTTGATTATTTTGAGACAATCTTTCGTTGAATTGTACTGATTTGATCTTAATTAGGTCAATAGTTGATTTAGATTATTTTGATCTTGATTTGATTTCTAACTTTTGTCTATTTCTCTTTTTATTGTTGCAGACTGATTATCTTTATAAAGTACGGTGGAGAGGTTATGGGCCTGAAAATGATACTTGGGAACCTCAAAGTAATTTTTTCACCTGCCATGATGTTATTGAAGAGTACAAAAGTAAAAATAAAAGCTTCAATTCGATTAAATCGCTAAGAAGTCGCAATAAAATTGCTAAAGGTGCAGATAAAACGCTGAAAAGGATTAAATCAAATTGCCCGCCATTTGTTAAAGCCCGCTCAAAAAAATCAAAATTGTTGAGTAAGAAAGCTCTTTCTCGTAGATCTTCAACTTCAACCTGTTCTTCCCCTTCTCCTTCTCCTTCTTCGTCATCTTCATCTTCATCGTCATCGTCGTCTACCTCATCAACCTCTACTACTTCAATTGTTGCCCGAATCAAAATTAAAAAGGAACCTGAACAGCAAGATGAGGAATGTAATTCTTTAATCGAATTGGAAAGACTAGCTGAACTGAGAGGACTCAAAAATACTCAACCCTGTATTAAACAAGAATCTCAGCAACAGTTAGATGGTGATGATCAACAAAAATCCATATCTTCTATTGGTTCACCGTTACCTTTACCATTTCCCTCATCATCTTCATCATTTTCACCCTCTTCTCGATTCAACATTGGATACAATTTGAATCAAAGATTTGGTAATGACTGTAAAACTCCGTTAATTTATGCAGCTGAAGTTGGCAACACTAAATTAGTTGAATTTCTTCTTGAATCTGGAGCTGCCAAAGATTTAAAGGATTCCAATGGAAATACAGCTTTGATTCTGGTAATTATTATTTTCTCGCTTTATCTTAATTGCATTATAATTGACATATGATTAATTTTTGCTTATAGGCTAGTCAAAATGGCCATTATGACATTGTCCGGAGTTTGCTGCTTCATGGAGCCAATTTTTCAATAATCAATGATGCTGGTTCAAATGCATTGAGAACCGCTAAATTATTTGCAAATGATGAAACTCAGCACATTTTGACCAAACATGTTTCTCAGTAATTATCAGATTCTTATTAGATCTTTTTGTATTTCAAAATTTTATTGATTATGATTATCTTTTGTTCATTTAGGATTACAATGGCATTAGAAAATCAAGTTATTGAACTTCTTCGCAGTACCGCTCGGATAAGCCACGCTCTTTTTCCCATTCAATGCCATTCCACAAGTGAAAATCTTCGATTTCGGTTGCTGTTCAATTTTGATTCCATTGAGCCATTTCAGCCAGGTTTGTTAATAGCGCATTTGTTCTCAAACTAATTGTGTGAGATTTCTCTTTCTATTCACAGGAATTGGTTTTCTTCTGTTTATAAGTGATTTAACTTTCAGTCTCTTCAAGCCAGTTTCATTGAGATTTTTCAGTCCTTCCGCCAAAGTTAAGGTCTACCTTAATGGAACTCTTCAAAAATCTTTAACAGAGGTAACTATACGTCCCCAAACGAATTTAATTTTCAATTGCTGATTTCGTACTGAAATATTTTCTTATTTTTAGGGTGCCAAATTTGTCTTCTCATTCACTCCTTTACGTCGAGGAGTTAATGAGCTTTTGCTTACCATTAAGGAATCTCAATCACGACAGTGTTTCATCATTTGTGCCTATCAAGTTACCTTGATCAACTCTAAACCCTAATTCAATACTGAACCAAGAAAGCAAATTATTGTTTAAATTGAATCATTAATTTTTATTGATTATTATTCATCATTATCACTGTGTCAAGAAATTCAAATGTCAAGACAATTTAATGGCCAGAGGTCGAGAATCAAAATATCACCTGGTAATACAATTAGCATCAGTGAATGAACCAATTTTTTTAAACTTCTCCAGCTCATCCAGAATAACAATTATATTTTGAAAATGAAGTGGAAAAAATTTTTGCAGCCAATTTCATCGATTATGAACAGAAAACAAATATTCATTACGTCAACAAACTGAACCCAAGATGATACTGGTTCATGATTGATCAAAGAAAGTTGCTCACAGATGCAGACACTTTACTGGTGAATGTTATTTAGATATCAAATTGTACATTAGATACCTAAAACTCATCATTCCTGCTAAAACAAGTTGCGCGGCCAATTAAAGTACAACGCAATTGATAGACAATTCATTGGAACTTCACTTGATACCTGTTCTTATCAAAAGATCATCATTTCATATTGATGAATGTTTAATCAGTGATAAATGTTTTCTTTTTCGCTTAATCAATTTGAATTTGTTTCTTATACTTATGTTTGTGTTCATGTTTGTAATCAACTTTAATAATCTCAATGCAAAATCAAAAAGAGATGACACCATGGAAACAAAGTCTATGATCATTTAATCCATTAAAAAGTACAATCTTACCATTTTTACTTTAATGTAACTCTCAATGATAATTTTTAAAATAAATGTTTCTTTCTCTGTTCACGCAGCACCTTTGCTGAGTTATCATGATGGTCATAGAATTTTTGAAAGAAAAAATTGAAATGCAAATTTTATTACAGAAACTGTAAACAGAAATCAAGTCTCAATTTAAAGCGATTGAACTATCGGTTAGAAATTACATTGCAGTGAAACTGTGCTAACTTTGAGAGCAATTTATTCTTATTCTTAAGAACACATATTTATACCAGAAGGAAACATAATTACAAACACATATTGGTAATAAAAAAATGTATTTACATCAAAAATAGTTAAGAAACGACTTGTCAATCACCGGTCTCTAAGTTAAGCGAAAAAGCATGATAATTTTAACGAATCCTTTGAGAAATTCAGCCAGAAAAAGACTTTTCAAAAGATGGGAATGTAAATACAGTTGGTTTTAAAGAGATAACCAGAGAGTTATGATATTTTGTGAACATCAATCGCAGTACTCAAAGTTAGACCTTCGGCCATTGAGAGAAACACGAAGCCAATATGTTTCCAAAATTAAAACTTGAAATCGATTTGGATTATCTCAGTCTGCTTGTTTGACACAGAAGATTTTTAGCTTAAGGATGAAATGAAAGAAAGCAATTAAGTAATACATTATCATTTCGGGTAATTCAAAAATTTATATTATTTAAGATGATTTAGCTTTCAAATCAATTTCTTACCGTCAGAAATCACACAACTCATGGATATTTGAATAACATCGAGCTTGGTAAGAAGCTCCAAAGATGACTTCTCTGCTCTTTTCAACGATATGATAATGGTCAGCATTAATGGAGATGCCAATATCAATAGTGCATGTTTATTACAATTAAGATAATCAATATTGTCCGTAGGCTTGTTTTAAGGAGACTTGTTGCAAATTGTCGGAAACTGATTGACTGATTGAATAAACTTGATCCAAATAAGTGCTTGAACTATCAAAAGAGTATGGTTTAAAAATGATTGCTAAAACAATCAGTTTTCTTGCAATTATGACCAGCACTCCAATTTATTGGTTTTATGCATAGTTAGTCAAGCATAAGCAAACACCATAAATATTCAATCACAGAAAATGATTTCTGAACAATATTTGCCAGTATTACCATAAAATGACATGAAGCCAGGCGGCTTAATTCAAACGGTTTGTTGAAATGAACCTGTCTCTTCCTTTTCAGGTTCAGTACGAGCAGATATTTGTTTAATGTATTTTCCCATATAATAAATTGTAATCAGAAGCACTGCAAGTGAATAAACACAAAACATCAAAACATGACCCAGTCCTTTAGTCTCTTTATTATCGCCATTTGCCAAGTCCAAAACTAGAACGAAGATTATTATGACATTGCATACGAGCACAACAATACAAATTATTCGGTAAACCTTTAAAACTCCTTGCCAGCGTTTAATTATCGCAATTACAACAAGTGCGTTTAAAAAAAGGTTGAAATAATAAGAGTAAATGAAAGAGCCTCGTGAATTATTGATTATATCCAGCAACGCGATTATATTTAGCAAAGTTGATAATACAAAGATGAACAGCAGGATATTTCTTGGGCTGATGAAACGCTGCCGTACGTTGGTTTGTTCACTTGAATTCATCATGGTTATGTTGGTTTAAGCCTTTCGATTAAATTATTCAACGAACAACATGAAAGTTAAAATGGCTGGTTAAACAATTTGATGTAAATTCATTAAATAACAGATAAAATATTTTTCTTCCGGACAAAAGTGGACAATTGCTTGTCCAGATTGTAACACTTGAAAATGAAATGCATTTAAAGTTGTTTTTTCACCGAATGTTTAAATTGAAATGAAAGTCAATAACGATTTTATTCAACTCAAAGCTGACAAGTGTAAAATAGTTAATCACAATTTGCTAAACAAAAATGACAAATCAATAGCAAAATCCAGCCATGTTGCTATTGAATAATGGTTTATCGATTTTTAAAATATCTGAAAATATATACAAATTCATATCGAAAGATTTTCTCATTCCATTAAAATTGAATTATATTGATATTGAATGCTCATTTAAATGTTGCGATTTTCATATCTTTTCAATTATGTTTGTTTGTTACTTTGAACTCCAAACGATTCAATAAATATTTAACCGGTGAACTGAGCAATCAGTATTTAATTGCTCAGTTGATGACTTGAATGTTGATATAAAGCAACATTACTTTATAAAAAGACAGACAGAAATTTTCTTGTAAAATTATTCGTTTTTATATTATATGGTCTATTTACATGAAATGATGAAAAATTTGTTTCAGATGTTAAATCAATGAAAAAAGAACATTAAAGTTCAATAGTTAAAATTGATAATAACTAATTGAAAATGCGTCATTGGAATAACTAATAAAAAAAGTAACAATATTTCAATCAGCTCTTTTTGAAATGTAAATCATTGACTTTACATTATATCATGATTGTGTGAAGACAAGAATGAAAAATTACTCTACAAAATATTGCAAAGAGTTTTACTCTTTTTCTTAGCATTCTTGTTGTTAACTGTGGTATTGGTGGTTAATCGAGTTCGTTTCTTTTTGTAAATCTCTTTCATCAAATAATAAAATATTGCCTCGACATTGGCTCTTGTTTTTGCACTTGTTTCAATGTATGGCACATTCCAGGCATCAGCTAATCGTTGAGCCTCCTCCTTGGAAACAACCCTTTTCTCATCTAAATCAGCTTTATTGCCAACCAATAAAAATGGAATGGACGATTCATCGCCTTTTACTCGAAGAATCTGTTCACGGAATTCACTTGTTGCAGCAAAAGATTCTCCTTCGGTAATTGAAAAGACACACAGAAATCCTTCACCAGAACGGAAATAATTATCTCGGATAGCTGCATAATCTTCTTGTCCAGCTGTGTCCAAAATGTCAACCATAACTGCTTCATCCTCAACATGAGCTTGTTTCCTGTAAGTATCAGCCTTGGTTGGTTCATAGTCTTCAACAAACTGTAAAAAAAATGAATAAAAAATTAGCTAATTAAAATAACAGTAAACATAGTGAAAGTGTAATTACACTGCAAAGATAATTAACCCAAATGGGTGACAAATAACCAACAAAATACGTTTAATTATGTAAATTTGTTTAAACATTAATACATTTCAAAGCTCAATACGTAAATTGTATTACAATTGTAAAACAAACTAATGATACTCAAATCTATCGATACTCACAACAATATCAGACAGCTTTTGGAGGCAAAATCTCTTCTGGCGGTCAATTCAAAATGAACTAATTACTGATTTTATTTATAAATTTCTATCAATCAATCAACAATTTAAGTATATTGTATAAATTAAATATCTTGTAAATTACCAGTGTATGTTATTTAATCACTAAGCCACGATTGAAGTAATGAAATATCAAAATATAATAACATGTTATGAGACTTTTAGATGACTCGATGAAAAGATAATTCAACATTTCAATACTTTGGGATAGTCAAGGAATCACTTATGGATTAAGGAAGTAATAATAAACTTTAGATTATTTTATAGTTTGTAAAATAATCAAATTGAACTAATTTTTAAAACAATGATTATAGTAATGACCATTTTGATGTGATGACAAGAGTGCTCCTTAAACAGTAGACTACAATCAAAATTTCCTGACCACTTAATGGATACCAAAGTTGAGCCTTAATAATGATCACGAAAATGGATAAAGTTAATCTAAATTGCCATTTTTGTATTAACCAGAAAAACAATTCATGATTTGGCTATTATAAACAAGATCAACACCAAAAGGTTACAGTTGATGATTGATTAAATAACAAATTATCGCCATCATCATCAGAATATTACACTTTCACATTTAAATTAAAACTCAATGATGCCCTGAATATGAAAAAATCAAGAATTGCTTTTAGGTGTTTTCAGTTCATTTAAAGGCAAATCAAGATTATCAGATAATATTAAAAAGCCAATAAATAGGAGCAAACAATTGAAAATTTATTCATTTTTTCACTTCATCCAGATTTTAAAACAGAAACAACAGCATTTATTGAAAAGTGCAGACTTTCAGGTTATAAATTTCCTGATAATCAAAGCAATTATGATTATAATTATAAGTTGAACCAAAAATAGTCTGTCCAATAACATTGAATCAATAAAAATTGCTATCAAATACAAAGAAACCCATTATTGAAGCACAAAAATCAGAGTTGTCCAGCTCAACTCTAATAGCTAATCATTAAATCGTAATAAATCTCATCAACTACTTTTGTTGACAAAACTTGACCATCAAGTAGCAGTCAAGATGGTTACAAACAACAGAGTCATGATTCTGGTTGTTGATTAACTAAAAATGAAAATAAATTGTCACGATTTAACAGCAATCAGTATAAAGTGAGAACAAAATTATGATAATTTTGGCAAACACACACCTGATTGTCACGAGGTAAATAACAATGAAAATAAGTTGATTACAATCATGTTTATTTCCCATCTTAATTTACTCAACATAAATCATTCTCAGAAAACATTGTTTAATTTGTCAATGAAGTAAATTGTTTACAAACTCACTTCTTACTTGATTACAATCATTATTGAACAATGTTAACCCATCAACAGTGAAAACCCGATTTGTGAGGTTAAGTCTCTTCAAAACCCAAGTATCAATTGTTCATGAATTTATACAAAGACGTGATTAACTAATCAAAAGCATCGATTGTAAATTCAAATTCAAACTCTAGACTCAGCTGGTAAACTGATTGTTTGAAAAAAATGAATTTCACTGAATTGTTAATAAAACAGATTTGATAGCAAAATATCCTTGAAACATTCAATGATCAGCATAATTTATTGATTTGTTTTCTTTCATTACAATCTAATGGCAATTACTCTCCACCCAAATTGTAATCAAGTTGAAAAATCAAATTGTTATCATTAAAAGTAATCACACCTAACACACCTAATCTAAATTGAGGGTCCTCATTATATCAACATTTTGCTGGAAACAAACCATTTGACTGTTGACTTTGCTTGCTAAGTTGATCATTTTAAACAATCAATCTTAATAAATTGTTCATCTTTCTATGGGTTTAATCAACTCGATTTACAATTAATGGTTAATTTAACTTCCTGATCAATGTTGTTGATTTGCCAAGAAAAGATAATACTTTTAGCTCTTTTGGCCTTATTTTGTTGCTTCAAGTCAAGTGAATCTTTTCACTTGATAACTCAATTTATTATGATTATTTCACAATTAGTTAATCAGCCATTCAATAAGTCTTTTAATAGCAACGACAACCTTTGGGAAACATTTGAATCCTTTTTTGGCAATCAAATGTCCAGATTCAAACAGATTGTACAATTAATGGCTGTGAGTGTGAAAAAAGTGAAACAAAACCATGAAAGCGTTATAATTTTCATCATTTCAAGCAGCTATTCAAATTGCTGTAAAGCTTAGTTATTCAAATGATTCAGTTGAGGAAAAATTGTTTCAAGTTGTCTTTTGTCAATATTTTCATTTTTGTCATTTGCTTTCTTAAATCAACAAATGATCAACGCAATTATGATATTTTGATGAAGTAGTCAAAGGCTTGAATAGTTAAACAATTAAAGGACTATTAAGATAAATGTAGAGTCAAAATATTAGGGACAATAAAATGGTTATGATTAACGTTTATATAAAGCTTTTGTAAACATGCAAAGTCAAGGAATGAGAAAGTGTAACATTTTAAAAAATTGTGTTTGCGTGTTTAAAATTAGCTCGCAATTAGTTGAACAAATTGTTGCATTACAATTGGTAAATGAAGTGAAGATGAGCCAGGAAAAAGGCTTGATTCAAGATTGATTACAAAAGTGAATCAGTTTATGAACTTATCAGTTAAGGTGAACAATATTTTAGGCTTAAAGAAGTGATAATCATTTTGAAAATAACGGTTAAAACAGTATTGAACAATTAAATCTGACAATCAGTCCGTTATTGAATAGTTGAGCGTTTAATTTAAGTGTTTTTCACTCATTTTCAACTGATTGTTACCATTGATACTTGGCAATCATCAAATGATTCATTTTCCACTCAAAGTGTATCATGAATGCCAAAAGTCAATCAAGTAACTGGTGAGTTGTTTGAACGTTTCAAGATACAATCAGTTTCGATTAGCAAAAGATCAAAGTCAATCCAAGACTTTGCTCAAGTCGATTTTGAAAATCAACAAAATATCGAATTTTCAGCAAAACCAAGTTTCGATGATTTTAGAGTTGATTTCATATTTGAAAGGAATGATTAACAATCAATATTCATGGCAAACAAATGTCGACCTAAATTGTAATCTAATAACGAGAAGAAGCGAAAAGAACAGGAAATTTCATTGTTTCTCTCTCTTTTTTCTCAGTTGATTCCAATGATATTTATATAAGATAATGTTAATGTTTCCGGTTAATCATAGCAACCAGAATGACATGAAATATATCATGAAAATCGGGTCACTTTGATTAACATTGTTTAACTTTTCCCTTCAATGTTTTCATTGACTCATGAACGTGATTGCCGATTATAATTTAGACTGTTTCAACATCAGGAAGATGATATTCATCATTATCATGATAACAGTCAATTTTCCACTTAAGATTATACTTTTTCTGAATATTATGTAAATAAATTTCAAACCAACAAACAGTGACTTTTGGTTATATTTCAAACCTTGAATTGAACTCAACTCGTTGAAGCATCTTCATCTTGCGACTAATAATTATCAGAAATACAATTAAAATATAATTCATCAAAAAAAAGGTTAAATTGTTTTCCATCTCAGTCCTTGAAGACACACTATTGTGATAGTTGGATAACAATTAACATGGGAAATTTCATTTGAATAAAGTTGATTGTTGTAACACAGTTTAACGTCTAGTTGGATGAGAAACAAATGAATTTTTGTTCTCATTCAAGGTTTCCATTCAACTTTCGATATCAATGGTTCATTTGATTGAGGTCATACTTTAGGAATTTCAATTTTTACATCATTTTCATGATTATCGTGTTATGATAGTTATGATTGAATAATGTTGAAGAGAAGCAAAAAAGCTCAAGAAATTGAAGATTCATTCATTGGTAACATTTTACCTTTTGCTGTTGATTGGTGATGAGAAAAGGTTTCACTAATTGTCCTTAATCATGGTGAGATCTAATTAATCTGTTTCATTATCGACAATATAAATCTTGTTTTCCTTGTCATAACTTATCGCTTGATCAATCTAATGACCTGGAATGTTCATTTTTTAAATTGTTGACAAAAAATTGAGAATCAAGGTTATCTTTTTCACCATCATTTTCATGTAACCATCAAAAATAGATGTAATCATTTGAATATGAGCTAAAAAAATCAATAACAGGTTCAGATGAAATTATACTTTACATGTTAATGGTAATCCTAATAGTTGAGTAAATTGTTAGGAAAAGGCAACAACAGTTGAGCAAAACATGAACTGAGTCGTGGTTAAGTCTAATGGTTTTTCAATGTAAGTCCATTAATTTTGACTTTAATTTTTTACCCTTTCGTTGTAATCAAATAGCTAATTACAATTACTGAGTGTGATTTAGTCACGAATAGGCTTACAAATTGAAAGACATTTGAGTGAAGAGAAGAATGAAAATGAAATGAAAATTAAGTTGAAAATCAGCTGAGATTTTGTTGGATATTGATTGTCCAACACGAAATGTTGTTATGACAATGCACAATGAAGGTAACAATTTAATTATACTGTTGGTTGGCATGTTAATGTATTAAAATAATTTGTTTGATTGTTGTTATAAATACAAGTTTGATGAGTTTTGACGCACGAAAAGGAGAAAATATTTAATACTTTCAAATCTGATTGAGGAATACAAGAAATTGCTATTAAATTTCAAAGATTCCGGATAATTTGATTGTGAATAATCTTCCTTTTCTGATTTTCGTGAAAACAGATTTCACTTTCAGTAAAAAATTGAATTCATTTTATTCAGATTACAATTTTAAACTTAAATAATAGTCTATCTTCAAGGTAAATTGAGACTTAACCTACGCTCAACATGAATCGACATTTCAAGAGATTAAATTGCGTGTTGAAAGATTATCATTGAAACATGATCAGCTTAGAATCAGCACTGAAAGTATTTCAATTTCAATTCATGGAATCAATTGAAATGAATGGTTAAAGATGGTTAAGTTGAACAGCAATTTGACCAAATAATGGTCATTTCTTGGGTTTTATGGTCAACCTTTGATGGATCCTTCAATAGGTTAATCAACCTTTATTATCGGTTTTCAGTTGACTAAATAATTACTAGATCATCATCTTGACGGTAAAATTAAATATTGAAGAGTGACATGTGAAAAGATGAAATTGATAATTGAAAATGAAGAAGTGATAATAATACTGATTTAGAAGCTAAAGTAACGATTAAGGGTCTCGATTTGGCCTGAATTAGTGATGGATCAAGATGATGATCATACAATGCCAATCATCAACTAATCAAACTTTGAAAGGTTCACTAAAACTGGTACAATTTCAAGATTTTCATCTCACCAAATGTTAACATTATTTGTACTTTCGCTGGTTAATTATAAATTGAAATCATCTCTATTAGTTAATAATAATTGTGAGCTTTTGTCAAGCAAAGGTTAACTTGTTATTACAATTAGTAATTTATGGTAATTTAAGGCAGTTGAAAGGCCTTTAAATGATTTGATTAACAATGTGTTGCTGTTGGAAATTTGATAAAAATGTAAATTTAAGGCTTTTTGCTAATACAAATAGCTCAATGGATATAAACTAATTGTATTGTTCAATTTTAAGTTGGTTGAGTAAGTTATCATTGCTATTAGTAGACAGGTTGAACAATAAGTCATCATCGGTTAATCGTCCTACAATTATTGGATTATTGCGTGACCATTAGTTGAACTGAAGATTGTATTGGAAGCAATCAACATGAAAACATGATCTATCTAAATCAGTTTCATCAGATGATTAACTTGCTTTTAGAGTTAAAATGTTTCCCCATTGATTCCTATCCTGATTCATAGCCTTGGCATTATCAACTGCCACTGATCAAAGGTACCAACCATTATGATTGGGAAGCAATCAAAGGTGAGAAGACATCAATCAGTAAATCAATCAAAAGGCTCTTTTTTTGTTTACGGTTAATAGTTTTCTAGATCACTAACAGTTTCATTAAAATGGATATTTCACACTTTTTTTGAATAAGTGTACACTTTTGGATGGTTAACTGTTGACCTCACTTTTCATGATGATAAAAACCTATTACAGTTTATATGGTTTTTTATTGTAATCATTGACATTCAATAGTTTCAACTGACCAAACACAATTCATAACCTAACTGACTGCACAGACTTGGTCAATTAACTAAAAATATCCAATGTTGGTTAATTGTATTCAAATAACATGGAAAGTAACCCCACTCAATGGTCAGGTAGCCTTGATTATAATAGTTTATTGATTCAAGCTTTTCAATTGTCCTTGCCTTAAATGGTTAATTTTTGGTCATAACGTTTAATTTCAGCTAATACAGTTAATAACAACCTACTCGAATAACAATATTGGTTTGATGAACAATTTATGGAATTGATTCTATTCCAAGTGTCAAAAGGCTTTAGGGTTGAAAGCAAGTTAAATATAACCGGAAAAACATGGCAAGTTTACAGCTAAAGGTAATAGGGTGAGTTCAATGAAGTAAGCGGCAGGTAAAAAAATATCAGCGGGAAACACGGAAAAAACTGGAATTAGCTGTTTCAATGACCTGACCAGAAGAGATTCAATACTTTGCACATTCCTTTGATCAAGGTTTTGGTCAAGTTTTAAACTGTGGTCAACAGTGAGAAGGTCTATTCTCATTTTATGCAAAAAAAGGCCTCATCATGACCTCAATTTTATCTTACTTGCAAGTCATAATTATTGTAATTTGACTGTTTTTAGGCTGTCGGTTGATTAAGCTAATTTTTGCTGTCAAGAGCTGAGAAAGAGGATTAATTGGGCTACTTTAATTGTTCCCATACTAACCTCGTCGTACAAAAATTGTAAGGTCAATGCTGATTTACCAACACCACCAGATCCAACCATTATTATTCGTAGTAAGGGTGGAGGTGAAGCTGGTGTACGATCAGCTGGACGAGTCAATGTATTGGTTTTTGTTTCAGGTCCACGAGTTGGGTTCACTTCACTGGTTCGTTTCTTAAAGTGAGGAGCTATCCGACTATTGGGTTGACAAAAAGAAAGCAAATATTAGGTTTGTTTGGTCAATAGTTTGCCATATTCCTCACCTGGACCAGTATTCCTGGACATTTTGGTATAAATTGTTGATACTTTTTCTCATGTTTTCATTCAACTTTCTTATATCATCCATTTTTGGTATAAACTCGAGATGGTTTCAATTTATGTTGACAATCACTGGGATAAACACTGAACAAGGTACGATGGTGATATAACAATTAAAATGATGAATCGATGCACACACGGCAATAATTGTATGAACACATTAAAGGATAATTCAAGAAGTGATCAGATGGATGCCATCGACAATTGAAAACAATTGAGAGCTGGTCAATGATCCAGAAGCAATTAGAGATGTCCGTTGGTCTATCGACAGGGATCGTTCCTGGGTTTGATTAATAACACAAATTGTAATCCAATTGTTGTTCACTAATGAAGCTTGCGGTGAATATTGCAGTTTAAATATGGCAGTTACCAGTTTATCATGAAATGAGAGTCAATAGGAAACCTTTAAGATGAGAGGTTTAGTCAGCACTGATGAAGAGAAAGAAATGAAAACCAGTTTCCATCTCAAGAATTGTAACTGAAAGGGAGACGAGAATGATGATGATGATGCTGAATGAGAATAAGAAGAGAATGAAAAATAGGGAATCAGTAGGGGGAAGTAAATATAACAAGCTGATAAAAATAGCTTACGATGAATATGGTCTTTTGGAATACGAAAAGGTGTTGGTTGGAGTGCTGGTTGCCACCCTGTAGGCTCATTAAATCATCTAAATACAGTCTGTAAACATCAATTATTAGAGTTAACAGAAACAAAATGTCAAGTTTGTAGATACAAGCAAACCATCCATAATATATGAATTATTAAATGTGTATTACTTGTATTATCATTATACTGTTATTGTTTTCCATCACTCAATCTTTCCATACTTTTGTTCAGGGAAAAACATTGCTTCCACTCTGCAAATTTGGTACCAATTAAGGGATAATAACTCTGGATGTAATAAAGATTAACTCAATTGAATATGTCATCTTGAAATTTGTTTGCTGCCATTCAATTTGGGTCACATTTAACTATCACCTGTGTTAATTTGTTTACTCTATGGTAACCAACGTAATCGATTGTACTTCTTGATTTAACCAGTAAGCCAAATATGCAGGCTTTAAAAAATGATGATCAAGATGATGATCAGGATTATAATGATGATTTAGGAATACAAACAAATGCTCGATAAGATATTGATTGTTTGTTGAATAATTAGATCTTCAAGTTATAGTCAAAAAATGGCTCCTGGTTTCCCATGGTTCAAAGTAGACAGGTTTAAGAACTTGAAATGTGACCAATTCAACTGTTAATCGACTGTAATTCACCGTGTAGAGCGTTGGCTTCAGCTGTATTATTATCTATAATTAAGCTTCAAAACCAGAAGGGTATTTAGTTAATGGTCAAGCACACAAAATCAGCAGCTATCATCAGACTGGTCCACTTCCGTAACCAATTGTTACACCAACACCTCAATTTAATACATTCAATTAAATTGTTAAATTTTGATTGTATTTTTCAAATTACTTCCATTATTTAATCCACCATTAAATTTGCTCCATGTTTTCAGCTCCTTGTTCCTTATGTACCATTTGAAGCCATTTTTGTAGCTAATAGGATGAAAATGGCAGGTTCATGATGATATTCAGCGTCTTTATATGGGAACACCAAGGTTTATTCAACATTCATTGAAATAGCTTTTCCAGTGAAAATAGCCAGCCTTTGAAAAACTCCATTCAGTAAAATGATGGCTATTTGAAATACATATCTGGAAGTTCAAGTTTTGAAGCAACTCTATCTGTAGGTAAATCGCAATAAGTTTAAACTTAAGACTCAAGAACCTTGGTTAAGGGTTGATATAATAAACAGAGAATTATTAATGATATGATTCACAAGTAGGTTTCCTTGGTTTCCCATGAAGATGAAATTTTTACAATTGATGTAATCGTTGACAATGGTTGCTACATGTCTGCTTTGCAACAAATGGCTTACGCAGCAAATTGGTAGAAAGACGAGAAACAATAATATAATATCAAAATAACAATCAATGTTATTGTAATTGTGGATTGTTGACATAAAAAGCATGATGGAGATAATGGCGAATATAAAATAATGCAATTAATTTATAATTAAAAGTAAATCCGTTTAAAAATAATATTTGAAAGGCTTATAAGCAAAAGAGCTTTTTGAAGCCACTCACATGTTAGACGCGCCAAAAGTGATAGCTTCAGAATGTAAACAAGTTCTCTCTAGTCTTCCTTTTTCTCTTATCAATTTTTAGTTTATTTTTTATATTTATTTTTTGAAACTTATCTAATTAATTATGGACGATGACATTGACAGATTCCTCAGTGACAATAACTATTTTCAGGACAAAATGACCTCAACTAGCTCATCTAAAATCTTTCCAGTTGTGGTTCAATTTGATTTTGGACAAAGCCATCAGTATCGTAAGTATTTTTTATCTTTACTCTCTTTATTTATTTGTTTAATAATGAATTAGCTTGAACTTTATTTTACTTTTTAGAATCACTATACGGTCACTTAATTACTGAACCTATTAAGGTTCTAAAAGCAATCCAATTCAAGCTGTGCTTTGCTCTTAGACAAAATGGAAAGCTACCTCGAGACTCTTTTTCTCTGGTCGTTTTTGTGCCTCTAAATTTACCTACTATTGAAAGGTTGGTTACATTTGCCTTTACTATTTAACTCGTCACAATTCTAATCAATCTTTATTCCACTAGTGCCATAATCGACAGCAACAGAGACTTATATCTGAGAACTGGACCGAAAGTCAACAGGTTGACCAAGATGAGAGACTTTCAAATCATTTCTATGTCAGAAATTAATAGCTTCACTCTGGCTACCCTTTACTACTGCAAGTGCAATAAAAAGATGCTTTACAACTACACAATTGATGGTCCACTCAAAAAAGATGTAAAATGTAGAGGTTGTGTCAATCCAATGGAAGAAATAATATCTGAAAGGATTGTTGTTAAACGACGTTCTGTATTAATGCAAAAAAAGGCAAATGATAATCCAAGTAAGGCCTGCTTCAACTATTATCTAGCTTTATCTAACCACTATTTTCTTTTTCAGGATTAACTCCAATGTTGGTTAATTTTCTGTCCATAGGAGACACTAATTATGATAAATTAAGATTAGGAGCTCATTTGTCACAAATTGATGGTCTGTCGTGTGAATATGAAAATGGATATGGATCATGGTTACGAGGATTAGAGGCTTTGAGCTATCAAATGAGTACAACTTTACTCAGCACTAGTCATGAACTATCTTTAGTTACAGTTTCTGACAATTTGCAAACTTTAATTCAAAGTGAGTTCTTATCAATCATTTACCGATTTGACATTAACTAAACTTTTTGTTCCAGCTTCAAATGAAATTTCTCCCTTTGCATTGGCATTGAGAATTTGTGATCTATTCGGTAGAGAAGTGGTCGGAGATGGACAATTTGCTCTCAAAGTTGGTGTAATAATTTCAATTTTGAATCAACATGGGACTGAGGTAATTATAACAATAGCTTATTCAACCACCAATCAACCATATCTTTGAATTTCATTTTCTATGTTGTTTCATGGTTTATTAATTTCAACACATGTGTTTGCTAACCCAAATATAAATGCTAAAATATATTTGCAGTTATAGTTAACGAATGAGCTTTTTTTCGAATTGTTAATTCAGCAATCTCAACCTTTCAAGATTGCTTTGTTTGTACTATTCTTCAGTTTATATTCACTGTCAATTATATTTCCTGTATGTTACACAAAGTTTACCTACTAGATATCTGATTTAGACTTTTTTAATATATGAAAGATTATTCTCGACCATATGAAGTACATCAACTAATAACATTTTTTTATTTACTCTACTCTCATCTCAATTATATTTACTTTACCAGTCTCAAGAGAAATCGTTTCTAGCTATTGGTAATGACGCTGGCTTAATTCGTAGTTTCATGCAATACTCTGCCAAATTTGTCCAAAGAGTATTGACATATTCAACAACAATTCCAATATCAGCATTACCAAGAAAAAAAGACAGCTGGATTGATAGTGGTTTCTTGCAGCTGGCATCTGATGGAGTTGGTATCATCAGTCTTGATAAAGTTTCAGTTAGAGATGAATGTCACATAATCAACGTCTTGACTAATAATCGAGTAAAAATCAGAAACACAGAGGAAAAGTATGACTCAATTAAAGAGATGGAAACAAATATTGCTATTTGGGGATACGAAACAGATGATAACATTGAAATTCGAGTTAAAACTAAATCATCCTCGCTGATTACTACTTTCCCATTGATCTATGAAGCTGAAGGTGATTTACTGTCACAAAAAGAAACAAATTTAACTCAAGAAGATTGGAAACAATTTTTCAACTCATTACATTCGTACAAACCCAAATTAACATCAGAAGCAGAGGAAATGTTACAGAGTTATTTCCTTGCTGTCAGACAGGATCGTGAATGGAGAGCAGATACAAATGCATTTCCGTTACTTTTATCGGTTGCGACGGTTTTCGCAAAACTTTCCTGTAGAAGTCATGTTCTTACTTGTGATGCTGCCCTTGCCATCATGGTTTATGAGAAAAGTTTGCAAATCAAATTTGGCAGCGGTGGATTGAGATTGCCAAATGTAGCCAAAGACAAAAATAGACTTATCGGTCCAGGGGTAAGTAATCGTAATACTTGATCTATTTTAATCAACTAAATTGGCTCATTTATTTTTCAGGCTGTTGAGGTATTGGAACGTTACAAGAAACTTATTACTGACTATATTGAATACTGTGGCGTTGAAAGCTTAGATAATCAATTGGAAGAGTGAACATTTCAAGGAAAAGTCAATCAATTGCAGATAAAAATATCATCTCAAGTCAAAAATTGGACAACACAAACAATAGATCATCAATTTTTTCTTCTTCTTACTATTCAACTCGTTTTCATTTTGCAATTTCAAATTTTACCAATTAATAGTTTTATTTAAATCAATAATACCGATAGATTAATTTTTTACAACTAGACGATAAAACTAATGTTACATGAAATAATTTATTTCTAGATGATAAAATTAAACGAGCTAATTCAGCAATCCAGTCATTTGCAATATCATTTAACTTTTTCCATCCTTTTATGCGAAAAATACTACAGTCGACTACTTAAAATTGTCCCTTTTGGAGCGTGATCTTCAATGGCGATAAAAATTTTAATTAAGTCAAGTTTAATTCATGATTCGGTACGTCAATTTTACCGAAATATGGGTAAGAAGATAAAAGTGTCCGTCAGCTCACTTCTCCTCTTCATTTCTCGGCTTATACTCTAACTCCCTCTGCTGTCGGCGAAACAAAAACATACTAACTTCGACAATTGGATTAAATTAAACACTTTCGATTGAATTATCATTGAAAAATAGAGTTACTTTAATTACACACATGTTAAAGATTTCTGCAAGATAATCGCGACGATCAAGTCCATTCGAAGATTTAGAATGATTTCCAGGTGCTTTCAATCTTCTGACAATCTTGTGAGTATGCACGTTATTATCTGATGGTTTAAGGAAATTTGATGAATGGTTGACAAAATCATGATAGTAACCATTTGTGTTTACTTACAGGAAACTTTCAATCATTTTTTACAAGATGTGTTTATGAAATTGCATCGATTAAGATAATTAATTTTTGGCTGGTTAGAATGAGATTTTATGGATTATTTTGCAATTTTTATAAAAAACAATGAAAGGGATAACGGCACTGATTTATGAATCAAAACTGCTCAGATTATATTATATTTTCTGGTTATTCGAGCTCATTTTCAAGGTGGACAAAAGTAACATTCATTTTCCAAAAAGCTTTATTGATCTAATAAGATATTGAGAGATATTGGCGATTTATGGTTCCACTTGATGATGTTTCCTCATTATCATGTATTCGTTTCTTGATTAGGTGAAATCTTCTTATCAATTTAAGTTCACTTGTTCTTCAAAATTCAAATTCTGAATCATGTTTATTAATGATTTGTTGTATCATTTTGTGGCGCCACTCAACAATTTATTTTAGTTTTATCAGCTTTACCTGCAGTAGTTTCAGAAGTATCATCTCTATCGTATCATGTCTGTAACTAATTTATGAATCAAAACAAGTTTCTTTGGATTTATCAATCAGTTAATAGTTCAATTGTGATTTTCAATATGGATTATTGAAATACATCTAACTCGACAGTAAACTTATTTCAATTTTATTGACTATTGGCAACTTGAAAATTTCTTCTATTGAATTTATAATTGATATCATCTAACTCAACAGTTTATGTTTCTTTGTGTCCATTATTATTGATTATTTATTTTATTACTTTTTTAAAAACAATTGTTGTCAATAACAAAGGCCAGTTAACAACCAGCTCATTGGCAATGGACAATAACAAAGACTTACCTGGATATGGAGCGACTTTTTCCTACGAGCGTCCCCCACCCTACGATGCTAGTTTCGGTACCACAGATTATGATGCCGGACCGTCAACCTTTGTTTACAATCAACTACCTGAATCTAGCTTTGATAAAACTCCAATTCCAGATCAAACCCAGCCTTACCAATCAAATAAACAGTTCACAGCTAACCCTAATGATGGTAAATTTTCAAATTATTTACATCGTTCCTCTTCTAATCTCGACCACAAACCAATCTTGATCTAAACCGTGAATCTAATCATTTTAATTTCCTTTTTTCTCCTTTCTCTTTTCAGTGCCAATCAACAATGTTCCGATTCATATCAGCAATGAATTCGGACCTTACAGTCAGAATGCTGTCTGTCCTCATTGCAATCAATATGTTGTGACAAAAACGAAACACGTTCCTGGACTGGTGACATGGCTTACATGTTTGGTCTTTTCTTATTTCTGCTGTTGTTGTTTACCATTTTGTATGGACTCATGTCGTAATGTTGATCATAAATGTCCAAATTGTAAGCAAAAGATTGGTCATTACCAAAGATACTGCAAGTGACGCAGTGATGAGTGATTCATCAAATTTACCATTTACCGGAAGATAGAAGTCCCCAGGATTTTTATCAACGCGATTAAATGAGAAAACAACCCTTTTATTTGAACTTCTCTGATTGTCTGAAGTTCTTACAGATAAATCGTTGAATCATCATAAATCGGTTATGATTACACAAAAATGAGCTTGGGGTTTGACTTGAAAGGATGATTCGCACAAACATAAATCCATTCATAATTATTGTGACTGTTTCCTTGTTAGCTTTAAGTGTTGTGAGCATTGTAATTGCTGAGATTCCTGTAATTTAATCATTAAACCGGAAAAAATGTTTTCCTAAAAACTAAACTTTACTTTACACTGATTTACTTTGTCTTAATTATTTCTGAAGTTACTACACTTTTGAACCGTTTGAGTGCAGAAAATTATGCTAATTGATTGTATTATTTATAAATCAAAGAGTTTTCAATGGTCACACTTAATTTCTGCTTAATAAAGAGCATTAAGCAATTAATTTATTTTAAATGAATTTGAATTCGAGTATTTATGGCGCCACTATGCATTTCTTGTATTCTCTTCTTTTGCAATTATCTTCACCTTTTTTTCTGAGAGAGTTACTCCTAAATATCTGACAGTGTTTAATTAAATTGTTGTCTCTAATCAAACGTCTCTTTTTGGACTGATTTTTTATGATTAGTTTTAAATAAGGCTTGCTATTTGATTTAAAATTCATAAATTAAGTACTGAATCATGGGATTTACATTTGCGGCCTTTTCTTATGTATTTGCCTTAATTTTGGATGCTTTCCTCATATTTTTTGCAGTTTTTCATGTAAGTAATAACTTTAATTTAATTGTCTTTGAACAATAATTTTATTTTGTCATTCTTTCTTTTTTTCAATTCTTTAGGTAATAGCGTTTGATGAACTCAAGACTGATTTCAAAAATCCAATCGATCAATGTAATACTCTCAATCCATTAGTATTACCTGAATATATAATTCATATCACATTCAATGTGCTTTTCTTGTTTGCTGGTGAATGGTTCACAGTTTTAATTAATATTCCTCTTATTGCTTACCACGTTTACAGGTAAATACACTGAAAATTACCCAAATCACCTTTCAAAATTAAGTTTATCCTAAAGCTAACAGTTATAGATCATATTTCCAACTGATTTAAATGTAGCAATGTTTTTTCAATTGTTATAATGGCTCATCTATTTTCTCATTTGTGTTGTTTAGATACATTCATAGACCAGCTGGAATGAGTGGACCCGGTTTATATGATCCAACAACCATCATGAACGCTGACCAAATGAGTCGAGCGACGAGGGAGGGATGGTTCAAACTAGCTTATTATCTCTTATCCTTCTTTTATTATCTATACGGGATGATATCATCTCTCATAGCAGTTTGATCTGGATATATTTTTTAGGCATTTTTAAATAAACCAAAAACCAACTAAAATAACATCAATTATTGAATATATTTGTATTTTAAACTTCGAATGTCCTGTCAGCTAAGTTTTAAAAATTAAAAAATGATTTGGTCACTATACATTTCTCACAAAAGCCAATAGCGGTAAATTTACCCTAGTAAACGGAATCCTCTTAACAATTAACGAAATAATCTACGTATTGAATAAAGTGATTCTTTTACTTAAAGGTTTTTCGTCATTTCAAAATGGTTTTGATCTCATGTCGCTTAAAAACAGCCAGTTTATTCTTTTAAAATTGGTCATTCCAAAAAGACTGTATTAAAAATATTTACCATATTAATTACGAAGGTTAAGATAATGTTTTTCTGTTTATGAGCGAATTAGTTCTGATTGAATTTTAAATGTATTCAATGTTCAATTAAATTGATCTTCAAATGTATATTTTAGCTGGCCTGATGAAGTTAAGTCATGTGAGCAAACAATTACCTAAAATGTTTACATTGAAAACGTTTAAAGAGACGACAGTACAGCAAGCAGGGAAATTTCAATTTAAAAATTGTATTTATTATGATAAATTTTTCACAGTTTAAAATATCACCATTTATTAAAACCAATTGTCGCTATGATAATAGATAAAATTGCGAAAATGCTGGAGTAAACGATATTTTGGTAAACTAACAACATTTAATGTAAGACATCAGTGAATGCTTTACCCTTCATGACCAAACGAGAGAGTTACCTGATAATGCAAAGGAAACCAGTAGGTTAAAGGCTTAATGAAATTAGGCAGAGACTCAAATGACCAGAATAAATACACAAGAAATAGACTGGAAAAGTAATGAGCTGAATGGAGAAAATCTGTCATAATTAAACATTAGAAGGTAGATCGATGAAAATGCCTTTACTTATTCCACAAACAATTATCGCTATTATTGAAAGTACAACAGCTATCCAGGAGCTCTCCTTTGGAATTTCAGTTTTGGTATCAATAGAGTTAAAAAGATTAAGTATTGAGGAACAATTGCCAATTTTCCAAAATATTCAATCTCCATAAATGAATGCTAATAGTTAATGAATAAAACCATGACACCCATCACTAATCATACCAGTAAAACTGCCATTTTGTTGAAGATGAAATAAAGACAGGAAAAACAAGATAAATTATTCTTTAAAAGAGAAACAACTTTAATCCATTAAGAGACTGAGCTTTGTTGACACAGAAGAGCAACAAAACTAGCTATCTATGTAATAACTATTGATTTAGATTGCTATTCATCTAATTTATTGTTCATGATCGAATTGGCCAGGTTTCTTCCTTGATTCCCGTTCGTTGACGACATCGGCGAGATGAACAACAGTATGAGCGAGTGCATAAGCTGAAAAATAAAAGAAACATAATAAACATGAGAAAAGGATCAAATATAACATATAGCTCTATAAAATACAGTTCTTTGCGGATTCAATATTGGGAACAACGAAGTAAAATATTTTTCAATGAAATAAGCTTACCTCCAACAGCAAACACACCGAACCTTAAGAAATCTCCTTTAATGTGACGAAAGCTTGTGCTCCAGAAATTTTTAAAGGGATCTAATTCAAAATTAGCCAATCTGAAGTAAACAATATTCTTGACATGGTAAAGATTTCCAAAGTGTCTGTGTCCACCCATGTTGTACACTAAATCCAAAGGTTTTATACAAACAAAGAAAAGAAAAATACAATTTACAGGTTAAAGATGGTAAAATTAACAATTAAAACCAGAAAAAATACTTAATTTAATCTTAATTACCTAGATTTATGAAAATAAATTCAAGAGATGACCTTAACTCAAAATTTGAAGGAAACAGTATTTGAAAATAAAGATGGCAACACTTTCTACTTCTAATCTACAGAAACTGCGCTCTTTTCAAAATCTGATTAATAGTTTTTTGAATTGATTGCATGATTAAATATTCATGCACAAGTAAAAGAATATACTTATCAAACAAATCTAAATAATTTTTAGCAGTTTATTCGTAATTACTCATTTAATAATGAAAACTTGCTAGTAAAAAATGACGGAAAAGCAATGATTTCATCTTTTATTTTTAATAACATCTCTGAATAATCGATTCTTATGAATACAATAACTTTTCCGGGATTCAAAATGAATTGAATTTCTAATGATGCAAGAAACTACGAAAAAGGCACTTTAATTAGAACTGTTTTCAGGCAAAAGTTCAAAAGTGATCGACTCTTAACGCAATCTTAAGAATCTCAAGTGTACTTTAAGCCACAGGAAAAGGATGTCGAGTTTTCATTCATTAGATGGCGTTAAATTCGAAAATTATCTCTTCAAATGGTTCTCTTGTTATTTATTGAACTGTGAATCCCTCAGTTGATGTTTTTATTCGCTTTTTTTTCTTTCATGTGAATTATTTTGTTGAATTGTGATTTTTTGAATAATAATGTCTCACACCATAGTACTTATTCAACCTGGTAAACCAGAGACTAGAACGTACTCAGATTTTGAAAGTGTCGGTGAAGCCATGGAAGGTATCTGCCATATTTTTGAGGAACACTTGAAACAGAGTAATCCTCATTCAGCGTCAATTACCTATGACATCAGTCAACTGTATGACTTTATTGATGATTTGAACGATATCTCCTGCTTGGTGTTCCAACGAAACTCATCCACTTATGCTCCTTTCTCGAGGGATTGGATCAAAGAACAAATCTTCGTGTTGCTTCGTAAACAAGCTGGAGGATCATGATGCAAAAATCAACCTGTATTTTAGTGAGATAATTTGACCAAAATTTATCCACATTATAGTTAACAAGTCTAACCTTTCAGACGTTTATTGTTTCTTTATCATCTTACCTTTTTAAATTACTCATTAAATCATTGACTTTGATCATAAGATATATCCAGAATAAATCCAATTTATTCATAATCATTAGATCTGCTTTGTGTAATCGGGTGTTCTGTATTTGCTAGAAATGCAGAGCTGCAAATTAAAATGAAAATAGAATAATAATTAAATATTTGATAGCCAAAGTAGTCTTAGCGTGAATTATTGAAAATCGAGTCAAATTTCAAAGAAGCTTAAATGTTTACAAAGATTCTATTTCACATTTATCTTTTGTTCACTCAAATTTTAGAGTCATAAGATCCATACACTAGATGTTAGTAATGATGGCTAAGTTAATTTATGGAAAGAAATACAAATGTTTGGATTAACTGTGCTGATAATTACAGTAAACATTGTAAAAAGAATCTTAGCGATCGAGATAATTGTAGATTTTATAGTTTTAGATTTGATAAATGATAATTACTTGAAATCTCAACTGGTCTGGATTGATTTCGCATAAAGAAACTTACAATTTCTCGAGTAAATAATTTTTCAAGATATTTACTGAAATTTTGAAAAATTTGATAAGAAAGGAAGTCAGTTTCTGTGTGAACAATTAGTGAATAGTTGGTTATTAATTTCAACGCAACTTGTCATTATGAAAAATCTATTTATCTTTCATTTATTTTCAGACAAAACTGATTTCAAGTAAACGTTGAAATTTCACTTAATGATGAACATGGACAAAGCTAATTAATGAACTTATTGGTTTTGAATTGTAAATAAATAAAAGATAAACTTAAGATCGGATCAGGAAAGAATGAATTATGAATGCATGAAATATTAAATAAAATGAACTTAAAATTTATCTTAGGAAGAATAAGAACAAGAAGCAAAAATAGAGACAATTCGCTTTTTTTATTTTAATTATTTAGATGAATTAAATGTCAACCAGAGTTGAAAGAGAATGGGTTAATTTTATGTTTAAACTGATTTTTTGTCAAATTATAAATACCAATATATTTTATATAAACAGTAGTGAGAGGTGTGAAAGATGGATGAAAGGAATAGAAACTCTTTTTCTCTCTCTCTCTTCTCTTGTGTATTACTAATGACTTTGTCAAAATTCTTTACTCATATTTATATGCCTTCTATTCGAAAAAGCTTTGTATGAATAGAATTTGTACCTCGAGATTTACTCATCCTAACCTTAATGAAGCATTGGGTTCCGAGATAAATTTTTGCACAACTTCAATCAAGGTTTTTCTTTTAAACCGCGTTGCTTCGGCAATTATTTCTTTGGCGAGGTAATCTCTGAATGGTCCATTGCAACTTGATAATTGGCTTAAAATTGGCTTGAAATCTGTAATGAAAAAGAAAAATATGATTTAGAAAATTTGATTGATGTGGAATCCAATGATATGTAACAATAAGTCTTATAAATTCGAGACGACTGAAAGGTTTACATACTTTTACCAGGTTTTCGGACTGAACGGCAAACTTCTCTTTTCAATTCAACTTGTTCTGGTGATAGTTTCCATCTGTAATTATTTAAATAGGAATTGCTAGAAGAATTTGATAATCCATTACATAAACTATCAGAATGATTATTGTTATGAAGCGTATTGTTTGATGAAATGTCTTTGGAGTTTTCTATGCTGTTCTTCAAACGATTTAATGTTTCACTGGTTCCTTCATTAACTGTATTAACAATTATCACCTCAGGATCAGGCACTTTCACAATTTCCACATCATCATCTACATTATTTACAACTTCAATCTCAGGAGGTTCTGTAAGCTGAACATTGTGAATATTATTACTATCATTGGTATTATTTGTGCTATTATTTGTTGTTGATGAATTTGGCGGAATCACTGAGGCGGAAGGAGATGAAGGTGATTGATTTGCAGATGCAGGTGAGGATGGTAATGATGAGAATGATGTATCAGTTGCAGACGATAAAGGTGAATTTGGTGGTGTTGATAAAGGCGAACTTGGTGGTGTTGATAATGATCGAAATGATTTATGATTGGACCTGTAAAATATAACAAAAAGAAGTTTTAATGAATGATTAAGTTGAAATGAGACAGTGATATTCTGATGATCTACAATGATACTATTATAAAAGAAACCATATAAAGCCTTTAATAATTGTAAATCAATTTTTTTGATTTATTTCTCGATTCACGATTAACACAGCTTAACACTCAACTCAAAAAGTCTGCATTATAGTTGGCTAGGTTACATGATTCATGAGAAGTTGCAAAGGACAAAAATCCAGAATATATTGAAAAATAATTGACTTAAATTCGAACAACTATATGGGCGCGAGTATGCGTGATGGATATCGTACTGTATTTCAATTAATGAAATTTTTAAGCTATTAAAAATTCATTGTAAGTTATAGAATGAACTTCGCTATAGATCCTTACTTAAATGGATCATAATGCGTAACTAATCAGATAATCAAATCTCTAATGATTGAGCTTGAAATGTTGAGATACAGAATAAAAAGATGAATATGGCAAGAAATAAATAAGACTTTAAGAGGTTTTGACTTACATGTATTGAACAGCGAGTTCCTTTGATAGTGGACCAGGTCTTCTTTTAACTCGAAGAGATGGACTACCAGTCTTATTAGGCGAGTCGATAGGTCTTTTAGGTGATCTAACAGGAGAATTACCCCCAACTAAGTCAATATCAGCTTCATCAATCATTCCAAGAGCTCGTCCTTTATCGATTTTGAAAGGATTACCGAACATATGTTGGCGAACTGGTGCGGATTCTAATTCTCTCAATGGGTTGGGCATTCTTTTCAAATATTCTTGATAATTACCCATCTGACTAACAGGTAAACTGTGCATTTGATCTTCATCTTGATATTTGATTAGTCTTGGAGGTTGCAGGAAATTATTACGCATCCTATGTATCTGGTCAATTATTTGATTCCTACTAATATCATAAGGATTTCGATAACACTGGGGCTTAGCTTCTCTTGTTTTGTCTCGAATTCGCATAGAGAACCCTTGAAAATCGTTTATTTCTGCACGCAATCCATTCAAACGACTCTTTAAACAAGGGTCAGAATTTACAATGTCGGAAATCTTTTTTGAAGACATGTTGGGCACTTTGATTGTAGTTGGAGTAGCTGGTTTACCAGTCCCAACAGTCGCAATAAGCTTATCGAACTCAACTTTTGCTTGATTTTTCAGTCGCTTTAAAAGATTTAGAACAGAATAACTTAAACAATTTTCCATATTGTCAGGAACAAGATTTGGACCGCCCATTTTTTGTAAAGCTCTTTTGAGCGGGCCAGCGTAGTAGAGAGGTATGTTTTTTAAGTAAGCATCAAATTGTGCTTTCCATTCTCTAGTTGGTTTAAGATGATGGATCTTAAATAATTCATCCAGAAGCGGCAGTAGTACAGGATAATTGTATGGTAGAACGAACAAATTAACACAGCTTAAGTTGGTACTGGCCTTCAAATAGCCAAAAGGATAACCTAATGGATGATCACTACTTTTATGGCTGTTGGCAACAAAACATTGCCAAGCTACATGAGGCTGTTTTCTAGATAAAATATACTGGGTCAGTGGACTCGTTTCCAATTCATATTTGTCGAAGGGTAAGTTATCGATTACCATTGGGTCACTTGATGAACATGTAAATTTAATAACGGGATGACAGCTTCGAGGTGGAAGTGAAGGTGCATTAAGATCGGGCCAAAATGATTCTGGTATAGGCCAGAAGCCAGTAGAGTAACCCCTTTGAGCTGATCTATGGACATAAATGAGCTTTCGAGTGGAATGCCATGGAGATTTACCTGATTGTGATGAGTTTGATGCATTGAGGGTTTGATTGTTATTAGAGTTTTTGTAATTTACAACGAATCCGTTTGGCACCCCTTGCCCATGTTTAGGCAGCTCTTGAGTCGTTTCATCACTATTGTCTTCTTCTTGGCTGATTGGTGGAGGGTCAGGCCCAAATTTCTCAAATTGAATAACTACACCCCCTTGAATTTTTTGTACAACCGATTCAAGACACTGCATTAAGGATCTTTGAGAAGATATTGAGTATGATCTACCGCCAGTAACCTCACACATAGCATCAATCGGAGAATTATCACTAGGTACCATTCCTGGTGGTCCATTCGAAAGATGATCAGTGGGCGGGGTGCCAGTTAATCTAAGGACTAATGCATACAGACGCTGATCCCATCTAAAGGGTTCCTTGGTTAGCTCTGCTCCCGGCACATTACAGTTCATGGGAAGGTTCAATTCTTCTTGAACACCAACTCCACTAGTCAATTTACCACCATCAGTTATGGCAATAATGATAGATGATTCAAGAAAAAAAGGTGACCGTCCCTGACCGTAAGTATCGATACCAGTTTGCATTCGATTTAAATTCAACAAGTCAAAACAATTTTTAATAGCCGGTCCTAGAAGAGTCATTCCACTAGCAGTCAAGTTCTTTAATTCGTTCATGAATACATTATGATTTTCTTTCCAGCCAGCCTAAAAGAACAAAAATTGAGATAAAATTTTAATAAAAATAGAATACTAAGCAACCGAGAACTTTAAATCAGTAACATTTACAAAATTGATAGTAAAATGTTATGATTTGAATTTGTGAGCAAGTAAGAAATGTAAGCGGTGTAAGTTTAACAAAATTATCTCCACTCGAAGTTAAATTGACTGATTAAAAAATTAATTCGAAGAAAGAAATTATTTTTGATAGATTGAAGATCGAACTGGCGATCATAAGTGAAACTTGTTTTATCGAGTTAAGGTTCAATTTTGAGAAGAAATCCGCTTCTGAAGTGTTATTATGAATTTAAAAGAAGCTAGATATTAGCCTGCTTCTAATTCTTTCAATTTACCTTAATATTTGATGGATATTCATCGAAGGTTAACAGCATATACCGATCTTGTCGACTGGCAGCATCCCTTTGACGGATCTATTAAAAGACGCAAGACAAGAAAGAGGTTAAAGTAATGAAAAGAGAAGATGATAGAAATAATATGAGTAAGAAACATACACATGCACATTTAAGCACATATACACTTAATATAAAATACAGACATTAAATAGAGAAGAAGGAGAGAAAAGAAAGACAATTAAAGAAAGAGAGGAAGACAGAAAAGTAAGAGACGGAAAAAAAGAGACAGAGAAATGAGAAAGAGAGAAAGAGAAAAGCAAGCCAACCTTAAGAAATTTTTCAACACTGTCCTTTGCGACATCTAAAAGAGTTGGCCTAGCACCCATGTAGGTCCTTTGATTCATGGAGGCACTGGTATCTATTAAGAAGACAATAATGGTCATCTTCAACTGTTAAGGTTAATTAACAAATGGGTTTAGAAAATAAAATTTAATAATATCATCATCCAGTTCTCATAATGTTGGATTTTTGTATGGCAATTCTTGTGCTAAGCTGATTTGCCTTCCATATCTTTACCTCTCTCTTCTCTCTCTCTCCCTCTTTCTCTCTTCCTCGGCCTTTTCTCCCCCCATTTTACCCAAAGCTAGCTCACTAGTGCCATCTATTGAGTTAATTATATTTAACCTAATTTATTTATCAAATTACTTTTCAATTGATCATCATTCAGCATTATTACATGTATTGTTACTGAACCATGTTAGTTTAGAAATGTAAAATTGTAAAGCAACCACTTCAAGTAATCACATTATCAACAAATAAACTCTGATAAATAATAGATAAACGTTTTACTTTTTACTTACATCATTGAAAGTGTTAATTATTTACATCTTAATGTGTTTCCAGTTCCACAATTTAAAATATAATGCATAGGCTTCGATAACTATGTATTGAATTTTAAATGCCGTTAGACACATTCATTGTTTGTACAAAATTGTTGTCAAGCTCGCTCCGTGGTGGTAACTGAAACGAATGGTAATCTTTTCATGGTTTAGATGTCTTGAAATAACAAACTACTATTTATTAGCAAAAGGTCTGGAGAAATAAATTAAAGGACTAATATAACTTAAAACTATCATTAAGATGAATTAAATGACTTGAAACCTGATTTGAATTAACCTCTTTCCTCGTTGTATGGCTGTTAATTGTAAGATCGATTCCGGTAATCAGTAAGGACATGCGTATAATCAATAATCTGGTTAATTGAAATCAATTTTAATTTGTTAACTAAGGCAACAATTACAATCTCATTGAAATTTACTGAAAAACATCCAACCTTTAAAGCCATCGACGGACATTCTTCTCTTGATAAGAAAACTTGGAATTCATTTGATATCGAAATTTTAATTTCAATGTAATACAACAAAAATAACATTTGTCGACTAAATCAGCTCAATATGAAGTGTATCAATACCTGATTATTTCTTTAACGAAAACTGAAATAAAGTTCATTTTATTCAGTAAAATTTTATTAGTGGCCGATAGAACATCAATAAAATTGGAAGTTTAAATATATTTCTTCAGTTAAGCTGCAGAAACCGGAATTTTTCATACAATGTAAACCATTTAATGTTTGTAAATTTATTGACATCCCCTTTTATCAGGCAATAACATGTTGACAGTTTGCTTTGAATCATTTGTTTTGATCCTTTCATCTCTCACTCTGTGATGAATCGATTACATTAAGAGAAAGTTGTTCTTCATTTTATGTAATTGTTTTTATCATTTGATTGGAATTTCAATTGCCGTTCAATTACGCCTAAGTTAACCTCCTCTTTTCTGTCAATGGCTTGGAGAAGTCATGGACGTGATAACGCTGATATGGTTCACAATTTGAAAAAGAATGGTATCATCAAGTCTGAAAGGGTTGAATCAGCTATGTTGGCCATTGATCGAGCTAATTATTGTAAGCAAAATTCTTACACGGATGCCCCTCAAAAGATTGGATATGCTGTGACAATATCGGCTCCTCATATGCATGCTCATACTCTAGAACTACTCAAAGATCATCTTGTAGAAGGTGCTAATGCTCTCGATGTCGGTTCTGGTTCTGGTTATTTAACGGCATGTATGGCCATTATGGTGGGTGCCTCTGGTAAGGTTTATGGTATCGATCATATTCCAGAATTAGTTGAACAATCTAAACGCAATATTGAAAAAGATTCGCCTGATTTACTCAAAACTGAAAGAGTTACACTTGTTGGTAAGTAAACAATTTTGACTTATTATTTAATATTTAATAGTTTTAACTGTTTTTCATGTCATTTTTCTATTTCCCGTATTTACGTACTTTAGTTGGTGATGGCCGAAAAGGATATGCACCTGGGGCACCTTATGATGCTATCCACGTCGGAGCAGCGGCTCCAATATTACCTAAAGATGTGAGTCGTTTCTTAACTACGAACATATATTTTTTATTCATCTGTGTCTCATTTTTTAGCTTGTTGCTCAATTAAAGCCTGGCGGAAGATTAATTATACCAGTCGGACCCGAGCACGAAGGTCAAAAGCTAGAGCAATTGGATAAATCACCTGATGGGACTGTTACTCGTAGTACAATTATGGATGTTTTGTTTGTACCTTTGACTGATCGAGAGGCTCAATGGCCCTGCAAGTAGATTAAACGTCAAGCTTCCAAACTTTTTCTTATTCTCGTCAATTAACACAAAATATTCGAATGCATTATGAAAAAACTCGAGATATACAATACGAGTATGTAGATGGCATATTAAAAAGTAATCAAAGTCGAGGATGATTTAATTTTGCCAAACACTACAATTGTTTTAGATCTCTTGTCTTTCAACTAACTCGTAACGAATCTTTGTTTTGTTTTCAATTGTATTTTTTCAAAAATAAGAGATAATAAAAAGCAGCGATGAAATATCAAAATTTTTGCCATCTAACCGGATTGTAAATATTTGAATGAATATTTGAAACAAAATTTAATTATAATCGTTATTTTTATTATTGAGAGACAAAAATGCCATCAATGTGTAATAACCACAGTGTTTGAAATATAAATCTCTGAAGTTTTAGTTAATTTTTTGAAAGAGATACAAAGAGACTCAGAAGGCGAGAAATAGGAGAAACTGTGAGGGACTTAGTGGATAGAGTTCAAGGTAAAATATATCATTATTCCAAAACAACACTTTTTGATAGGGTTCAACACTTAATTTACATCGCTAGTTAAGTTTCTTAATTTAAATTCATCAAAAAAGATATGGAGATAGGAAAGGTGAGTTGACGAAATGCAAATTTTGTGAAAAGCAGGTGAAAAGTTTGGTCAGATTAATGATAAACTTCTCAATTTTCTCGACGATTATCTTGAAATGACGAAACACAGATGCTGACATAATTTCATAATTTTCAACATTCCTATTTACATTACGTTTCAAGCAAAGAGTAATATAACAAGAGATGTCACTGTATGTATCGCATCGATAAGGGAGATAAGTAGGAGAAAGAAGCAGGGTGCGATGGCGCCACTAACAAGCCTTTTAATTTTTTGAACTTTTTGTCATCAAAAAAATTGTTTACATCTATTTTTTTGTCATTTTTTCGTCTCTTTAAAACTTTCGCGGATCGGTCAGGCCGAGCAGCTTATAAGGCGCCGCTCCCCAGGTAGGGATCCAGGAACAGTGAAGGGGTAGGCCAGAGGGCTTAATTTCCGGGCAAGCGCAAAACAACAAATGCAAACAAACTCAAGAGAGCCCCGAACCTGTGACACCCGGGTACAGAACCGGACAACTTAACCACAGGACAGAAAACTCCTTTACTACTTTAGACTTTTGTTTCAATTTTCATTTATTTCGATAGTCTGGACTGCTTTACTCATTTCAATCTGATTCACTTTCTTCAAAGCCCGCGATATCAACGTTTTCAAGTAATCCACGACTTAATGCATATTCCAATAAAGCCAAATAGCAAAACACATATTGGTCAGGCATCTGGATACTATGAGCTCTTTGTGACCTTATCCGTTCTACGATTTCCCGTATATTGATCATTCCAGTGTCTTCCAGTTTATTAATGCTCACATCTAAAGTAATGAAAGTTCCTGATGAAAAAAAGAGGACAAATACAAATTAATTAGATTTGCATTACTATAAAAATGTACAAAATTATTTTGAATTGAGGGAAAAGCAATCATTTAACAATTCTTACCAGTTCTACCAATACCAGCACTACAATGGACAATTATAGGTGGACCTAAAGGATGACCAGTCCAAGATTCACCGAGTTCTGATACTCCTTTGGCTTGCTCTTCTTTCACTTTATTACGGAAATGAAGCATGGCATAAGCCGAATGAGGAACACCATAATCAGGCCAGCTCAAAAACTGCATATGAGTCACTTTCCTAGTTTGGTTAGACTAAATAATAAGAAAATATTTGGATAAGCTCAAAGTGAAACAAAGGTAAATAGAGATTAAAAATTTACCTCCAGATTTACCAACGTTAACCTAGTTATGTTAAAATCAGTAAAATATTGAACGTCATTATTAGTTATACGGTAAGGTCCATATTCAACACTACTGTTAACTTCTAAAGGCCAGTACTGACCACATTTGGCTTTACATCTTTCGACAGTCCTTGTTGTCATCACAATAAGTAAAACTTGTTGTTCCCATATCATTCTCCAAAAGTCTGGAAAAGTTTTTGGCAACGGCCCTTGAGTAGATATAAACGCATTCTTTTGTTTGTAACCATCTACAAAATTAGCATTGATATAATCTGAATTTACATCATCATCGATGGTACTTAATCGAACTCGACTATGATCATAACAAAGTACATCGGTGTAACGGTTTTTGCCTTGGTTGGGTCTTAATCTTGAATTGTCGAATGTACCATCAGGTATTTTCATTTTGATTTCATTATATTCTTCAGTTAATCCTTTACGTCCTTTAACCTTTAAATATTGAATAAATTCCTCTAAAGTCATTCCTTTTGATTTAACAGAACTATCATCGTAGGCTTTTGAGTCACTATTATCATCATCATTATTAATATTTTGATTATTATTTGGCATCACAATATTTTCCGGTTTGGGTTTATTAACACTATTACGTTCGCGGCGATTGTTTACATCATCCTTGTTTGAATTATGATGAGAATCTTTAGTTGGAGAATCTCCTAACCACGAAGATCTTAGTTTATCATCATCCTCACTGGTATTACTATTTAATTCATTAGAGTCCGATTTGCTTAAGGTATTTGTACAATTTACACTCTGTATTAATCCATTGTGAAGAGCGTTAGTTGAGCACAAAGGGTAATTTTGAGAGGCTAAATCATAAAGTTCATTGATTATTTTTGGTCGAATAGCATGACAATGATTTAACCAGGCTAAATGATCCACGGCAAGTTGACCACCCAATTCAATAGGTAGCGATGGTAGAGGGATATGGTCAGATAATTGAGGTATATTTATCATAAACACACGATCTCGAAGTTTTTCCCTTACAAAAAGGCGTAAAATCCTGAAGGGGGCTTTAAACCACAACGGAGCTGTCACAATCAAAACTTTCTTCAATCTAGCCGGATAAGCACCTTTTAGTAAACCTAATATTTTTTGACTCAACTCGTAATCAAAATTGGCATAACGGGAATTAAACATATTATAAATAAATACAATTCCATTGCGTTGTGTCTCAATTTCCTCCAAAGCAATATCCAGTTGGTAAACTACTCCTTGTAATGTTATTTGATGAGATGTTACATTGGGTAGATGTTTACAAGCTGTGAACATGGCTATGGCTGCTCCATTGGCATCTCTTTTTGGCTAAAGTAACATAAGGCATAAAATATAAAATCAAGCTAACCACAGATTTTAAAAAATGAATAAAAATACTTACAAGGACTGTGAACTTTCCACTTTCTAACTCTGATTTGAGTGGCTCTTTTTCAGGATCAAAATTTGTTAAACCTTCTCTAAAGCGAGTTGATTCATGAGCATCATACAAAGCAAGTGCTCGGTTCAAATCAAATTTCCGGGCCATCAAAAATTTCAAAGCAGTATTAAGTGACATTGGGCTGGCATCGTGTTTTATTCGCAAATCATTCACGATTCGAAGGAACTCTTTGGTTACCTGTTGATGTTTGACACTATCATCACTATTTGATGTATTTTCACTAATTTCAATCATTGAAAATTAATAACACAAATAAATATCCAATCTGAAATAATGAAATACTAAAGCAATACAACCAAAGAGTAAAGAAGAGAAGACTACTCTCAATGCAATTTTTTTCTGCTTACAAAGCGACTCTATTGGGGGCGCCAGAAGTAACAGCTCTTTCTCTTTACTTTCTTTTTCATTTCTCCTCTTTCTTTTCCTCTTACTTTTCTCTTTTCCAATTTTTTTTAATAAACAAACATTTAATAATAAACATGATAATCATTTCCTCACATCTAATGCTTTTCCTTTCTTTTCTTCCTTTCCTCTCTTTCTAGCTCTGTCTCTCTTTTGGCTCTCACAATCTTTCTCAGGTACAGTCGTTATCAAAGAGTTAGAGCGTAATAGACAAGAGTAAAGGAAGAAGAGACTTCAATACATTTTAATTGTTAAAAGCGACTCTATTTGGGCGACAGAAGTAAAAGCTCTTTCTTTTTTTCCTTATTTCTTAATTAGGGAAACCTTAGGCGAACCTAAGGAAAACCTGGTAAAAAGTAAGAGAAAAAGAAAGAGATTGCTGGCAGCGCCTCTATAAAAGGTTCGCCAAGCTTCCCTTTAGGTCCAAGACAAAGAGTATAACTCTTTGATCCAAGATCTCTCTCTTTTTCCCTTACTCTTTGGTTCTTGTTGATATATTGTGACGTCACAAAAAATTATCATTTAGTAACTTTTATCATGAAATTTGCTTGATGGAATCCGCCCTAAAATGAAAAATTTTATCAAAAGGTTTGTCAATTTATTTTCAATAAAGTCATAAAGATTCATATTTTGTCTAATTAGTAATTACAATATCAAATGAAATCAATCACCTTATCATTTCAACAATTGAATTAAGAAACAGATTCATTCATAAATCATGATTGATCAATTCTGTTAATCACTTACAACTCTCTTTGTCCACAAATTGATTACAGTTATCTTTCTTGTTTATTGAATTAACCAACCATCCAACATTTGTATGTAAAGATGGAAACGGTTGAATATTTATGGTTAAATGATTAGATTTAATGATTAACAAAAAACCCAATGAATGGTTAGCTTCTCAGAGTTTCCGGTCAAATCTCAAGTTTCCTCAAAGGAAATGGGTCATTTCCGTTGCGATCTTTCTTTAAGTTAACCGACATTTACTTTCAAGTAATCTTATCCTTCAAAGTTTAAGGTTTAAGTTGAAAATTGCATTCATCTCAATGTGAAGATCCAGTCAATGAATAAACCAAATACAACCTGAAATCATTCGTTGGATAATCTCTAACCTTACATCAGTCTTATCTGAATTGTACAATTTAAGATGTTTATTTGTTGAATAATTGGAAATTACAATTTAGACACAATATTGTGATTGAAATAACAATTTTGTTCACTGAAAAATAACAGTTTCAACAGGGTGAGTGAAGCTGAGGTGTAAAAAAATAGAGGAAAATGGTTAAGCAGCAACAGCAGCAAAAAAACACAATTACATCCGATCTGAATTCAATTCCAGCCCCAGTTGTCATGGCCCCATGATGGGTTTAAATACATTTGAGTCAAGGAAAATAATGAAATTGATTTACATTTATATTACTCGGTGTCGGTTAAATTCAATTAGGTCCAATTCATTTTGTTTAACCGTCAACAGCAGCATAACACACCGGACAACTAAAGATCTTAGACAATTAGCTTTGATTATTTCTTAGCAATCTAAATTTGTTCCCTGTTTTTGATAAACAATCAAATTAATTTTTGTCGGAGCGTGAATCTCTTGACAGTGATGTTTTAATATTACATAACGATATATTGAACGGATCGATTATCGGGAATATCCAATTCAAATTGTTTAAAATTAATTTTTTGATTTATTATGATTTACTAGCATTACTTTTGCATTTTAACTCGTTATAATGTGACTGTTCACAGTTAAAGGGTTTGTAATCAATTTTTTCACATGACATTTTGGGTAAATTTGTATGAGGAAGATCATTTGGATCTCTCACATGTTTGATTGAGAGCCTCGGTTGTTTTCCTATCTTTGCTCTCTATTATTCATCTTTAAATAAGTGTCAATTGTATTTAAATTTGATTATTATTGTGAATTTTTCTCAAAGTTAACTGTCAATTTATATCTATGGTGTTAATTAGATAAAGAATTGAAAAACCAATTGGTCATGAGCAATTGTGAATCTTGCTTCCAATTCTGATCCAACCCAGCAGACATCATCATCACCTGATTGAACCATCTTTTTCAACATAAAATATTGTTATAGCTACTCTTATATAAAACATTAATATTGATGCAATAACATCAATATTGATCGTGAATAATTTAATAAAAAACGTAAATTATTATTCCACCTGTTCGGTAAGATGACCCTTATCCGTTATATCAAAAACTCTCGAAACAACGAGACATTAATAGCTGGCGAATACATTTTCCGTAAAAACAAGAGCAGAGATGAGAAGGTTTACTGGAAATGTCGTAAAAATAGTTGTCCAGCAAAAATAACAACATATGCTGGTAAAGTAATGGGTCATTATTTAAGACACAATCATGATGATAACAATCAAGATGAAATTGCTCGTCTTGAAGGATTAAAACCAACTACAAATTTTCAGGTAAATTATCTTACCCAAAAGCAACATATTTGTCTAGTTTGCAATGCATGTATCATATGTTTGATCCCTTTGTCTCTGTATTATTTTTTATTCCTAGGTAACTCAGGTTGACGATGAGGTTAGCCAGCAAATTATCACTACTGGAGAACCTTTTGGTGAATACTCTTTCGCTGTCGAGAATTTTGTTGTTACGTCAAGTGGAGAACCAGCGAGGCGAATCGACTTTCTTCAAGACAATACAAATGGTAATACATCAGCTGAGACTACCATTGTTGTTACAAACGCACCTCCAACTACTTCTGTAGTTTCTACGCCATCAGCTTCATCATCATTATCTACCATATTCAAAGAATTTAATGAGTCTCAAAAAAAGATTGAATTGCTGGTCACCAATCTTGCTACTACAAATGGAACTGATGACTTACAAACCGAAAACATGAAGTTGAAATTAGAATTGGATGAAGCTGTTCGAAAATTCAGGATTGAACTGGAAAACAAAGAGATACAATTTCAAGAAGAAAAAAATCGAGGTGATCTTATTCAGAAGGAATTGACGGGTCAATTGGCTCTGGAAAGATCTGAAAAGGAGAGGTTGGAGCAAGAAAACGAAAAGCTGAGAGAAATTGTTAAACAGTACGAATTACAACTTGCAGAAGAGGAAGTTGAATGTACTATATCTCAAGTCTCTGATACCATGTCATGTTAATTGGTGGATTTATTGTTGCACTGTTACGAATCACACCTACTTATTTGCATTTGACCATTCACTCAGTCACATTTATTTGATGTTGTCTTCATTATGAGCCTGCTGTCACCAAGTTCAGGGAACCAGGCTTATCAAGCATTCTTTAATTGGACAAAATCAACATTTCCTTCTTGATTTAATTATCAAACATAAATTTGATATCACAAAAAAAAGAAAATGGTTGTCTGATAGAAGACATAAAACTCAACTCTTCGAGAGGCATGTTGAGTGATTAAAGCTGTTCATTTCAAATGGAATCAACATTTTTGCTTACTTCATCGAGCAATTTTTATTTATGTTGAACAATTACTTTGTAACTCATGTCAATTTTTGAATAATTTTTGTTACTTAACATTCGCCCATTTGTGTAAAAAATTAGTAGATAACTTATTATACTGATAAATTTTCAGTGTTTAAACTTTTATGCTTTTATCTCAACTCCAATGTATAAACACACATTGATATTTCAACTGTCTACATACACTTAAGACTTCAATGAATTGATGGCATTACAAAATAAACCAATTGAAAGTTGATCTGACGCGTAATAAACTCGCAGTGGTTCCAATTCAGTTCCTAAAATCTACACATGCAATACAGGTTTAATTTCTTTACCACATTTAGTCTTATTTTGTGTCTAATCGTTTTCGTGTTTTAATGTCATTTGTACAGACAAGCTAATACATAAGAGCGATTCTTGTAAATGCAAGAACCCGTTTACAATATCAAACGATTTGGTTCACTGGCCTGAGCAAGAAGATTTCAGAAGCAACATAACCGTGTCTGGATTTTGCCAGACAATATCGGAATCAGAAGAAATATAGATTATCGTAGGAATTGGTGGATCCAGTCAATGAATAAACCAAATACAATCAACCAAACCTGAAATCATTCGTTGGATAATCTCTAACCTTACATGAGTCTTATCTAAATTGTACAATTTAAGATGTTTATTTGTTGAATAATTGGAGATTACAGTTTAGACACAATATTGTGATTGAAATAACAATTTTGTTTCACTGAAAAATAACAGTTTCAACAGGGTGAGTGAAGTTGAGGTGTAAAAAATAGAGGAAAATGGTTAAGCAGCAAAAAAACACAATTACATCCGATCTGAATTCAATTCCAGCCCCAGTTGTCCTGATGACCGCCCCAGCCCCAATTGTCCTGATTCCATCCCCAATGATGAATCTAAATACATTGAGTAAAATTAAACAATGAACAATTTACATATACATCATCTTATTGATTGTTTAGATTATTATCCAACTGAATAAAGTGTAACTCATGCAATTGGATTGCTGGTAGCTACTCAATTATGCACTATCACATGTATTCATCATGTTTTCAGGGTCACTTTTGATTTTTGATTTAAAAAAACAATTTTATTTCAGGAAATTAACTCGGAAACAGGAAAACATGTTTAATCATGTCTATTCACTTGTATTGTGATTTTGCTTTGTCCTTATATGTTTCAACTAAATATATGTTATAAATTCATTTTTCCGTTTAGCTTGATTTTTGATCCTCTACTATTATCAGACTACTTAATATAGTTGAACCAAATTGAAGTTAAATATCACTACAATTTGATATCAATTGAGAATTGAGATGAATCCATGTTATTCAGTGGTTTAAATACAGTAAATAAGGCTATTCAATCACAGTTAAAACTCACCTTATGATGAACAGGAATGTGAACTGGAACAAATTTAATTTCCTCTTTCTTTTTCTCACAACTGCAGCCTGTAAGATATAATTAACCAAAATTAATAACCAGACAACATGATGTTATACAATTGAACAAGAATATCGTTGAAACAAAAAGACATCACAATAAACAATTAAAACAACAGAGTAATCCAATTGCACTTTGACATCACATGAAAATTTGCAACCAAACAGATGACCAGTAACAACCTGTAAAGTAAAGATCGTATCAATTCAACAATTACCTCCATGGCCTTTTCCCTCTCCACCACTGAGAATAATATTGTCACCACCTTTATCCCCACCGGCAAGAACCAGGGCAACCATAATGGTTACAATTAAAAAGGTTAATCTAAATAACATTGTCAAGTCAACTTTCATATTTAAATTTGGCGATACAATGAAAATATCTAAAACTGTTTGTCACAACAAAATTGATATCAACTCGACAAAAACTAAACCATTTGCTTATATACCCAAATGTGATGCTGATTTAAAAGTACCGATTGGGGTTATCAGCCCTCTATTGCCGCCTCTTTCCAATCAGCATTTAAGTTATTAGAAGTATCAATAACTAAATTAGTTTAAGTGTTGATCAGGATTGACAGTTGATAAGTTTCTGGAGCTTGAAAAGCTTTATATTGAGCTTCATCTTCTTGGAGACTGGAACAGTGAATTGTGATGATGTTAAATTTGGTATCTTTCTTACTTTAAATAATAAGCTTGATTAGAATAATTATAAAGCGAAAAAGTACAAAAAAAGGAATGAAAATTGTATTAAATAAATATTGTGTTGTGTACGTGTTGATATCCAGACTGGAGTGATAGGTAATTGCCAGGTCACCTAAGTGAAACCTAATTGATTTACATTCAATCAAGACATTCATTCACCATATAAAACTGTTAGTTACAAACTCATTCAACCTTAATCTTTAATCATCAACATTCAGTTTATTTTCTGGTTAAGGTCTTCTTCAGGGCTCCTTTTTTTTGTTCTTTACCTGTAATTGATGAACATGAACAAGTGTATTTAAATATCTTTTGCATGTTGATCACTTTATTTGAATATAATAATACAGTTTATGAGGGAAACAATAAAACAATTGAATGCAACAAATTGAGTTGACAAAAGGAGATTCACAAGCAACAATTAAATTACCAACCTTGTTTGTTAAAAACAAAAAAAGGGAATTCGGATTCATTTTCACGCCAATCAGAGCATAAGTGTACCTCAACAATTGATATGTCAATGGTAAATCATCATCTTTACCGATTGTGTATTAATCAACGTTTAAATATCTTATTAAGGTCCTATCCAGGTTGTTACAGGTTGACAATTTCATTTCTTTGATCAATTGAGTAGAAATATTGGTTGGTTGATTCCGATTTTGCTTTCTTCTTTTCTTCTTGTTCAATCCTTGTTTGCCATGTTAACCATCAAAATGAATGAAATTGCCTTTGTCTTTTCACTCACTTTTATATCACCTTCAATTATTTTCACCACTGAAACTTGTAAAAAAATTCAGAGATTAAATTAATGTGTTTCAAGAAAAATTGACGCTAAATTGATCATCGTTATGGATCAGTTGATGGTTTGGTAGTAAAAGTAAAATAATAAAATGTTTGTGAAAAATATTATTTACAGTCAATTGGTGATTGGATCATTGACATTTCAATAATAATTGGTGATCAATGTTATTCAATAAACAAACAAATCTGAACTAAATTTAATGATAAAGAAACAAAACTCATGATTTCACGCTCATTTTTAATTTGCTATTCTCACGATACAATGTCTTGATTCATTCCTTCCATTTGCATTCAATATGAAACAGGTAAAAATTGATAAGAAATTTGAATGATGGCTCCTCGGTTTGTTTCCAGGTTTCATTGCAGATTAAATTAAGATGGAAATCAACTAATAGTTTCTTCGATCGATTGAAATACTTTTAACTTGATAGTTTATCAGCAATCATCGGAATTGCAATTAATTATGAGCACATGCAAACGCACGAAGTCTTGATAATTATAAATGATGTTTATATACAAGATTAATAATGAGATAGGTTTAAGATAGAAGGCGTTTCAAGTTTCAAGAATTCAACATCAGATGAAACATATCAACAATCATAAACATAACACGAGTCATTTACAATTAGCCATTTTCTCCATAATTGTTTCTGTTGGTAATTTATAAATTAAATTTCTCAACATTGTGTTTTTAAAGCAAAATTAATTGAGTGAAATTAAAGCATACAAAGATTTTCTAGAAAAGGCGAAAAATGCCAAAATCGAAAAGGCGGTTAGCTATTTCCCTTATATTGGTCTTCGAAAAGTCTCGATGTACCGATAAACACCAAATGAAACCTCGATATTGATTTAACAATTTGTGGGGCTCCTTGTGAGACTGAACCTATTCTGAATCTAATCAAATCTTGTTGCCAGTTTTGTTCACAGTTGATCATTGGATTATCAGCCCAGGAAATAAAGTCTGGTTGTTATCGCTACCTTAATTCAATTTCACATCAGGACCTGAAAGAGTAGAGTTGATACACGCCTGGAGTCTAATCAACGATAACTTCGAAAAAGTGATGATAAGAAATAAAACGTTGAATGGTTAGGGATAAAACATTGGTTTTATATTAGAGTTAAATATATGTAGCTATGGCAAGAGAGAAAGTATAATCTCATGAGAAACAATTAAATTGAACCGGAAGATTCATTATAAAGGAGAGAGCAAATGGACATAAATGGGTAGATCTAATAAAAACACTGCAAAATCGATAAATTCGTGAATATTGTAAAACTATAAAGAAACGCTTCATCTGAGTCCTTTGCCTGACAGCTATTGCTCGGAAATTCAATTACTTTTTAGCGTTGACAATTTGGACAAAATCTTTCTTGAGTGAAGCTCCACCAACAAGGAAACCATCAATATCTGCTTCCTTAGCGAGTTCCTTGCAGTTACCTGCCGTTACTGATCCACCGTAAATGATTCGTGTTGAAGCTGATACGCTATCAGAAATCTTTTCCTTCAACCATTGTCTCAGCTGTGCATGAACTTCTTGAGCCTGAGCTGGAGAAGCTGTTTTACCGGTACCAATTGCCCATACAGGCTCATAGGCAATCACAACACGACTCCAATCTTTAACGTGTTCTAAGGGTGAAATTGTTAAATTAAATTAGTCCTAAATAGGATTACATTTACGCTAGCTTTAACTTACTGGAGATGGCAGACATCTGAGCAAATACAACATCTGTGGTTTTACCAGCTTCACGTTCTTCCAATAGCTCACCAATACAAGCAATTACTGAAAGACCTTCATCCAGGGCATGGCCAACCTTCTCTCCAATCAACTAATTAAATCAAATTGAATAAAGGGATAACTTTTAGTTCAGAAGCAAGACAAAATAAAGTCAAAAATAACAAGATCTTGAAAATTATAAGGCTCAAAAATATAGTAGAGCTCTACTAGATTTCAATCTAACCTCATCTTTTTCTCCGAAAACATTTCTTCGCTCAGAATGACCAAGTATCACCCAATTGACACCAACATCTTTAATCATTGCTGGACTAATTTCTCCGGTAAATGCTCCTGATTTAGTTTTGTAACAATTTTGAGCAGCCAGTGCGATATTTGATGGTAATATGCTTTTGGAGTACTCTAAGTAGATGGAAGGTGCACCACAGACAACCTCTGATACATAGAAATAATGGTAAAAAGGATTAGTACGGTGAAATGTGGACATTTGTCAAGCATAATCGAAAATTCGATACTTACCAACTTCTGGGTCTAAGGGTCCTTCATTAAGAAAATCAACTATTTCTTTAATGACGGCTTTAGAGCCATTCATTTTCCAGTTACCACCGACGAAAAATTTACGTGACATTTTGCTAAGACTTTGATGAAAATTGGAAAAAACAAATTAAAATAGATGTTGGCAAAATATGACAAGGTAATAATGATAAATTAGTAAATTTTAATTTGAACCAGTATCAAACAAAACAAAAGTAACAATGACTCAGAAACATATGAGAAGTGTAATGTCATAGAAGGTTACTTTACTAAAGGATACCAAAGATACTGATATGATGTAATAATTTATCTTAAATCCTTGGCAAACTTTTCAAACCGTCAAATCAACACAATCCTTTCCTTTTTGATCAAACTGTTACTTTTTATCTAATTTTTTTGTTTGTTAGTCTATGATTACATGATCGATAAAATTGATATTTTTAGATATTTTCCTGATTCCAGTCTTAGCTAATATAATCAAAATCTTGTAAATACAAAGAGCTAGGAGGAGAGAGAGAAATGTATCAATATTTTACTATCAATACTTTTCTAATGTCAATGTTCTAGTCCTTTCAACAGTTTACTAAATTGTCTTCGATCGATTTGAAAGGAGATTTCATGGGACTGATATTCAATTAATGCAAGGTCCGATTATCCAAAATCAATTTGAAGTCTGTTTCAATAGCCATTATGAATCCAAAGTCTCTCAGTTAATAAAATAAATCAAGTTGATCGATGGTCAATGTTCAATTGGGTTGGTGAAATTGAAATTGATTTATTGAACAAGGAAAGTATTCTTTAGCTTTAGTTCTAGTCTCAAATTGAGAGTTGACGGTCTTGATCACAATCATTCAGTATGGATACATACTGAATGATAACAGCTGATTTTTGCTGTTGCTCAGATTTACGTGAGTTCTGTAACTTATTTACTTTTTCACTAACTTGCAATTGATAATACTTTTGTTATACACGATTTTTGTAAAAATTAGTTTTCGTTAGTCTTGATAATGCAAAGAAATGGTTTACGCTGGATTTTCAACTGCCGTCGATGGTCGCCATCAAGAGATGATCTACTTGCAGCTTTGAGCTGCATTCAGGAAGAGGAAAGAGACAGAATCTTTAAATTTTACTACAAGAAAGACGTTAAACACGCGTTAATTGGTCGATTGATGTTAAGAAAATGTGTTTCAGATTGCTTGAACATAAATAACGATCAGATACTTTTCACACGAACTGATAAAGGTAAGCCTGTACTGGCTGGGCAACAGACTGAAACCTCATTTGATTATAATATTTCTCATGATGGTGATTATTGTGTTCTGGCTGCTGACTGGATCAGTAAGGTTGGTGTTGACATTTCTCGAGTTAAAGAATCGAAAGAAAAATCTACCAATGAATATTTCAAAACTATGGAGAGGATTTTTTCACATCATGAGTGGCTATACATTAAAGACACTCCAACCCTTGATCAAAGTCCATTACACCGTTTTCATCGACTTTGGGCTCTGAAGGAAAGTTTTGTTAAGGCTGAAGCAATTGGAATCGGATATGAACTCAGACGAATTCGCTTCGAATGTCCTACTGAATGTCTTCAAATTAATAAAGTAAACAAAGATACATTAGTCTATCTTGATGACAAACTATCAACTGATTGGCTTTTTGAAGAATCCGTGGTCGATGATAAGCATGTTATTGCAGTTGCCCTTTCTGGTGACCAGTCAATTTTACAAAGTAAACGAAATGAAAATAATTATTTCAAGTTGCTGAAATTTGAAGATTTAATCACTTCAAGCATCGCCATGGACGTATCAGAATGCCTTTGGAATAGTTTTGATCTAAAAGAAGAAGGGAGATATGATTAAAATATGATATATAATTGTAGATCGCATTGCTTCCAAGATTCTTACATCCATATATTTTTAAATTCAATTGATCAAGACTGTGTTGCTCACCGATTCATCTTTTTGACATAATATCGAATTTTATATTTATATATTCAAAATATTTTCATTAATTTTATATGCGCGATAAATTTAAGAATATTTTTGTGGCAAGTTTGAGTAAAGTAGTTTAATTAAGTTTAGTGAACACTGAGGCAATGGCATGCATTTGGAACTATACAAAAATGCATTGCATAGTTTAGGAACTACTTGATATGAACTACTTCGAATTATCTTCTTTCCATTGCTTTATAGCTTCAATACTTTCTTGTCTGAGCTTCTCAGATTGTTGCTGATACTTCTCTCTTTCATCATCAGGCAGGTTTTTCCATTTCTCCGCAACTTCGGACATCTTTGGTGAATCGAGACCAGATGCTTTGACTGAATCACTGTATTCTTTGAAAAATAAACCATATGCTGATACAGGTCTTTTAGGCTTGGTACCTTTTAAGGCTTTAGCTTTTTGAACTTGCATTTTGTTAAAGGCATCTAACACAATCAGCATTTCTTTAATAGTTATTTTCCGATTCACAAATTCATTGTAGACTTGTTTTTTATCTTTATATTCATGGTGCTCTTTAGCAGATAACTCCTCGTATGGCTGTTTCATTTCCAACTTGTTCCATTCTTCTTCAATCACCTTCTTGGCATCGTTTTTCTTTAAATCTTTACTGTCTTTTTGTATTTCGACAAATCTATGTTCAAAATAAATGGTAAAAGGACTTCGAGGTAGCTTTGGTTTTTCTGGAATTTCACTGAAATCAAATGGCAGTTTATCACGAGCTTTTGAAGAGGATGGTCTTGAAGATGGTCCAGATGATGATTGCATCCCGTTTGTAGAATCACCATGTGCAAAGTAACGAATTTGATTTGAGTTGATGATAAGAGATCTCAGATTCCTCATAACAAAAGCCATTATTGATATAAAATATTAATTGAAATATAATTGAAAAAAAAGTAAAATACAATACAATTAATCACTAGAAAATGCAATTTTGGTTCACCAAAGTTTGGTGTGAGTTTTCAAAAGAAAAACAGTTCTTTAGGGAAGGTTAATAAATTGCAAAGGCGTAAATAGAGGGATTTATTAGTAAATATCAATAAGTCGGTTGCTTTTTGCTGATTTTAAATTATTGTAAAATTAACCCAATAATCCCAGAGAGAAAAGAAAGTAATGCTCTTAGGTCATTTCTTCTAGAGTCAGATTAGTCATTTAGATTCAATTGGTTAACCAAATTACAGTGGTAATTCATATTTAATAGTCATTAGTAAAAAAGCGACAGAACTTTTGAATACTCGGCATTTTTAAAAAGGACAGTTTATTTTTGGCATCTTTCAATTTTGATGGTTTAATTAAAAATCAGTAATTTAGTGAATCAATCTTCACAAATGTAATTAGGATGAACAAATAAAAATGGATCATCATCAGAATCTGATTCTGGGGTAGGTTTTGCTGCGAATAAAATTCTATCAATGTTTACAAGGCGATGAATAACTTTTTCACATAATTGTTTCTTAGAAAGCAATTCGATTTCATCTTCGTATTCTTGTCCTTCTAAGTACCATTCGATCAATTTAGACTTTGGCATTCCTTCGTATACTTCTTCATCTTGTGATGGTCGCACTTCTTCTCCCTCTTGCTCAGCATCCATTCGTTCTTGACCATCCGTTCCTCCACCATCTTCTGCTTCATCTCTTTCTCTTTGCATAGCAGCTCTTGCTTCTTCTTCTTGTCTCAATTTTGTGGCAAATGCTGCGGCCATTTTCATAAATTCATCATAAGATATAGAAAGGTTAGCAAATCCACTAGGTTGACCATTTTGAACAGGTTCCGTCGACTCAGTATCCATTTCACCATCCTCGCCCTGAGCTGTAGTGGTCTCATCCATTAGGGAGATATCAGGTTGTTCAACACGTACAATTGATTTATTGAGTAAACGAGCGGCTTCTTTAACATGAGCCACTGTAACTTCATGGCAAAAATGTAATTTTGCCAAAGCTTCAGATAGTCGAACCAGAGATTCTAATTGACGAACTGTAATTCGCCATGATTGTTTGGCACTTCCAGCAAATCCAGTTGAAAGGGCACCTTTATCACCTCTTAAAATTTTGTAAGTTTCAACCATTTCATGTTCAGCTTCTGGTGTTATCTTTGGAACAATTTTCCTGGCTGCCTTAATGTACTTTTTAACTTGCTCTAAGGTGTAAGTTGTAGCTTCGCTAGCATCAACAGCGTCAAATGCATTTGCATGCATATTAACAATTTTACGAGCAACTTCATAATCAGTTCTCTCATTCGCTTCATCTAATAAAACGAAGAAAAGATCGAACCTGGACATAATAGGAAGAGATAGAGACAAGTTATTTCTCAAACTTCTAGACCGATCATAGTGACCTCCGATGGGGTTAGCAGCAGCTAATATAGAAGTTCGAGCATTTAAAGTAGCTTTAACTCCTGCCTTGGCGATACTGATAGTTTGCTGTTCCATAGCTTCGTGAATAGCAACTTGATCTCGAATATCCATTTTATCAAATTCATCAATACAACAGATACCTTTATCAGCCAACATCAATGCTCCAGCCTCGATGACAAAACCACCCTCTTCATCTCGAACCACAGCGGCAGTCAAACCAGAGGCAGTTGATGCTTTACCACTAGTGTATACGGCTTTTAATGGAGCAGAATCTGTTATCAATTTAAGGAAACAACTTTTAGCTGTACTTGGGTCACCAACCATGCAAATGTTAATATCTCCTCTCAGATGAGTTCCTTCTTCTGTAAATTTACCGACACCTCCAAAAAGTTGCAATAGTAATCCTCTCTTAATATCTTCATGACCATAAATAGACGGAAATAAACTCGCAACTAAACCATCATACAGTCTTTTGTCAGCAGCCATTGCTTCGATTTCTTCGAGATCCGAGTCACGCAAGTGGTTTGTGTCTCGAAATTTTTCTTCTTCAACTTTCTGCAATTCCTCCATAGCAGCAGGAATAATGCTACCTTCTCTGACACAACAGTTTGCTAAAAAGGCAAGCCTATAGGTCATCTCTTTGACTCCTAAATTTTTTAATCCAGAGACTCCGTCCCCTAAAGTAGCATTACTTTTATTATTATTATACCGACTTTCTGTTTTAACAGCTCCAGCTTGAGCGGTGAACATTTGAGAAACGTCAGGAACAACAATCAAACATCCAATAAAATCACACCTTTCACCCGCTTGAACACAGTCAACTTGTTCAGCTCCTCTAAAAATAACATCCAAACTCCTTGGCATACTACCTCGAGGTATTTCAGCTTGAGTTTCTTGAATCCGAAGTTTTTGAAAATCAACAAACCGTGACTTGTGTAACACCAACTTGAATCGGGATCTATTGGCACATAAATTATTTCTGCAGATGACGGGCTGAGTAAATTTGAATTGTTGTACAACATTGGGAATTTCGGTTCCACAGTCAAGACACTCAAACGTACCATTGATAAGTTCGGGGTGGACTGGATGTGTTCTAACAATTTGACCTGAAGTTATTAATAATTAATAAAAGATAAAGATTATTAAAGATGCAAAGGGTTAGCTGAACAAGACTTACCTGTGATTCTTCTCAAGGCACCTACAGAAACAGCTTTCAATTCTCGTATTTTCATTTGTAAGGCAACATTGTAAAATCCAATGAATAAATCTTTTTTTAACACATCTCGTATTTGTTTGGCCTCAACATCATCCTTATCTCGAAGAGTTTCATCCTTGACAAAGCTGACCAGAGCTCTGCATAAGAAAGGGTAAACTCGATAATAAAATTCAAGGATGGTTGAATAAAGAGCAGGATCAAATTTTTGAACGTCTTCAAAAGAAACGTATAGAGTGCTTCTATCAGGAGAAAGTAAATTATATGCTTCAGCAGCATATTTAGGTTTTTCTGAATCAGGGTCATCAGAGTAGACAGAGAGAAAATCTTTGAATAATTTTTGAACCTTTTCTCCTAAATCATCTTTAACTTGAATTGTTTGACCAATAACGGTGTCAGCAACATCCATGTTTGCCAGAAAAGGATTACAATAAAATCACTTAAAAATATAAAAGGCACTAGCGTTTAAAAATTTGACCGGTAAAAACTTGAATGTGTGTTTGACGCACAACAAATAAAAACAAACCAAGTAATTAATATTGATCACTAAACCGTAATTAAACGAATTAAAAAGATGACATGAAATAACTTCTTCCCTTTAAAGTTTAAAAGAAACAAGAAGGCATTCAGTTATTGTTTCATTTTGGCGGCAAACTGATGCTAAATAACACACTAATGCTACTCTTACATCCAACCAAAGAGTAAGCGCGAAAATAGTATTTATTTGAAAATCATTTCTTACAAAATATGTATTTATTACAGACATTTAATATGTAAAATAACTGAAATGCTCTGTAAATCTTGCATTTACGATAGTGTCAATTCGTTACTAACGCTGTTATTCTGGTGAGCGATCTACTGACCTACTATAGTGTGTCCAAAGATCGCAACTAAGGGAGTTTCTCATGATTAAGCTTGATGAAACCTCAAAATGGTTTCGCGAGCCAATATTTAATTTAAATGAAGCAGACAAATATTGTTTGATTTAACTTAACATTATTTTATTTTCAAGTTACACATTTAATTATATGAATCAAATTACATCGACAGATATCAAAGTAAGGATATGCAAATCTCTCCCTTAGATTCAAGTCAGTTTCGGAATCAAGGAGCCACCAGCAGGTCCTTTCTTTTTAGGATCGTTGCTGCAAGACACGGGAAGTTTTAGATTGGCAGCTTTTAACTTTGCGATAGTATCGGATGAAATATTGTCGCCGAAACATTGAGCGCTTACCATGCCGAACAAAGAAACGAGAGTAACAAAGAAGCAGAGGGCTACAATTTTTGTCAATTGCATTTTAACTTAATCGTTTATAAATTCTATTGGATTGAAAACAAAATAAATTTATGAGCTTGAAGAATCAACTGTTAACGTTTCTTGATTTTCGATGTCTTTTTATACTCTGCTTTTATCTGTACAAATACTTAATTTGATTCACTTCTAATTGTTCATTTTATTTGTTCATCATAGTCTTTGTTTATTTACTAATAAATTATCAATTGTTACCACTAATGAATCAACATTAAACTGCGTTAAAAAGTTTTTCAGTTGCGAAAAGCAAACTAAATTGCGAAAAAAGAGAGCAAAATATATGCTCAGTAGGTTGTTGACTAGCAAGAATGTTATTTTTGTTCACAAGAGATCAGAATTTACAAAATGTTTATACAGCCTCTAACATTTGCTAATGCTGCGTCGTTTATTTACCCATAAAGAGCAGATTTTACAGGTTTTAAGATATGCATAGTTTCGGTGAATGAATGGACCAGAAATTCAATTTCTCAATCCGCTAACGAATGTATAATTCGTTTTGCTTGTATGTTCGAATGTATAATATCTATCACTCACGGCCCTATGTGGAACATGGGATTTCATTGAAGCTGTAATCATACTTTCTAGGTCTTATGCAGAGTTTTCATTGATACCATTTTTGTTATCAATTGCTAATCAAAACACAATATCGATAGAATGCTGAACCTCTGAAGAATCTTTATATGTGCTTTGATTGGTTGCTAGTCAAATTGTCCACGAAACATAACAGATTAAAGGTTAACCTTATTGTGAATAGTGTAAATAATTTTAATGATAAATTTTCTGGTGCTTCAAAACAGGTCACTTGGGTTTTGTCAAAATCAAACCCAAAAGTAGCTTATTACGCCCTTTTGAATAATTGATTAAAGAGATTTAATCAAATTGTTTACTAAAATTAACCTAAACCTCTAGGATCGCGCTGTAGTTAGCCTTGATGCGACCTAAATACTGTATTGAAATCAGGTTTCAAATCTTTTATCAACTCGCCTTAACAAAACTTTTCATTTGACCATTTCATTCAATTAGCTGAATTGACTCCAGGCGATTCACTTGCATCAACAGTAATGTTAACGTTTATTAATGTACACAAGTTAAATAACAAATGAAACTATCGGATTCAATGAACACGAGTCAGAAATACTATCACGGAAACTCAAACATCCCTCAAGGCTGAAGACACCATTGAAAATTGAACTTTAATGTACTTTGTTGGACATATGGAAAATTATTGTGCTTTTTAATGGATCCACCAATTTTCCTTTAATTTTCAAATAGCTCAATGAAATAAAAAATTTCTTATTTCCATGTAATTTTGCATTTGTTTTACCTTTCATTTAATTTTTTTTCATTATTACAAACATTAATGCGCTTCGAGTGCGTCTTTCGATCAAATCCTTTGATTTACTTTGCAACAACAAGACGAGCAAATCACTTCTTTTTACATTTACATTCTGATTTAACTATTATTTTCATTTAAACCCTGTTGTATCATTAATAATCAACAGTACAATTGCCTTTAATCAACTTTCTTTATTCTCTAAGGTTAAATAGAGGAAACAACTTTACAATCAACTGAAGTTTCAATTAAATATGAAAATTTGCAACATTTTATCTCTTTTCTTGATTCTTTGTGGCAACATCATTCCAAGAGTTTTAAGTGAAAATTCAACCAATAAATATGTAAATTCAACTTTAATTGATAGACAAATTCATCTTATAACTTCAGGATTTTCTAGTGTATTTTGGAATTATATAGTCAATTCAAATAATTCGTTGGATAATGTTTCAAACCAATGTTCATCTCATTTGAATAAGCTCATTGAATCATCATTTAAAGGTCAACCCTCGGCATTCAAATGTAAGTAGCGAAATGTTTCTTTAGCATTGGAAATTTTGGTTTGGGACTTACTAAAAGACCAAAAAGGGCCAAAACAGCGAGAAATTACCAAAATATCAATTTCCAAAATAAAATATGCTTATAATAATACAATTGGTCAAAGAACAAACCATCATTTAAATTTACTTCGCTTACAAAGTCCCCATGAAATTAACTAATAGCATTTCGGTAATAATCAGCAAGTCTTCCTTGTTATTTAGCATTAGCCATTTAAAAAGTTCGCCAACAATTATGTTGGTTATTATATTGAAAACAATAATATTATTTCATTTTAAGCAATCAAATTGCCATTTTTAATTAATAAATTGATCACATTTTTTCTAGTTTTGTCGTTATCTGGATCTCGACCCAATAACTTTCTCGATGGAAACTATGCCGCTTTTGGTTCTTATGATACTTGCCTCAGCTTTTCAGCATTTTATGATAACAAAGATGATCAAACAAGTGACCAAACAGTTAAAGGACAATATTGTTTAACATCATTTGAACCTGATTTATCCATAAATGGTCAAATCCTTGGTCAACTATATCCTCACTATTTTGATTCAAAATACAATTTTACAATTAAAGTTGGTTTTTGTGTTCCTTCAGTTTGTTCACAAAATGATGTTCAACAAATAATAACTCAAGGTATTCCGAGACAAAAGTTATTAAACAATTTCCTTTTGGCCAGTATTGACTTGATGGCTTTAATATCTTAATGTTTGTTCATTACTTTTACTTGAATAGCTTTTAATGATTATTCATGGAGATTAGTTGATGTCCATTCCTGCGATGTTAAAACCAATTTTCTCGAAAGACTAACGTCAGCAAGTCAAGTGCAACAAATTTTATTGTAAGTACTAATGGTATTTAAATGAACATAAAGATCAATTATTGTATTATTTCCCTGAATATGACTTAATTTCGCATTTAGCTGGCTGTTGGTTGGCCTAGTCTGCATTGTCGTTCTGGGAACTTTCATAGATTCAAAAAGTCAATCACAAGAAAAATCATCTCTTTTCTGGATCCAACAATTTTCAGCGATCAAAAGTGTCAAAAGTCTTTTCCATAAAACGGACCCAGAATCACGAATACCAGTTCTGGATGGCATACGATTGTGGGTATTAAGTTCTGTTTTGACTATCCATGCTGTCATGTGGCACACTATTATAAATGCATCTTTTCTTATGGGTTTGTTGATTTTCATAGCTCATTTTTTAAAGGTCCCATAAGCCATTGTATTGCAGAAAGTCACTCAATCTAACTTTATCCGCATGTTGCATAAGACTGATTATTTTAATGTGACCTTTATAATTTCAGAGGACTATGAGTACTTAAAGGAATTGCCTTCAAAAATTTATTCGCAACCCTTCATTGATGACTGGATAGTAGAGGGTCTGTTTTGTCTTGGGTTAGTTTCATGTCTTAATTTTAATCGCAATTGCTTGTTGACAAAAGTAACATCTTGTCTTATTGTACTCTTTTCAATGTTTTCAGTGGTGTGAATGCAGCGACGACTTTGTTTAGGAAAATGAAACCCGAAACACCAGTTAGTGAATATTTGAAATCCATATTCCGTCGAGCTGCTCTGTAAGTTGTAAAACAATAACTTAATTCAATTTTAATCCAAATTTTCAACCTTTAATTTCATCAGAGTGGTTCCTATTTTGCTACCAGCAATAGCGATAGAAGTCATTTTACCACTTTTTGGATCTGGACCAATTTATCAATCAATTAACCAATACAGAGCAAATATTTGCGTGAATAATTTTTGGAGGACCATATTGCATATCCAGAATAACTCTCATCCATTGAAAATTGTAATTTGTTTAACAATAAGCCTTTTCTGGATTTCAGTTGATCTAACATTGTAAATGTAAATAACTCTTTTAATTGCAGTGTGCATCTTCGACTTGGTCACTTGCAGTTGAATGGCAACTCTTTGCATTGGCTTGTATTTTGGTTTACATTTATAAACGCAACTATCGTTTAGGATTAACACTCAATATCTTAACAATTATATTTGGATTATACCGAGTTATTATGATTTTCTTGAATAATAATCTCATTCTTAATATATTTGTGATTACAAAAGGTTTCAGGTGAGTATCATGGTGAACACAAACAAATCTCTTTGAAATGGTGCATCTAATGTCACATTTCGTTATTTTTAGGGATACCATGCACCGGGCTGAGCATTATTACATTTCAACTGAAGCTCGTATTTGTCATTATTTCAGCGGCATTTTAATGGCTGTCATCTTGGTCGGAAATTACGAAGCAAAGATCAAACAGGTTGGCCAATTAAATTTCAACCATAAAGAAATTGAAAGACTAAAATCTCTTTTTTTTAATAGATGTTCCCTCGTGAAAAAATATGGGTTTATCCATTATTGTTATTCACAATATTTAGTTCATCCCTTTGGAATTGTTTTGGCATGAAAATTGGAACCATCACTACAGTGATTTATATTTGTTTAAGTAAATTAACTGTCGCTTTGTGGTGCTTTTCATTCTTGCTGCATCATGGAAGAAGATTTAGATTATTTCTGGCGAAATCAAAATCGGGTGATGTGTACATTCACCCGGTAGAGCGTGATCCAGAATTTTTAACTCCTAATAAGGATACCATTGCCATATTAAATAATAATTCAGAATTGTTGGACAAAACGGAGATTAATATTAATCGAAACCATAGTTCCAAGATAGGAAAAGTTGATCCATTAGAGTTTATTGTAAGAGTAACAAGACCTGCTTTCTTTGTACACTCCGTTGTTTATGCCTGGTACTTCACAAGTTTACGATCGTCTATTCCGTCTAATTTATTTGGTTATGTAAGTTATCTTTGAGTTTTATCCGTCATTCAGTATTATTTAACTATCATGAATTAAACTTCTCTTACAGATAATCCAAATAGTTTCTTTGATAACTTTGACGATATTTTTTGGTTTCTTCTTCCATATTCTGGTAATTGGTCCGGTTGAAAGAATCAACTACATTTCATCAAAGAGAAAAATCAAAGCCAAAACCCATTCTTCGTAAGCGTTTATCGTCGATCTATTCTTTCGGTATACTCATTAAATGGTTTTAAATGAACTTTTTCTCCTAAATAATCTTTAACTTGACCAATAACGGTGTCAGCAACATCCATGTTTGCCAGAAAAGGATTACAATAAAATCACTTAAAAATATAAAAGGCACTAGAGTTTAAAAATATGACCGGTAAAACTAGAATGTGTGTGTTGACGCACAACAAATAAAAACAAACCAAGTAATTAATATTGATCACTAAACCGTAATTAAACGAATTAAAAAGATGACATGAAATAACTTCTTCCCTTTAAAGTTTAAAAGAAACAAGAAGGCATTCAGTTATTGTTTCATTTTGGCGGTAAACTGATGCTAAATAACACACTAATGTTACTCTGACATCCAACCAAAGAGTAAGCGCGAAAATAGTATCTATTTGAAAATCATTTCTTTTAAAATAAGTATTTATTACAGACATATAATATGTAAAATAACTGAAATGCTCTGTAAATCTTGCATTTACGATAGTGTCAATTCGTTACCAACGCTGTTATTCTGGTGAGCGATCTACTGACCTAGTATAATGTGTCCAAAGATCGCAACTAAGGGCGTTTCTCATGATTAAGCTTGATGAGACCTCAAAATGGTTTCGCGAGCCAATATTTAATTTAACATTATTTTATTTTCAAGATGCATATTTTTTTATATGAATCAAATTACAGATATCTAAGTAAGGATATGAAAATTTCTCCATTAGATTCAAATCAGTTTCGGAATCAAGGAGCCACCAGCAAGTCCTTGGCTTTCAGATTCGCTGCTGCAAGGGAAGGACCTTTTTGACTTCGAGCTTTTAAATTTTCGACAACCTAGGATGGGAGACTGCCGAAACATTGAGCGCTTACCAGGTCGAACAAAGAAACAAGAGTAACAAAGAAGCAGAGGGCTACAATTTTTGTCAATTGCATTTTAACTTAATCGTTTACTAATTCTATGATTGAAAACAAAATAAATCTTTGGTGAATGAATGGACCAGAAATTCAACTTCTCAATCCACTAACAAATCAATAATTCGTTTTGCATGTATGTTTGAGTGTATAATATCAATCACTCACGGCCCTATGTGGAACATGGGATTTCAATAAAGCTGGCAACATATTTTTTTAGGTCTTATGCAGTGATATCATTTTTGTTATCAATTGCTAATCAAAACACAATACCGATAGAATGCTGAACCTCTGAAGAATTTTTATATGTGCTTTAATTGGTTGCTAGTCAAGTTGTCCACGAAACATAACAGATTAAAGGTTAACCTTACTTATGTTGAATAGTGTAAATAATTTTAAGGATAAATTTTCTGGTACTTCAAAACAGGTCACTTGGGTTTTGTTAAAATCAAACCCAAAAGTAACTTATTACGCCCTTTTGAATAATTGATTCAAGAGATTTAATCAAATTGTTTACCAAAATTAACCTAAACCTCTAGGATCGCGCTGTAGTTAGCCTTGATGCGACCTAAATACTGTATTGAAATCAGGTTTGAAATCTTTTATCAACTCGCCTTAACAAAACTTTTCATTTGATCATTTCATTCAATTAGCTGAATTGACTCCAGGCGATTTACTTGCATCAACAGTAATGTTAAAGTTAATTAATGTACTCAAGTTAAATAACAAATGAAGCCATTGGATTTAACGTACACGAGTCAGAAATACTAATACGGAAACTCAAACATCCCTCAAGGCTGAAGACACCATTGAAAATTGAACTATATTTTGTTGGACAGATTAAAAATTATTGCGCTTTTTAATCGAATCCACGGAATTTTTCCTTCAATTTTCAAATAACTCAATGAAATTAAAAATCATTTCTTATTTACATGTAATTTTACATTCGTTTTACCTTTCATTTAATTTTTTTTATCATTACAAATTAAATTTACTGCGTTTCGAGTGCGTCTTTTGATCAAATCCTTTGATTTACTCTTTGGTAACAACAAGACGAGCAAATCACTTCTTTTGCATTTACATTTTAATTTAACTATTATTTTTTTAATCAAACCCGGTTGTATCATTAATAATCAACAATACAATTGTCTTTAATCAACTTTCCCTAAGGTTGATCAGAAGGAAACAACTTTATAATCAACTGAAGTTTCAACTAATTATGAAAATTTGCAAAATTTTATCTCTCTTTTTGATTCTTTGTGGCAACATCATTCCAAGAGTTTTAAGTGAAAATTCAACCAATAAATATGTAAATTCAACTTTAATAGATAGACAAATTCATCTTATAACTTCAGGATTTTCTAGTGTATTTTGGAATTATATAATCAATTCAGATAATTCGTTGGATAATGTTTCAAACCAATGTTCATCTCATTTGAATAAGCTCATTGAATCATCATTTAAAGGTCAACCCTCGGCATTCAAATGTAAGTAGCGAAATGTTTCTTTAGCATTGGAAATTTTGGTTTGGGACTTACTAAAAGACCAAAAAGGGCCAAAATATCCATTTTCAAAATAAATATGCTCATCACAAAAAATAATCAAATATCTGTTTCACTTAAATATTCAGCTATAAAAGTTTGAGCCAAAATAGCGCAATCAACTGAGCTATGAATTTTCTCGATTAACACTGATTTTTATAGTGAGGAATTGAATTAGCATAGTTAATAAAATCTGATGTGCTTAAATTAGCGTCATAAAACTTTGAAATATCATTGCTGTATGTTCAAATTTTATCTTGAAAATGGATATTTTGGCCATTTAGTGGTTTCTCTGGTTCTTGGCTTTTTTTGGCCATTCCTAACCAATTTTGGTCATTTTCGGGTTTTAGTGAGTCCCTTTCTAAATTGCTTAAACTGAGGCAATTTCTTGTAACATGATTCACTTCTGAGCAAATATTGTTAAGATCATTTGTTTTAAACGTCAAATCAGCAAATAACGCTTTTTTTGTATTCAGATTGATGGTTTATTGTTGGGTTAGGAGTATATGTAAAACTGTCTTTCGAGCAAAGAGTAAGTTAAATATCTGATGCTTCACCTGTGCAACTCTCAAAATTAACAAAATTTTTTTAGTTTTTCTCATTGACAATGATTTTTCATCAACCATTCGAGTCTTTAAATGTGGATTGAATTTATCGGATTCAGTGAAAAGAAATTTACTGGGGGCTCAGCTTGTTATTAATGAAAATACAATTGGTCAAAGAACAAAACATCATTAAAACTTCATTCGATTGCAAAGTCCTCATGAAATCAACTAATAGCATTTTGGTGTTAATCAGCTAGTCTTCCTTGTTGTTTAGCCTTCATCATTGAATAAATTCGTACACAATTATGTTGGTTATTATACTGAAAACAATAATATCATTTCATTGATAGAATGCAATCAAATCGCCATTTTCAATTAATAAATTAACCAATTTTTTCTAGTTTTGTCGTTATCTGGATCTCAACCCAATAACTTTCTCGATGGAAACTATGCCGCTTTTGGTTCTTATGATACATGTCTCAGCTTTTCAGCATTTTATGATAACAAAGATGATCGAACAAGTGACCAAAATGCTAAAGGACAATATTGTTTAACATCGTTTGAACCTGATTTGTCCATAAATGGTCAAATCCTTGGTCAACTATATCCTCACTATTTTGATTCAAAATACAATTTTACAATTAAAGTTGGTTTTTGTGTTCCTTCAGTTTGTTCACAAAATGATGTTCAACAAATAATAACTCAAGGTATTCCGAGACAAAAGTTATTAAACAATTTTCGTTAGGTCAGCATTTACTTAAAGACTTTACTATCTTAATGTTTGTTCATTACTTTTACTTGAATAGCTTTTCATGATTATTCATGGAGATTAGTTGATGTCCATTCCTGCGATGTTAAAACCAATTTTCTTGAAAGACTAATGTCAGCAAGTCAAGTACAACAAATTTTATTGTAAGTACTAATGGCATTTAAATGAACATAAAGATCAATTATTGTATTATTTCACTGAATATGACTTAATTTTGCATTTAGCTGGCTGTTGGTTGGTCTAGTCTGTATTGTCGTACTGGGAACTTGCATAGATGCAAAAAACCAAGCCCAGGAAAAATCATCTCTTTTCTGGATCCAACAATTTTCAGCGATCAAAAGTGTCAAAAGTCTTTTCCATAAAACGGACCCAGAATCACGAATACCAGTTCTGGATGGCATACGATTGTGGGTATTAAGTTCTGTTTTGACTATCCATGCTGTCATGTGGCACACTATTATAAATGCATCTTTTCTTATGGGTTTGTTGATTTTCATAGCTCATTTTGCAAAGCTCCCATAAGCCATTGTATTGCAGAAAGTCATTCAATCTAACTTAATCCAAACAATTAACTTATCCTTATTCAACGACTTAATATTTTAATGTGACCTTTATAATTTCAGAGGACTATGAGTACTTGAAGGAATTGCCTTCAAAAATTTATTCGCAACCCTTCATTGATGACTGGATAGTAGAGGGTCTATTTTTTCTTGGGTTAGTTTTATGTCTTAATTTTAATCGCAATTGCTTGTTGACAAAAATAACATCTTGTCGAATTGTACTCTTTTCAATGTTTTCAGTGGTGTGAATGCAGCGACGACTCTGTTTAGGAAAATGAAACCCGAAACACCAGTTAGTGAATATTTGAAATCCATATTCCGTCGAGCTGCTCTGTAAGTTGTAAAACAATAACTTAATTCAATTTTAATCAAAATTTTCAACCTTTAATTTAATCAGATTGGTTCCTATTTTGCTCCCAGCAATGGCAATAGAAGTCATTTTACCACTTTTTGGATCTGGACCAATTTATCAATCAATTAACCAATACAGAGCAAATATTTGCGTGAATAATTTTTGGAGGACCATATTGCATATCCAGAATAACTCTCATCCATTACAAATTGTAATTTGTTTAACAATAAGCCTTTTCTGGATTTGATCTAACATTGTAAATGTAAATAACTCTTTTAATTGCAGTGTGCATCTTCGACTTGGTCACTTGCAGTTGAATGGCAACTCTTTGCATTGGCTTGTATTTTGGTTTACATTTATAAACGCAACTATCGTTTAGGACTAACACTCAATATCTTAACAGTTATATTTGGATTATACCGAGTTATTATGATTTTCTTGAATAATAATCTCATTGTTAATATATTTGTGATTACAAAAGGTTTCAGGTGAGTATTATGAGTAATCTCTTTGAAATGGCGCATCTAAGGTGACATTTTGTTATTTTTAGGGATACCATGCACCGGGCTGAGCATTATTACATTTCAACTGAAGCTCGTATTTGTTATTATTTCTGTGGCATTTTAATGGTTGTCATCTTGGCTGGTAATTACGAAGCTAAGATCAAACAGGTTGGTTAATTAAATTTCAACCAAATCGAAAGACTAAAATTTCTTTTTCTTTATTAAGATGTTCCCTAATGACAAAATATGGGTTTATGCGTTATTGCTATTCACATTATTAAGTTCATCCCTTTGGAATTGTTTTGGCATGAAAATTGGAACCATCACTACAGTGATTTATATTTGTTTAAGTAAATTTACTGTCGCTTTGTGGTGCTTTTCATTCTTGCTGCATCATGGAAGAAGATTTAGATTATTTCTGGCGCAATCAAAATCGATTGATATGTACATTTACCCGGAAGAGCGTGATCCACAATTTTCAACTCCTAATAAGGATACCATTGCCATATTAAATAATAACTCAGAATTGTTGGACAAAACGGAGATTAATCGAAACCATAGTTCTAAGATAAGAAAAGTTGACCCATTAGAGTTTATTGTAAGAGTAACAAGACCTGCTTTCTTTGTACACTCCGTTGTTTATGCCTGGTACTTCACAAGTTTACGATCGTCTATTCCGTCTAATTTATTTGGTTATGTAAGTTATCTTTGAGTTTTATCCGTCATTCAGTATTATTTAACTATCATGAATTCAACTTCTCTTACAGGTCATCCAAATAGTTTCTTTGATAACTTTGACGATATTTTTTGGTTTCTTCTTCCATATTCTGGTAATTGGTCCCGTTGAAAGAATCAACTACATTTCATCAAAGAGAAAAATTAAAGCCAAAACCCATTCTTCGTAAGCGTTTATCGTCGATCTAGTATTTATTGTAATGGTGACTTTTAAACTGACTTTAGTTTGTTTGTTTGTTATAATTACAATTGTTTCTATCAATTTCTTAATCACGTTCAATTCTTGGTAAAACAGATTCAACTCAATCCAAACTTGTAGATTGTTATATTGAGTAGTCTTAGCTAAGATTGCTCAGGTCTTTGAGACACAAGGTTGATAAAATTTCGTACAATGATCTTTGAATCGGAATGATGAAGATGATGATACTGATTGTATACTAATAGTGTGAATAAGCTAATTTATTTCAAGGTACTCTCATTTCCTGCATGTACCCTTGATGCGGCCTTAAGTTTGTATTAAAGTCAGGTTTTCAATCAGATTACCTTAACGAACCTTCATTTGCATCTTTATTTGATTAAATGCTCAATTTAACTCAAGGCGATTTACTCGTCTTAACGGTGATTTTCAGATCGATTAATGCTCATAAGTTAGATATCATCGGATTCGGTGAACATAAGAAAAGATTAAAACAAATGCTAATGCGGAATGGAACAACATCCCTGAAGGTTTATTAAACCATTGACAAACGGACTCTAAATCATTTCGTTGGACATCTGATAATTTCGTTAATTGCGTTTTTCAATCAAATCCACCAATTTCCTTTTTAATAAATCAATGAAAAAACCCTTCTCATTTGCATCCCATTATGTATTCATTTCAACTCTTTTTATCAGTAATAATAAACACTTCCAATCGTTCAATCTATTCGACTTTTAAATATATTCATTAACCTAAGTCCTTACATATATCACTGTGACTTAATTTGACAAATCAAACTTGTATAGCAATTAAATTCATTTAAAATTTTCTTATTTCAAGTGATTAATTTCAAGTAGCTCAAAGCGATTTACTCGCATTAACAGTGAATCTCAAAATTAATTTTTGATCCCAAGTTAAATGACAGAAAAAAGTTACAGAGTTCAGAGTAGATGAGAAAGGAATCGAAAGAGTATTCTTGATATTGTTATTCTTGATTGATAATAGGTTTTATTGATTACGGAAAGAGGCTGCATAACATGTTTGTGTAAAAATTTGCAGGATATAACATGCACCATCTTCAAGGTTGATTACATCAATGAATAATGAAAATTAACGCTTTTCGATGAGCACCGGTCAATAAACAACTATTGCTTGTTGCGCATTACTTTCATCAAATTCACCAATTTTCCTTGTCACAGCACTGGAACAGGGTTCCATCTAAAAGAGGACAGTTTTCACTTCAACTGAGGGCTATAAAACAATAAAAAAGGTGCGAGTCGGTGTCGTAATTAAGATAAAAGCTGGATTCTTGGGAATGGAAAATTTTTAACTTATTAGATGTAGTTTTGCATTCTGATTTGAATTTAAACTTCCTTTAAACCCTTATGAATCAGCAGCAATGAACAATTCAACAATTTTCTTTATTCTCTAGGCTTGAACAGAACTCTATTATTGACTATTTGTTATTATAAACCTCAGTGCCAATTAATTATGAAAATTTGCAAAATTTTATCTCTTTTTTCGATTCTTTGTGGCAACATCATTCCAAGAGTTTTTAGTGAAAATTTAACAGATAAATATGTAAATTCAACTTTAATTGATAGACAAATTCATCTTATAACTTCAGGATTTTCTAGTGTATTTTGGAATTATATAATCAATTCAAATAATTCGTTGGATAATGTTTCAAACCAATGTTCATCTCATTTGAATAAGCTCATTGAATCATCATTTAAAGGTCAACCCTCGGCATTCAAATGTAAGTAGCGAAATGTTTCTTTAACATCGGAAATTTTGGTTCAGTTTCCTGGATACTTTTAAGTATTTGCATTTGAAATCAATTTATTGTATTGATTATATTTCCATATTTTAGTATTGCCTTTCTAAATCATTTCGGTAACTAGCATTCCGATGATGATCAAGCAATTTTCTGTTGGTTCAGTCAGAGTCTTGAGATACTTTGGTTCGTCAGCTATTACCGTCATTATTGTATTGAAACACAATTAGTTTTAAGTAAACGTTTTTTTTCTAGTTTTATCGTTATCTGGATCTCGACCCAACAGCTTTCTCGATGGAAACTATGCCGCTTTTGGTTCTTATGATACATGTCTCAGCTTTTCAGCATTTTATGATAACAAAGATGATCGAACAGATGACCAAAATGCTAAAGGACAATATTGTTTAACATCATTTGAACCTGATTTGTCCATAAATGGTCAAATCCTTGGTCAACTATATCCTCACTATTTTGATTCAAAATACAATTTTACAATTAAAGTTGGTTTTTGTGTTCCTTCAGTTTGTTCACAAAATGATGTTCAACAAATAATAACTCAAGGTATTCCGAGACAAAAGTTATTAAACAATTTCCTTTTGGTCAGCATTTACTTAATGACTTTAATATCTTAATGTTTGTTCATTACTTTTACTTGAATAGCTTTTAATGATTATTCATGGAGATTAGTTGATGTCCATTCCTGTGATGTTAAAACCAATTTTATTGAAAGACTAATGTCAGCAAGTCAAGTGCAACAAATTTTATTGTAAGTATTAGGTTGCTGCTGTAAAGATACAATTAACAGATTTGGACAAGAATGTATAAACTTGCTTAAACAAATGGCCGGAAATGGGCAAAAATCAATTCCTTTCAAATTTAGACTCGATCGGTTTGTAGAGACATAGAAGCTGAATCCATTCGTGCAATTTAAAAGTTTTTCTGGTCGACAGTTTGCGAGAAAATCGAGGTCAAGGTTGAAACTTCGTTAGCCTTTTGTACCATTATGAGAGCAGATTTTTTCATACAACTTTTTGTCATGATGTCACTTTTGGTTATTAACCTGAAACTGAACTCATTTTGTGATAAAAACTTTTCTGTTTTCTGTAAAACAGATCACTTCGATTTTCAGTTAAATCGACCGATTCCTGTGACTGTGATAGTTAGCGAGCTTAAATTCAATATTCATACATAAAACTTACTGTTACACATCATGGGTTGCTTATTTTTTGCAATTCATCAACGATTCTCTTGATTTTGGCCATCGGTCTGAAAATTTCGAACCAAAATATTTCGAGAATGACATCATCTAAGATCACCATTCTTCCAGTAAACATTTGATTTCATTACTGGCTTTAATATAATATGATTGAATGCTGAATAAAATCTGATCTAATTCAATTAATAATGCATTTTATTCTCACACTTAAGATTTTAGCTGAAGTAGCCATTTAATTTTTAAACAGAAACACAAATCTGTCAACCCAAGTTATAAAATGATCTAACCTTTTTTGCAGGATCTTGACTAATTTCAAAATTCAACATGTTATAGCCCATAATGAAAGTTAAAGTTTGACGGAAGAATAGTGATTTCAGGTTATGTCCTTATCGAAATATCGAGGCTCAAACTTTTTAGGTTAATAGCCAAAAACAAGAGAACTGTCATTTCATTGGAAAAAGTATTTTATTTTTGATGTGTGGCATCAATTTTTATCCAAGAATAATAAGTTTCAGCTCTCTAACTTTTTAGGCCACAGAAATCGGTCAGTTTAATTGAAAATCGAACTCATCTATTTGTTCAGAACTAGAAAATTTTATTTCGCAAAATAAGTTCGTTTTCTAGTTGGCAATCAAAAGTTACATGAGAGAAATAAGTTTCATGAAAAAATCTACTTCCATAATTGTGCAAAAGGCCACCGAAGTTTCAAATTTGACCTCGATTTTCTCTAAAACTGTTTATCGGATGACTTATTTAATAGTACCAATGGACACAGCATTCATGTCCCTTCAAATCCCATTAAGTCTAAACTCTCAACTCAAATGTTCGAGCCTTTGGCATCACTCTTTGCATTTCATTTACAAGTTTAACCAGAAAGTTGGTTTATTTACCAAGAAACTGGTTGAGATGTGTTTTGTCTGTTTAATAAGTTGTTTTTCGTATATTTACCAGCCAAAAATCATGACCAAAATGCTCTTATGAAAAGTTTTATGGCTGTATTGAATTATTAATTAGTAAAGGATTAAATTGGTGAAAGAATGACGCTCGTAAGTGATGTCATTCTCGAAGTATCGAGGCGCAAAGTTTTAAAGCAATGGCCGTTTTTCAAGAGAATTGTCAATGAATTGGGAAAAACGTTCAATCCATCATGAGTACCAACAAGTTTCATGGACGAAGAATAAGTTTCAGCTCTCTTTATCTTTCGGTTACACAGAACGGAAGGTTTTACTGAAAATCGAACTTATCTATTTGTTCAGAAACAGAAAATTTTATCTAGCAAAATTAGTTCATTTTCTTGTTGATCAACAAAAGTTACATCAGCGAAATGCATATCATGAAAATATCTGCTTCCATAGTTGAGAAAAAGGCGCTTGAAGTTTCAACTTTGGACTCGATTTAAACGAGAACTGATGATCAGGGAAACTTTTAAATCGCACAAATGGACTCAGTTTTTATTTGCCTACAAACCAACAGAGTCTAATTTTGTAATTTAGCCAATTTTAACCCGTTTTTCGCGTCAATTTGCGTAAGTTTGTTGCAATTTGTGCATAAATGTGTTAGAAGCTTCTTTTTAGCAACAAACAAACAAAATAGTTTAAACATAACTTACAATTTCTTTTGCAATTCGATTAATTTCTCTCAATATGTTAACCATTCGTGTTTGATAATCAACAAAACTTAAACTAGGGTCAATGAGATCACCACTGAACGAATATCTTTCATCTAATCGACCATTTGTGTAAATGCACAAATGCACAATTTATGCATAAATGTGATGTTTCGGTTAATTGTGTCTTTTTAGTAACAACCTAAGTATTAATGGTATTGAATGAACATAATGATTAGTTATTGTATTATAATGAATGTAATTTAATTTCTCCTTTAGCTGGCTGTTGGTCGGTCTAGTTTGCATTGTCGTTCTGGGAACTTTCATGGATTTAAAAAACCAATCACAAGAAAAATCGTCTCTTTTCTGGATCCACCACTTTTCAGCGATCAAAAGTATCAAAAGTCTTTTCCGTAAAACAGATCCAGAATTGCGAATGCCCGTTCTGGATGCTGTAAGGTTGCTTGCTTTTTCTATCGTTCTCACTTCTCATGCTATGATGTGGCACGTTATTATAAACACAGGATTTCTCGTAGGTTTGTTGATTTTCATAGCTATCTCTACTAAAGCTCCAATAATAAGTTATTGTATCAAGCCTCAAGTCAGTTGTCAGTCCAACTATTGACTTATAAAATATACTTTTCTTGGTTAATCCAATTACTTCCATAACCATCTAACATTGGTACCTGCAAGTTCCCATTGTATGACTTCAACAAATGAATATTTTCAACGGTCTTCTTTATAATTTCAGAGGACTATGAGTACGTAAAGACATTACCTTCAAAACTTTACATGCAACCTATTATTGATGACTGGATAACAGAAGGCCTTTTTTACCTTGGGTTAGTTTTATGTCTTAATTTTAATCGCAATTGCTTATTGTTTCAAAATTGCCAACTCGTTTCACTCTTTTACTTTCTACTGTTTTCAGTGGTGTGAGTGCAGCGTTGAGTCTGTTTAGGAAAATGAAACCCGAAACACCAGTTAGTGAATATTTGAAATTCATATTCCGTCGAGCTGCCTTGTAAGTTGTAAATTAATAACTTAATTCAATTTTAATCAAAATTTTCAACCTTTAATTTCATCAGATTGGTTCCTATTTTGCTCCCAGCAATGGCGATAGAAGTCATTTTACCACTTTTTGGATCTGGACCAATTTATCAATCAATTAACCAATACAGATCAAATATTTGCGTGAATAATTTTTGGAGGACCATATTGCATATCCAGAATAACTCTAATCCGTTACAAATTGTAATTTGTTTAACATTTAGTTTCTTTAGAAGTTCATTTGATCCAAATTCAAATATCTTTTTTATTCCAGTGTGCATCTTCGACTTGGTCAATTGCCGTTGAATGGCAACTCTTTGCATTGGCTTGTATTTTGGTTTACATCTATAAACGCAACTATCGTCTAGGATTAACACTCAATGTCTTAACAATTGTATTAGGATTATATCGTGTTATACTGATTTTCTTGAATAGGAATATCATGCCACTTATTGTTATGACTTCAAAAGGTTTGAGGTGAGTACAATGGTGGTCAGCAGCAACTGTTGAAAACAAATCTCTTTGAAATAAAAGTGTCAGGGATAATGCTAATGTACAACTTTGATATTTTCAAGTGACATCTTACACCGGGCAGAGAATTATTACGCTACAACTGAAGCTCATATATGGAGTTATTTTGGGGGAATTTTATTCATTGTCCTCTTGGCTGGTAATTACGAAGCAAAGATCAAACAGGTTGGCAAACATGAAATTTTAACCATGAAGAAATCTAAATAATTATTTCTTTTCTCATTGATAGATGTTCCCTCATGATAAAATATGGGTTTACTCCTTATGTGTATTCCTAACCTTCATTAAATCTGTTTGGAATTGTTTCGGTATGCAAATTGAGCCAGTAACTACAGTAATCTATATCCTTTTCAATAAATTTGTTGCCGCGTTGTGGTGCGTGTCAACCTTACTGCACCATGGAAGAGAAGTCAGACGATTACTTGCTCAATCAAAATCGATCGATATGTACATTCATCCAGAAGAGTGTGATTCCGGACTTCGCACTCCCAATAAAGATACAATCGCTAAAACAAAGAATTCAGAACTACTGAAAACGGAGACTCCAAATGATAATCGAAATCATCCTTCCAAAATAGGGAAAGTTGATCCATTAGAGGTTATTATAAGAGTATTAAGACCTGCTTTTTTTGTACACTCCGTTGTTTATGCCTGGTACTTCACAAGTTTACGATCGTCCATTCCATCTAATTTATTTGGTTATGTAAGTTATCTTTGAGTTTTATCCGTCATTCAGTAATATTTAACTATCATGAATTCAACTTCTCTTACAGATGGCCCAAATAGTTTGTTTAGTATCTTTGACAACATTTTTTGGTTTAATCTTCCATATTCTGGTAATTGGTCCTGTTGGAAGAATCAACTACATTTCATCAAAGAGAAAAATCAAAGCCAAAACCCATTCTTCGTAGGAGTTTATCGTCTTGTCTTCCGATATAATCCTTAAATGACGTGAAAATATTTCAACCCTTTTTTACTGACCTTAGTCAACAATCTTAGTCTTAATCTCATAAAAATATAACAATGTAATAGGTTATCTAATATTTTAAGCATGCACACTGTAGTGTGAAGGATTTATTCGAATAATTTTGAATAAAGCAAGATTTGTCGGTAAATTATTTACAAAAACGATTATGAATTTAAATTAAATATGATTGAGGGTTATGATTTAAGATCGATGATTATAGTGAAAAACATCATAAGGTTGTGAAATGAAAATCCATAAAAGTACGAATTCAGTCCATTGTTGAAAAATATTGGAAAATCAGTCATTAGTGTGTCTACCAAGGGATAATCAACTTATCAACTGTGCACCATCTGTTTGAATATCTGAGTTTATTGAAAATCGTACATTAGAAGACTTCGATACCTAAAAATTGAGGAAGAAATCAATTTATTAACCAAAATGAAAATAAAATTTGCAACAAATAAACAAACCTCCGTATCAACCCCATCCTCATGATGATTTATAGACACTGAGTCAACTTTTTTCGTGTCATACCATGTAGATTTAGTGAGATCTAACCATATCAATATGAAGAATGGATAAAATAACAAGCCAGCTGCAATTTGATAAACCAATCCTGGAAACGAACCGATGGTTGCATTGAAAACATTTGAATAAAATAAGCTGGAAATAGCGGGTGCACATGATTCAATGGCTGAGAGGAGCGAATAAACCTGTCCTATTTCATCAAAATTTATCATTCGTGCGATCAAAGATCTGACGGAAATAGGAGTGAGTCCACCAAAAATACCACAGACACTGGCAACAAAATAACCAACTGGAGTTAACCAGCCCCCTTTAATAATCATTGACGACAATAAGGAAAGACAGCCAAGGATTCCCAAACCAGTATCGCTAAAACCAAATTTGCGAATCAAAATGGGTGACAACAAAGATGTTCCAATTGAGGGGATAATGATTAAAATGGATGAAATATTTGAATAATATTTGGCATCCCAATGGTAAACTTTTTGAGCGAATGGAAATCCAATAGCTACATCACCCATATAAGCTAGCAATATAACAGCACTTATGATTAAGCTGTGCCATATACGAACACGAAATCCATTTTCTCTCTTCTTGGTGCATGTGTTAATCATACTTTTGACATTAGCAAAATTGAAAATGTCCTTAAAAGTGTAAGTAAAATTGCCAAAGCATCCTTTGGAAACGGGTTGTTTAATCATAGAGTCAGGGGCATCAAAGCCATCATCTACGGTATCACGCGATTCTTGATCATCTATCAAACTATTGGAATCAGTTGTTGTATTATTTTTCGTCTCTTGACGTGAATCGGCATCGTTAACGAATATAAGAACCCAGATTAAAGCAAAGGTGCTGCAAACTGCTGATACGATAAAGACCGCAATGTAATTCCTTGGCTGCTTATCGAACCACGGTGGAGTTGTAAGGAGAAAACCACCCAAATAGATTGATATAGGCGTTGCTATGAAAATCAGAGAAATAAGAAAAATGCGATTAGAGAAATCTGATTAAATTCTGGTTCATGATTTGATACAATTGGAAAAGTGAGATTAGCAGAAAATTTTGGAAATCTTACACTCTGAGGTTGTTTCAATTACTAATACTAGCATAATATGGATAAGTCAAGTCATTAACCTACAGTTCTTGTACATATCATTAATTTAGGAATAGATATTAAAGATTGTGGAAAAATAATAACAGGAACTTCACTCTGATGTCACTTGATTTGGAAGCTAAAATGATAACTTTGAGTGGTATGTGCCTCTAACTAACTATGACAAATGTAGAACAGATCAATTAACTCAATGGAAATGTAATTATGAAAATTACCAATGAAGGAGAAAAATTCAAGAATTGCAAAGCGCAGAGCTCGAAATTTAGCCGGTGTCTTTCTGGTTATATAAGTGTAGACTCCAGTATAGATGGTAGCAAATCCACCAGCAAATCCTCTTAAAACATCCGCGGAAAGAAGTTGCATGTAATCTGTAATCATGAAAAAGAAATAAAAAATTTGTCACAGTTCATGTGATTGAATAAATGTTACAATACTAAACGCCATCAATATAAACATAAATGTTTAAAAGCAACCAGGATGATGATTATTTAATAGAGTAATTAAGGAGTGTTATTTTCTGGGATAGCACAATTTATCAAAAATTACATAATGGTAGATATGAAATGTCGATCTAGTTTGATTTTTGCACTGACGCTTTATCAAAAAGGTATTTTTTTGCATTAAAAGCAATAACTTTGTGGCTTACTAATTTTTCATGGCTCATAAAGATAAAAACAAGGAAATCTCAAAATATGTCTAAGCATCGAAGTACAACTCCGGAAATGTCAAACTATAATAGATAGCAACAAAATCGTCAAAGAAATAAATCCTCGCTAAATAAGGAAACGCAAAAAAGGTGGCATTTTATGAAGGAATAAGCCTAATGTTACGATATGAATCACTTTTTCCATTTCTCGTTTTGTGGCTCGTGATGAGCACTAATCTAAACATTTTCTAGCACAATTGGTTAACAGGGCGATTGTAGATCTAAAAGCTAATTTTGGAATATTCAGATTTACCTGTTTCAAAATAGAAACAATTGTAGATAATGACAAAAGCTCCTAAGGTTCCACCAAAGGCAGGAGCAGCTAGGATATACTTCAGATGACTTGGGTAGTTGTCAATCCAGTATCCGATGAATAAAGACAAAAAAATTCCAGGTGTAGTGAAGATCAGGGTTTGGTAATTTTTGAAAGCAGCAGCCTTTGAGAAGATGTAATTTTTGTTTGTTTCATGGGAATTATCAGTATGTTCCAGATTCATACAAATTGATTTATCAAGTTTCAATTGATTAAGGCACACTTTATCCTCGACGAGTTGATTCAAACTTACTCCACTGATAGAAAAAGAGATGAAAAAGAGCATCATGTAAATGTCGATTCGGAGAAGTTTAATCAATTCAAGTCGTTCCTTCCAAGTTAGACCCATGACGATTCACAAATAGTAAAACAAAAAAAATTGTTTAAAAAAGAATTGTTAAAAATGAAAAGTTATAATACAAGAGATTACAAAAATAGAGATCTATGAAAAAAAGCAAATCATAACATGATGCACATTAAGTCAGGAATGAACGTTTCAACCTAGGTTTCAAACACAATTTAACCGAAACACTATTAAAATAAAGAGGCAAAAATTCACAGCGATAAAATGCTCGCATTGCAGGAATGATATATCACAATGAATGATTAATCTACACCAATAAACTTTTTCTTTCTCAGATGGAAATGTTTATGGTTTGTTTTGGTTTATCCCCTCATCCCCTCAGTACAGAGTGAAAACTAACAGATGGCGACACAGAAAATTCAACTTGAAAGCCTGAAAATTTGGTTTCTTTTGGCAAATTCACGATTTACAGGGAAATTGGGAAATTATCAGAGATTTTGAATTTAATCCTTTCATTTAACGCTCTATTTATCCAAACAAAGTCAACTTGTAAAAACACAAAATATGGCTTAAACTGACTCCAAACAATAAGAATGTAATCAAAGATTTTAAATCAAAAGCTCGCTCAATATTGATTAGACGATTTAAACAGACTTAAGCTTAATAATTTCTCAAAATTTCTTGGTTATTTGCTTATTGAGTACATCTGAACTGAATCATCTTGTATCGAAACCTATAGGAAAATGACTTGTGAACTTTGCAGATCAGTCCGTAAAGATTGTTTGAAAATTGATAAGAGTTAATATTTACATTGGGAATTAGCATTCAAATTGAAATTGGTGTAAAATTTCATTTTATTTATTAATAAGGATTGAAGTTTACTGGGGACCGGCTTTTTTCCACCATATTCACCATTTTTCAAAGGAATGGTTGGATTGAATAGATTAATCTATGAATATTTCTGGGAATCCACTTTCCAATTGAGTGATTAATTGATTAGTTCAAGCTTTGGTAATTTTGAAGCACAGTTTATTCAAAATTCACCTCATATTCAAATTAAAGTGAAAACTAGTTTCCATTGTCAAAATATGCAGAAAATCTTCTCTGTATTTCAGACTTTCACTGAATGATTTTCACATGTTTAACACAATAAAATCCAAGTTCAAAACCAGGACAATAATCATGATTAATCAGTTTCTGTTCAGGAAAAAATTAAGTTCAAACCAATATCACTGGAAATATTTGATATTCACTCATTTATATGTTGCTTATCAATGAAATATTTCATATTAAAGTAAAAGACTGTAAACCTAAAATTTCAAACACCAATATATGAATAGGATCTTCAGCTTTTAAACTTCAGTCTTCAGTAAGGGTTTAGGCTAAACCTAACCACTTAATGAAACATGATGACCGGGGTTATGAATTTATTGATTAAACTCACCCCAAACCAACTGAGGAGTAACGACCCTCTTTTGGCCTCTGCAAATTGTCTGATCAAGTCGTTAACATATCCTAAACTGTAAAGTCTAGGGCAAACCTTAATATAACATCAACAAATACCTAGCTCCTTGTTACCTGAGTCACCATTAGGTTTGCGTCAAACCAAAATATTAGATAACTGATTGGTAATTTAGGCACATTTAATCTTGAATTATATTTAATTAATCAGCCACATGCTATTTGATAATCATTATTTCAATGTCGTTTACTAAGATTACTGAGTTTTTTAGTAGTAACCTAAAAAAAATCCACTGAAAAAAATTACCTCAATGGATTATTTTTATTTAAATCAAATCGATGAATCTGGTTAGCTGGCGTTTTTATTATTCATGATAAGCAAATCGTATCCTAGATAGTTTATTTGATGGTCGTAGATAGGATTTTGTTTAATCGCTACTCATTTAAAGCATAAAGCCAGGAAGAGAGATTCCAGAATAATATTGATAATTCCAAGGCAAACGATAAATTTTTATCGACTTCAATAGCAATTAAATATCATTTTGATTTAAGCGAGAAAAGATTATCCAAGTCTTTCTGGTAACTTACCCAAAAGATAATCAAAGATATACTTTAAAATCTGGTTAGCAGTGAGATAAGATAAGCCTAACCAGATTTGGGTAAAGCAGTTTTAAAATAGTCAAAATAGTCGACAATCTCTACTTTCATTGAATAGCAGCAGCGAAAATTATTTAGCACCAAATCGTTTCGTGCAATTCAAACCAAGCCCAGGTTGATAAATAAGATGAAATTGATCTACGAAATAAACCAGAAAAAAAATTGAAAGCCTTAACCAGGTTGGATTGAATTGATTCCCAGTTGTATTTAGGAGTTAATTTCATAATTGTTTCTTCATAGAGAACGATTAACAGTCGATAATCCTAAATTGGTCGCTAAAAAAGTCATTTTCACTTAATAAATGACGATAATCAACAAAATCAAAACAAAACAATTTAGTTAACTTGAAAAAAATTATTTTTTGTCAACTCAAGGATTGGTGTGAGTTTTAGCATGTTTCACTTAAGGGAAGGTTGTTATACAACCGTTGAAAATGGAAGCTCGATTTTAAAGGAAATTAACTTTCAATTTAACACTTTTATTGTTTAATTAAGTCTAAATTTTCTCACCATAACTCGTGTAAATGTCCAATCGAAGCATCTTATCTTTAATCATAATTTGTCCTCTAATAATAACATCAAAAATATACTATTTGATTGTGATTTACACTAAAATACGAGCAAATTGGTTATGTAAATAAATGCAACTGTGAATGTGAACCAATCTTTTGATTATTATGATAATAATTATAAGTAGAAGTTAAACGAAAGTTTAATTAAAGATGAATTTAATTGTATGCAATTAGTTTGATCATCATAATGTGTTACCATTTGTAACCTAAGCTTACATGAAAACAACTTGATTTCACAAATAATTAACAGCAAACAACGATTAATGACCTCTTATTTATTAACTAAAATAGCATAAATTTTTGATATCAATTTAATTTACAAAATACACTTAAATCCAGTAAAATAGACAAAATATTCACTTAAATGATGATTCAATTGCAAAGTCAACCGTTTTTGGCCTGCATTTCGCATAACTTAAACATTACGCTCCAGCTTACATTTAGTTGAATTTAATTTACGATTAAAATACGATACAGAAAGTTGTATCACAATTGACAGTGATCAAGACGATCATTAAATTATGTTTTGTGAAGGTGCAAAGGTGTCAACTAAATGTATTTGATGACTTGTGAGATGAGACAAATTGTGATCGCGTTGATTGAAAATGATTGATAATAAGGTCTTATTAACCTGTAAATATTCAAAATTAAATTGTGACTAAAATAGTGTATGAAAAAAGCGTTTAATTTTATGTTGAATGTTTGCTGTTAATCCAAGCAAACTGAACCAGAATAGCCAGAAACTCATCTTAACCCATTCTCCAAGCTAAACCAGCATATAAGATTACCTTTAGCCTGGCATTTTCAACCCTCGCCATCTTATTTTGTCTTCTTCCTCCATCTTCACCTTTCGTCCCCAGTTGACGGGTCCAGTCCTTAGATGGATCGGTGACTCTGTCGGTAATACAGTCACAGTTTCACCCTTAAAGTTAAAACTTGCTCAAAGATAGAGATGAAAGTCTAATGATGATGACAAGTATCCATGAACAGGATAATTACTATGATGAGTATCTCATAAATTAAGCGATTTAACAGTAAACTTTATGGACAGTTGAATGTCCCAAGTCCACCATCAAAATTAACAAGAAATAACTGAACCTGAAATGTTTCAAAAATGACTATTTTCGCCATAAGACATGTTATGATTTTATGTTGACTAAAAGCTTGACAATCAATGAATGTTGCCAATCAAATCAAATATTTTAAATCATTGCAAATTAAATATCAACATTTGATCATAATGACATTTTAAATAATGACATTTGGTCAGTAAAAACACAAACCTTAACTGATGTTAACCTAAAAAACCAGAAAATCAGAGGTTATACCAGAATATGCTTTACAAGATATTGGGTTATCAATGGTAAGTCTTTTGAATAGAAAAGTATTTTTAGGTTATTTCCACTTTTTTGTCATTCCCATACTCTTTTAACATTACTTTGTTATAAATTGTGATTAAATATTAATTATAGCTGATTGTTGTTAAATTAAACTCCAAATTTGTTGATTACAATTAACATAATCCGCCCATAAAATCAACAAATACACTTAGCGAAGTAGAACAAGTTAATCATTTTTCTCTCTTTTCTCACTCTCTTGTTTTCATCTTGTTTGAACCCAAACCAACTCACCTGTCTTAGTTGTCTCTCGACTATCAATCTAACCACAAGGACTGCAACTCTCTTACCGTTACTTCATTCATTATACATTAATATTGCATGTTTTTGTATCCTAAATATGAAATAAAACTGTGAATTACTTCAATTAATGATTAAATTAACTCTATCCAATGTGTCCTCTATCAACTTCAATTTCACGGTGAATGGTTGTCTCTTCTAGCGTCTTTTTTTACATGGATATTTAGTGTTTGGATGAATATCTATTCAGTAATATTGTTGTAACTATTGATTCTCATTGATTTGGACTCACCGATTAATTACAATTGTGATAAACTGTTTTTTAAAGTGAATCTTCTACTCACCAAAAAGGCATCTAATTGGTGCCCAGAGACATCAATTAAACCTGACTACTCTACTAGATCATTTTTACCTCAAACTGTTGCTCGTTTAACTATCTGTTATTTATTGGTTTTAATTATGTTTCAAATTTTGATTCTTCTTTTACTCGCTCTTCTTAATTGTAAGTAATTTCGCCCATCTAAATCACTGATGATAAGGAAAAAGTATTAAGTGAAAGCTGTTTTAAAAAATAAAATTTTTGTTGGTTTTTGTGTTGATCAACTATTAGGTGGTTGATCATGTTGACCTTAGCATAGAAACAAGTTGATGTGCTATTCAATTGCAGCTTAAAGTTTTATCCATCTTAACATTGCAAACGATTAAATTCATCCTTAACTACTAATGTACAAATCAATTCAATCAAAATATCTATTAATACATGGACATGATGATCTTAGAATAGTTGTCCATGTGTTGGTGATTTTCATGGTCACTTTAAAAGCTAACCAAAGTGGATACCAAAAAGTGTTGTGAACGTTGATGGCCTATTCTGATGTATTTTTAATTTGTTTCAGTTCATAGTACATACGGACAGCACCATGCATCACATTATTATGGCAAATATCTTGGAAGTTTATCACCAAACTCGGTTCATTCCGTAAAAGGAAAAGTTTATGCAGTCAATGAAACTGCCATTTTCATCGAAGACTTTTCTTATGATGGAGCTGGGCCAGGTAAATATCTAATTAACCAATTTTCCCTTCAACCCAATTGCAATCGCCAATACAATTGTGGTTTTTTGGGTATTTATGTACCCAGAAATATGTATTAATTTATTTTACAGTTGCATGATCTAGATTTGTTTATCATGAAATGAAATGTCTTTCTTTAATAATTTTGGTTTCAATGTTTGATGAAAAATTCCAGAGAGATTGATAATTGTTGTTATCCATTTTTAGATGCATACTTTTGGGCTGGTTCTTCACCATCGCCAGATATAAATGGCTTCATCATTCCCGACTCACTTGGAAGGTTTGTTAACCTTGATTTTATTAAAAGCTTGTCGACGTTTTTCGAGGTTACCTTTAAGGCTGAATCACTTAATATTTCCGTTACCAATAACTTTCTAATCTTCTAATTTAAGACTTGGTAAACAATGGAGAACAAGTTACAAAAGAAAAATGAAACCATGACAGTGATAGAAAGGTTTAAGAAGAAATCACCATTTTGTTTGAATAAACAGTCAAAGTTGAACAGTCGAGTCACTTTGACTGTTTTTTTCCATTATTGTTAGCTTAGTGATGATTAACCGATCAACTTGACTGTCAATCAAAATTAGAGACAAAAAGTAGCCAAAAAGCGCAACAATAACCTTTTCTCAATCAAGATAAGAAAGATTTTGGCCGATGATTAGTTTATAAACAGTAACCAGCCAAATAACCCTTGCAAATGAACAAAAACCCAAAAAGAACCAGAAGAGACTCACTGGTTCAAAGCCAAGTTGCAACCAAAACAATTGAGTCTGCTTATAATTTAATTACCTTTTTCTAATTGTGATTTATGGTCAGATATGCTGTTCTTAAAGGATATTCAAATCAAAATGTGTTGCTCAATTTACCTAAAGGAAGGACCCTCCAGTCAATCCGTTGGATTTCAATTTGGTGTCGAAGTTTCACTGTAAGTTTACCTTTAATCTTCTTTTTAATCAACATTTTAACTGAACCCTTAATTTTCAGGCTGATTTTGGTCATATTAAAATTCCTGCCAACTTTGATCCTCCAAAACCTATTAACCTTGGACCCATTAAAGGTTTAGCTCATGGAGTTAGTGCTTCAGCTGTAATTATCATGGATGCTAAAACATTGTTTATTAAAAATCTTTACTATGATGGAGCAGCTCCAGGTAAATTATGCTTTCAATTGCTTGAATTCAGTGGTTAACAATCGCTAAGTTAACCTTACCACACCTTTTGATCTTTACCTGGAATAAACTTCTCTCACGAAATGTCATCAAATCGCAGCGTTTCATTAAAAGACAAACCTTATTAACCTTTTACCTTTTTGTTATTTGTTTCATTCGTTTAGATGCCTTCTTCTTGGTTGGAACTGGTAACAAGCCTCATCCACGAGGTCAAAAGGTACCAGATGAAACAAACAGGTAAATATGATAATCATTTATTGTCAGTTAATAAAATGTCCAAAAAAATTAGGCCTTTCAACCTTGAATAAACTGAATCGCAAACTAAGAATGAGTCAAGTTGCTCAACGCTGCAATTATGCTTAATTAGTTATCAAATTTTTTGCATTATTTTACTGATATCAGTTTTATCCGCTTCAATTTTTTTCGCATTACTCCACAAATATGTATTTATATATAAAAAACCTAGATTGTAGACGTTTGCGTACAATTTTGTGCCAAACTCACGCAAAAATATCACGCTTCAGTCAATATTTTGAAGGTAAAATATAAATGATAATCAACAAGAAATATCCACAAAAATTGCAAATTTTCCCGAAATTTGTTCAACTATGATTGAGTTGTATAATACCAAAATTTACTAATTTACTGATTCTACAGTCTAGAGAAACTTCATGGCTATTCTGGTGCAGACATTTGGCTGCGATTACCAAGAGGACTCACAGTTATGGACATTGATTGGTTTGGACTTTATTGTATTACCTATCGTGAAGATTTTGGCAACGTCAGGGTTCCTAAAAATTTGAATGTTCCTCCTGATTATGTGTTCCTTGAAAGCAAAGTAAGTTGATCAAACACGATGTTTAACAATTAAATTTAAATATATCTCAACAAATTGACTTGCAACAAAAACGTAGCACCTAAAATGGTATAAGAATCGTAATTTAAATTTTAATCGTATTCAAGGTCTATCGGTCAACCCTTTTGCAGTATGATTATGATTTAACAAATGAAGAAAAACTGTCCATTAAATTGTTATTTCAGTTACAATCAAATTATTGTTAAAGTTGAGCAACTTTTCAACCTAAATTGTTGGGTTTTTTTGTCAAATTATTTTGCGTGTTTCTTTACCATTTTTGTCATTCTTGTCATAAACTATTTATAATTTGATTTCTGATACTCTTTTGTAACAATTTATTAATAACCATCACTTTTTATTAATAGTCAACTATTGTTTTCCTTGATCATCAAATGAGAGCAAAACTTTCTAATTCGGTTCCTTCAAATTCACAAAAAATACCCTTTTTTGTGAAATAATGTTCACAATGTAAATACTGAGCTTTTTCATGAAATACTAATCGTTGTTGTTGATTTTTTTCCTGATAATAGGTTGAACCTTTCATGAGCTGTCTAACAATCTTTCCAGGATTGATGCAAATCAGTTGGGAAGTAAGAGATCAAGAAATATTTTTCCAACTCGAAGGCAAAGTTGGTAAGTCAATGGCTTTTAATGCAGAGCAATTACAGTAAATGGCAATGTCAAGACCCATCCTTGGTCAAGCAAAATTTGATTTAATATTGGATTGAAACTAGTCTCAATAATCAATCAATTATTATGAAATTGACTGTCAATTGTTTGATCATAATTTTGCTTTAAACTAACTTCCGATTGTGTGTTTGCTTGTTAATCATAAACAATCGAAAGGAAGCTTTGATTACTCTTTAATTCCAATCTGTCAACCTTTTTGTTGACAATTTATTAATTTTTTCACAACAGAACCTAATCAATACTTGGCCTTTGGTTTGAGTGGAAGCTCGGAGCGACCTGAAATGATTGGTGCTGATGTAGCGGTTACCTTTTATGATACGTTAACAAGCTCAGTTCAAGTTGTTGATTATACATTGAAGCATAAATCTCAGGTGAGTTTAACAAATTATATTACAACAAATAGTTTCTTAATTCAGTCAACTCCCTTCCTATTTCATTAAACAATCAATTTTTTTCTTCAAAAATTTGTGAAACATTAAAATGACAGTCCAATGACCTGAACACTTGATGTTAGTTTTTTGAAAAAACTGTTAGATTAGTATGATATAACAATTAGAAATTAAGAATATAATTGAGTTTAAGGGAAAAGATGAAATTGAAATCAGTAAACAGTTAAAGGAATAATGAATTATAATTCATCAGATACATTTTTGTTTCTCTATCATCGCCATGAAGCCAGTTAATAGTCATTTACAAGCTTAACAATTTATCTCTAACTGATCTTTTTTGTTGGTTTGGTTTTGAAAAGTTCATCCAAGCAAACCATGTGCTCAACATTTGAACCAAGTAATATTCAATATGAATTTTTGCTTTTCTGATGAAATATATAATAAATCAGGTAATAATATCATGCTTGATAGACAAAGAAAGAAAAGTAAATGAGCAATTTTGGTTGAATAATCAATTTTTTCATCATTCTTTTTCTGGTAAAATGAACAATTGTTGTTGTTGAAGTTTCACTTTTATGCCAATTCAGTGAATCTTTTGTTCAAATTAACAATAACCAAAAATTTACATTTTTTCCGGTTAATTATACTCCAACTAGGAACTATTAGTATTTAAAAATTAGTATTTAAAATACAAATCAAACCAAAATTTACGTTTCTATTAATAAACAATTTACTCTCAACTAAATAATTGGTCAGTATAACGACAAAACAGAGAGACATTTGTAAATATATTATTGATTTTATTAGCTTTTAATCATTTCAACTTTTCTTTTTCATCTGACTATTCAGTGTGCACCACAATCATATAGTGGAGCTTGTCCTGATGATTTAACTCTTGGTGGTCGTCAAGATTTAATCATGATCTCTGGTAACTATCTTAATGGCTATCTTAAATCTATTTACAAACGAAACATAATTACTGGTGATCCCAATGCCGATCAAGATATACTGCCTGATGAATACGCAACTATCGTGGCTGCGATTGGACCAGTTAACTCTCGACGTCAAGCAGCTTATCATAACATTAAATATACTCGAGCTAATGATTTACCAATACGAATTGCCTTTAACAAAATTCCCTTGAATCGAAACTGTTCATCTTTAAATACGGACAATGTTATATCAAGTAGTATACGATCACCCATCAAATCACGAGCCTGGAAACAAGAAAAAATAAGAGACACTAACATTTTACGAGCACAAATTGGACCTGCTGGAGGTGATCGAGGATACACAGCAATTACTGGTCTACAGTCTTGGGGAATTGCATGGTGGGTCAATGGAAAGTTGATTCCTGAAATTGTTGTTCAACGAGGTAAAAATTATACATTCATTGTTGAAGGAGGCAATGATCCATCCAATCAAGCTCAATACCATCCACTGTACATTACTGATAATCGGGAAGGTGGAGGAGGTCAAGATCCATCCATGTTAGATACACCAGGTCATAGAGTATTTGCTGGTGTCTCGTTTAACCGAGGTGTACCCGATCCTAATCCTGGTGCTGGACGATATTGTGAATGGAAACATCGATCTGGAATTGATAGAGCCAATGAAGTTGACTCGGTGGAGGAATATAAAGAAACACTCCGTTTAGACTGTAAACCTGGAAGTCCTGCTATTTTTACATGGACACCAGACGACAAAACTCCAGATGTTGTATATTACCAGGCAAGTTTAATCTGAATTTTTAATCCCTTCTCAAACTCAAAAAATTGAGCTGTACAATAGAGACCATTAATCACTATTGTTGTCACCAAAATGTAACAATATTGACCTTTATTCAACTGTCATTTAATAATCTTATCGATGCTTCATTTTTTCTTGCAGTGTTATACTCATCGGAATCTTGGATGGAAAATTTTAGTTAGCTCAAGCTTCAAATTAACTTACAGTTTAAATCTTATTGCCATCCTCATTTCATTATTACTACTGCTTTGATTGTCAAATTCGTAATGATTTTTTGAATAGAGAAAAAAGCTAAATCAATTTTTGTTTTTTATTTAAATTAATATGGATCAATCTGAATACGCAATCAACTATGTACATTTTTATTCCATTGAAAAATTATGAAAAAAATATGATCAACGATCAGAAGGACAGTACAAGCTGAAACCAAGAATATGAAACGTATTATAAACATCAGCTAACATTAATACTGTAAATAATTGACCGAGAAATACATCCTCATATTATATCTACAAATTGGAATGAATACAATAATGGAATCAAAATAATAGGAAAAAATATGAACCTTTTCATCGTTTAAATCAACTAATCCTTTAAAGACAAGTCAAGAAGAAGATACAAGTGGAAAGATGATAATAAAAGATCAAATTGTGAGCCGAACCGAATGAAGAAGCTAAAATTATGACTAAAACCCATTGGATTCGCTTCAAGTAACTATGTTATTTGATGTTGTGCTCAGCAAAAGGATCTTGAATATTTGTCTCAAGGGAATGGTCATTTCAATGATAAACAGACCGTCGCAACCAAGTATCATTATTTTAATCATCACCTTCACCATTTTAATCACCATTATCATCATCATCATCATCGCCATCATCAGTATCACCGTTACCATCATTCACATCCTTCAGTTTCAACGGTTTCTTCAACTATTTTCTTAAAACTCATGCCAAATAGGAAATCAAAGCTCATTGGAAAGCAACAATTTTTTGGAACAAAAAATTCAAATGAATTCAATTTATATTTTACATTTCATCTGTAAATGATCGGAAAAAAGTTGCGATTTGAACGGATGCGATAAGGATTGACAAAAAGGATCTTCATTTCCCGGTATCAACAAAATCACCAAAAATTGTCAAAATTAACATTTTATCTGATTCAATGAATTGTTTCTGTTTAAGAAAACATCCGTTGTTATCTTAATTTAAATGTCCAAATGTTCATCAACCTTTCCAGCAAATAAATATCAAATGAAGGAGAAAGACAACATTTAATTGTAATCTAAATTAACTTCAGATGCTTCTGAATTGCTCTATTTTGTAACAATTTGTAAATGTTGATTGATAAAGATATGTCAACAAATGAACAGAAAAATTTCACATTTTTTCAACGATATTTACCATTTAGTTTGCAAAAAAAAGACTCAAGCTGAGGTCATTTTTTGGTTACTCTCATTTGATTCGGACAATTAACAACGGACATTGGCTTTAGTTTGTCATATTTACAGTTGGATTGTCACTGATTAACATTCACTACACTCTTAATAATGAATATATCTTTAAACAATAATCTTTTTGATTATAACACTTAACGGACTTAAATTTTCTTCGCTCTCTTAAACTTCCGTGTGATTCGGTTCAGACCAATGATCAGGTCACTTTAGTTGGTTTAGACTCTTTTTGTGTCTTGCTGTTAATTCAAAATGAGATCATTTCTTAACTACAATTTACTTTTCATTATTACCCTTTAAATTTTGGGATTATTACAGTCATAATAGTCATAAGCCTCATAATGAATAAATCACAGATCTAATGACTTGACTTAATCAATGCACTTTCCATTGGATTGACTGTAAATTTAGTTAACACATTAATGTGTAATTGGCAAATGATTAAATCATTAACTGTCAATTTAAAAATTGGATAAATTCAAGGTAAAGACTAAATTTAGTTCAACAGTTATTATGATTTAACCGATCTTAATGATAGCGTAATAATTCATTGACCAATGTTTACCATTTTTAGGTTAATGTTTACCTTTTCATTATTTTTTTTGGTCACTTTAATTTAAAATTGATTTTCTGGTATTTAACTGATTGTTCAATTATTAGTCAAAGGAAATGAGCTTTTATGAATTAAACAAATTTCGCATCATTAAGACAATTTAAATTTGAATCAATCCGTCCATTTCAATATATCTGATTGAAGGTCGAGCAAAATTTAAATTTTAATAATGATCAAAATCTTGGTTAATCAGTGAAGTTCAAGTGTTTACAGTTTGTAAATTTCAGTGTTACTTCAATTTTTAATCAAATGAGAACAAGCTAATTACAATATTTTCATCTAATGTCAACTTATACAGTGAATTTGATTGAAAATTATGAATAATATAATTTTAAGGCAATGGAATGGTCAATAATACTGATTTAATGACCAGATATTGAATAGTAATTGAATAAAGTTGTTGTTAGAAGGTTTTACTGGAAAGGTTTGAAATATCGAAGGATCTCTGTATTGTTGGGTTTAATTTGATCACACTTCTCATTCACATTGATTTGGATTATGATTTAACCCGAATACTTTGTAAGCAATTTTAATCCATCGATGATCACTTCCTTATTGATGGATTGAAGCAAGGTAAAGTTGACAATTAAAAACGATATCCATTTGTGTGAATCCTTTCACTTTATGGTTAAATCAATTGTCTTTTTTTTGAAAACAAAAAATGTGAAAACTGAAAGAAATTAAAATTGAAAATCAGGTTAATCGGATTGATGACAATTAGGATTGCCATTACTGAATCAAATATTAACAAATTTATGAATTGAAAGCTGAAAAGATTTCAATCAATCTTGATAATCATAATTTCGTTCCATAGCTTATTTTATGAAAATTAATTAGGCTCAATTTCAATTCTGTGTCTTGTTTACACTTGAAAATCAACTGATAAATAAAAGAATCTTTATTTAGAAAATTCTATCGCATAAATTCTACAGTTAACCCACTCTCTTCTAATGGTAGTTTAATCAGATAGCTGGATGAGCTGAAGGTGCGATGAGCATTGTTTAAAAAGCTTTTTGTGATTAATTGATTTAAACATTCCCACCAACAACACAACACTATCGTTTACACAGTGTTTCAACAATCAAAGCATGATGTTACATCTTAATTATAAATGAAATAAGTCTATGGATTAGCTAAGTCTAAAAATATTCACACACTTGCTAATCTGACTAATCACACTTCGGCACAAAGCGGCGAAAGCACTCTTCATTTACATGGCTTTAATCCCATTCGCAGTACATTCTTGGAAAATAATGAATCATTATGGGTTAGATTAGGTGACAACAATCAAATAATGCAATTGATTAGGTTTAAGTGGAAATTAGTCTGAAAGGAGATTATTTGGAAATCTGATTAATAACCAAGAAAAAAATCAGCTACATTGTTATTAGAGTTTTACGAAAGTCGCAATAATAATCTGTTATTATTAAATACAAATAATAAAGCTGCATTGATCGACAGAAAATAAAAGTTAATACTGTACATTGGACTTCGTTCAACAGATAACGTAAAAGTTGCACCTTGTGGTGACATCTAGAGAGATAAAGTTCTAGCTAAATTTACTATTTATCACACTTTTCATTTAAAGCTAACCAATTATAGCGTATAAAAGTAAGCAAACCAGAATCAGGTGGAGATTATATAAGTAAAATATTGTTGAGAAACGTTTAGTGTAGCTTGATTAATCTTTTCAATTTGTTTACTTTTAATCAATTCTGTGATGATTGATATACTTTATTTATATATAATTTCTTGCTCAATTCAGTAATTTATGTTCATCTGAGTTTTCTTTTACATCTTGTATACTAGTCACAAACATATTGGCTTTACCTGCTGATTAAATTTTTGTTTTCTTTTGGCATTTTTGTGTTGCGTTTATTTCGTTTACAATTAACATAACTTGCGCCCCTCTAGTTGTTTATCTTTCTTTCTTTTCTCTCAAGTTTCAACTGAAGTTTCTGGTGGAGAGGAGGTGTTATTTATCCTGACTAATCAGATCATGTGAATTGAAATTTTTCATTATGAGTAAATAATCGACGAAACATACAATACAAAACTCAAGCCATATTTCCCAAATGAATTCTTAATCATCATTCATCAATCTTTTTAATGTGTCTTCAATATTTATCTTCCTGCTGTCTCTCCTTTCCCGTTGTCACTTTCATCTCTTGTTAACTGTCAATTCCAGTTGAAAAATCTTCTCACTTACAAAGTGAGTAGATTGCTATGGTAAAGTTGAGTATGAAGATCATGCAATCAAAATTTCCAAACAGACACTTCGGATTGACTTCATCTCAACATCAGTGCCACAATAATATTATTGCTTTCATGGATGTGCCAATTGTCAATTGAAAATGATTTTTGTTTTAATTCCATCGTTTTCAATCTTCCCTATTTATTGCTGCTTGAAACTTAAATTATATTTGTAAACCAAAAGTGCTTGAAACCAACGCTAATCCAATCGTGCCAATCTTTTAAACAATACTCTTCTCCAGTCTAATCGATTACAATACCTGCTTTCAACTGTAGTCATTGCTGAAAAATTATTCCTGCTTGATTAATTAAATCATGGCCACTTTTCTGGCTGAACATCGTGTTTCCATCCTTACCCTCTTCTTTCTAAGTATGTTTTTCATATGGATGGACATAAGTCTTTATTTTAAGGTACAAAAACTCAAAGCTAATGAATTAAAGATGACCTCTCATGGACTTTTCCAAACTAGTGTCAATAATATACCTGAAATGGATGGCAGCCTTACAAACTCTAAAAGTGGCATTGACCACTTGGAATCATCTTCTCGAACGACTGATCTAACAACGGAGTCTGTTACGTTATTTGATCCATTTAAAGGTTTATCTATTAAAATGATGATGATGGACCAGCCAAATAACTATATTTTTACACCATTAGCTGAAATTTTCAACGAAGTTACTAATTTCAGTACAAACTTTTTTTTCATCACGCCAAATTTAATAAGTGCTTGTGGAGTCTTATGGGCAATGCTTGCTGCCAAACTGGTTACTTATGATAGTTTGTGTATCCACCGACTTTCTGTCTTCTTCTTCCAAATAAGAACTTTCTTTGATGCTTTGGACGGAATTGTTGCTCGTGATCATCTAGGAATCAAGCAACATATCTCATTGAGTAACACCTCAGGTTACCTTGTTGATGGTTTTGCCGATTCAATTGGGTTTGGTGCTTATCTTCTTGGTTGTTACTACTATCTTCGTCGTAATTTGCCAAAGTTTAGGCTCAACAAGCACCAATACCTACCTGTTCAGGTAATTAACTAATAACCTTCATTTTTTTTTAAAATTCCTGGTAATTCCATAATGTAATTATGTTAGCTTTAGATGAAAAAATTATTTCTCATTTTCATTTCAGTGGAACTTTTGTTCTCATTGAGAAACTAATTTTTCATTTCCGTCCATTAACTAAAACCTAATATCAACAGAACAAAAGGATTATTTTTCAAAACAGGATGAATTTTCTCACTATAACTTGAAGTCAATCCATTTTCTAATTTTTTTCACTCACTTTTTCTACCTTTACCTTTCATAGCAGGTACATGATGGATACATAAACAATGGTAAAACTACTCATTCGTCAAGCTTTGTGATAACTCAATTGATGCCACCAAAGCTTTTATGGACAACAAGACAAGTCTTTTTTGTTGTTTTGTGTTTTGCTTTACAACTTGTAATCAGTTGTCTGTGTTGGAATAGATATATCGAAGCTTACCATGTACTATTGGAATCACCTCCTGTTTCAGCACAGCATGCAGTATGTTATCTTGAATATTTCATTCTTTCCTGTTTTCCTTCACTTTATATCCATCACCATATTTTTGATTGCATGTAATCACGGTTACTACAGCAAATCTATAAAATATTGGTGTTATGGCATCTTTAATTAATTACTAGTCATGACCTTTCTAATCTTTTATATTTTCACTTGACAGAATCTTCAAAATCAGATTCTTAAATCATCCATAATGTGGGTTATCATGTGGTTCTGGAGGATTTCAAATGCTCAATCTCTTATGCAATTTCTTTTGATTTCTGTTTTCGTTAATCGTCTTTGGGTAAGCTTAGATTAGCATATTCAGCTCTTACGTTATATTTATCGCCATTTATTAATTTGTTTATTTATGTTTCTTCTTTACATCAAGGATTTTCTTTCTTGGATTCAATATATTGGATTTTTTCAAATAATCATCCTTTCTTTCCTCAGTGAAGTACATCTTAATCATGTAAGTATCAAAATATTTGCTGTATTTTCCTCCTACAAACAAAAGTACATTTTATATCTGATCACTGAACAGTTTCCTGAACAGTCTCGCATATATCAATCCTTTCAATCTTATCAACTTACCAGTGGTATTAACAACCTACACTCTTAACCCTAATGTACTTATTGATTTTATGGTTTGAATAATTTTGTTACTTAATTTCATTATTTTCTATTCTTTTCAGGTTTCTTCTGTACTCTCTTATTACTAGCTCTGGATTTAGAGGGAAACTTTTTCATGAAGAAAAAGAAAACTATTATTATTTGATTCAATCTAGTGAAAGAACCATCAACAGCAAAGCCTTTCAAATGAGCTTCAAACTATTAGCTTTATTCCAGATTTGATGAATTTTCACCCTCTATTTTACCACATTTTTCTGGATTCCCATTGCTCTCTATTTCAACATCTTCATAATAATCTGATTCATTCCCGTAACAAAGTGTCAATCAGCCTACAATGACTTATTGCTAAGATTATCACAAAGTCATCATCCTCTGCTCATCGTCTAACATGTTTGGGTTACTTTATCTGAAAGCTCTCTTGTTTTATCGTAATTTTCTAATTAATTTTGCACTATATTCTATCCCTTTAGATGCTTCATATTTTGTTATTAACGAAATCAATTGTATATTTTATTTCCAAACGGAGAATCAAAAAGCACTGGAATAATCAGTTACCAATGAACTTTAAAGTTAACCATTTTACGATAGAATCGTTTATTTCGCAGTGAAATAGTCAAAACTATTTTCAAAGCATTTCTCTGGTCAACCGTGAATAGAATCGAGACTCGTCATTGTAAAACCTGAATCAAGTTACAGAATGTTGGAAAATTCAAGATTTCTTCATTTTCCGTCAAACTCTCAAATGCTTAATACCATTCTTGAATAGCAATGTATTTTGATCTCAATCAATAGCTATTTGGTTACTCTTTTTGTCCAACTTTTGTAGCCATTGCTCCAACAATACTCACATTTATCTCTGTTTTCACATGAGAATGGACTAAATGTTAACATTATGTTGATATATTTAAAATGAGTGAAAGTCATTTGGCTGATTGATCAGGTTATCAATGATAATCATTCAATGATTGAAAACTGTATCAAAACCGGATTCATTGAAAATTGATAATGTTTTTGATGTATTTCACTTTTATTTTGTGTAAAACACTTTGATCAGAGTAATCTTATAATTAAGGATAAAAAGTAATTGTTAGCATTAATTATAAGGTTTTTAACTTTCCTTGTGAATTGCCAATTGAGGGATTTTTTAATCATTTGTAAACTCATTAATTTTCAATCTTTCATTCCTATTTTCATCTGTGATTAATGCTAAGCCAAAACAATGAGCTGTATCCTTAAAACCTTTGAATTTAATTAATTGCTTTCTACAATTCAATTTTGGCTATCAAGTAAATATGTGCTGTTTATGATTAACATTGATTGTCAAATGTTGTACGGTTATGTTTGCTGTTCAACTTTAAACGTTAAATCATCATTTCCGACAAAACTGTACAAAGCTGGCTGCTTTTTCCAACCATATTTTCCTATTTGACAATTTATTGATTTTTATTATGATGAATTATCCTCATTTATCAACTATTTTATCGATTATCCAACCATTTGTATTGATGCATCAAGAATTTAATTAACTGTGCCGAAAATTTATATCATTTACCTTCGAGGGCGTAGTCCGAGTTTGTTGAAGACTCACCTTGTTATTAAACAAATTACAATTTAAGAAATTATCAAATCTGCTTCTCTTAAATCTGGTTGCCTGGTTGCCTGATGTTAACTGTTGCTGTGAAGTGTTAATAAAATGACAGTTGATCAAATCCCACTTAACCAGCTAAGAGTATAATAAAATAATGAAATAATTGGAAAGATCAAGATTAGCTTTTTATTAATCAATAGCAATCAAGCATATTTTTCAACTGGACAATATGGTTCAATTTAAAACAAGTTTTCCCATTGCTTGTACAATTCTTATGAGATTGGCGATTGATATCTGAATAACTGTAATTTCTTAGTAACATGCGGATATATAAAATCCCATTCTTTGATACAAAATTCAACTCTTTCTGTTTCAGTTTTTCCCCAATCATCTATGTTTAGTATCATTGCTGACATCTTTTCTTGGAATGGTTTCCATTTAGTTTCACCAACCATTGGAGGTTCACTGTAAATAAATAGTGAATCAAAGTCATCTAATTGATTACTAAATCAAATGAATAGACTTACCCATTCTCAGCGAAATGAGTCCAGATTTTCATCATTTCACGACTCAATGAAATATCTTTCTGTGAATAACCAGGCTTTGTCAGAGGTAAACCGAAAACATATGGAATATCAGATGAATGATAAGTTCCCATCCATTCGCTGGCAAAAGGAAGATAAGATTTCGGTCTCTGTGTATGTAAATAAGCATAAACTTTACCCTTTGTACCTAAATTAGAAGCATATTGATGACCAAACATATAAGTCGGACAAACAAAGAAAAAGTCACTGTAAGCTCTTTCAAGTTGAGTTCGCAAATAATCTGAATTGTTAGTTTCTGGACCAAAGTAGAGTTCGCGGAAATAGTCGATAGATTTAGAATCAGAAATACGTTCCAAAAAGTTTATAGCTTGACGATAGGATATGGGCTTAGGGGAAAAGTAATTGAAAGCTATGGGATCGATACCATTCATGAACATCGAGGCTTCATTCTTTTCTACACCCAGTAAAAGGTCAACTGTATTATCGTATAATCCTTCTGCCAGAATCTTGGATGGCTCGTAAGGAAGGAAATTGTCCCCAACCTTGTAGGAAAATGCCACTAATTTATTATCCAGACCATTTAGGATTTCCTTTGCCGTCAAATTCTGCATGCATTCAAGAACATCTTCCGATTTTGAACATGATGTTTTATTATAGAGTTTCCAAGAATCAGTAATCAAGTTATCAACATCATGGTCTATATAAACTGTTCCTGACTGAAGAATAGCGTGTTTAAATAGGCCTTTAGCTAGTGGTGACAATAGATGAGCAGAAACTGACCAAGATCCAGCAGATTCACCAAAAATTGTCACACTATTCGGATCACCACCAAACATATGAATATTTTCATGAACCCACTTCAAAGCAAATAGTTGATCTTGAAAACCAATATTTGGAGGAATTCGAGGTTCATCGGCTCCAAAGTAGATAAAACCAAATGCATTAAGACGATAATTCATAGTAACAAGTATAACATCATGTAACGGGACCATTGGAATTCCGTCAGTGTCTGTATTGCCAGATCCTGATGTAAAAGCTCCGCCATGAATCCAGAAAAGTACTGGTCGGAGTTTTTCTGATGAGTTATTAAAAGTTGATTCGGTAACATAGATATTGAGATAAAGACAGTCTTCACTGGTTATTTTTGTGTCAAGTGGACTTAATGGCTGGATACAAGCTAGACCAAAGTCAGTCACTGATTTAACCTCAGTCCATGGGTCTGGTTTAACCGGTAACTGTAACCTTAATTTATCAACCGGTGGCTTTGCATAAGGAATACCGAGAAACTGGTAAACACCAATCGATTCATATTCAACAACTTTACCTTGAATAGGACCACTAGTCAAATTAACTATTGGAGTTAGATTAAGCCCATGAATGGGCGAAAAAATGAGACACAATAATATCAAAAAATTCATTTTAAATATATATTCATAAAAAGTTTCTTATTTATATACAGCTAACTCATTAATATCAAACGAAAATCAAAATAAATCAGTAACTTGTGACTAGGTGCAGAAAATCAATCAAGTTAATTCAATTGTTTTCTAACAATTGAATTAAACATATTAGGTTGATCTACATACAAGATTACCAGATATCTGTTTTTAGGTGCATCTAATTGCATCTAGAGATCAATACATGATATTTCAAAATAAATTTGCCATCAGAAAAATAATATTCAATTATTTCTACTCGGTTTTTAACTGAAATTTTGGACTGTTACTTGGATGAAATGAAGATGGATAAGCTTAGTGCATGAATATTATCATGATTTAACCAAATTTCATTGGAATTATATCTTTCTCTTTTGAAAATGAAATGACAGATACTCTGGATAAATGCATGTTTTGAAACAATTAATGAGGACTTTGGAAATGTTTGACAGTAATTAAGTTAGTATTTTCAATTACATAGATTTCAATTTAAAAACATTATCTTAATTGCATTGCCATTAAATTTTGCAAATAATTTACAATGAAATACACTTAAAATCCATTCCAATTTGACTAATAAAGTTATGCTTTTTTAAAATTGACTTTTTCACTCAAACTGCAACATTGAATCTTCATTTTCATTTTATTGATTTTCGTTTATTCTGATTTTTTCCTTTTCATGTGAATTAAGTGTCAAATGCTTTGTTTTGGGAGTCAACATAAACTTGGAAAATCCATTGACTTGATAAAAATCGTTTATTTTAATAATAATATACAGTTTACTTCATCAAAGGATAGTTCATCATTTTATTATGAAATGTAATCAATCATAAAGCTTTGGACAAGAAAAATGAAAAGAGACAAAATGAAATATCTCCTCTTTATTCATACCTTTACGCTGAATTCATGTTAAATATACAGGAATACAATCATTTTAGGTGTGTTCTTATTTCAATGGTAATGAGAAATCAAATACTCGTAAAGCTCATTAAATGTACTGTCAAGTAAAAATAAATATGCCCAACTCAAATCCCAAGTTTATTTCGTAAATTTTTATCAATAATTAAATTTATCTTTACGAAATTTCTGTGTAATTTTGGTAAATTGTTTTGATGAACATTAGATAATTCAGCATAAATTGATCCTCATTGGTTAATCAAGCCATGGAGATTTATAGACTTGAACACACCCAATAGCATATAAAATTAATTGTTTTACATGTGGTTCGGTTTATTGCTGTGTCGAGCCAAGAATGAGTTGAATCAAATATGAACATACAAATGCTTTTATTGAATTATGTTGAAAACCAAGCAATTTTTGGCGCTTTCCAGACTATTTTGGTGTAAAATTATCTGAGCATCCAGATGTGCGTTTCATTTTTATTCCAATCTTTGTTTAAAATTGTCCAGAGTTAGTTTAGATCGAAAACTATAATCAGAAAAGTTTTCATGGGAAATTGAAACAATAATGAAGTCTTGTATTTTAAATTTGGCGGGGGAAACCTGGTAACTATAAAGTAACCAGTAAAGTGAATGGGGGAAGCTAATCACAGTTACTGGTTATATTTAAGTAAAAGCACCTTCAATTGATAGTTTTCAGTCTTATTATTGTTGTATACTTCATTATCGTTCTATACAATTTTGAAAATGTTGTCTCTTGTGGGAAAACAACTTTTTGCTAAAAACGGATCGGTATTAGCAGCTGGAAGTCGTTTTTTATCTACAGGTAAGTGCAGTTAACTTTCTCTTTATCAAGCTATTGACATAAACTTTTCGGTATTTTTTTCCAGACTTTCAACACATCTTGGTAGATAAACGTGGCGAGAAAAAAAATGTCGGATTTATCCAGTTAAATCGTCCAAAGGCACTTAACGCTCTTTGTGATGCTTTGATTAAAGAATTGAGCCAAGCTTTAAATGAGATGGAAAAAGATAAAGATATCGGGTCTGTTGTATTGACCGGATCAGAAAAAGCTTTTGCCGCCGGTGCCGATATCAAAGAAATGTCTGAAGTTAAATTTGCTGAAGCCTTTTCAACTAACTTTTTATCAGGCTGGGACTCTGTTGCCAAATTTAAAAAACCATTGATTGCCGCTGTCAATGGATATGCACTTGGTGGTGGTTGTGAATTGGCTATGATGTGTGATATCATTTACTGTGGTGATAAAGCCAAGTTTGGTCAGCCTGAAATTGCCCTTGGAGTTATCCCTGGTGCTGGTGGAACTCAAAGGTTACCCAAAGCCGTAGGTAAATCAAGAGCAATGGAAATGGTTTTGTCAGGATTGCCAATTACAGCCCAAGAAGCAGAACACTGGGGTCTGGTCAGTCGAGTTTTTCCTGCAGATAAACTTGTTGATGAAGCAATCAAACTTGGTGAAAAGATAAGCTCACAGTCTAAATTGATTTCTATGATGGCAAAAGAGGCTGTCAATAATTGTAAGTTTTGAAGAGTTTCTTTTCAAATTATCTTCACATCTTTAATATTTTTTTCTTATCTATTGTATTAATATAATCTAATCTCCTTTTCCCCTAAAAGCTTTCGAGACAACTTTACAACAAGGACTTAAATCAGAGTTACGGTATTTCCATGCTGCTTTTGGAACTCACGATAAAATGGAAGGAATGAAAGCTTTCATTGAAAAACGTCCTGCAGGATTCAAAGACGAATAGAATGATTAAAGTTTTTGTGGATTTTGATACTTTGACTTTTTTAAAAGTGGAAAAACAAATTTGTATTCAATATCAAAATTAATCAAATATGCAATACTTCAACTCTGTAATTGTTAATGAAAATTTAAGAATGCAGAAAGCAGTCATTGTTATCGAATGCAAGGAAAAGTATAATGTTAAGGAATTTTTGCGTGTCAACGCTTATGTTATTGAACTTGTTTTTTGTTATCTATAATAATTCTAGCTTTTATGATAACATCTGTGCTCAAATAAAGATGGTTTAGAAAACCTTAAAATTCTTACTGAAAATTGTTCCGATAATTGTGTAAATTAAATGATCCTTCATGTGCATTATTGAAATGGTTTAATTCTGGTGTATTTCAAGCTTTTGGGCTCATAATTCATTCAATAGATTGATGGAGAAATATTTGTAATATCTTTTCATTGCATTTTAGAAGCAAGCAGATGAATTTAGCTGCAGCTGATTTCTTTTTGCTGATTTGGCATGATGATAATTGATATTTAATTATTTAGTTCAATAATGTTGCGTTCATAAGTGTTTGCAAGCAAGACCAAAGTTTTACGATATAAAGACCATTAAATTGAATAAGTTCAAGCATGGCCTTGGTATTCAACGAGATCCTTTTTCATTGATCCTTATAAACATGAATCTTTTGTTTTTCAAATCTTAATTTTCTTCTTGAGCTTCAACTATTTAGTCTTATAAAGGATGTTAAGGTTTATTTCTGACAAAATTATCTGAAGATGAAGATTGTAATAACATGACGATAAAGATGAATCGGTCACTTTTATTCAAAGAGTAAGGTAGATCTGGATTGCTGTCTCTTCCTACTTTATTCATTGCTTTTATATTTTGATTAACTTTTCCTTTTGTGATTTCATCTTTATCTTGAGATAAATTAGTTGAAAATGAATCTTAACACCCTTCAGTAAGCCAATGACCAATTCGGGTTGAAGATAAGATTTCAAATTTTAAAGACAACCATTGAGCTATTTTCATTGTAGCTTAATTTAATTGGTTTCAATAACGAATGAAGCTCACTTATCTGCAGTTGAAGCTTATGTATCCTTGCCGATATCCTATTCTCTTGTTTAATTTTTGAATCGAAATTACGAATTGTTCTGAATGTGATTCAATGCTCTAAATCATGAATCGGTAAATGTAAATATATTTTGTGACGCTAGATGGAGCTGCACTTTTCAGAAATTTCAAAATTTTTCGGGAAACAACAGTGAATCAAATAAACAACTTAATAATTGATGTATTTGTTGATTATGAAAACTATTTTCAATTCATTTAATTTACGATTTGAGACTTTCATCTGTTCATAATGAACATTTATCGTTAAATTTAAACATTAGATATGCCCAATCAATCGGATTTTATAAACAAGATAGCCCTCTACTTGGTTTTGTCACCTTTTTTCGTATTCTCTTCATAGCCCAGTGAAGGTATGTTTTTAATCATAATAATTACTCATTTTTAAATTTTTTGGCTTTATAATTGTTCTTGCACCCATGTTCATATCTTAACGCTAGTGACTATTGACAAAAATCCATCTGTCCATTTGTCTTCACTATAGAACCATATCTCCCTGTCATGACTTGAATTTTTCCGTCAAATGTCTTTCTTCCCTCGTTTTACCTGTTAATGGGGTTAGCCATCCATTTATTGGTCTAGTCCTTGAATTATTTTCAATGATGTTTAATACTCAAATTGGGATCAATAGTTCAATTGTCATTTACATCTTATTGGGGCATATTAACCTCATCTAGTTTTATTTTTCATTCAGCTTTGCATTCATATTCAAATGATTATAATATTGATTGAGACTTTGAACTTCATTTGAATCGTTAAACAACTGAAAGAAATTATACATAATACTTAACTTTATAAATAGAACTCAATATTGGTCAAACGTCATTATGATTCAACTCTTTTTAGTAGATTTTATCACGTTGATATCTTTTGATTGTCAAATCAAAGAACGCTGTTTTTTCAACGTATCATGTAATTGTTGAAAATCTTTACGCTTTGTTATCGAAACGGAATAGATTTACTAATAATTGGTCTGACAATCATACGTAATCAGGAAAATTGGCTGATAGAAAGAGTGAAAAGAGAAACAGATAGAGGAAAAAAGAGGCAGAAAAAAAATAAAAGTCGACAAATGTAGACAGGAGTAGTCTGAAAGAGAATCAGTCAGATGTAAACAAAAAAACGCCTGGCCCAGGAAGGGCAGTTAACTCTTGGAAAGATTACAGATGTAAATGAGATTATTTTTTAGTTATTTTAATTAAAATATTGCTTTTGTGTATTTCCCAGCTACAATTTAATCGGATATCAGCATTATATCGCATGTTTACCAGGTAATTATTTCGTTTGTTTTCTTATTCATTGATGGCTAAAAAGAGTCTTGTCATTTTCCTTCTTTTGCTTAATGTTTTTGGTGCTTATTTCGGGCTTTTCAATGTGTGCCTTTTTCTAAATCGTAATTTATTCTTGTTAAATTGATTATCCTTTCACCAACAATTCAGTGATTTTATCAACATTTATGTGTCCATGTCTAATGTTGGAGGCTCTTTTTGCAATACTATAATATATTTCATCAATCAATTTCATCAATCTTATAATTGTTTATTTAACAGTTATCACTTCATAATTATACAAACTAATTCGTTTGTGATTAATCAATTATCGGATAATATTTCATTACGAGTTGTTAATACAATTTATAACTGTCTATATGTCAACACGTTAACAGTCAATTAATTAGAGTTTCTGTGTTTTTTATCCTTTTTATCTCTGTGTTTTATAATAACAAATTTAGGTCAATTTCTAATCCCTTCTTCTTTTAATCCAACAGGTAATCCAGCATTGCACTCGATAAAGAAACAGAAGAGGCGTCACATTCAGAATGTTTTCAATTCATTTCTACTGAATCTTTTTTCTCACTATTTTGATTACAACTCCGGCGTAGTCAATATAAATGAATTGAACGATATCTCTGATCCTTTCTGGTATATAATCAAATACATTCACCATTCACCATTACAACTTTCTATGTTCTCAAGCCTTTGCCTTTTCCAAAAGCAATAACAATGCGGATAATAGCATAACTGTTACAAGGAAGCTGATTAATCCTGATTTGACCGTTATACAGTCTACATTTTCTGCACCATATTTCTTTCAATCTAGTTGAACATTTGCCTGATATCTCCAACATACACACAGCCATTGTTCAAGAGAACCCTGTTTGCTGTTGAATCACTATTCTTGATCTTGACCAGTATTACGTGTAACATACAAATTTTTCTAGTTCAACTATCCATCAGTCAAGCTCAAATTTTATTTTGCCTATTTAAGCTATCGTATTCGAAAAGCGTTCTTTCTGCTTTGAATCAAAATGATGGAATTAGAAGAGATATCATCCTTGGTGAGTATTCTTAGTGATCTATATTGATTTTAAAATCTAATCACCCGCTTTTCATCAATCCATTCACTTATCTAGCAATTAGAATTCCAATGGCTACTCAATGAGGAAGTCAACGTCATTCTTTCTCAGCTCAAACAATTGATTTTGGTAAGTTTTGGTTAAAATTATCACCATTTTATCGCCGGTTTCAGTGTTATTGTCTCAAAATATTAATTTAAGATTTGTTTGCTTCTTCTAGGAATGTTCTCGCAGATTTTCATATGAAGTTGAAGGGTTTACCTCGCTTATTAAGGCTGAAAAATTCGCATTGATGAGTACGAACGCTTCTCATGCTGACAAGTTGAAAATTTTTGCCACTATTATGGCAGACGATATCACAGCAGCGGTAAATTGACAATCAGGTGTTATTTGAATAACAGTTCGTCTAATCTACTCATTTTTTTCATTAGGATATCAACATTAGACTGCCAAAACACACAGCCTCTAGTCTGAGATTTTTTATTCAAAATGACTGTCAATGGAAGCTTCATCAAGTAAGTACAGTCAGACAAAACTAAATTAAAATTTTTCTCAAACTGAAATGTTTTTTCTCACATGCAGATTCAAGACGCTGCTAATCATCTCGCTGCAGCACTTTCACTTCTTTCTTCGCCTCCACCTCCACTGAGATTTGTTGAATCTGAAAATAAATTCGATTTTCGTTCTGCTGAAGAAGTTATTCAGGTAAATCAAGGATTACTCTAATCATTTTAACTTAAAATCTCCATATTCTCACCGTTGTTCATTTACTTTCTATTTTCACTACAGATGATCAATAACATCATGAGTTATCTGCAAAAGGGGAGAAATTCTCTGATTGTTCCTAAAACTAAGACGATTGACGAGCTTCGAAATAGTCGTAATACGGTGAGACTTTTTTTATTTGTAAATTACTCGTATATATCTAATTAATTTTTATTTTTTTAGAAAGCGCTTCAACCTTCCATTCCAAATGATCTGGCTGTTAGTTTTTACATCCAATCGCATAAACTAGTCTGTGCAATTTATCATCAGATTAAAGATGCTCATGGAAATTTAAAATTAGACATGTATCAAGTGAGTCATTTCCATTTCAATTGCCCTAAAAGTTATCTATTACATAGCTGGTCAGAGATTGATAGCAAATTCACTCTTCGACCATTTGGCGTCAAAAAGTAACTTGATATGTTTTTTAACGTTTTTTTTCTTTATTCTGATTCCAGGCTGAAGCTTCCATTCCATGGTTGAGCGAAGTCCTTGTCCTGTTTACAGTCGCTCTCCAATTTTGCCAACAACTTAAGGACAAAGTCTCCGTTTTTGCGCAATATAAGCAAATGCAAGTCAAAGCCATGCCATGAATCAAGTTTCATTGTTTTTGGATTGTTTCAATGCGTTTGTTTGCCTCTAATTTTGATCTATAATTTTTGTCTTAATCATTTTTACCGGTCATTATGCTTCTTTCCGAATCTTTACAATTGTATGAAATTGGTTTGATATATTTAAACTTCTATTTAGCAATAGAAAGGAGGATAAAATCTCAATGTTTGAGTGATTATTGATTAGCTAAGCAAAAATAGCTGGTTGATGGATTGCTGAAATTTTTTAAATCAATATTTGAAATTTTGTGTCATTTCTATCAACTATAATTAGAAACTGGATGCTTCTTTCTATTAACCAGTTCTTGGTTTTTTCCTCTACACAATAATGTATCTGAATCGATTGGTCAAACCTGGATTTATAAAAAAAATTAACTTATTGCAATAATTAATACATAGTAATGTAAAAAATAATTCACTGGCCATAAACCGAATAAAATAATGATAACAACCATCTAAATTTGGAATTACAGTAATTGTCACAGAGTCATTATTTCACTAATAGTCAGATTGAGCATCAAAAATCTCGAAATTAAATTCATAAAATGGTAATTTTACCGAAATATTATAGGAAAATGCTGATTCACGACTTGACGATTTGACAGAGTTTACTTATTAGACTTTACTATGCTGTTAATTATAGTCTGTTTTGGTTAGGTTAGGTTGGTAATTTTATTGAAAATCTGGTTGAATGAATTAAATCCGAAAATAACCAGAAAAGTTTTCAATGGGAAATTGAATCAATAATGAAGTCTGGATTTTAGGCTGTCAATAATTGTAAGTTTTGAAGAGTTTTTTTTCAAATTATCTTTACATCTTTAATATTTTTTATCTTATCTATTGTATTAATCTAATCTAATCTTTTTTTCCTTAAAGCTTTCGAGACAACTTTACAACAAGGACTTAAATCAGAGTTACGGTATTTCCATGCTGCTTTTGGAACTCACGATAAAATGGAAGGAATGAAAGATTTCATTGAAAAACGTCCTGCAGGATTCAAAGACGAATAGAATGATTAAAGATTTTGTGGATTTTGATACTTTGACTTTTTTTTAAAAGTATACAAAATTAATCAAATATGCAATACTTCAACTCTGTGCTCAAATAAAGATGGTTTAGAAAACCTTAAAATTGTTCCGATAATTATGTAAACTGGATGATCTTACATGTTCATTATTGAAATGTTTTAATTCTGGTGTATTTCAAGCTTTTGGGCTCATAATTCAATAGATTGATGCCGAAATATTTGTAATATTTTGTCATTGAATTTTAGAAAGAAGCAGATGAATTTAGCTGCAGCTGATTTCTTTTTGCTGATTTGGCATGATTGATATTTAATTATTTAGCTCAATAATGTTGCGTTCATAAGTGTTTGCAAGCAAGACCAAAATTTCACGACATCAAGACCATTAAAAATTGAATAAGTTCAAGCATCGCCTTGAAATTCATCGAGATCCTTTTTCATTAATCCTTATAAACATGAATCTTTTGTTTTTCAAATCTTAATTTGGTAACAGTCTAGTTATACGGACACAAAACAATAACAAAGCCGTTAATTGAGGCCCCAGGCCGTCCAAGCCCAACCGAACCTAACCAAACCTAACCTAACCTAACCTAACCTAACCTAATCTAACCTAACCTAACCTAGTCCGACCTAGAGCGCGATAATAATCGATTATTTATTTGAATCTATAGCACTGTTTATTATATGTGTCCGTATAACTAGACTCTCACCCTTAATTTTTCTTGAGCTTCAACTATTTAGTCTTATTATAAAGGGTGTTAGGGTTTATTTCTGAAAAATTATCTGAAGATGAAGATTGTGATAACATGACGATAAAGATGAATCGGTCACTTTTATTGCTCTTATATTTTGATTAACCTTTCCTCTATCTTGAGATAAATTTGTTAAAAATGAAGCTTAACACCCTTTAGTAAGCCAATGACCAATTCGGGTTGAAGATAAGATTGTAAATTTTAACGAAAACCATTGATCTACTTCCATTGTAGTTTAATTTAATTGGTTTTTAACAAATGAAGCTCACTTATCTGCAGTTGAAGCTTATGAAATTTTAGATGTATCCTTGCCGATATCCTATTCTCTTGCTTAATTTTTGCATCGAAATTACGAATTGTTCTGAATGTGATTCAATGCTCTAAATCATAGATCGGTAAATGTAAATATATTTTGTGACGCTAGATGGAGCTGTGCTTTTACAGAAATTTCAAAAATTTATCGGGAAACAACAGTGAATCAAATAAACAACTTAATAATTGATGTATTTGTTTGTGTTTTTAGGACTATTTTTACTAATTGTTGTTTAATTCATCGTCTAATCTGCATTTTGGATACTGTCATACCTTCATTATGAACATTTATCATAAAATTTAAATACTAGATATGCCCAATCAATTGGATTTTATAAACAAGCTAGACCTCTACTCGGTTTTGTCACCTTTTGCCATATTTTCTTCATAGCCCAGTGAAGGTATGTTTTAATCATAATAATTACTCATTTTTAAATTTTTTGGCTTTATAATTGTTCTTGCGCCCAATTTGTTCCTATCTTAACGCTAATCGCTATTGACAAAAATCCATCTGTCCATTTGTCTTCACTATAGAACCATATCTCCCTGTCATGACTTGAATTTTTCCGTCAAAACATGGAAATCATTTCAGGCATGATTAATAATTAGTTAATACGCATTGGAGTTATTCTGTTATCGTTCCGCTTGCTTGTAAAAATCTGATAAATGAAATTATATGTGTTTAGATTCTAGAGACCATTGTCTACTTAAAATGATATTTGTGAGCCCAATAAATCTATAGGTTTATGTTTTTTCTTGATCATCTGCATCGCTTAAATACTATGCACATTTTATGATAAAATTCACATTTTGATCACTCATTTTTTAAAATATTTAGGATTTAATAGACTTAAGAATAAATTATTATTTATTACTTCGTTAACAATTTTCAGTGTGTTTTGTATTGTTATTCAATTTTACATCACGTGTTTTTGCGCTTTCCTTCAAGTTTTTCTTTTTTTAACCTACACCACGAAAATGGATTGTCAGATTCAAATAAAAAATGTTTTAGACAATTGTCATCAGTGATTATTTTGTCATTGTTCATATGTATTATTATGAATCATGCGAATTCATTTTAGTCTCTTGCTTATCAACGCATTACAGATATTTCATGTGTTATTACTAAGAATGCGGTTTAAGAAACCAATATTATTTACTGTTTTCAAAAAAAGCAAGTTCATTTTTTCATTCAATACAACAGTTTGACAGTTTAATGGTGCTTTTTAATCTCATATTTCTTTTAATACAAATTTTTATTCTTCTTTCAACAGTTACCGGCGACTATAAATCCTTTCCTTTCTGCTTCTTGGTGGATTCTTTTTGTTTGTGATTTTAAAAGGTGACGCTAATGGAGCCCGAGGAAGCGGTTGAAAACTGTATAGAGCCAGAAAAGGCCAGCTGTACTGTGGAGTCTAATGATGTTGATATGAGTTCTCCAAAACAAGAAGAGACTGAAAATAAGATTAATACTAAGGAGAACCCTATTTGTGAAAATGATTCCAATTTCGCAGTCATTTGTTCATTTATTGAACAATTTGGCTCCTCTCTTGACCTACATCTGGATATAGCTAAATTAAAAACGATGCTAGAAACCAATGATACTAGTAAGTGATTTCATTCAGATTTCAAAGTTATATTCATTATAATTAAAATTTTGTAGCTGTTATTTCAAAGTTATCCAAGTTTAAAAGTTTAGAAAATGTCCATTTTATTTTCAAATTGACCTAATATTAAAATTTCTCGTTTATTTCAGCTCCAGAAGAACTCGTGGAATTGCACATTAAACTTTTAAGGAAAAGACGAAAGTATATTCAACGCGATAAGTGGGAAAGAGCTCTAGCCAGATTTATTAGCGAATACTCAAATGTCGATGCTTGGGAACTTGAAAGATACGGTTATAAAAACGTTAACCTTGGTATTCGAATTACCGCCTTTAAGGTAAATATATTGCTTAAAATGCTCGAATAAAAGGATTGATTTTAAAATCGTTACTTTTTCTATTTCAGACTCTTCTTGAAGCTCAGTTCGACTACAATGCAAAATTTAAAAGTAGTATTAATGCTATGGAAGCTTCAACTCTTCGTTTGGCTCCTATTGGAAGGGATATTCACGGTAATCAATACTGGTACCAGCTCGATCCACACTCATGTCTTAGAGTTTATAGAGAAGAACCAGATGATGAAAATTCCTGGATTCTTATTGCAAAGTAAGAAGAAAAAGAAATGAACATAAACCAGAATTAGATAATTAAACTATTATTTACACTTTTTTTTACACAGAGATAAAGACGATCTTGCCGCTCTCATCTCAAACTTGAAATCTCAGAGTCTCGATCAACTTAAAGATTCTGCGCCAGTCAGTGAAAATATCAGTGAAAATGAAGATAGTAATTTAAACGAATCAAGTGTTAATATCAAAGAAGAACCCAGAGAAGAAAAATCTAGTTTGTTAAAGCAAAATCATCTAATAGAAGTGAAAAGTGAAAATCACGATGAACTTAAAGAACCAAATGTTGAACATCTTGAGGAGCTGACTTGTTATCAACGCTCACAGAATAAATGCATTCCAAAAAATGAAATTAAAAAAGAGATTTGCATGGAGCCTAAACAATCAACTAATCTAACTTCCGAATCTTCTTCATCAAGTAATAATGTCCATTTTAATGCATCAAATTATTTATCATCTATTGACTCCGAAGTTGGTGATGTTCTTAATGATATTTTAGATAAAATTTCATCGGATAGTACTCCAATGCACAAAAGTTTTGATGTTGAATTTCAAGATATAATTGATTTATGCAATCAACTTGTGGATCAAGTCTGTGCTAATTCACATCTGCCCATTCTTCCACCAAACTCATCTAAACCTTCACATGAACAAATACCATTAATTACTCCATTGAAATCATCCTCACCATCATTACCATCACCATTGACATCATCATTAGCATCTACTTGTCCAGTCAAACCATCTCTTGAAGAATCCGAAAATCTACAAGATCAAGAAGAGAATAAAAAAGAGAGTGAGGACGAAGAATTGAAAAGTACAATTTCTGGCTCGGCCAAAAAAAGAGGCCGAAAACCTAAAAGAGGACTTCGGAAAAGAGCTCCTCAAAACCAAAATGATCGAAATCTCGATGAAAAGTCAGAATCAGAAAGTCAAAGTGCGACTGATGTGAAACCTACAAAAGTTGACACTAAAACCCGTGGTCGGAGGGGCGGTGGCCGAGGTAGAGGTCGTAAAGTATCTATTCCCGAACTGGAAATTATCGAAAAGGCTGCAAGATCTCCGTCTCCACAGCCTGTTAAGCGCCAAAGTCGTAGAATACAAGCTTTGCAAGAAAAGAAAAATGCTGAGCTTGCTGAAAAAGTGAAACGAGAACAACAATTATTAGAAGAGATGGCCAAGAAAATGCAAGCTAACAAAGTAAAATCTCAAGAAAACAGTTGTGATAGTTTTAGCAGAGACTCTAAAAAGGACAATGTTTATCAAACTGAAGACAGCTCTAGTGATAGTGATCATGTTACGACTAAAAAGCGGACCAAAAAGAGGAAAAGAGGGAAAGGAGGGAAAGCTGGAAAAGCAGGTTGTCCTTGGGATAGTGCTTCTTCCAGTGAATCTAGTGAAGAAGAAGAAGAAGAAGAGATCGAGGAAGAAGACGACGAAGTTCTTCAATTTGATGACAATGAAGATGAATTCGCTTGTGAAGAACCTGATCCTGACGCCGAACCCATTATCCTGAAAAGAGCTAGAACAGCGAAGAAAAGTAAGAACCCTATTTTTTAATTATGATTAATTATTAATGATATTTTTGCATTTCATAGTAAAAGAGAAAATAACTGATCAAGGATCAAGCAGTGAGGCAGAAGAAGAAATAAACGACGATACTCCATGTCAACGTTGTGGTAAATATGATCATCCAGAATGGGTATGTAAACTTTAGAGTATCCTAAATATTAAGGTGATCCGTTTGAAAGTTACTGGTTATATTTTAAAATTAATCAAATCAATGCTAATATTCAGGAAAAATCGGAATAAAATTTTGATTATTTTCTTACAAATCACCTTAATATATCATGATTGAAGCTTACTGATTTTCTGTTATTTAATCTGATACAGATACTTCTTTGCGATAAATGTGACACTGGTTTCCACACGGCTTGCCTTAAACCTCCATTGATGTTAATTCCTGATGGCGATTGGTTTTGTCCACCTTGTGAAAATGTAAGTTTCTGTTTTGCTTGTCCGAATTTTGCAATTACAAGTTTTTCTCATAAATTCCTCTTTCTATTTATTATAGCTCTTTTTACTTGAAAAGCTAGAAGAAAAATTCGAAGCACTAGCAAAGGCTCTTGAAAAAAGAGAACTGGAAGAAATGCGTAAACAAAGATTGAAGCAAGTAGCTGCTAGTCTTGATGCATTATCAAAGCCGAAGCCAAAAATTGAAATTTGTAAAAAACCTACAAATGAGGAACGTGTCAAAGAACGTGCACGAAAATATTCTAGAAGGTTATCCGATGACGATAACTCAGAAGATGATAGGAGTGACAATGATGATTCAGAGGATGATAGTGACGAGAGTGATTACTTGATGTTACGTTCCTCAAGAAGCCGAAAGAAAATTAGTTATCAATTCACCGAATATGATGAAATGATTAACTCAGCAATTTTAGATGAAGGTTACGATGCCCCACCAGACGCTCCTTACGGTCAATCCAGAGGAAAAGATATGGCTACTATTGAACATGCTTTGAAACAACAAGAAGCAGAAGAAAGGGAGGAAGAATTAAAAATTACGACTCAACCCGAAATCAAACCTGAGAATCCTGTGCCAGCTGAAGTTGAACAGAATGAACCACCTGAAGCTGAAGAGAAAGAGGAAGTAGATATGGATTCTGATTTCGAGCCTGAAAAACCAAGAAAGTTATCAAGACACTTGAAGAAACGACGATTAAATGACTTGGAGCCTCCCTCTGAAGATGATGACTCTGATGAATCATTTAAAGGTGGTTCGGACACAGAAGTAGAAGATTTGTCCGAGGAAAGTCTTGAAGAAATTGATGATGAAACAGAAGAAAGTAATGAGTCTTGGAAAGATTTTAGAAGATCTAAAAAGTCAAAAGGTCGAAAAGTTATGAGAGGAAAGTCAGGTAAAAAGAAAGGTTATCGTCGTGATGATTTTGTTGTTGACTCTGACGACAGTGATTATGGAGCTGGAAAAAGATCGCGAACTCGAGCTGCAGCTAAAAAGCGGGTTAGTTACAAAGAGTTTACCTCTGATGAAGAAGAGGAAGAAGAATACGAATGGAAAAGTAAAAAGAGTAAAAAACGTAAATTAAGTGGTTCAGAGACAAGCGATGAAGAATGGGAAGATGAAGACGACGATGATATTACAAGTAAGTTCAAATTTGATTTTAACAAATCTTAATTTATACTAATATTTATTTTTAATTTAACAGCAAAAAAGAAAAAGAAGAAAAATGCCATTTCGGATGACGAAGAAGACGAGGAGGAAGAAGAGATGGAAGAAGAAGAAGAGGAGGAAGAAGAAAATGATGAAGACGAAAGATATGATAGCGAACGAGAAGAAAAGTTAGCTAAAAGCAAAAAGGACAAAAAGGCTAAATCAAAACCTATTAGTGACGAAGAGGATGATGATGAACCAGAAGAAGATGACGAAGAAGAATTTGAAGAAAAGAAATCCAAAAAACGTCATGATGTTAAAGAAAGTCCGAAAAAATCAAAATCACCTAAAGGTAAACCAGCTAAGAAATTTGAAATGCGTGGTAAGCCTCGTTTATCAAAAGCACGTATGATGAGCTTAGCTGAAAATTCTGATGATTCTCAAGAAACAAAAACCATCCCTGATGCTGAGTCAGGGAAAGTTCAAAGTGATTCATTTGGTCCAAATAAAAATTTATCAGCTGAAAAACCACAATCAATACCCACTGCGGAAGTAATACCAGTAACTGTAACTGAAGTAAATAAAGCGTTACCTCTGCATTTGGTGGGACCTCAAAAAGATGTTGGTGAACATCAACATAACATCCCTCGAGATGGACCCGTTCATCCTATGAGTGGAAACGTACCTCCAGATCATCGACAAGAGTCTCTTGGCCCAAATGTATCTCAAAGAATTGCTCCAAATTTAATTCTTCCCCCAGGAAAGCCTTCTGCTTTGTCACAATTAACTGCTTTTGCCTCTAAAGGACCTGGTCATCCCGGTGGACCTGCTACTCATATTCATTCGGTCAATCCTAACTCTGTTGATTACCCAAGTTCTCATCATGTACAACAAATCCCTCCTCATCCAGCTTCATCCAGACCTCATGGGTCAGATAAAGAAGAAAGTGACTACTCAATAATGTCATTAGATGCTTATGGTAATAATCAAAGGCAAATGAAATCCATGTCCATTGAAAATTATTGTCCTCCAACATCGAGTCCTTCCCAATTATTGCACCTTGAATCTTCTCAATATAATCCTCAAGGTCCGCCACCACCTCAAATGGCCAACATGGAAAGATTTCCTAGTAATTTTGCTCCTAATTCTAAAAATCCCGACTCTCGAATGCCTGGTCCATTTCATGAATCCATTCCACCCAGAGATTATCCTCCAAGGCAACCTTATCCTCCTCAATCAGCAAACTTCCCCGGTGATCCAAGAGCATTTTATGATCCTCAGATGATGAGACCAAATCATGGTAATGCGGGTCCTTATCCTCATCCTAACGCTCATCCAGGAAATTCACCATACCGTCAAAGATCAGGTCCTATGCACTATGGTCCTAACCCGGGACCTAGACCTGGACCAGGATTTTACCCCCAACCAGGACCTGGATTTTATTCTAGACCTGGTCCTATGCCAAGAAATTCAAACAGACCTCCTCATTTAGCTCAAAACATGCCTCCTTCAACTCGTCCAACTGGACCTCATACTCTTGAACGTCCTCCACCTTATCCTGGACCTCCTCATTTGTATCCTCCCGGTCATCCTGCTTCTGCAATGGCAGCTCATTTTCCACCCAATGCCTTTTATCCTCATCCCGGAGAATTTCTTCCTAATGGCGGTTTCATGATACAAAATCTTCTCCACGCGCCTCTCCCAAATCAACCCAATCCACCAAATCGAGCTAATGGACTTGAAGGAGCAGCGACCACAGGATCGCCAAGTATAACTCCAAATCCAACTCATACAAATTCGAATGGTCTACCAGCAGCTACACAAGGAGCAAATCAGCCGCCTCCATCTCAACCTCCAACCAACCAAATAGCTCAACCACCTCCAATCTCTTCACCGAGTGATTAAGATATATCTTGGAAATGTACAATCATCAATTTGTGTATTATTATATATTATATTATCTATGATCATCTACTTTAAACTCATCACCGAATCATCGCTGTTTCTATCTCTGCATCTTTCCATCACTCACTTTTGCATTTCATCATCAATTTCATTCATAAGCCATTATTTGTTAAAGACTAAGCCTAGATCAATCCTAAATTGTAAATTATTCATTTTATTATTTCTCAACCCTCTAATCACCCTGTAACATGCAATATAAACTAACAGAAATTCTTAAGGATATCAGAATTTTTCTGTTTGTCCATTTTTTTCATCTTATAGATCATCCATATTCAACTTCATGTAAACAAAAGGTTTTAGGTATTCTACGAACCCATCAATTCAGTTAATTATTCTTCACCGATGTCTCATTAATCTATTGATTATATTGCAATTAATATTTATAATTTTTAAATAAAAATTGGCTTGCAACCTCAACTGTGCATCAAAATTGGTCCGACTAAAAATCACAATTCTTTAAGGATTTTATAAACACCAAGTTTCAGAGTTTCATTCAGCTTTTTAGAAGGTGAACGATGTTTTATGAAAATACATGTAAATAAAGATGTTGATACGATTATTGCGGGATAACTGGTAATAAAGTAGACTGTTTAAACATAACAAGTCAATTAAAAACATTATGCGGATTATTAAGATTTAATATCAACGATTAGCATTGAGGTGAACAAAAATGAATGTCAGTTTTATTAATCATTTCTTAATGTAATTCAAATAGGGAAAAAGTAAACAATAAAATTATGATACCTTCCTTAAACTTCTAGCATTGATCGAAAGATTTGATTCAAAACCTTAAATAAATTTAAACTACAATAATGTAATACTGTTAGGTCATTAAAAAAGTCATTAAAAAAGCATTAATTTTTACTGAGCCTAATGTTGTAATATTTTATAACATCAGATGGAGCTGTAAAGGAAAACACACTGTTGTTGTCTTCAACCAGAAACAAAATTGAATGAAATCAACAACTTTGATGTAATATTTAGTTTGTGGTCTTTTTGATTATGAAAACTATTTTCAATTCATCTAATTTACAATTTGAGACTGTCATTTGTTCATAATGAACATTTATCATTAAATTTAAATATTAGATATGCCCAATCAATTGGATTTTATAAACAAGATAGACCTCTACTTGGTTTTGTCACCTTTTTTCGTATTCTCTTCATAGTTCAATTGAAGGTATGTTTTTAATTATATTAAACATTTGTTGTTAAGCTATTGTTATCTTGATACCATATGCGAGACATGCTCATATATTCCTTTGGGTCGTTTTCTGTGTTGTCTTAATATTATTCACGATTTGACGTTTGTTTATTAGTATTTACGCCAAAACAATATGTATTGCATTCTGAACGATATAGTATGCTTCTCATTCTAATCTGAGATTGTTGTCTTGATTATGATCAGTCTAGGACTTGTAAGACAAGTAAATCGATCTTCTCCTATTCTTGCTCAATAACACCTCTCATGATTACATTTTTGGAATGGATGTTGAAATGATAACTCAAATATCTAGTTCTCAGCTAATTATCATCATGAGAAGTTTACTCTATATTTTCATGTTGAGCTTTACATGATGGATCTTGATGAAGATAAATTTCAGGTTGTGTTTACAAACCACAGTTTAGATTGAGGTGTGCTTTATTGCATTAGAAATATATTAGTGCGTTGGTCTTTTACATTATCATGTAGCATGTTTTACATGTTAACATCAGCAGGCAACTTGATATTTGCACAATTTCCCTGATTGTATCTCATTAATTCGTTTTTATTACAACTCTTTCTAGTTAATATTGACATCGATTTAGTAAATGGCCTAAATGGAATGTTCTGTGTTTACAGATCACAATCATGGTGGATAAAGGTATCGATAAAAAACTTGAAAAGCGTTTTCAATCACCAACATCTCCAGTAACATCATATATTCTATCTGATCCAATGAAACCAAGTGATGGAGTGCGAGAATTTTCACCAATAATGACTGGATCTGTTGAAGTCCCCGTGAAAACTGACGACTCAACACCATCATCAGTTTTATCCTCAGCTTCACCAGCAACCTCATCTTCATCACTGCCATCTTGGGGTTTCTCACTGCCCCAATTTCCTCAGTTACCAAATTTTCCCAGTAATCCATTGCCTCAAGTTATCACACAAAATCTTCAAGGCATAAGAGGTTATTTCCCGTCTAACCTTAATTTGCCTAACTTTACTTCAGCCATGACCCTACCAATGTCTTCTGTTATTTCTTCATTTCCCTCTATGCCATCAATGCCATCCATTCCATCCATTCCATCGATGGTCTCCTCTGCAATCAGTGGAGTCAGTTTTCAACAAGCAAATCCAATCAAAACTTGGTCCCAATTGAAAGATTCAGTTAGACGAGCCCATCGCAAGTTGTTTGAAATTAGTGGTAGAGTACCATTTGCTTTTAATTTTGCTCAACTCAATGAAGGCGACACTGTGATTGGAACAAGAATTTATTTTCTCTGCTCTATGCTTAATGGCTCCGAGATTACTCTTTACTATTGTGATATCTTAGAAAATCAAAGAAATTTTACTAAGAGTGATTCTTTATCCTCTCAATCATCACTTGACTCAGGTATGGAGGCAATACCTTCTGCTGTACCTGAAACCAAGGATGACGCTCATGAATCAGCTTTTTTTACATCCAACTCCAATGATTCTTACCATAATGAAAATTCTAGTAACGGAAATGAAAATTATAACACCAATGATGGTGATGATGATTATATGCCCACCAATGATGATGAAGATTTTGTTGAAAATGATGGAGACTCATTTCGAGAGAAATCAAACTTACAAAATTTTGAATGGAAACCATTGATTGATTTAAATGTCAAGTATTATACAACTGAAAGTAATCTTGATTCATCATCAAACAACTATCAAGAGAAATTACAACTCGAAAGAAAAAGAATAATGTTCAGTGGAATAACCTCATATGAATATGAATCAAGCTGTAAGCGTTTTGTGTTCACTTCAAACGGCCATTTATTTCATTTTGACGATGATGGCACACCTCCATATCACCCAATTAGACTCAATTCAAGCAGTAAATCTGCTAAAATTAACCCTGCTATTTGCCCTGCAAATCCTGATTTAGTAGCTTTCTTTTCTGACAACGATGTGTGGGTGACCCATATTCAAACTGGTCAAGAACTTCGATTAACCAATACTAAGTACAATACAAATCGTAGAGCACTTATTGCTGGATATCCTTGTTATGTAATTCAAGAGGAGTTTCGACGATACACTGGTTTTTGGTGGAGACCTGGATTTTCTAAGACCACAAAATCTGCTGGAGAATCATCCAAGCTGGAATTTCATATTTTATATGAGGAAGTAGATGAAAGCGCAGTTGAATTAGTTCATCTCCCCACAGCAAATGGCTCTGTTGAAGATTACAGGTTTCCTCGTGCAGGTAATAAATTTTTTTGTTTGTTAATTTACAATTGATTGATTCATCAATGATCCATCTGCTTCTATCACTACATTGTTCACTCTATTTCCTTCAATTTATTATTTTTAATCATTGCTTTCATTTTTCTTTTGTATTAAAAGGTGGATCTAATGCTTCATCGGACCTGAAATTAGCAAGTTTTAAGTATGATGAGTCTACTCATCAGTTAAGTGACGCATCTTGTGGACCTGTACCTGGATTACAGTCTCTTTACTCGATTTATCCTCACTACGAATATTTAGTGAGATGCGGTTGGCATTCTCAAGACTGTGTTTGGGTTCAACTGCTTAATCGTCAACAAAAACATCTAGTCTTGGGTTTATTCAGTTTGAGTAAATCTTTTCCAGCTCAAATCCTTATTCATGAAGACAATAGTCCTTATTGGGTTAATGTTCATGATTTCATACATTTTCTTCCTAACAACAGTCCCTGTGAGAATAATGAAAATTGTTTGAAACCAGGCAGCGAGGTTGAATTTTTCTGGATCTCAGAAAGAACCGGATATCGTCACATAAACTTAGTAAAAGTGCAATTAGTAGCTAATGGGGAGGATGTGCGAAATAAAATAGCAAAAAAGGACCACCTTACTCGTAATCCAGCTGGACCTAATAATATGGATGTTGAAGAAAAGAATGAAACAAATCCTGGTCATGAAAATGATCTCTTTAGTTCTGATCTACGATCTTTACTTTTGGAAAGAAAACAATTAACTTCAGGAGAATGGGAAGTTCATAATAAAGAAATATGGATTGATGAAAAGAATGAGCTTGTTTATTTCGTTGGTCTCAAAGATACACCATTAGAACGGCATCTTTATTGTGTTTCTTATCGAGATATTTACTGTAAAAAAATCCGAAGACTTTCAGAATTGGGTTTCTCACATACTTTGTTAGCATTCAACTCAGACTGTGATCTCTTTGTTAACATTCAAAGCAATATTTCTATCCCTCCGTTTGGTTTTGTTCATAGAAAAGTCATTTTATCACCAGCGTCACCTCCTTCATCATCATTTTCACAAACATCTCACAATCTTCAATTAGGCTCCTCTTCAAATTCAGCTGAATCAACCGAAAATGTACACTTCCAAAAGATTGGTTTTATACTCAATAATACATCAGAAAACTGGAATTTAAGCATGGATTCTAGTTGCTCATCTTCAGATGCACCATCATCGTCAACAATTATGGTTGACAATGAATCTGCTGATGTTGTTCCTGGCATGACTAAACCAGAATTATTCACTTACAGATTGAAAAATTCTGGTGAAACATTGTATGGACTAGTTTTCAAGCCTGAATTTATGGAATCAGATGTAAAATATCCTTGTGTTCTGGATATTTATGGTGGTCCTGAAGTACAAGTTGTTACCAATGCATTTAAATCAACTCGATTGGTTCGCCGGCACTTACTAGCTGGAGAAGGCTACGTTGTGGTTGCGATTGATGGTCGAGGCTCTCATAATAGAGGAGCAAAATTTGAAGCACATATTCAAGGAAGAATAGGTCAAGTTGAAATATCTGACCAAGTAGAGGTACTTGAATGGTTAGCTGAAACAACAAATTATATTGATTTAACGCGAGTAGCTATTCATGGTTGGTCTTATGGTGGTTACCTTTCTCTAATGGGCCTTGCACAACGACCTGACATATTCAGAATCGCCATTGCTGGTGCTCCAGTCACGAATTGGTCTCTTTATGATACTGGTTACACTGAAAGGTACCTTGATACTCCTTATGCCAATCAAGCTGCCTATGCAAAAGGAAATGTACTTAACTTAGCCAAAAATTTTCCAGATGAAGAAAATCGTCTGCTTCTAGTCCATGGTTTGATGGACGAAAATGTTCATTTTATTCATACCATGCAACTGATTACCCATTTAATCAAAGCCGGAAAACCCTACCAAATCCAGGTTTGTTATTTAAATTATCTTATGTCTATAAGGCCTTAATAATTATTTATAAATCTTTTTTTCCAATAGATATTTCCATCTGAACGCCACTCACTACGTAAAGCACCTTCTTGTGAACACAATGAGACACAACTTTTGTTTTACCTGGAACAGCATCTGAAACAATGCAGTACAAAGTTCATCAATGTATAAAATGTTGAATACTTCTCCTCTCTCACACAATCTAATGATTATTCTATCTGCTGTTATTATTAACACTAACTACCGAGATGATTTTGGCTCCTGAATAAGCATAATATAAATCACGAAGAGGGAAAATTTTAAGTGGTTCCATTTCTTTGACAATAAGATGCTACTCATCTGAATAATCGAGAAAAGGAGTACTTATTAGCTGTAATGTTGTACTTATCTAATCAAGACAATGGTGAAAATTATCCTCATTTCTTTCCATTCAACCTCCAATTCTTTTTGTTTGACTCTGCAAAACAAGCTAGACAGTCAAGATGTGCTGTTATGGAATGGCACAAATATTGGAAATCTTACTTTTTAGCATCCCCCTTTCACCAAACTGAATCAAAGTGATGATTACGCTTGATATCATTGAGATCGCTGCTCACTCTCTATTGGACTGAATTAACCTAATCCTGAATCCAAAGTTTTGTTAACAAAATAAATCAACCATAGAAGGATCGTGAAAAATAATTTTAAGATGATGTTCGAATTTCTGGATCAACTGAAAATATCAGTAATTTTTAAGTTTGTCATAACATCCAAGACAATTGTATTAAATAACCAATAAAATTAATTATATACAGTAAATCTTGTTTATAATTTAATCATCGCATGCTATGTTTTTATACTATAATTTTTTAAAGTTTCATTATTGAATCCAATTTTTCAAATCAATACACAAACGCGTAATATTAGCTAGAATAATATAATAGATAGATTATACAGTAGAGTAATCCGCTAATTTAACTTTTTGACTAAATTTTAAGCTATTATAAGCTAGATATTATATTTTGATTAGAACAATTAATAAAAAGATAAAAATAATTCTAGAATGGTTAGTCTAATTGATACAGCATTTCTCGATGACTTTAGACAAGTTCCCATAATGTTTAGTCGGCTTCTCAAAATGTTTAGACAAAATCTTAAGCCGGTCGTAAAACCAGTCACTCTTCTCAGAATGTTTCGACAGTTCTCATATTGTTTAGTCAAGTTCTCAGAGCATTAGACAAAAAGA